GTCGGTCTTTTGCGCCTCATACCAATCTTCAGCGAGGAAGACAAAGGAGAGCATCTCATGCACGTTGGACAACCAAAACGCACCGGGATTGATCGCTTCGTCGCCTTCGTGTTGCATGACTTCTTGCTGTATGGACTGCATGACATTGGCGAGGAAGCGTTCGGATTCCTTGACGAAGCCATTGTTCCACATCTCAGACGTTACCAGATTGATGAGGTAAGATGGGAACAAGACCTCTTTGTCCGTAGGCGCAGGGTTGGCGCCTGGTTGGGGAATCTTGATGCCTCGGATAAGACCCATTGTGACTTCGTCGTTGAGTTCTTCTTCCTGCGCAAGGAGATTCTCGAGCTCCATCTCGACACTGTCTAGACCAGGGTTGAACGTAGAACCTGATAGAGTCTTCGTGTGAGAGTCGATCGCCATTGAAACAGGGCGGGCACTATATGCAGCACTATATCTGTCGATTTCGCTTCGTTCGGCAGCTCCTGCACTTCGTCGCTTGAGAGGCTTCTTCGATGAAACAAGGTTGATGAGTCCGTTGGCAAGCTGAGAGCTACCATTGGCATATTCTCCGTTGGCGCCGTTCGCTGCTGGTGGAGGTGGCGCCCGTCTGGCAATCTCAAGCTGATCCTGCAGTTCGTTGATCTGTTGTCGCAGAGTGCCTCTCTCACTTTCATGCGTGGACACTGATTGTCGCAGCTTTTCGAGCTCCGCATTGGAGGTCTTCAATGACTCCCGAAGCTTGCGCTCTTCTTCTTGCAGTCTCTTTGCGTTACCCATGTGTTCATCATGGCTGGTCTGCAATTTGGCGTGTTCTTCTTCCAAGGCAGCCAAGCGCGCTGCTACAATACCAGCTTGGTTCGCCTCACTCTGAAGCTCCCGAGACCGGGTCTCCAAAGCGTTGTGTCTCGACCTCCAGGATTTCAACTGGCTCTCGTAATTCTCCAATTGGGAAACCAAGGACTTGTTTTCTCGCTTGAGTGCGCCAAGAGACTGTGTAAGCTCCACGACCTTGTTCTCAAGTTTATAGGAGATTTGTTTGAGATCGCGAGCCTCTTCACGCATTTTCTTATAGTCGCGCCTGGCGACCTTGCCACGCCACAAGTTCTGCACAATGACCACCTTTCTGCGATATTGCCTCCAGGCACGTAATGCTCGCCACGAACGGAAAGCTCTTTGGATGGTGACTGCTGCATTTCCAATGCGAGTCTCCAGGATATTTTTCCTGCAAAGATAACCTTTGGCAATGGACTCGAATAGGATAATATCGTTCCTGATCCGAATATATTCTTTGCGTACCTTCTGTCCTCGCCACACTCTTTGGATATCGGTCGCCGCCTTGGTCCGTCTTGTTTGCTCGGTCTTTCTTCGAGCCAGGAACGCGCGTGTAGCGGCTTGGAAATTGAGGATCGACTGTCTGGCATCGAGATATTTGTGTCGGTAGTATTTTGCACGCAAATTCTTCTGGATCATGATGGCACACTCCTTCAAACGAGCCGAACGAAGGTTCTCTAAGAAGGCCAACATGCCTGCTCGGAAGAAAATCTTGGTAAGACCAAGTTGGTACTTGTCGGACTTTTCGTGGGCTGTCTTTCCTAGGGCTTTCACAAGAATGTTCTGTGCCATCGTACGGATTTCCGTTGTCCATTCGTTCGAACGACACAACATGTAGTACCTCAGAGCAAATTCTTCGTACGTCCATCGCGTAGGATAACCGGCAGTGCTGATGCGGACGGTTTCCAGAACACCGCATGCCCGTAGTTGACTCAATACCATGGGCCCTTCGAACTTCCATGACTCCTTTGCTTCATTGGGCTTGATACAACGAATGTAGTGTGCGTCAGTGGAGTTGATGGTTTGCATAAGTTCGATGAGGGAGCTCTTGAATATGCCTCCCAGAGTAGGTTTGCGATTAACAGCGACACCAACTCGGCGTCCACCTCCGGGGGCAACGGTTTTCGAAGATGTCTGAGCGGTGTCCTTTTCTCTCACCGCTGCGGCAACGTCCAGCACGTCAACCAAGAAGGCATTTGTAGACTTCTTAAGCACTTCCATCTGCTCATCCGGCACAGTGTCGCGGTTCTTGTCGATGAAGCCATCGGATTCGTAGGTAACGTCGAGGGCATAATGACAAACCGTAAATGCCGACTTGCCAAATCTGGGTTTCTTGTAGAATTTCTGCTTGTCCGCCGCGAAATGGTGATGCAATTTTGTGACAAACTGTTCGTCTGAGCCCATAGGCAGTCGAGATTCCTCGTCCAAGAGAGACAAAATACCAAGTTTCCCTTCAATAAGATCAATACAGGGTTGATTGTCGGAAAAATCTATAAACTTCCAGTCAATCTCTTCACGCATGTATTCTTCCTGTTCAAGTTTGAATACATGCTGATTGAATTCTTGCTGGAGCTTCTCGTTGGCGTAGTTGATGCAGAATTGTTCGAAGGAGTTCTTTGCAAAATGTTCAAAACCGTAAATATCAAGCACCCCAATGAAGGTGTTCAGCCGTTGAAGGACATCCTCAGTGGCCAGGCCGTGATTAATGGTTTCCACTAGCCAGTCGAAAAGGCTCGAGTATATGAACTTGGCCACGGAATCGCGCACGACGGTGGCCTGCTGCTGCGTCAGATTTGAGGTTATTTTCTCTCCTCGCGTGATGAGTTGCTTCTTGACCGTCCATTTGGCAAAATCCGCCGCGTCAATCCCTAATATGCCGCAGGCTTGAACCAGCGAAGGTTCGGTCGCGGAGAGGGTTGAGTCTGAGCGTGTAGCAGTGATTTTGATATTTCCGATGTGTAGGAGAGCGGCAAGGACTCGGAAGATCTCCTTTTGGGTGGCATCGGAAATGTTGATTGTGGTGAAGGCCTTCCTTGTGGCTGTAAATTCGGCAGCATCGTCGACACCATCAATCGTGGGCTCGCTGCCTTGATTCAGATAGTCGAATTCTTCCACGGGCAACAAGCCCAACTCTTGTTTCTCTTCTTCTGTCGCGCCAGCTACGAGCTGGTAGAAGATGTGATAATTTCTCTCCTTCAATGGTTGAAAGACAAGTCGCGATCGTTCAAGCAAATATGTCCTTATCCGGGCGCCAATGATGTCGGTGTTCTGGTCAAACATGATTTCAATGTATTTTCCGAATCGTGAAGAATTATCATTTCTCGTCGTCTTTGCATTGCCAAATGCTTCCATGACCGGATTTGTCGCAAGGATTTGCTCCTCGGTCTCGCTTATGGCATCTGCTCTCGCTTTTGTCCCCTTGCTGGCCTGTCCAGGGGCGCCTCGGGTTGCGAAGTACCGCATGATGTATTTGGCGCTGACTGTTTTACCGGCACCCGACTCACCGGACACGACGACAGTCTGATTCCGTGAATCCCGCAACATATCCGTGTATGCCTCTTCCGCAATGGCAAACAAATGGGGTGCTTGTGATGCTCTTTGCTTGCCGGCGTACACCTGCACCATCTGAGGGACGTACAGCGAGTCTACCCGTGCAAATGGGTTCGTCGCTATCAGCACAATCCCGCTGTATGTGTAGATTTCTTTCTGCGCATATCGGAGCTTGATGGCCTGCAGGATGGCAGGTTCGTTCAGATGGGACAGGTTGGTCAGGTCTTCGGCGGCCTCGAACATGGGAGGGTTCATGAGGGGAGGTAAGGAGGCATTGTGGGTATCGAGAAGGGCAGTCTCGGTGGTTTCGACTGTCTGTTTGGACTCGTCGGAGAGACTGAACACGAGGGCGATTTTGCCGTCACCCAGATCTTTTCTCTGCTCGAGCTCACCGGGAATGAAACCCTCGGACTGGTTTGGGAACCAGGCCCGAGTACCGATCTCCCAACTCGCCATCGCGGGCGGTACTGATGGACGTATGGATAGGACTCTCAACTGCGGGCGATGGGGGCAGCCATGTATTCGGAGTCTGGGAGGAGCGTCTGGGGGGGGAGACGTGTTCAATCACACGGGTTGTTCTGGCCTCACAGGTGCAGAAAGAACGACGAGAAGTAAAGATGCGTGCAATATTCGGGGGAGAGATGAGAGATGGGACAAAGGGATGTGAATGAGATGTTGACTTGATTGTCTGGCCTGGGGTTGAGGTGCGGCTGTGATTGACTTGCGAGATGTCAGAAAGTTTCTCAGGGACTCGAGTTGTCGACGAGACGCGCTCCCCCCCCCCATGCATCCAAGCACCAGCATACACCCGTGGTAATAGGTCCGGTGGCCCCAAGCCCCAAGCCTCAAGCCCGCACCAGAGCCAAAGGGACCAAAAGGTCGTGCTGCTCTTCCTGCAGTCCACTCACCCATCTGGCGCCTTTCCTCTTCGTCCCAAGCGCGAGCTTCATCTTCAGCCCCCTGACAGTGGCCTGGCATCCACCTAGGCCTTGAGAAATTGTCCGCCGCCCATGCCGATGGGCTTAACAAGTGGCAAACCTCCCCTTTTTTTTTTTTCCAACTAAACCATGCTGCAACCTCAAGGGTTGTTCCCAGACGCTTGCTGGCAGCCTTCCTTGCGTCTTCGATGAGATCTTCCCCCGGATGGCCTAAAAAGGGACATTAGATCTTAGTTGCAGGAAGGATGAGTGACTACTATTACTACCACCGTCGCCGTGCTACGTGGCCAGTTCGCCTTTATTTCATTGCCCATACTAACCCTATGCTTGAAAATATTGTTTTTCCAACATAGCACGCAGTACTGCTGGGGATGCTGACTGGCATTTGTCACTGACTAAAGGAAATCTGTTGGTCTTCAGTAATAATGATACCCACGAACGCCCATCTTCAAGCTTTGAACCACAAATTCATGTAGGAATTGTGAAAGGAACCCGTTGGGCTTGAGTCGGCCCTTGTGCCCTTTCACCCATTATCGACGAATCGATCATGACAGCATCGTTCTCAAACGCCCATTATGCCCAGAGCGGGTCAAGCCGGAACCCCGGTCCCAGGTATTGGGACCGTATCCTTCCGATCAGCTGCTTTCAACAAACATCATGTCGCTTGCCCGGCTCCATTTACTGATTCTTACATTCTGAGGTTTGTTGAGAACGAGGCTTCCCGCCCTCTTCCTCGTCGTCTTCGTCAGACTCAGCCTCTTCCTCATCCTCGTCATCTTCATCCTCTTCGTCATCGAACTCGGCGTCTTCGGCATCCTCGAATTCCTCATACGCCAACGCCTCACCAGTGAACCAGTCAATAGCGCGAGGAATCAGTTTCTCCTTGATATCCTCGCCCAGCTGATAATCCAGTTCGAGTCGCTCTTCGATGTCCGAGGCGACCTCGTCGTCCTCCGTTGGAGCAACAGGCGGTGAGAAAAAGTTGAAGAACGACTCTGTAGGAACCGTCTTTTTGATGACTCGGGTCTGCTTCGTGTCTGCTCTCCATGTCAGTGATTTTCAACCTCACCAAGTGCGTCTACGACTTACTCTTGTTTCGCTGCTTCTTGCTCTCAACTCGGACAGTAAGATCCTTGCCCGCCTTCCAGTCGATATTGTCGCCCTCGGCGTGATCGTAGATGAAGTCGCCGCCATAGCCACTCTCCTCTCGGTAGTAGTATGTTTTTGAAATGGTCTTATTGGTGAAGAAATCATTGGGGCCGAACTCGAAGATCAAGCGAAAACCTGGTCGATCAAGGTATTCCATACGAATGTCGGTCAAGGAGCGGAGGGCTTCTTCGTCTCGGTCTGTGATGAGCTCGGCAAGGGAGATCTGATTCTTCATGGCAGAAAGCCAGAATTCTGGGATTCCCTTCATGTCCTCTGCGGTTGTCTTCTCCTCCTTGTCTGCATCATCTTCGGGCTCTTCCTCATCCTCGGGTTTCCCGGCCTCGACCTCGTCCTCGGTAGGCTCCACCTCGCCGTTGACAATGGCGGCACGCTTTTGGTAGAGCGGAGTGAATTTGGCGAAGTACTTCTTCTCGAGCTGGAGGACTTCTTCTTGGAATTCCGACTCCAACTTTGCGTGGTCCTTCTGGATTCCCTTTAAACCAGTAACCCGGCGGCGGACGGGAGCCGGCAAGGACTCGATGTATCCTGAAGATCGGCCGACGAGGGAACCGAGCTTCTGCTGCATCATGGATACAAGAGCGGGGTTCTTTGCAAATATCGACGCAGCGGTAACACGGTCGAGGTCCTCTGTCACGGGTTAACTTCATGTCGAAGCGGGCAGTATTTGCATTTCCTCACCTTCAGCGATGGAGCTCACGTTGGGGGCAGTGGCGTGTGAAGAAATGGGCGCATTAGATGCAGGCGCTGGATAAGTGTGAGCGAGACGTAACATGGAGCAAACGGGGAGGACATACTGTTCTGTGGTGTAGGGGCGGTCAGGTTTCGAGCCTTGGGTATTTCAGCCATTTTGCCTTTGGTTCGACAGGTTCAATCCAAGGTCAAGTTGCGTGAGTTGTTGAGGAAGAAATCCAAATGTTGAGTAGACGTTGGGCCTTTTTCAGAGCGGGTTCGGCTGGCGATTCCGCGACTCTCCAAGAGACACTTCGAGGGTGATTCGGAGGGGGCGCGTAAAGAGGAGCGTCACTTGCTCCTCGAGTGAGGAACGATGTTGACAAAGAATAGAGGAAAATGGAATGGAAGGATTGAAGAATTTTGGGCAGGCCGCGTGAATTGCTGTGCAATAAATCAGTTTTGCCTCCGAGTCCCACGTTCTTGCTGGTGGGGGACTAGTGCGAGGGTGCCACTGCCCATGCCTGCGCTGCTGTGCAGATTCACCAGTTGAGGACAGCACCTGCGCTAGGCCTAGTGAGCCTGAACGTGACATACACCGGAGGACGGCCAAGCATGGCCCAACTACGACATGTCGAATTTTTCTTCCGGTTTGGAGGGTGCTAGGTATTCGAGATGGCTTCACTGTAACGCCGTAGATTTCTTATAATACCCGTAAACAGAGACTCACTTGTGGCTGTTGGGGCTGGTGCAATTGAGCGCTGGCAAAGCTATGGAAAAGTCCTGCCCGCAGTCATACATCATATGTACAACCCCCCCCCCCCCAATTCAAACCTAGATCGATGTTATCTACATGTATGCTGTGCAGCCGCGCCAAAGTCGCCCACCACACATCGCCCATATCCCTTACTCCTTCTGCCACTAAGATGAGTTGATACGCAAGTGATCATTGTGCCTGCGGCACTTCCCACCATGGACTGCAGCGCGCATCACGAAGGCGCCGCTCGGCGCTCCTCGCGAAGGAGGAGCTCAAGTGCTGGAAGAATGCACAGGAGAGATTCGAATTTGAGCACTGCAAGCATAGTCAGTGATGTTGAGATGTCGACCACCGACGTGTTTTCTGGGCCCGTATGTAAGTTTTTTCATCCAGCGGACGGCGCATGGTGGACGCCTTCTGACTTTGTTATCCAGCAGAATCAGTGCCCTCCTCGGTGACGGGATTCGCATACAGGGTACCCAGAAGGCGAGCAGGGTCGATCAGTTCATTCACATACTTTACGGAACAAGAGCAAGAAGTGCCGAGTGTGTTCTCAGACGAAGAGGCTGTCGAGAGCGACGAGGAGCAGGGCCACATACCCCATGAAGACCGAGACTTGGAAGCTGGCCTTGAGCCTACCACCTCCCACCGCAAGAGTTCAAGCCGATACCGGTCATCGTCTGACCAGCCGCTTCTTTATAGACACGATTCAGCTAGAAGCGACACCCAGAAACACGAGGATGGCGGCAACTTTAGTCAAAAACTATACATCGAGAATGAGGATCTGACGATGGCCATAGCTGGATTTACCACTTCCACTATCGGCTATCTGACTTATATGGCTATCTGTGTCTTCACCGCGGGCATCGGGTATCTGGTCTTTCGCTGGATGCCTCGATGGCGCATATCTCTTGTTGGATCTCCATCACCCCTCAGAAAGTGCTCTTGGGTTGTCGTAGAGGTGAGCTATGGCCCAGAGCGACCACGCCCCAAGAACAAGGCTAAGAAATTTCAGAATCAATGGGGTGAATTTACTGTTCATTATGTGGTGTCAGACGATTATGGCCATCCAATGTCAACTGTTTTTACGCGTTCCGGGAAGGAAAAGCTGAATGGCTATCGATATGACAACGATGCAGAGTTGCGGCGCCTGCGATACCTTGATTATAGATACATGAGGCTCTTGTATTACCCCGTTGAAGATAAATTTGTCTTGAACAACGACTGGTGGGATCCGCAATGGGTGTCGGTGAAAGCTCTTCGGGAGGGCCTAGACACTGAAGAAAGAGATCCGAGAGATCAAGTTTTTGGCAAGAATATGATCGAGATCCAGCAGAAGACGATTCCAGAGCTACTTCTTGACGAGGTTTGGCGCCCCTGGATCCAACTCTTTTTCGAGCGCTGATTTTGGGAAGGCTTTTCACCCCTTTTACATCTTCCAGGTGGCCAGTCTCATCCTCTGGTCATTGGATGAATACTACTACTATGCCGCAGCAATCTTTGTTATTTCAGTGTTCTCCATCACCACCACGGTTGTAGAGACTCGTTCGGTACGCGTACTCTGATTCTGGCTCGGGCCCACGGATGCTGATGAGTTCACAGACAATGCGGCGACTCAGGGAAATCTCGCGCTTTGAATGCGACGTTCGCGTTCTCCGCAATAGCTTTTGTAAGTCCAACTCTCAGCCAACCAGATCGATGCTGACCCTGGTGTAGGGCGGTCCGCTCTTTCAAGTGAACTCGTTCCTGGCGACGTATACGAGGTCTCCGATCCTTCTCTCTCACAGCTTCCTTGTGACAGTCTGCTCCTCGCAGGCGATTGTATCATCAATGAAAGCATGCTGACTGGTAAGCCCAAAAGAAAGTTGCCTATTTCAAAGCTGATTTCGTAGGTGAATCTATTCCTGTGTCAAAAATTCCCATCACCGACGAGGCTCTGCCGTACATTGACCTCGGTGCAACATCAATTCATCCAAGTGTGGCTCGCCATTTCCTGTTCTGCGGCACGAAAATCATCCGTGCAAGGCGCCCGCAAGATACCGAAGACGACGAAGCTGTGGCGCTTGCGATGGTGGTCCGTACTGGCTTCAACACAACCAAAGGTGCCCTTGTACGATCCATGCTTTTCCCTAAGCCGTCAGGCTTCAGGTTCTACCGTGACTCTTTCCGATACATTTCCGTAATGGGCATCATCGCGGCAGTCGGGTTCATTGCATCATTCATCAATTTCGTCAAGCTCGGTCTGGCCTGGCACTTGATCATTGTCAGGGCCTTAGATCTTATTACAATCGTGGTGCCTCCCGCTTTGCCGGCCACTTTAACTATCGGAACGAATTTCGCCTTAGGTCGACTCAGAAAACAACAGATTTTCTGCATCAGCCCACAAAGAGTGAATGTCGCCGGCAAACTGGATGTTGTCTGTTTCGATAAGACGGGAACTTTGACCGAGGACGGCCTTGACGTTCTTGGTGTACGACTTGTACAACATCCGGAAATACGCTTTGGGGACATTCTAGAGGAGGCGCGTGAGCTTCTACCTCCAGCTTCCTACGACCGTGATCCGACGGTCGACTATCGAGTCAACAAAAACATGCTCTACACAATGGCTACTTGTCACTCCCTTCGGCTGGTCGAGGACGAGCTCATTGGCGACCCACTTGATCTCAAAATGTTTCAATTTACCGAGTGGTCATTCGAAGAAGGTTCCCGTAGCACCAGCCATTTTATCGAGCCTGGAACGCAACAAACGGCACCAAGCGTGGCACGTCCTCCACATGGCTTTGAGTATGATTTGGAAGATTCTCAAGACAACGACAACCCAGTCCGCGTCGAACTGGGGATCTTGCGGTCGTTCGAATTCGTTTCGCATCTGAGGCGCGCCAGTGTTATTGTGCGGCAGCACTGTGATCCCGGTGTCAATATCTACGTCAAAGGCGCACCAGAAGTCATGAAGGACATCTGCACTGCATCAAGCATTCCTGACGACTTCGATGATCTGCTTAACTACTACACCCATAAAGGTTTCCGAGTCATCGCTTGTGCCTCGAAATACATTTCAAGATTCAGCTGGGACGATGTCCAGAACATGGAACGGTCTGAAGCCGAATCACGGCTTTCGCTAATCGGCTTCATCATTTTTGAAAACAAGCTCAAGGAAATCACCACCGCGGTCATCGAAGAACTGAACGAAGCCAAAATCCGCAATGTCATGTGTACAGGAGACAACATCCTCACTGCTATCAGCGTGGCGAGAGAATGTGGCATCATTGATCGTAATGCACATTGCTTTGTGCCTCATTTTATTGAGGGTGACAAGATGGATGCACAGGCACGGATCAGCTGGGAAAGCGTTGACAATCAAATCTATCAGCTTGATGAGCATACAATGCTCCCTCAGCCGTTGCCAGCCGAGGACGACAACGCGGCTCCATACGACGCAATCGCTATTGGCGATTATACCCTGGCAGTGACTGGAGATGCTTTCCGCTGGATAATCGATTTTGGATCCACAGAGGCGGTGCAGCGGATGCTCGCCAAAGGAGCAGTCTTTGCTCGAATGTCTCCGGATGAAAAGCACGAACTTGTTGAAAAGCTACAGAGTATCGACTACTGCTGCGGATTTTGTGGGGACGGCGCAAATGATTGCGGTGCACTTAAAGCTGCAGACGTCGGTATCTCACTTTCGGAAGCCGAGGCATCGGTCGCTGCGCCATTCACCAGTCATATATTCGATATTTCCTGCGTACCAGCTCTGATCAAGGAAGGTCGTGCAGCTCTGGTGACCAGCTTCTGCTGCTTCAAGTACATGAGCCTGTACTCGGCCATTCAGTTCACGTCTGTAAGTTTCCTCTACGCATCGGCATCGAATCTGGGAGATTTTCAGTTCCTCTTCATCGACCTTGCGTTAATCTTGCCACTGGCAATATTCATGGGCTGGACGGGTGCATATCCAGTCCTGAGCAAGAAGCGTCCTACGGCAAGCCTTGTGTCACGAAAGGTCTTAACCCCGCTACTTGGTCAGATCTTGCTTTCGGTCCTCGTGCAACTGGGTGTGTTCGAGACTGTTCAGAACCAACCATGGTACATACCGCCGCGACTGGACAAAGAAAAATCCAATGTCGATAATTCTCAAAACACCGCCTTGTTCTTGGTGTCCTGCTTCCAGTATACGCTTTCCAGTGTTGTTCTAAGTGTTGGGCCGCCATTTCGACAATCACTGGCGACGAATGTGCCCTTCTGTGTCACGATTGTGACAGCGCTACTGATTTCCCTATATATGCTCCTCGACCCGGCTAAATGGGTGGCGGATTTCATGGATCTGACGGAGATGTCAGTGGATTATAAAGGTTTCTTGCTGGTGTTGGCGATGGCTGGGTTCGCCGTTGCCTATCTGGCAGAGCAGTATATCTTTCCTCTCCTGGCGAAATACATTGGGCGGCTCAAGCTGAGGCTGAGGCCCGGCCACCCGAAAAAGAGAAAGCAGTATAAGATTATTGCGGAGGAAATCCAGGCGAGTACATAGATAGATTGTATGTATGTTGGTAGGGGGTAAAAAGGAGAGATAGAAGCACCCCCATTGGTTTCTCAAGTCTGTTCCTCTCTGTACGACGAACACGCACATACGCTATTCAAGCTACTCTATCGGCACGCTCGAACGTCCACATGAGTTGGCGCTCCGCATACCGCTCACAAAACTCCTTTTTTTGGGAGGTCTTACGCAGCGGTGGTTTGTTCTTCCTTTTTTTTTGGCGTATGGGAGAATCAAGAGGTAGGGTGCCTGTTATTCTGTTTTTGAGAAAAAAGTGAGGCCCCCCAAGGCAAGGAGCGATTTATGCTCTGATTCCTCTTCCCCGGGGCCATTGCATAGAGCGGTCTGAACCCTGGTTCCCCTGCAGTAACGCCGACTCATGCACAGTGGCTCTATATACAATCGGTGGCTGCTTGCATTGCGTTTGGCTGCGCAGTTGTTCACGTCTTTCAATTTTCGCCCGCACAGCTGATGGCCTTTCGCGAACATGCCTGTTCTTCTCTCTCTGTCCTGACTTGCTTCACCCTTTTTTTCTCGGCGTCTCTAATCTCATTTGATCATCTCCTCTTCGGCACCCCCCCCCCCCCCAAAAAATATCTAGTGGTCCCAAGGATGCTTCAATCCGAGTAACGCAGGCCCATCTTGCTTCGCTCTGTAAAACAGCTACACCCCATTGTTAGCTTGGGCGCTGGCAGAACGCGGCAGTTGTCTCGTGGGAACTCACGAAGAACCACATTGCAGCTCCTAGCCCGGTCGCGCAGTATCTGTAGAAAGGTGGTGCGGCGTTGATTTGACGGACGGGGTGGTTGCCTTTCCACACGGGTTTGGCCATCGCGAACACGGCCGCCGAAACTGCTAGAGGTAACAAAGTGGCGGTCAGGCTGCGTAGAGAGAAGGCGAAAGGCAAGAGGCGAGAGGCGCAAGAGGTCTTTTCAGCAGTGTGGTGAATGGAGGAAGCTATTCGCGGCGTGGGAAGTGAGCTTCAATTGAGATGCAGTGGTATGGTAGTTGGGCTAGAGGTTGCGTTGGCGCTTCACTCGCGGGATCTGTGGTTCACCGTAGGCGTTGACATGTCATTTGAAACACTTCGCCGCTCCTACTGGGTACCAGCAGGCACGAGCAAGTACGAGGCACAAACGATGACCAGCAGACGGGCCATTTACTCGATACTACTCCGTACATAAGGAGGAAGGAGAGGTGCCATTATCATTCTCAGTTCAGTCCATGTGCGGCTCTCTACGGCAGTCCTATGGCAGGACTCACATCGACACCCTCTAGATCCGATAGAGGAAGTACGGAAACCCTCGTCCAGGATGTGCATGGACTTTCCGAGTTGCTTGTAGCAGCCTTGGCTCGTTGAAAGTCGAAGGAGCTTTGAGCCGACGACGTTCCCCCCTGCCTTGCAAAATGTTGATTTCGTCATGGAGTTTGATAATACGAAGGAGACAGGGATCGAAGACGAGGTCCCGTATCAATCACTCTTTCAGTCGTCGGCAGCCTCGTCGGCTATCTTGGGGGGTGTGGATAGTTCGGTCAACGGAGTCCACAAACGGCTCCTGCTTACTCGACGCCGACTCAAGCATTACTTCAGCTGACGAGGGTGGGTATTTGATCCAATCGGAACCGCAAGTTGCGTCTGCGTGGTTGGCGTGCACTCGGTTGTAACCCGTACTCGTGCTGTACTAACCACCATGGAGGTTGAGCGCGCCTGGAAAGGCTGCTGCATACAAGACGCGTCAAACATTAAGCAGGAGGAAGCGGCAGGCAGCCGAGGGAGCAGAGATCTGGCCCTCCTTTTCTGTAGGGTGCCTTGGGGAGATAGATGGCTGACAGAACGGCGTCTAAGGAGGTGCAGTAGAACAGAACGTGGGAGATATTTTTGGCCATGTAGGGAAATGAAGCAAGTCGACTGAGCCGAAGAGAGGAGCCACCAGTGACCAGAGCCAGAGTAATCGTAGTCATCGTAATCACCAAGCCTGTGCCCAGGCGGTGCCCGGTGCCCAGCAAACACAAAGGGTCCCCGAATTAAGTTAGACATCATCACTCTCCCTTTTGCCCAGTTTGTGCCAGAGGAAAATGGCTCGGATCAATGTTTTTGTTCACAGTTGATGGCCTCAGGTGTTGAGGGCAGGGGGACTCCAGCCTTTCGGCCGATGCAGGCATCCGCAACCCGCAACTCGGCACAATTTTTTGCGTTCGCTCTCCGAGCCGCCGGTAAGGAGACGACGGGCGGCAGGGGGAATATGCGGATACGAACAAGCGAGCAGGTAGTGTAGCTGAAGCCGGTAGCGAGTTAGTTGGGGGTCGGTGGGAGACAAGGGAAGCGGTCGTTTGGTGGTGTTCGTGGTAGTGACTGTGGTCGTGGTAGTGGTCGTGGTAGTGGTCGTGGTAGTGGTCGCGGTAGTGGTTGTGACTGTACTGGGTAGTTGTACGCTGCACAAACCAACACAACACGAGTCAATGCTGGGGAATTTTGGTGATTGCAGGATGACATCAGCGATTCCCCTTCCAAGTTCCAGCTCAATCAGATTTCTCCCTTTTTTTTCGCTGCCTCTGGTGCCTCCATCATGACAGTCATTGCCTTTGAGCGTCAAAGACCCCCCCCTTCCCTCAAGCCCCCTGCACCACTGTATTTCCCATTCCCCGACCCCCTGGGCTATTTTGCACCTTGGTTCCGGCCAGCCCGTTCGGTCGCTAAGATAATTTTATCATGGCCAGAAAACGGGTCCCGCAAGCAAAGGGCTTCTCTGGAGTCTTGAACGTCTGTCGGCACGCCTAATATCACACTTCTGGTCCCTGCGGTGTAGAAGCTGTCACCATCAACTTATCCTTTATTTCCTACTAATGATACCGAGTAATGAACCCTTGAATTCTCAAACTCGTCCCCTAGAAGCTGTCCAAAGTCGTTGTACACCTAGAGTCCTTGTTCCCTGTCCCCTGCGCCCCTCGGAGCTCGAAAGTTGTCCAAGCGGCTGCACACCCTGTCCCTGATTGGTACCATTTCCTGGGCTGCTTCTCAACAATCCTCGACCCCGAGATGAGCACCCTCTACAGAACCCTGACCGGTCAATCGCAAAAGTCGCATCACTCGGATCATTCCGTTGGCACACATGCCCATCCGACCTTGACAAGAACAACCACTGCAGACCCTTTAACCGGCACTCTCAATCATTTAAACCCAACCCAAGAACAAAGGCTCCACGAGTTCAAGGAGCGGCTACAAGAGGCGGGATCCTGGTCGCCCGACGCTGTCAATGGCAAACCCACCCACGATGACGGAACCCTCCTGTATGAACCCTGTCTTGATTCATGGGCGACCGACGACTTTGGCTCTCCGCTAACTGGTATATCTTTCCAGCCGATATTTACGCGCCCGCAAGTTCGATGTCCAAGGTGCCGTCGGTCAGTTCACGGAGACGGAGCAATGGCTCAAGGAGCAACGGGTGGAAGAGCTTTACGATAATTTTGACGTCGAGGCGTATGAGAAGGCACGGCTAATGGTAGGTCAATGGCGTCGGCGGCACCCAACCAGTGGGAGACATGACAGATATCTGACAGTCGGATTTGCAAAATCTAGTATCCCCAATGGACCGGCCACCGTGACAGACGAGGCATTCCCATCTACGTCTACGTGATCAAGGGTCTTGACAGCAAAAACGTGCATAAATACCAGAAAGAGTCGCAGGCCTACAAGGACAGCCTTCCGAACCACAAGGGTCTCCCTACGCCCGCCAAACTGCTTCCTTTGTTCGCCCTCTACCAGAATCTGCTCAACTTCGTCCTGCCCCTGGTTTCCACGCTCGAGAGACCAAATCCTGAAGTCCCCGTAACCAACTCTACGAACATTGTCGATATTTCAGGCGTGGGTTTGACGCAGTTCTGGAATTTAAAGGCCCATATGCAAGATGCCTCTATTCTAGCCACGGCACATTACCCCGAGACCCTGGACAGGATTTTTGTGAGCAAAAGGTCACCCGAGTTCTGCACGCAAAAAAGGCGCTAATCTGGATAGATCATTGGCGCCCCTGCTTTCTTTCCCACCGTCTGGGGTTGGATCAAACGTTGGTTCGATCCCGTCACAGTCTCCAAGATCTTCATTCTCAGCAAAAACGACGTGAAACCTACCTTGGCCAAATTTATGGACACAAAAGACTTTCCCAAGCGTTACGGCGGTGATCTCAACTGGGACTGGGGTGATCTGCCGCATTTGGACGACGAGACTCGGACAGCTCTGGAAAGAGATGGGAATAAAGGTTGGGTGAGGGGTCCTTGTCTGTGGCTCGACGCGCAGAGAATTCCAGTCGGATCTGAAAACGGTAAACTCAGGCGGCCGAACCTAGACATTGAGAAGATGAAACCGGTTGTTTATGCCGCTGATTACACAGAATTCCCAGTCCACCCGGACAAAAAACTGTCTTCAGGTGGAAAGGCGCCTGTTCCCAATGGGACTGCATCGCCACATCATCAGGCCGAAGAAGCTGCAGTGGCGGCGGCGAACGGAGGAGCTACGGTCGCAAATCTCATCGCGACCCAAATGAATTCAGAACGAGAACCACAACTGTCACAAAGAGAAGCACCATCAACCGCACCCTCACAATCAGAACCTGAATCCACGTCCAATTCGCTCGCCCATCCACCGGCCCAACCCCAGCCTGGTCCTCTTCCGACACACACCATCGCCATGACGACGGCCATCGAAGAGAAACTCGCCCGGGAATCCATCTCGGCTATCCCGTCCACCGCCAATGGCCACATGAACGGTTATGCCACGGGACCAGGCGAAGGACATCCCGAAGTGCTGGTGTCGAGCGACACGAGCAAAGGGTTGGCGATCGAGGCCAAGAGATTGACCATCTCAGAGACGGTGAAGGACGGAGAGAGCGAAAGGCCGGTCATGGAAAGATTCGTCACCGCAACGGAGGTGTGACATATCCCTAGCAGGGATTCGAGCCTTTGGGGAATGGTGACTCTATATGCGCGACTATTGGATTTCAATGTGATTCTCACATGGGATATGGATACGGATGTTCTCCGCCCAAACGACTGGCCACACGAACGGGAAGGTGAAGCAGGATATAAACGCGACACCGACATATGGAGTTTTTTCACATTCTATCACGATATCCTCCTGGAACCTAATCTGCATTTTTGAGGAGGGCAGCGCGGGGTGTCTTTTGCATTGTCATTGCTGGTTTTTGGCTGTCTGGGGCCGGGCTGCTCTGCGGTTGCGAACTAAAGGTCCTGCGGAAAAATACCCCTTACAAAGAATATATATAATCATGACTTCGGATAGAGGCAGTTCTGGATCGTAGGTGTTCTGTGCTTATGTTTTGGCTATCTATGTATGGATCATTTACTGCGCACAAGAAGATAGCTGAAAGGCACTTTTGTAACTTGCGAGACACAAAACATCCCATGTCACGGTCGATCTTGCTCGACCGCCGGTAAGTCTTGCATGTCCATTCATCACCGGCGTAGAGTCTGATATCTTCGAGCCTTCATCCTGCATTACATCTGATCGGGAAAGGCCGATGTCGGTATCAATCGGACGTCGCGACATGGTGCTTCGTGCCTGAGTGTCGTTGTCATGTCATTTATCCGGCAATACCAATGACCCCGCAAGCTGGTCGAGGACCCGCGTTGCCCGTCTTCTTGCTCTCCTCATTGCCGCCCTTCCCGAGGTCATCGGTGCCTGCGTGGACGACGATGGTTCGCTGCAAGCGACATTAGCTCATGATCAATGTAAGCCGAAATGTGCCCATGACAATGGGTTTTGGCAGGGAGCTGCTTAGGAGGTTGTCATTGTTGGATATACGTACGCCGAGGACGCTGTGCTCGCCGATCAACTTGACAAAGCTGTCGCTGACGCTGCCCTTGGAGTTGCCCTGAGCATCGGTCTTGATGTTGCCTAAGTCACCAACGTGTCGTTCCTGATCGGTTGGGCCGCCGTGGGTTTTGCCATGTGGGTTGTCTATTCGACGTCAGTATATCAATTCCTTGTCTTCCCTCCTCTTCTTAGGGTCTTGCGGATCGGCATCTCATTTGGAACGTACAGTGAGGACCAGCGCTGGTGCAGCCGTTGGTGTTGTCGCCGTACTGGTGAACGTGCATGCCACGCTCAGCGTTGGGGTCGTGGCCCTGGATGTCCCAAGTGATGGTGGTGGGAGCCGACTCGGAAGCCTGCTCGAACGTCACTTGGCCGGTGATCTTGGAGTCTCCACGGAGGACAGCGACTGAGAAGAGATGTCAGTGAGGATGATTCACAGGACAGGGCGGACGGTTGGATCTGGCTGTTTCGGGTGGCCAGGGAGATGAAAGAGTGTTTTAACGAGACTGGTTGATGCTGACATCAAGGGAAACATGGTCGGGGCAATCCGTGGAATTCAGTTCTCGCAGATAGGAGGTTGACTGACCTGCTTTGACCATTTTGGCGGATTGGATTGTGATTGTACGGGGGGAAGGAGGATGCTACAGAATGTACCAGAGTAGATCAAGATGATGACTGGGATTTCGAGAAGACAGATGGAAGCCGGAAGAGTTTTCGCGCGATGGGAACTTGGAAGTAATCAGAAGCCGATGGAGTTAAGAGGAAAGAAGCCTCCTACGAGCGAAGCGGGCACAATGTACGATGAAGCAATTCAATCACCGTTGGAATGAGGGGCTGCATCATTGATCGGGATATCGCCCCTCGCGCCTGGAGTGAGGGGCTTGGGGGGGGCTTTTCGGGGCCAAGACTGCCAAGACTGCGCAATGCAGTGAAGTGCTCCGCTCTTTCGGCCGCTCCGGATAATCCCTCTTCCCACTTCCGAAAGCCAATCATAATGCAGGTTCCCTATTTCTCCATCTCCACCCGTATATACCAGTAATTGTGACTGAACTGCTTAGAAACTCGTGACATGTGCTGCATTACCCCCAGATATATGTGGCATGATACTTGCAGATCCATCAAAGTACATCATACAGTACATCATTGCCTCTGATACCATCAACAACCCTTGTGCCCTCCATTCTGTACGAGAACTATCCAGGTACACGACGGAAAGGCTGTTTCGCATCCCACGCCCGCGCCCAGTCACCCATTTGTGGTCAGATGCTGTCACTGACTTGACTTGCTTGATGCCCATCCGTCCTTCACTGTCTGTATATCAATGCTCAAGGTATATTGCTATCTTTCTTTCCTTCAAAATACCTCATACTCGTAAGTTTTATCTTCATCGAGCTTGCCCAACCGCGCCCAATTATTCCACCATGGACAAACCACCCACCATGTCATCCAACGACAAAGCAAACCTTCCCAAATTCCTCCAGGCCATGGAATCCATCTATGGCCCATTGCCAAAAGCAACCGACCAGAATCTCTCCAAGTGGGTACCTCCGCCGGCCGCGGAGGGCCATCGAGGCCGCTATCTCTGGACCGATGGGTTTGCCGTCGTCAACTTCCTGACCCTTTATCAGCTCACCACAGAGAGCCGCTACCTCACATTCGCCAAGAACCTCATCACCACTGTCCATAACATTCTAGGGTACATCCGCAACGGCAAATCGCGCCTCCCTGGCGCAACCGACTCCCACCCCCTCGATGGCGGCCTTCGAATCGGCAAACACGACGAATCCGGCCCAGACGGCGACGGGCAGTACTTTCACTACCTCACCGTGTGGATGTTTGCTCTGAATCGCACGAGCCTAGTGAGTGGAGACAGATGGTACAATGACCAAGCCATATCCATGGCCAAGGCCATCCTGCCTCACTTCATGTCGAACATGGAATCAAACCGACCGCGCATGTTCTGGAAAGTCAGCATGGATCTCTCGCATCCCCTTGTCATGTCCGAGGGTAACCTCGACCCGGTCGATGGCTACGTCACGTACAAGCTCCTCCAGTCCACGAATGCAGACGACCCGGAAATTCTGAGCGAAGAGGTCTCGCTCTTCAAGAAGATCGTCGACAAGAAGCTCAGAGACTACGCCTCCACAGACACATTGGACCTGGGCATGACGCTGTGGACGGCGCACTGGTTCACGCCCGAGGAGGAGTGGGCAACCCACCTGACGTGCCGGGCGATCGGCTGCGTCAAAATGTTGTTGGAGAACGACTACTTCGACCAGCCATCGCGACGGCGCCTCGCGTTCCGCGAATTTGGCACCGCGCTCGGCGTCAAGGCCGCGCTCTCCAGCAAGACCGACGAGGGCGGACTGTGCCGCGAGGATGAGCTTGTCGACGCCGAGTTTCGAGAACTCCCCGACTTGATCTGTAGGACATGGGAAGAGGCCGGGCTGGTGCCCGTGCCGACCAAGAAGATGCAAGGGCGCATGGCCGAGTTGATGCCCATCACGGCCGTCATGTACGCGACGGCGCTGATTCCCGGGTTAATGAATCAACAGCCATGAGCTCATAGAGTGGGCGGTTGCTGATGAGCTCTGGGGAAATTGTATGTCTAGGTTGGGGGAATTGTTAATACTAATGCGAAGTACATTGACACTATATGTTCAGACATCAGACTGCCGGCGATCATTCAAGCAAGAAGTCAATAGCAAAAAAAGTAACAAAAAATGCAACAAAAAATGCATGCCAAATACTCACTCAGTCCCAGACGCCGCAAACTCTAAGGGCGATCCCTCCGCCTCTTTGCCAAACCCAACAGAAGGGAATTCAACGTCCTTGCATTCCCTCTCCTGCACAAAATCACGTCACAGATGCATCGCCCTCACCACTCCATACCCGCCGAGAGCAGAGATGGCAACTGGCACACAAATCTTGCTCATCCACAGCTTCAGCCCCAAGCTGATCCTCCAGTTGACAACCTGCTCCATCTTGCCTCGGTCGTTTGTTCTCGGAACGCCGGCCTCTGGCTCCCTCTTGCCCAAGAACTCACACAGCGCCACCCAGCCCATGCCCGGTTCCCAAAGCAAGACATCCTTGCCTTTTTCCTGACATAGCTTCACCACCCACGCATTGTGCTTGTCGTACACCTCTTTACTCCAGAAGTTGGCGGCGCCAAACTTCTCCTTGCAGAACCGTTGCCATTCAATCTCGCATTGGTAGTGCCAGTAATCGGGAATGCTCCAGAAGCAAGCGACTCGGTATTTCCAGCTCATGAAGGGGGCGATGGTGGATTTCATGCTGGCTTCCCAGTCGTCAGCGCCACCCTTGCGGATGTTTAGCACCACTTTGGCATCGGGGTACATCTCTATCAGGTCTTCAATGAAAAGATGGCCGGGGAAATCTGCTGTGGCGGCGCACCCGGCGAATAATTTGAACAGGATGGCCTGGCGCCTTTGGGCGTCTTTTTCGCGGAGGGCGTCGTAGAGGAGGCGCATGTTCGCGGGTGAAGAAAGGCAGCGGTTCATGTGCATGGTTGGTCCGACATTGAGGAGGGTTTTATTTTCGAGCATTTCTTTCAAGGTGGTCGTTGCGCAGCGAGGAAGGCCAGCACCAATGACTTGTATGGGCCCGTTGAAGGTAGTAGGGATTTGAGGCTTGGGTGCTGGAGGTGCCATAGTGTTTGGTATTCGGGGTGGGTAGTTGTTTGAGTCCGCCTTGCTGCAGACACAGAGTTGTCGTACCCTGTAGATGGAAATGGGATGACGAAGGGTGATAAGGTTTTTTCTTCTTCTGCTCTACAGCTCATGAGCCTGTTAAAATTTCCGGGAGGATAAACAGAGACAACTCGACAGAAGAGCGTACTTATAGCTAACCACAAATAGGTTTCAGCTCACCTTTCCGTCAGCCTCATGAGATGAAAGGGCCCGTCCTTCCTTTCCTCGCCATTGAACCCCTTGCCGCGAGGCTGGCAAACCACATGCAAGGGGCAATATATTTGCAACTCCGGAAGAGCTCCACACTGACTAGACTTATTGCAAACCCTTCTTCACCAAGGAGGAGAGGAGACTGAGAGTGGAAGGAAGAGGGAATGGCTTCCTGACGCTGGTTCTTTTGCGATCCCCCGAACGCCATCGTCATCCACTCATGTGGATTGCAGATGCTGTTGATTTTCAGCCAGTGCTAGGTGCTCCGCAATGAACCAGACGCTTTTGTCAATGGAGCGCTAGCATATTAGTGACGAGTACGAACCTGCCGTGAGCCCCGTAAAGATGGGAAAGAACCATTCGACCTCAGGCAGCCACGAGGTTACTGCAACTGCGAACAGAAGCCCGAAAAGAGAAGAATCTCTGCTCTTCTGACCTCAACTATAGGGAAATGACCTTTACCTCGCGTCGTGTGAGAACCCTTGGCCCATGTAGCTATCAGAACCCAGTTCTGTTGGGATAAAGCGAGATTGAAGATTGGCCCTTTGAGGTTTGAGAATAGGTTTAGTCAACATTTTCATTTTCAGCTCCTCCAATATAATATGGGTGCGGGATTCCTGGCTACTCCTTGCATTGACCGCTTGTCGGGGAACTCGAAGACTTTCTGAAGAAGGTCATATTATCCCTAAAAGGTTATGTCAGACTCGGGGGCACATGTGCTGAGAGTGCTCACAGCGAAACAGGCGCGTGTGAGGCTGAAACATTTGATGGAGTGACCTGTCCACATCGAAATGCAATGGCTGGTACCTCGTCCTGTAGCATGTGCCATAGAGTTGGGGTAGTTGTATTTAGTCCTCCTTCACCTAGACTCTTCGTACCGTGACCTGGATTCAAGCTCTTTTCTCTTGCCTGACCCTTCTCTACTCGCGACGTTGGACGAGATCTTGACAATTGGAGGATGATAGAAACTTTCACTTCGTGTGGAAATCAACGCCAGGGCAAGGGAAGCCTCGTTGTCAACCATGGGGCGTCCCAATCATGCATGGAAAGGGCGTCGACTAGCAAACAGGCGGCCAGGGGACGATTCGACGGTGCGCCTTGGAGACCCAGAAAGACCAATCAGTTTGAAAAAGGGTCAAAAAGGTAGTTGAGACTTGCTAAGAGTGGTCGTTTGCTGGTATCAAGCGAGTCAAGAGGGAACAAGGGGGAAAGTCGGCTCGTCGGATATCGGTCTGCCTACGGCGACCCGCCGAGCCTTGGTTCGCCAGGGTAAAGGGGCCTCGGGGGGTCGTCAAGGCTGTGTAAATAGCAAGATGGGTTGGTAGAGACTTGTAGAAGCACAATGATCAATTCTAATCTCCATGGATCCAGCGGTACATACCTATGTACATACGACAAGGCTTGCCTCGGACCATTAACAATATTGACGACGTTTGCCCTGTACCGGGTACTCCATATCTAGCTAGGTTACCACTGGGCACGGTGTAATACCTATCTAGGTACCCGATATATTCGTAATATCTCGAAGGGGAAGGTCTTGACCACCAGAATTCAGGAACAACTCTTTTGGTATGAGGTAATCAAGTGCTTCTTGTTCCATCCTTGTGGTGACTTGTAGCTGGGTGGCTGCCGCCGCTGTGGCCCGCTGTGAGCCATGCGTTTCGCCCTGGGGAAGCAGTGGATACTCAACGCTAGCCAATTGTTCTATCATCCCTTGTCCCAAAGCGTCCAAACTGCTACATAACAGTGGGTTGTGATCATCGCCCTTGCTCTGTCCAACGCCGCTGCCGGTCAAATACAACGCCCGAGCTTAGTTCAGCCTCCAAAACATGCCAAAGAACTTGACCACCACATTGACCACCAGTGCAACCGCCGCCAGCACCACATAAATCTGGCCGATTTCCATCCAGTTGTTGAGCGTCATTTCTGTCTCAATAAAGCCATCATCGGGTACCCCGTGCTTGGGATCGGCAGATTCCGTGTCCGAAGGAAATCGACCAGTGTTATACCATTGGTCCAGCATCTCGTCTTTCTCTCGCCAGCGCTCGATCAACCAATGCTCAAACTCCTTAGCGTCGGAAAGAGGAATCGACGACATCGCAAACCGACGCCAATACATGTTGACACTCTTTGGTGGCCGACCCTGCAAATACGTGGACCGAATGGTGAAGATATCTGGGGCGAATCCTCCTTTTCTGCAACCCTGTTAGCTTCTATACCACGATATAGGCAGGAACAGTGGTGCACTGACGGCGTGCCTTCATAAGCAATTGTGCAGTCATAGACCCAAACGACGGTACCCTGCAGTTCCCGAAGACAAAAAAGAAGACCGGTGCTCCGAGGCAGAAGCAGGTGCTTCATGTCCTGGATGCCTTGCTTTTCAGCCCACTTGGCACTTCCCTGCTTCATATTTTGCGAGAGATTGGTGCCCTCGGGAAAAATCAACAGCCACATGGGGTCCAGTCCATCCGAGCCAGACATGGGACCGCTGTGACGGGTCTTGAGCTTTTCGAGTCGATGCTTCAGGCGAGGTTTGTCCGAAATCCACTTGCGCGCCATAAAAATGAATCCGTAAAACATCATGCCAGGACCTAAGACAGGCACGTACTTCAGCGACTCTTTCAGGATGATGAAGATGTGCCCATGCATTCTACTGGTGTAGGCAATCCACCAGAGATACAGCCATTCGGTGTAAACTTGATGATTGGCAATATACACCAGACGTTCAGGGAATGCGGTCTCGAGCCTCCCGGCCGGCGTTTTGCGGAACTGCCCTCGTAGGTCTTTATCCCAACTCACACGCACTTTTGTGGGAGAGAACCACCGTGTCCCTGCAATTCCCATAATAGCAAACGATTGTTTTGTCAACGCCATGTATGCATAATAGTAGTCTTTGTTCAGCCAATAAAGCGGCGCACCGAGGAACTGAGTGACATTAATGCAGACAGCGCCACAGTTGAACCAGGTCAGCAGCAGAAGTGCACGAAGCACTTGGTTCAGAACATTGTATTTGACTTCGCCTGCTGGATGTGGCTTCTGACTCGCAGGGCTGCCGCCATTGTCCAGGTCAAGGCTCGACTCGGTCGTGAGCGAGGATGGGGGATTGCGCTTTCGGAGGGAATGATCTTCGGTCGCCATAGTTCGCCTGTGGGCAGGTATTGGAGACGTGAAGTCTGTGTTACGACTATACTGCAATGACTGTCATTGAAGTGTTCGTCAGCACTAAGCAAAGCGAACGTGGACAGCAGGCAACAAAGGCGCCATCGACCCTGGCAATGGGCCAGCGATAGAGATACCCAGGAATGATCTCAAGAAATGTCTAAATTCATCGAGGGAGCGGAAGGGGAAGGTTGAACAACAAAGGACTCAGAGGAGATTTTGTGACTTTTGTAATTCTTGTGACTTTTGGGTCAAACGACAGTCCAGTCCATGCTAACAGGCAGATGTTCAATTGGTGCTGATGCCTCTGTACCTAGTGGTTACGGATATGCAGGTGTGAATTAGGCGGCAGTGAAGGTGAGGCTGGTGGTGTTGGCTCGCTCCCTCGGCCCCAGCATATTAGTAAGTGCAGCCGAGATGCCCAGCTCCCAGGTGGCCCAAGATGCCCAAGATGCCCAAGATGCCCAAGATCCAACAAGCCCATAAGGCGGTGGGAGAGACTACCGCCTATTTCCGGGCCTAGCGAAGCCTCGCAACCCTATCCCTGCCCAATCGCACGCCCACTGGGCAAGTAAGCTGGGAGCACCAGTGGCGGCTGGTCACGGGCGGTGACTAATCGGCAAATATCTTTGCACGTGATTATGCTGGAGTGTCACGTGTCGGGCGCCAGGGTTCACCTCCAAGCGCCAAACGATCATGATCATGGCGGATTGACAGATTGCCATCCTCTCTCATTTTTGGGTTGGGATCACACTGATTATCGTACATGCTTCGTCTTTCTGGCCAATGCCAAAGTAGGCGAAGACCCTGAGGGTCAAATAGATGCATTCCCCTTCTTGTTGGTAGATGCTTACAGTACAAGTACCGCATTCATCGTCCCCAAGACTCTGTCTCGTGCCGACTGAGGCGATCCATAGCACTATCAGACCACCTAGCCTTCCCTTTCAGCGCATCATCTGACCACGCAATCTTGGATACAAATAGACCATATCACGGCGACAATGGCCTCTCTCAGAAGCAGTCTTGGTATTCCAACAACTGCGCGTCTCCTGGCCAGAACAAGAATTGTTGCCATCTCGCGTTTCAGCGAGCCATGTCGACAGAAGATGGCCTTGAATCCCATACATTCATCACCAGGGCGCACCTGCGCCTCTTCCTCAAGCCCTTCAAAAGCACACAGCCACTCACTGAGCAATCTCCCATCGAAGAGAACATTTCGTCTCAAGGAGACCCCTGCCAGGGAACTTCTTTGTCTTGAGTGGTCCCAACCACCCAGGAATTTTTTGCTAGTCAAAAAGGATTGCTCCGACGCAACAACAGATGCTCTTCTGGATTTTATCAGGCATGTCTCATCGACGTATCCCGATGTGAACATCGTGGTCGAGCCCCGGGTCTCGGCCGGAATTGGGGACGAGCTCCTCGGACGCCACTTTACATTGCCGGAAGCCGCTCACTCACACTCGCAATATCAAGACAAAGTCGATCTTGTCGTCACCTTCGGCGGTGACGGAACCATCTTGCACGCAGCATCCCTGTTCGCCACCTCCTCCCACGTGCCGCCCATCCTTTCATTCAGCATGGGTACTCTCGGGTTTCTGAGCGAATGGAAGTTTTCCGAATACAAGCGGGCCATCCGCGAAGTATACATGTCAGGTGCTGCTTCTGAACGACACGCCGTCATTGAGAATGAACCTTGCAACGACTTAGACTGTTCAAACGATTACACAGGCTGGTCATCTGTCCGTGGTAAATCGATGGGGCCGGGAAGAGGTGCAAGAGTCTTGGTTCGACAACGTCTGAAAGTGGGCGTCTTCGATGCAGACGGCAACCGCCTCGGCAGTAATGGAGGCGTCTCAGACGATATGTATGCGATGAACGAGGTCATAATACACAGAGGTCAAAATCCTCATCTCGCCATCGTCAATGTTTATGTCGGCGGCCGATTTCTCACTGAAGCAGTCGCCGATGGCATGATTGTTTCCACGCCTACTGGAAGCACAGCATACAGTCTCAGCAGTGGCGGAAGTATCGTTCATCCCCTTGTTCCTTCTTTGTTGTTGACGCCAATCTGTCCCCGGAGCTTGAGTTTTCGGCCTCTTGTTCTGCCAGCCACCACCCCAATCACCTTAAAACTAAGTGACAAGAACAGAGGCCGGGATGTCGACGTCAGTATCGATGGCATGAGGCGCACGCAAGGCATCGGAGTCGGCACAGAGGTCCGAGTGTCTGGTGAGGAGATAACAACCGACTCAGGAGCCTTCACTGGCGGCATTCCCTGCATAATGCGAACCACCAGTGCAGGTGCCGATAAGGATGATGGCTGGGTGGGCGGATTGAACGGCCTGTTGAAGTTCAACTATCCTTTTGGCGAAGAGAAGTGAACGCAACTAGCAAGACAACGACGTTGGCTATCCCGCCCTCGTCGATTATTGTCTGAATCTTATCATTCAGCTTCGTCCTGGGATGGAGATACCACGAGGCTGTAATCGGTGGCGAAGGCCCAATGTTCCGGCCCCTACTCCTTGATGCCTCAACTTTCCAGAACATGGAGATCCGTGCCTAGGCATGAGCCAGGACATCGAATGCGAGCTAAACAAGGACTGGATCAAGTTGCTGGGGCGGGTTGCTGCGACACCTTCAAAGCTACACTCTACAAGGTCATTTCCGCACAGATAGCTGACCAACACCTATGCGGGGTGGTGGGAACTCGACAGGAGCTTGACCATCCGAGGTTGCACTTCAATAGGGTTCCCTGAGCGGTTGTCACTGTGACACTGAGCGCCCTGGTCGGCCAGCATCGGAATGATAGTCCTCTGAGATTCCACTTTCGACGATGACTTACTTCAAGGAAGATGCCATGAGGCCACTGAGGCCACTGAGGCCGCATTATTTCTCAATTTAGCTCCTCCAAAAACTCAATTGTGTCGAGGAATATGTGATATATTTTATTCATGGAGTCTTGATTACGTCCCGGCATGCAGTCAGCCAAAGACATCATAGCGCTAGCAACATCGAGTGAAAACTGCCACCAGCTTCGGTCAGTCTATGGGGATGGCAACATCAGTAGGGGATACCTTTGTCCTGTTGAGGGCTTCACACAGGGCTCCCTTTCAGCCTTGAGGACAATGGGTTGAGCCTCCTCGACCGGCTGTGACCAAGTTTTAAAACAAAGAGGCAGAACCGTGGTAACAAAGAAGTGCGAGAAGTCAATGGAAGATGAGGAACGAGGTCGAAGGAGTCAAGAGTTGGGACTGCGCCATGCAAGTATTCAGCTTTGTCGTTTCTCCAGGCGTAACCAAAATTGAAGTGCCACTGGCACAGTAAAACGGTTCGCAGTTTTGTTTCTTGCGACAAAGATCGAAACAAAAGCCTTTATGGAACGTTGCCGGCGCCGATTCATTTCGTTGAATATTGACGCGCTTCGGATTTCGCATCTGAATTGTCTTTCAGCGATACCGCAACATAACCTTCGCTCCGAACCGAACAAGATCGACTTGGCGCAATTTTCTTCTCTGCGACAATGGTCGACACCCTCTCTGATTTGAGTGCTTCCCAGGCGGTTTAGGACACTCCCCTTGCAGACCTCTATCCAACGCACCGGTCAAGAAACTGAAAGCCTCAACAAACCTTCTCGAACTCTGAATGTCAAGCGAAAATAGCATCCCAGCTCGCTCAGTCACAGCTCCCGACGTCTCTTGATCTTAATGCACCAGGTGTCGTCGCTCTCGGTCCAAGACCCGTCTCTAAGGCCACGTCGAATCCTCCGCCGCAACAGCCGTTCCCAGATTACTCTATCGGCTACATCCCGACCGCAGATGTCGCATTCGTTAGCCAGGCAATCCCACTATAACCCACAAATAGGCAGCATTCCACTCACCCCTTCCACATGCTCTCCGAGACCAAGTTACAACCAGTGCTCTTCTAAATGGAACCATATCCGAGCACATTGACCAGTGTCGACGTCCCTCTGCTTCTGAACCTAGCCACCAATCAAATTGGGCAAGGCAATAGAGGAAGGCAACTGAGATACTTTAGGTGGACAGCACACTACGTATCTGGGATGTTAATGGAGTTGTGGCTTCGCTTCGACCCGCACGTCGACATGATTGATATCATGGCTCGCATTTATCTGCCCAGTGGAATGAGGATGCCACAAGCCAACACAATCAACATGCGGCAACTGCGACTCAGGGAATGTGTCCCGGCGACGCCGTTCAACTTTGGACGGCAGTACCCCACTGCAATGGAAGTCGACCAGATTTCCAAGAGGACACGCGAAAGGATGTTGTTTAACAGATGTATGACTGTCGATTTTCCGAACAACCGCCTTCTCAAACCTGTTCTCGCCAGCGACAAATCGGCCATCGGACACATTGACAGCGGACTACCACTTGAATATTTCTTGAGCTGATACGCTACTCCCTTTCCAATTCCTTCCCACCATCAGCTGTTGGTCCCCGAACTCGGCAAGCGCATGCAGACTGTGGCACTCAGACGAGGCCTTGGCAACGGTCCGCACGACTATCATCGAGTCCTTGTGGACCTCCATCCTCCTTGGTGGTACAAAGACGCAGCGAGAGATGCGATGATCTTGGACGTCGACAACAGGACGCACGACGAATGTGAAGAGAAGTTCGGGGAATACTCAGGGGTGACGAGATCCGGTGTGCACCGCACTAGGATGTTGAGGGCCGCTTATTTAAGCGGGTACTAGGCATAGGCTCAACCTCAACCTCAATCTCAATCACCTCCGTCACAGTCCCCGGCCAAACCAACCTCAGCCTGCAATAGCTATGGCGGCATTGCTGGCTCAGCAAGCCCCGCCTGCGCCAGTGCCAGCAATAGACCCGCGTTTTGAAGGCACTGCGGCCGCCGCGTTCGGGTCGGCGCCTGTATTGCTAGTGCATTTCACCAATGCCGAGGGTAGCTTCTCTTATTATGTGGATGCTGCCCATCGGCGTGAATACGAGGAGGCGGCGACCTCCCCGTCTCGTACTTAAAGATCTGAGGACGAACCCTAGGGCGACCATCTCAGCTAAAGCGGCCTGAGTGACGGCAATGTGTTTGAGGACGAAAGAAGAACAGAGGAGGGTCTAGAGTGTCAAGCACAGGTTGTATTGGTGGAGCGTTGATGACGAGTCTCCTCGTGTTTGTATGATTATATGGCTTGGGAGGGGGAGAGGGAGGCATTTCCTTAGAGATATGGGATGTGTTAGAATCAAATGGATTTTCTTTCACAAACTTCAGTTTCCCTATTACAAACGTGGTCTTCTCAATTAATAGTAGATACGCGGCTGGCCACGAAGGCAGCGCAGTAGCACTAGTGCCCGGTATCAACACGTCATATGAAGCTTGACAGTTTAGCAATTCGCAAACATTATTACGTCGATGGCCTTCCTTTTGCAAACACTCGATCGTAGATATATCAGATCCTGGGAAAAGAATCGGTAAAAGCAGACGTTTCATTTGATTCAGACCCTCCAATATCTGTCTTTGATGTCAAGAACAATCCCTGAAACGCCAGCCTTGTCTCGGCACGTGGGCATTCCGAGGGTTGGCGTCTGATCTACCGTTACCTCGTACTTTCGCGGTTACAGGCTTTACCCTCTATGCGCCGTCAAAGTGATCTTGGTTACATGTGCAACGACATGGACAAGGCCACGGCAATACTCCGGAGGAGGTGATCGCGCATACCCTGCAACAGCCGGACAGATGTGTTGTCTGGAAACACCCAGACAATCCACTCGTCATCGCGTCGTGCGAAACGGTGGGGAAGATAGACACCAGGGCCTTCGGCGTCACGAACGGAGAGCAACCTGAAAGGGCTTCGGTCGCGGCGTACTTGACACGTCTCTTGGCTTCACAAAGACCTCTCAGAGGAATGGACCGGGCGCGGCGCACGTCGAGGTTGGGTCTGGAATGACGCCCGGCTGCTGATCCTGTTATTCATCAAGCATCGCGCCTCAGACACAACTTGAAAGCTCAGGGGATTCTCCGTCGAACCCCGTTTGGATGAAAATGACAATGCACTAGGGACTCGTGTCCAGAGGTTGGACCAGAATCTTATATATCATCAAACAAACATATAAACATTTCTGACCACTCATTTCACCTCGTGGCCTCCATTCAGCAGTTTAAAGTGCGTTCTGAGTTTCGTTGCCGGGAATTATTCTAGGAAGATCAACTCCCCATCGTTATTGCTTATGCGCTCGTCGAGGCGGACCCAATCCCTGTTCCATCTCCCGCCGCCCGTGCCGAGTTCCGCTTCCAAAACCTTGCCGTTCTCAATCAGCCTGACGTTTCGGGCGCTGGCGCCGAAGTTCCCTCCTCGATGCCACGCAAAATGTCCGCGCGAGTTGGTCAGGCAGTGGTTCAGCGAAATGGACGAGAGCTTGTGTTCGCCGTGGACGTTGGTGCAGGAGGCGATGAGGTCGTAGTCTCGATCCAGCGTAATACTGTTCGCAGAGGCAGAGAAGTTGCCGCGCATCGGAGCAGGGCCGTGGCCTTGATGCTGCTGTTTTTGATGTTGGTGCATCCCGTACGCAGCAGCCCCGCCCACGCCCACGCCCACGCCCACGCCCACGCCCACGCCCGCGGCGGCTAAGCCGTATTTCTTCTTTTTCTTCTTCTCGTCGTCCGAAGAACTGCTGCTTGAAGAGGAAGACGAGCTGGAAGAAGAGTCGCGCCGGAGCCCGGCAGGGCGTTGAAGCTTCTGCTTCTTTTCCTTCTTGTGCTTTTTGAGAGCGTCCTCGGCCAAGGAGCCGGCTATCGCGCCACCCACAGCGCCGAGAAAGCCATGGTTCACTTTATGGCCACCGTAGGCGCCTAAGGCGCCTCCAGCTACAGCACCCATGAGCCCGCGGTCTTGAGAAGTTTGGTCGTTTGGGTCAAAAGGCGCTCCGGGTTGCGGAGGGTAAGCTCCACCAATGTGCGATGGGGGAGGCCCTGGTGGTGGCGTGAAGGCGTCATATTGGCTCTGGGCAGGGGGTGGGTGAGGCGAGTAAGCACGTTGAGCTTGATCGCCGTAGCTATAATCAGGGGTGTGAGTGGGATAGTTGGATTGATGATAGGAATGGTCGGGTGGAGGCGAGGCATATTGATTTGCGTGATGGGAATATTGGTCAATCGGGGCTTGATAACCTCCTTGATGGCCGTAGGACTGCTGGTAGTCCTGTGGCGGCGGAGACGCATAGTCGTACGGTCTGTTCTGGTCATAGTCATGCGCTCTGTGCTGGTCATAACCCTGGTTGTAGGACTGGTCACCGTAGCCATGAGGGGGAGGGGGACCAGAGGGAGGTTGCCATTGCTGATGGCCTTGCTGATGGCCTTGCTGATGGCCTTGCTGATGGCCTTGCTGATAGCCTTGCTGATAGCCTTGCTCATAGCCTTGCTCGCCAGTGTTCCCGTACCCGTGCTGCTCGGGGGGATATTGACCGCTGTAGTAATCTTGACTGGACATTATGTTCAGATCGGAAATTCTCCGGTGGGCAGAAATGCAGCAGCCGTCAGCTCTTTGATCTCTTTGAGGTTGTTGATGCCTCGAAGCTGATGGAAATCAATCCCCGGACGTCTATGCGCTTGAAGACTCGGACGCTTTATAGACTTTCGAGTCGGGGGCAGAGCACGATACAACTCATCGAGGTACTGCGGTATGGAGAAGGCATCCATGTTTTGATGGCAGCCGAAGGCGGCTGGTGGCCTGATGCAGGAAATATTGTGGCTGGAAACATCAACACAGCCACACAGAGTGATAGAACTCCAACCGGCCATTGGTTGATTGCAGACAACGGCCACCAGCACCGCCACACAGCCACAACCAAGCACAGGCTAGGGGGCGACGGACTGCGAGCTTGAAGAAGCTAAGATTGAGGGAGTTTGTCTATACCACAAGTTCACGAGACGCCTACCATGCTGGAGCTTGTCGGCGTATTCGTGTATACCATAAAATGCTCTCCAGGCTGGTGCCCAAGGAGGAACCCCCGAAACGCTCGACCCTTTATTCATACCATTGGCGATATCTGACATGGCGGCCACTTGGTCGTGGTTGAGCACCATCAGCTAGACGAATGCAGGGTCTGTTCTGTATCAGACTGTGTCCTCAGTTGACCCTGAGAACATCTTCGTTGGGTGGAATGTCTGACATGCCTTCCCCCTTCCTTTGGTCGAGAGCTTCGTCTTGATTCTTTCGGGCATCAGGAACCACATTGCCTACGTGGCCCAGTTGGGTTTCGACGCCGACGCCCCCTTTCAGCGTCTGCAGAACCACGCAATACCTCTCACTCAGCTCGACCAGCTTATCCACCTTGGATTTGTTCTCCTCGTTAACGTCGAGACGCACAATGAGTCTGATCTTTGTGAATCCCACCGGTACAGGATTGCCCTCCGGATCCCTGATACCCATTGTCCCCCGAAAGTCGAGATCTCCTTCTGCTGTGACTGTTCCATTGTTAATGGGAATCCCCAGGCTTGTGGCCACTGCGCGAACGGTAACACCAAAGCAAGCCACCAGAGATTCCAGCAGCATGTCGCCTGAGCACAGTTCACCGGAAACATCAAACCCCTCTCCGCCGGCGGCTCGATGAAGACCCGCCACTTTCCGGGCGGCCGTGCTCGACGAGAGGGAACATGTTAGGCTGGTCGAGGTAGGGTCCAGGGTTCCGCTGGAAGACAAGGTCACAAGGGCGGAGGAAGGGTCGGCTCGGTATTTGTCTTTCAGAGGTTTCTGTTTTGAGCGGAGAGTCTCGGCGGCTCTAGTTGCAGCGTCGGACATGATGAGAGGAGGAGCGGGCGGAAGGACGGACGATTTCACAAGAGTAGACTGATTGAAGGTGACCTCGATCTAGAGTAAGTCTTTTTGTTTGCAAGGAAGGGGCCAATACAACAGGAGATGGAGATGTTCATATTCGTCTGCTCAGTTTACCCCTCATCCGGCAATAGTGGAGGCTGTGAAGCTTCCTTCGGACCGTCGTGAGGATATACCAATGGCCATTGGACCAACTTGCCATTGAGTGAACCTATCTTTTTCGAGGTAGCAAGCGATCTCTTCTCAGAAGCACTCGGGATACTACCTTGGTTAACATGATCACCGTGACGCCGAAAAGGACGGCGAGACGGATGCGAAATGGGTGTTTTGACGAATTTCAAGCGGCGCAGCTGCGGTGCCAAAAGGGCAAGGGCAAGGGGAGGGGTCCTCCTATCTTCACGTGCTGATAAGCATCACTGATCCCATCGCAATGCCTTTTGAAATCCTTTACAACCTTGAAGACTTCTCCAATGAGCCAATTTACAAGTATCACCCTACCTCGCAGCACTTGTTCCTGGCGGGGTATTGACACGACCGAAGGAGTTAATAGATCAGGCACTCACTTGCTGACATCTCATTATCTCCATCAGCTCCGTCTCCACCATCTCTTTCAGTGCACTTGACGTCATGTTCACAGACTCTATCCATGAGCCATCGATGTCCCTGTCGGAAATAAAATCGAGTGCTGAGCGGCCCTCTCATCCTTTGCGACCTCCTCGGTGCCTCCTTCGTGCCACCACCAACACGAAGTCCGAGAGGAAATTCTCTCCTCACCTGTTCGCCCTCGTTGAGGCAATCTCTTCCTTTATTGGTGTTTGTCCTTTCAGTGACTGTCCGCGATCGAAAGGATAATTCGATCCCTATCCTCCCCCCCCGCAGGCTAATAGGGCTTCCGTAGCCCATCCACACACAGTATGCCGATCCCCTTCATGGACCCATGATATCTTGGCATCCCTCCGCTCTCAGAGACGGATGGGATGACGTCTAGAATGCCCAATCATGTTTCGTTCCGAGCTGCGCTTGACCTGTTTTGGTGAATACCTCCCCCTCCACTCCGCGCAGGGATGTCATTGCCACTGACGTTGATCTGCATCATCAGCGATCGCCTCACACAGTATCCTTCTCCTGGTCGGAATTCTCTATGCGCATCTCCTAATTCCTATGATGAAGCTGACCACGACCGTTAGCTTTTCCCCCCCGCGTCAGTGTAGGTGGTCCGAGCAATGAACTACTCAGCGCCGAGAGGATCCAGGAATACCTGTTACCAATCAACAGCCATGGCGTGAATGGAAAACAGACAGACTTCTTGCGCATAAGATGGTGAGTAATATCCCTGCAGCGCGACGTAGTACCCATCAAGGCCAATTTTGCAACGTTTTCTGTCGGCTATTATATGCTAGCTTCCCGCATCATAGTAATGGGCGGTTCCATCTGGAACCCTCCTTACTCCCACCTCTCTTACATAGCCTTCGTCCCCATGCGCTCGTCCAGCCTCATCCTAGAAGACAACCCCAGAATCCGCATCAAAGCACAAGTTCAAGACCCTGTCGACCACTATGGAAAACCTCGAAAAACAAAATGACCATCCCTTCCGAATCCCCCATGTACGCGTCGCCCACGGCTCCTCGTCCTCAGAACCCGCCTCGGACGAAGTCACATTCGCACACCGCGAGCACGAGCACGAGCACGAGCAAGAGCGAAGTGCGCGGAGCATGGACCCGAACCCCAGCGCCCCGTACCCGTACCACCAGGAGCACGGCCCGCCCATCGACAACGCGCTGAAGTACGCTGAGGCCGAGGAGGACTACCAGCACCACAAGAATCTGCTGTGGAGCCGCATCAGACACCATCTGCGCGACCCCTTTGCCGAGTTCATGGGCACCTTCATCATGATCTTGTTTGGCGACGGGAGCGTGGCGCAGGTCACCTTGAGCGCGAACCCCAAGTTGCCCAAGAGCAGTCAGGACAAGGGCGAGTATCAGTCCATTTCTTGGGGGTGAGTACTTTTTGCCCTCCTTCTCTCTTTTTCAAAAAATCTTCCCCATATTTTCCCGGATCCCCGTTTTCGTTCTTGTGCATTAGGCAAGAAAAATGCACGGAATTCTACAACAAGGGTGGCTGATATCTGATTTTGTTCGGAGCGGAACAGTTGGGGCATCGGCGTGATGCTTGGCGTATACGTTGCGGGCTGTGCTGGAGGGCATTTGAACCCCGCTATCACGTTTGTCAACTGTCTATACCGCAAGTTTCCCTGGTACAAGTTCCCGATCTACGCCTGCGCGCAAGTGCTGGGCTGTTTTGCCGGCGCGGCCGTCATCTACGGCAACTACAAATCCGCCATCGACGCGTACGAGGGCGGCGCTTCGATCCGCACTGTCCCTGGCTTCTCGGACCATGCCACCGCGGGCGTCTTCTGCACCTACCCACAGCCATTTTTGACCAAGACAGGCCAGGTGTTTTCCGAGATTATCTCTAGCTCGGTCCTGGTATTTGTCATCTTTGCGCTGAAGGATGATGCGAATCTGGGAGCGGGCATTATGGTCCCCGTGGGATTGTTCTTCTTGATCTTTGGTATTGGGGCGACGCTCGGGTGGGAGACCGGATATGCCATTAATTTGGCTCGAGATTTTGGGCCTAGGCTGTTCACGTATTTTGTGGGCTATGGGCATGAAGTATGGAGTGCCGGAGGGTATTACTTCTGGGTATGTCCAGGTCCATCTCGGGCTTCTTTGCCACTTTGCTGACGGCGAAAATCGCCAGGTTCCGATGATATGCCCTTTCATCGGATGCACTTTCGGCGGCTTCTTGTACGACACGCTCATTTACACGGGCGAGTCGCCGATAAATACTCCATGGATGGGTATCAAACGGCTTGTCCATCCCACCCGCAAGGGGATCATGGAGGCCATTACTGGAAAGCCAGCCAAGGAGGTTTGAAAACCCGGCATAGTGATCGGTCTTGCCCTAAGCAGGTCGACCTGGATTTTACAAATTTTGCGACGAGCATATGTGTTCTGAGCTCGGGACAGATACGATTCGGCGGTTCCCTTCGTTCTTCGATGGAGGCTTTTCTTTGGAGGCTCTCGAAAAGTTGCCTTGATACACTTTGATCTCGGTCCCCTGGTTAAATAATGATCCATGCATCTTTGCAGATTGGTCTTTAGGTTCTCTGCCTCTTCTTCTGTGGGCCACCCTCTTCTTCCTCGTCACTTAATTCTGCATAAATGGTCTTTGGCTGTGTGTTTTTCCATGCTTTCGTGAACATAGGATCCTTCTCTGCCTTGTCGGCGTATTTGAGAAGCGCCGCTCTCGGGTCTTCTTCCCTCATCGAGCTCAGAGGGATTCGTTCCTTGATATGCCGCTCGTCAGGTTGACTCTTGGCAAAAGGCGTAGTGGCCGGGATGTGAGGTCTCCGCGGATCACGGGACTTTCCTGACGCGGTGAGTCCGATGGTCGGGTGTCTTGAGGCAAATGTGCTGCCCTGAATGGCTTCACTGGCGGTTCCTGGGTTGATGATTGCGTCGCTCGATACCCCTTGGGACATGTCTGTGGTGAGAGTTGGATCGTCATCTATGTGGCGACGCTTAGGTGGCTTAGACATGACCATTACCGCGCCTTTCGTGGATATTTTGGGATCGAAGAGGACATGTGTTTCTGCGTTGGCACTGCCGGTGATGATTTGGTTGAGTTTGTCATGCCAGAGGACGCTGATCAGAGTCGATCCAGGGGTGATGGGGGTGACGAGTTCGGGTTTCAGCGTTGCTGGATTGAGAATGTACAGGTCGCCGGTCTCAGAACCCGTGATGATGGAGGATGAGTTTGGGGCGAACAAGATGTTCGAAGTTGGGTATTGACTCGATGTCGAAGTGTGAGTTGCAGAGTTGACGGGCTGTTTGAATTTGCGTGTGTCCCATAGTTTGATGGTGTCATCGCCACCTCTTGTGACAACCAGTCGCCCATCAGCGCTGATGTCGATACCGCTTGTCCAAGTATTGCTAGTATGTGCCTGCGCGATTTCACCACTTGGCCTGTGGTAAGGCCCGTCTCCTCCCCACATAAGCAGAGAGCCATCCAGCGCGGCAGCAACGAGGAGGCTATTCCCGCCTTCGACTTGACTGCCCCATGCGACAGCAGTCATCCGACTTCGCCCGGCTGACCCTGCGAGCTTAGATTTGTGGACGATGACGTCTTTCTGTTTGTTCCGCACATTGACGTCCCAAATACGCAGGGTACTATCGGTTCCAGCGGTTACACAGAGGTCGTAGGCATAAGGGTGCCACGTGCCACTAGTGATTTCGCTGATATGTCCCTTGGTCATGTTCATGTCGCGGAGATACATGTCGCCCTTGACGAACTCGGTCAGCGTTTCCCCATCACGGGACAGTATCCTAGCTTGAGGGGTGGCTGAGACCACTAGAACTTGGCTTGGCGAGTTCGGGTTGAACTTGGCGACGTGCACTGGATGAGTCTCAGAAGCCGCTGAGCCCTTTGTGAATGTAGGATCGACAGATTTGAAGGCTCGCAGAGTGTTGGGAGCCATGGAAGCAAAGTCATATAGCTTGATTGTGCAGTCTGTCGAACCGGTGATCATCCGGGATCCGGACGGGTCCAACGAGATTGTGGTGACGGCACGATCGTGAGTCTTGAACACGATCTCGTGGGAAGCAGGATATTCGTCTTCCTCCTCCGAGTCATCATCAGAGTCGTCGTCCGAGTCGCTGTCACCTTTTGAACTGCCTGAAGCCTTTCTCTCGGCCTCAGGCAAACCTGTTACTTTCCTCCTTGCCGTCTCCATCTGTGCTTCGATGTCAAGTTCACCTCCTGAGGCTCCAAATGCGGCCGGGAGATAGTCTTTGAGTGCATCTTCGTCCATTTCGAGACTTTGAAAGGCTCTCTCCGTGCAACGGCGATGCCTTTGTGAAATGCAAGATGCTGTTGCCTTGATATGCTGGGTTGAGAGTGGCAAGCCTTGCACCCGTCAAGCTGCCGCCCGCAATGAAGACTGACCGCGGTCGATTTTAGAGGAGTTTCAACCGCACAACGCCTCAAGAGAGAAGAAATTCACTTCAGCACTCAAATTGCGATACAAATTGTCTCAAGTTTGACATATAACTCGACAAAAGAGATGCTTTCTGGTCGTAAAATTTAGGAGGCCTTGGGAGTTGGGGAGGCAAACTCAACTGCACTTCTACCTTTTATGATCCGAAGTACCATTACATCCACTACGGAGAAGTTTAGACCTTTTATGTGCACATTACTTTTCTAGTCTTTTCGCTTTTCTTTCTTTTGGTCTCTGTCTGCCCGGTACTGAGAAGACCATTGGACATTCCCGTTCTGAATGCCGCCGACAAAATAAAAAAAAGAAGCCTGCTGACTCCTCGGTCCCTCTACAAGACACGCACGCCAGGGTCAGTCGGAGATACACCAGCCAAGATGATCCGACTCGTATGGAGATGTCCTCGGCTCTTGCGCCGATCACCTCCAGTGGAGAAGTCCACATTTTTAGTCCACCTGCCCACCGTCTTGAGCAGGTGAAGTCCTTCGCAATCGTCCACACCGACATATTCCTCCTGTTTGCGATTGACGAAGCCCTCGAGTGAGCATTCTAACATATCACGTCTCAAAGATGGATGCCCATAATGCTGTCATCCTCGAAGCCGGCAAATTCCACCCAACCGCCATTTCAGAAGAAACTAAAGCGTTCAATGAAAAACTAATGAATATCATGGCACACGGGCCCAAATGGTATGAGGTGAGTTTCCAGACAAGGGAAGATCTCATGTCCAACCTCTGTTCTCTCCTGCTCTGCCCAGCGCTCTCTCTTAGTCCAAGACCAATACCAACCACAACAATCCCTCTCTACACAACAGGTCGGCGCTAAACGCTACCGCGAAATGCGCGCTGCTGGAGAAACACCCCTTCCTAAGGCCGTTTATCTCGACTCCGCTGAGGACGTTACTATTCCTAGCCGCGACGCTGGACGCACCATTCCCTGTCGGATCCTTCGCCCTCAGAACGGAAAGTCCATCAAATCGGTATTTCTCCACATCCACGGCGGCGGCTGGGTTCTTCAAGATGAAAAATCCCAGGATCCTGCCTTGCAGGAAATTGCGGACACCACGGGCGTTTTATGTATATCTGTAGGGTATCGTCTCGCGCCCGAGGATCCATACCCGGCAGGACCACACGACTGCTTCGATGCCGCAGAATGGTTGATTGACAACGCCGAGTCCCATTTCGGTGTGCCTTTAGGTTTTGTGGGAGGAGAATCGGCCGGAGGGCATTTGAGCATGCTCGTGACACTTCATCTGTTGCAGCACCACCACCCAACCTACTCGGATTTCCGCTTCAAGGGCCTCCTGTTACACTTCGGGTGTTACTCGATGATATGGACCCCGCAAGTGTACAACTTTCAACGACCCGAGATATTGGTCCTGGACCGGGATCTGATGGACCACTACATCGACGTCTTCCTCCCCGGCAAGACCCACGAGGAGAAGAGGCATCCGTCAATATCCCCGCTGTACGCCGATTTGGAGCCGCTGAGGGCGAAATTACCGCCCGCCCTCTTTACGTGTGGGACCGAGGACTGTCTTCTGGACGATACCATGTTCATGAGCATGAAGTGGCTTATGGCCGGTGCCGAGTCGGTGGTTAAGATCGTGCCCGGGGCGCCGCACGGGTACATCATGTTTCCCAAGAGCGCAATGGGGAGTGGTGCTGAGGAGGGAATGAAGGCAGTTGAAGATTTCGTGCTGTCGAAGCTAGCTTAGATAAAGAGACGCTTGTCAATTAGGACCCAGGTGGGCGGGGAGGAGAGTCTCTGGGTTGACAGAGACAATGAGTCTTAATTTCAATCTCATCCGAGGAATGCCTTTCCTTTTCATGCATTTCCCTGCAGCCTTCACAAGGTCGGCCCTTCAGCTCCACTAACCATAGGATTTACTGTTACAGAATAGCCAGTGTTGGACCTCGACCCTCGTCTTTACTCAATCATGTCGATATCATCTCCGACCGGCGGCTGAGCTTCTTGCGCCACTGGAGCAGTGTTGGGGGTCTCATCGTGGGCATTAGCAGTCCCCCAATAGTCATCCATTTCGGCATCGAGCTCTTCCGCGGTCTTACGAGGCCTGCCATTCACCAATCTGTGCCCTTCTCCATCTCTACCGGCCCGTTCCCTCCGCTCACCCGGTCTCCGCCCTCCGCGATGACTAGAACTTCGGCTGTCACGCTGGCCTGGGACATATCGATCAATATTTTCGGGAGGGGGTTTAGTGGTATCACTCCTTCGGTCTCTCGGGCCTCCCCGTCGTGGGGCGCGTCGGTTCCTTCGCTCTTCGTCCAGCTCCTCCATCGGACTTTCACTTCGTCGTCGGCTACGGCTCCCTGGAGCCTCGATTCTGTCAAAAAGACTTTTGGGGTTCTCCACACGGTCAAAAGGGTTGTCTCGTCTGGGAAGCGGAAGTAGTGTGAGATGAATTGGTTGTCCTTTTGCGTTGGCACCATCGAACTCGCGGATGGCAGCTCTTGCATCGGCGACATGGGCATATGTGACAAAAGCGATCCCTTCGGAGCGGCCAGCGCGGTCGTAGCGTAGTCGGGCTTCCTTTACAGGCGCAATGCGTTGGAAGAGGTCCTATAGCATGTCAAAACTGGGAATTCGTGTGGAAGTTGAATCGGCCTACCCAAATGTCCTCCTCGGTCAGGTCGTAATGCAAGTTGTCAACTCTGAGCTTGGCTGGGGGAGGTTTTCTGAATGGTGAGACTAGTTCAATCATTCGTGAAGGCTTGTGCTTACCTGTCGCGTTCTGGCGAGCGATCTTCATCGCGACGGTGATTGCCTTCTCTTGGTCGATCGTAGCGGCGGCCTGCTCCCACCATCAATCGCTTCTTCAATGTGTTCGTTTGCAAAAGTACATACTGTCTGGTTCGTCATCGTATCGGTCGTGGACCCAGTCACTGTCAATGCTTTAGTCCCGTCTTTTCACTGCTCGTGCATCATCCATACTTGTCCAAATTCGCGCGATCATCTCTCGCAGACTGTAGAGGAGGAAGATCTAGGTTAGCTGTCTGTCAAATTGTCCCTGGCCTGAAGCGCGTCGAATTGTCGGAGCAACACAAGGGAGGTGTTTCGAGATGATGCGGCGATCAATCGTACTGGCGGGACAGGCGGGTGCTAGAGGAGAGGAGAGGATGTTCGGACCTAAACGTAGGAGTTAGACAGAGGGGGGCCAGGAAGACGCGTGATGCCTACCTTTCTGACGCCATCGCGAGGATAGTTGTATTCCCTACGGCGTTGCGGTGCCGGTGCTCTACGAGAGCGGTTTTCTGCTCTCTAGGTGGTCGTCAATATGGAGTCAATTGTACGATCAGGGTAAAGACGGACCTGGCGTTCAGCGATGGTTTCGTCGAGGCTGCGATCCATGGTGGAAGGGAGACACGGCGGACAAGAGGAGGCGCAGAAAGCCGAGCAAGGGAGAAGGCGACCAGCAAATGCAGTCTGAAAATTTCACGATATGTTAGGTACTAGGTAATGTTCTCGTAGCGCGTTGATACAGTGCTAACTTGATGAATGGAGTCGGGCAAAATTGAAAGCCTGCAAAAGCCTCGTCGGGTGAGATCAAATGCGGATCATGGAGATTGTCTCCCCGTCACCAGAACATGATCGGCCGGAAAATTATTTCGCCGACATATCTCCTTGGCGGTCGCACGATCCTCCGTTCGAGGTACGTGGTACAGTACTTAGCACATGCATACTCCTTGCTCCCTACCCTGGACACACTAAGGACAGACAAGATACAAAGCACCATGGCATTTGCAGGGCCTATAATCTTGCAGTCACAAAGATCGTCCACTGTATCAGAGCCATTCTTTTGTTTCAATGTCGAGATTCCACGCTCGCTCAGGGAACTCACTCTGACGAGGAACTGCTTGTGCAAGGACTGTGTACTTACATAGGCTCACACGAGATCAATGTGTTTCCTCTCAGCGGCCACTAGAAGCAGTTAGCGACATAGCCAGATGTACCGGGTACCCATCGCTAAAGTCTCTGGAAACCATGTGCTGTACCGAGTATCTGGCGTGCAATCACCACCTCATTCATTGTCGACGCAGTGGCCGACTGACAGCCACTCAAGCAAAACTGCCTCTGTCTCCTCACGCTTTGGGCCCACAGGAAGTTGTGACTTTATATCACCCTACTATGCGGAGAGGCGCACAAGACTGATCGAGAACCTAGACTATGGATCATTGCGGCTGAGGTTTACAGCCTAGCTTGTGGCTTTTGGCTAAAACAAAGTCAAACCAGTTCCGCTAGGACGTGGTCAAGCGGCTCTTGCATTTGCTCGCTGTCGCGCTCTCATTGTAAATAGGACTCAACACGGGCACCTGATTCACTGCGGCTCTTGCACGCCTTTTTCACCAACCCAGACAGCCTCATTCTTAGCTACGCAATCAACACATACCGTCGGCTCCCCCACTTTGCTGAAGGCTCTCGAAATTATCCCGCAGCTTGACAGCTCTATGACCCCCCCAGATTGATCAGAGGCTGTGCAGGAACCACTGATGTAGCTCCGAGGGAGGCCACGGCGCGTTGCGATCCTCTCCCTAGGTATAGCCTAGATGCCTAGTCCCACTCTTTGCTGAGTATTTACTGAGCATGGCCCAGATGGAGGCAAAACTCGGGGATATCCTTCGTTGCTCATCCTGGAAAAGTTATTAGAGAGAGTTATTGAAATCAGGGCTGCCGTGTACTCCCTTGTGAATACTTTGATCTGATTAGGGGCACCAGAACCGGAGGGTCCCTTCGATTCTGAGTATATCTCGGCTCAAATGTGAGCTACTTTGCTTATCCTGCTTGCGTACAGTACCATCGCGATTCTCCTTGGGCGATTACGTCTGTCGGCATCCTAAGCCTTGGAAACCTACGACAAAGTTGCAGCTAATGCCTTCACGCTAAAACTATATTACCTCAATCCGGTCTCTACTTCAGGCAGATACTAGGCAATGAAATTGAAAGACGCGGTCAAAAGCTGACTCCGGAGAAGGCCATTGTCGACCGCGATGATTTCGCTCTCTTCAGGAACTCGACTTCGGTCAAGACAGTGGTGCTTGCCGTCACCAAAAGTCGATACAGGTCATGGACCAGCACCGTTTCGGACCTGTGCAAATGACGAGGCATACAAAAATTGTCGGATCTAGAGAATAGTACGCGCAACATCCTTAGCGACGACTTTTTCCAAACTCATTGAATGCGATTGAGACAGTGTCTAATTCATGGATTCCGGTTTTGTGCGCAATAACCCATGTGACCATCTCCTGCATGAAGCAAGGGAATGATTGCATCGTTAGCATTGGTACAGGCCTTACCGGTGCGATCGGCGTCCAGGACGCCACCGATATACTGAAAGCACTTAAGGAGATGGCCAACCAGACGGAAGCTGTTCACGCCCGACTGGCTCGAGAGTATGCGCGGAACCCCTACTGTCGGTTCAATGAGGATGTCGCTGTGGGCGAAATAAAGATGGACGACGACAAAAAGATCACAATGATTGCTGCCCATACTGGAGTCTACTTGAATCATCAACTGTCAAGCTCCAAACAAAGAGTTGCGCAGATAAATTGCTGTGAGCCTGTCATCAACAGTGCTGCTCCAGTCAGGGAACCAATACGTGGTGAGACCTGACTCCCTCAAAAACGATCACATGGTTGTCAAATTAAATGGACTCTCAAGTAACTAACAGGGCCACAAGAACTATGCCATTCTCATCAATGACTCGTCACGGCCTGTGCTACTGAATGAGACACAAAGATGTTTTGTTAGATGATGCAACAAAGCTTCTTGATGCCCCCTCGAACAGTCTCCGCGAAGGGCAACTAGATCTCAATACGGACCACTACCCTAACACGCTGGAATGGCTTGCAAAAGAGCCAGAGTTCGAAGACTGGCTTAACGAGTACACGATGCATTCGGACATACTCTGGCTTCGAGGCGACATAGGCTGTGGTAAGTCAGTGGCAGCAAAGAATGACATTGGCCATGTCAATCGTGTCCCCCGTGTGCATTGGTCTTTGTATTTCTCCTCTGATGGCAAAGATGAGCGCAAAAGAACAGTCTCAGCTACGATAGAGTCTCTGATGTCTCAATTATTAGAGGCCGACAGGTCAGTCCTGGCTGATTTTGGAAAAATGAATCACAAGATGGATACTATGAGCTTACTGTTGACCGCTAGCGGTGCACGTTCTTTATTTCAGTATCTTTTCAGCGACCACACTCCTCGATCGCCGACCTTGTGTCGTCGTTGACGGTGTCTCCAAACTCTGTGGCCCGTTTGTGCGACTGCACACATCTGACCACACAGTTTATCTGGTCCATCATTCGATCAAAGAGCTTTTTGAGCGCTTGGACTCGCAACGGGATGATTCTGCGCTCGCCGAAGTCGCCAAATATCGTACAGATATTTAGGCCGTAAACACCAGATTGATGACCTCCTGTCTGATCTATCTGTGTATGCTGTCACTCCACTAGGGACCAGTTAACGTGCCATTATCTGTTGATTATCGAGAGGCTAGGGCGTTTGAGAAAGCGTGCGCAGAACACTCTTTCCTGGACTATGCTTGTCAATTTTGGACAAAACACATCGCCCACCCCGACACGTGTCCTCCTCAACTCTCCAATTATTCAACAGCCGCCCGCGCCATCGAATTTATCAAAAAAACAAAATTTGGCATGGAGACATCAACACACTGCATTCTTTCCGTCGTGCGTGATTCGCCTTGCCGTCGAGTGGGTATGGTCTGATGTGATTCATGTTCTACTCAACAGAGAAGACACAGATACCCCTTGCTCTTGACAACCAGGACCAGTCGGCGCTGCGCAAAGCATGCTACTGGGTTCAACAGACAATTGCGAAGCAGCTCACCGACGCGGGCTGCTGGAAGATTGCACTGAAACCCGACAGTGACGGGAACCATGCCTCACATCTGCTGGCGCGCCATGGCATGGGAGACCTCATGTGCGAAATCCCAGAACATTACAACGAGGCACCTTCGAAGCTTAACGCTCACGGTTCTGATGGCTGCCTCATGTTCTTAGAGGCGATCAGACAAAATCTAGACGAGGTAGCATCGTTAATCTGCCGCGTGCCCGATATAGAGCTCGAGCAGACTGACTACACCGGGATGACTGTAATGCACATCGTGGGACGAACTTCTAACGAGCCAGTTCTTTTGTTTCTGGTCGAGCATTGGGCGGATCCGGACAAACAGGATGCGCCTGGCTGTTGGCGTCTATACTACGCTGCCGAGCAAGAATCATTCTCTATTCTGGACCTACTGCGCCGAGCTAGTCCTCTGTCCAGTGTGAGGGACAATTAAGGCGGCACACCGATCCACGGGGGCATGGACAATGACTTAGTTCTATTCGGCCAGAGATGAAAAAACTATCATCCACCGGGTCGGGAACTGGGGAAGTGTCTGCATGCTTCGATTGCTTTTGAGAGCCACCAGCATCAACAGCGCCGCATTTGGAAGATATCGCTGCGCCGTCTTACACCTGGTGGTAAGATGGGCAGATGTCGGCTTGCTTTAGGAAGTTCTGAGCGTACCGGGCCTGCAGATATCCGCTCGAGATCAATTTAGACAAATTGTGTGCATATAGCCAGTCAAGGCGACTCTGCGGAAGTTGTCAAGGTGCTGTTACAAGTTCGTCTCGATCATGGCCTAGATATCGATTCCCGGGACTGTTACGGGAAAATCGCGCTGCATCATGCGACCTCTACCACCGGCGCTCACACGACACGGGTCCTGCTATTAGAGACCAAGATGGCTGCACGGCGCGGGACTTGGCGGTGATAAATGGCTCGAGCAAGGTTTTGAACGATCTTAACGAGTTTCAAGTCGCAATCGGCCCTGCCGATACAGTCAACCTCACAAGCAAGCTCGCGCAATCGGTATCAGCTAGTGGACGGGTCAGATACGAAAAGACTAGTGATCGTTGTGATGGCTTGACTGCTGGCAAACTGTGGGCTTCTTCAACAGGATGATATGCATGGCAGAAATGGAATTCGTCCAGCAATAGATCGACGGCACGCTCGAAAACTGGGCACTGGGTCTCGATCTCGTCTTTTTCTTGGACATGCACACAGAGTTCAACGTTTCTCCTATGAAACCGGCTGTTGCTCGCGCTCAAATCGATATCCTCCATCTCCTCCAGCGTGTGGTCTTGTCTCCGGATGACGGCAACACGTGCAAGGGCATCTTGTGGTTTGAGCCGAACGACGAGCTAAAAGAAAAAAAAGCATCTGACCTCACCTTTAGACCAAAACTTGGACAAGTTTGAAGCTGTGTGGGCTGGAAAGGAGACGCATTACTACTACAAAACGCGCGATCGTGCGCTACAGGAAACATTGGACACGGCGTGGCGGTTTAATGTGGAAATATCTGGTCGAGAGATATAGCTGATATGCGATTGAGTGTCTGACCAATATAACGCCTATTTAAAAGAGCACCCAGTGGTGGATGAGAGAGGAGGGTCAGGAGGGTGAATGTTTACGAGGTACGAGGTAAAGGGGGGAGCTAGCGAGGCTGGCAAGGCTGGGAGATTCGCACGTGATGTATATCTGCCAAGCCCGGGCATGCTGCACAACGACGTACGGTACAACATGCATGCGAGCATTACTGTTACCCGCCAGCGCCATACCGAGTACCCAGTACAACGAGTACAAGTCCGTCGGTGGTCTTTTCTCCATCTTCCTCGTTTTTTCAAAGAGAGAGAGAGCCGTGATGGCTCTAGCATTGCCCATCCTTCCACATCCTGTATCATTCTCATGGACACGCTGATGTCCTTAGATGAAGCGCCGTCGCTCCCGTTCTGCCTACTGGCTACTTCGACTTCCGACAGCATCTGCGTCATTTTTCCGGCCGTTCCTAGACTCGTCTGCCCACAAAGACTTGATTAATCCGACAGGCGCACCCCTTCCCAATGCAAATACCCATCGCTGCTACCACGGTTAATGCCTACCCGACAGAGTCACTGCATCTTTCTGCCCCTGAAGATGGATCGCAACCCGGGGCTGGCTACGAAAAGTGGTCGTCGTTCATTGGCATTGTTACGGCAATTGTGGGAAATCTTCTCATCTCCTTTGCTCTGAACACTCAGAGATACGCGCACATCCTCATAGACCGCGAGTACTCCCAGTCGAGAAAATCCTTCGCGAATGGACACACCACCCCCGGGCATATGCCTGGTCACGCCGACGAAGCGCAGGAAGAGATCGCGGAGGAACGAAGGAGAAAGAATCTCCAGATATCTGATCACAAGAGAAGTGTGGATGAAGAACCGGGCGAACCGGCACATCGTTCCTCTCAGGAGACTCTACAGCCTCCCTTGGGAGCCGCTCAGCAGGACCGTCGCCGAGAGAAAGACTCCACCAACGACCTTGAGAGAGCGTCATATCTCAAGTCGCCATACTGGTGGCTAGGCTTGGTGTTGATGATCATTGGGGAAGCTGGCAATTTCCTTGCCTATGGCTTCGCTCCTGCGTCCATCGTCAGCCCCTTGGGTGTCGTCGCCTTGATCTCAAATTGTCTGATTGCGCCGCTCATGCTCAAGGAGCGCTTCCGTCGGCGTGATCTGTACGGAGTCCTGGTTGCAATTGCCGGCGCTGTCACGGTGGTTCTGTCCGCCAGAAGCAGTGAGGCTAAATTCGGACCAGGTGAACTGTGGAAGACCATAAAGAGATGGGAGTTCCTCCTCTACGTCATCATCACCGTGGTGCTGATTGTGGCTCTGATGTATCTAGAGCCAAGATATGGTCGCAAGACCATACTCGTCGACCTTGGTCTGGTGGCATTATGTGGAGGCTATACCGCGCTCTCCACCAAAGGCGTCTCGTCGCTTTTGTCGGTGTCCCTTTACAAGGCGTTTACGTTTGCCATCTTCTATTTCCTCGTCCTTGTTCTCATTGCCTCGGCGCTCATGCAGATTCGATATCTGAATCGTGCTTTGCAGATCTACGATTCGACGCAGGTCATACCAACACAATTTGTACTTTTCACTCTTTCTGTCATTATTGGCTCGGCGGTGTTGTACCGAGATTTTGAACATACTACATTGGACAAGGCAATCAAATTTATCATTGGATGCCTTTTGACCTTCTTTGGCGTATATCTCATCACGAGCCAACGTCACGAGATGGGCGAAGCGGAAGAAACTGCTCGAGACGAGGAGGAGACGATACAGCTTCTCGACGAGGAAACAGAAGACGTCAACGAGCGGACACCATTAAAGCGGGATGCACCCAAACTGACGGGTGCACCAACAGACGGGTATCCTGTGGTCTTCGATTCAGAGCCAGCCCAAGCTGCTACTGCTACGCCACGGACGCCACGACGATTGTCGAGCGCATCTTCGATAGTTCCCTCAATCTCGGTCACACCTGCTGAACCTTCTGAGGACCTTATTTCCAACCCCTGGCTCTCTTCCACCGAGCAAATCGATGCTTCGTTACCACCGCTAACACCTCAGGTCGGCGGAATTCGCGACGAATCCACATCCTTCTATACCCCGGCCACGTCAAAACACCTCGAGCGCTCTGCTTCCTCGCCTGCAGAGCCAGAAACACCCTCGAAACCATCCGGGACTCCTCGACCTCCGAGCCCAGATCGCTCCGCAAGACTTACGCCCGTTGACAATTCGCCTGCCCCTAGTTTCCTCGCCCGTGGCTCTAGAGGAAGCATATCTCGCCTTTTCCCCGTCCCAGGCCCGCTTTTACCGCCTCTTTCGAACTCGCTCAGTGCTTTGGTGGCGGATTCATTGCTAAAAGGTGAAGGGGCACCCCGTTCCGTGCGCGCTGCGCTCCGTCGATCCCGTTCCGGGAGGCACTCTATTGACGACCGACGACGGACTGTTGCTGTAAGTGAAGACGCCGACGGATATGATCCGCTAGCGGCGTTGAATATGCACTGGCAGAATCGCAGCGCCGACAGTGCTCAAGATTTAAGTCGTGCACAGACGCATGAAGCGAGACCGGGTGGGGTTCAGGGAGGTAATGGCATCGAGGTGGACGTGGAGAGTGACATGGGTAAGAGGAGAACAAGACTAAGGGCGTTGAGTGAAACCCTGAGCGGGATGATGGGTCGCCACTCTTCAGGGAGAAAGTGGAGGGAGAATGATGGCAAAGGAAAAGATGCACCCGGGGATCGATTTGGTGGTGGTGGTGGTGGTGATGCTAGGAGGAGTGCAAGGAGAGATGAGAACGGCTATTCATGATGGGAAAGAAGTGTCGTACTGTAGCGTAATGTTAGTAGATAATACCCCCTGTACGGAGTACATTGAGTCAATGAGATTTACTTTCAAGGGCATGTACTCCATACATAGGTCCGATCGCCATGCCATCCGAGCTGTTTAGGAGTTGATGGGATTCGAAAGCCGATGGGACAAGGCTGTCGGAGCGGACAATACTGAGCTTCCCCTTCCCTCTCTGACCTGCCTCGTCAATGCTGGCATTATGCTCATAACTAGTCGGACTCGACGAGATTGATTCACATCTCGCCGTCTGAACGTAAACAGTATGATAATCGATCGAATCGGGCGGAGTTGTTTGTTGCTGTGGACCACCCATCTAGCCTTGCATCGATCTGGGTTCTCCACGAGGCCGTAATAATCGCCTCGGGTATGTTTCTTTGAGGAATGAGATCAAACCACTGCCCAGATGGTGTTGCCCATGTAAGGGTGATGTTGATGTCCAATGGCGCGGTTTGCAACTTTCACGATTCGGACCTTTCATGCTTTGACCGCAAGATACCACCTTGTGTCCGTCACCGGTGGCAGCATCCAGATGAAGCCAGACCAATCTCGTCATGGCCTTTTCTTGGTCCCGCATCGAGAGCCCTTCCCTGAACCTCTCCGGTAGCTGACAGGGCGATTCCAGTCGCTCTTCCCTCGTATATACACAGTGATCGACCGATGGTGCTTGTTGAATAGCTTCCTCACTGCCGGATTCGTCATATATCTCGGTCGGCGCCGGACGGCGATAATTGTCTGGAGGAAGTGCAACATCCTTGGCCTGGAACAGCTTGCGCTGCTCAGGGTCGTAGACCCAACAGATAGATACAAGGCAGTTTCCATATCCCACCATTCTGCAAAGGCCTTGAACGATCCTGCAAACCCGCCCTGATGCTTCTCCTTTGAACCGTGGACGTGGGCCTTGGATCCGGCGACGCGTAAATGCCTCGGGTTGGGCGATTCATCATAGAGCTGATCGAAGACGCCATATACCCAATCGATCTGTTCGGAGTTCGATCATGCAGGTAGGGCGGCAGCCTGGAAGATGTTCTCCATTATCCGCGTGGCGCTTTGCTCCGAGTCATCGACCCAGAACAGCGACCATAAATAGTATCGAGGGTATCGGATCCCTTCATACATGAATACATTTCACTCAAGGTCCAGCACAGCACAGCGCATATTGTCCGTCGTGTTGCACTTTGCATCTCAATGATCGTGCTCTTTTCGCTTTTTCAAATCCCCGTTTTACCGATATCCATGGGGTGTTTCTACTGGTGTCTCTGCTTCTGCTTTGCTCGTACTCGGTCTCATCCTCCTGCGGCAGACTCGTCTTCGCCGCCCTCCGTGGTAGTCTCCTCACCAGTACCAGTACCGGTCTTGTCGCCATTGCCTAGCCTACCAGCCCTCTCGCGTGCCCTTCTTGCCTTGGCTCCAGCCTTCAGACTGTCCCATTTCTCTCTATACTTGGTGATGGTTTCTTTCAACTTCACATTTTCTTCTTCCTTCTTTCTCGCCCTCGCATCGCTCTTGCGGAGGATTTCTTCCAGTTCGGCTATTCTGCGTTGGGTCGCGTCACGATTTCCTCCTCCCCCGCTGTTGCCGATACCAGCCATTCCACCGCTGTCTAGTCCCATCTTTCCGCTGATACCCTTGCCACGCGAGTTTTCTGGGGAGAGCATTGGCGAGCGGTTGTGCAGGGAGCGTATGCTCTGTGCCAGTGCCGCGGAGGAAGTTTGAGCAGACATTTCAAAGACGTGTAATCTCCTGGAAAGCGTGTCAGAGAGGTGCTTGAGCGCTTGATTCTCTAGTGCGAGTTCTTCCATCGTCTTGCCGTTGACTTTAATCTCATCTGCGCCCCCACGGGCCCTGGCAAAGCGGCCTGGCGGTCCATTGGCTGGAGCCGGAAGTATCATACTTTGTGCGTCGACGAAATTGTCCTCGGAGATATTTGAGAGATTGGAAGTTTGGCGGCGATGGCCAGGCCCACGAAGACCAGCACGGGCCTCTTCGCGTTCGGCCCGGGACATGATTTCGGCATAGGAAATTGTGCCCCCGGTGGTGGGGACAACGTAGAATGACTCCGATGGGTTGGACGTGCTGTGGCCGGTGCCAGACACCGCACGCAAGGCTGCACGGGAGATGAGCTGGGAATAATCGACTGACGGCGCTGCTGGTGCTGGACGGGACACAGCTTTCGGGGCTTTAGAAGGGAGTTGAGCGGGAGTAGATGGTGGCTTAGACGGTGCAGCACTCGTGAGTGGCAAACCGGCAAATGCCAAGGGTGCACTGAGTTTCGAAACGAGACTCTCGAAAGTTGTATAGAACTGCTGGAATGGAACATCCGAGCTTTGGGCGCGCAGCTGTTCCGTCGCATCTGATGTTGCTGGAGGCGGTGAAATTGGTGGTGCCCATGATGGACGTGAATTCGACTGACGGGACATGGACAAAAGAGCATCACTGGGATCTGCACTCGTTCTGAGGGCAGATTTGCCCCTCGCATCATCTTGAGCGTTGTGTCCATCGGCATGTTGATTCGAGACCAAGGGGGAAATCGGGGTAGGTCGTTTCTGTCGGTGGTTCGGTATGCCTCTCGCGGAGGCGAGATTGCTTGCAATGGAAGAGGACAATTCGCGAGTACTCGACCTCAAACCTCTGGGAAGCCTCGGAGGGTGGATGGTGGTCTCTGGCGAAGGCGATCTGTTCGGTTCCTGCTTCTGCTGCACTGGCACTGGCATGGGCAGCGCATTTTGGCCCTCGCCAGTTGATGTCTGGTTGACAGCCTCATTCGTTGGCGGTTTCTCATGAGCTGCCCTCAGCAGTTGACCCAGCTTCTTGTGATGTTGTTCCAATAAATTCAACACGCGCAGTGCCTCGGAATCTGAAGTCTCTTGGGCCGCAGCGGCGAACTCTGCTGCGGCCAGATCATGCTCCTCGCTGGCGGCAACGGGATTGTGACGACGCGACTCGAGGGCAGCATTTCGGGCATGGGTATGAGCCTGGGTAGGAGAGCATTAGAATGGGCCTCGTTGTTCCTCAATTCCTCAATCTCCGACGTGGTGCTTACGAGTGTTAGTGGTGCGGTCTCCATCTATTCTTAGTTCAATTCTTGAGGGGATTGCGAGGGATCTCGGGCTGCTGGCTGTAGTGCATCGACATGTACGGAGGATAGGATGGTGAGGCGTAAGCGGCATTGTTCTGATTCGCGGCAGTTCAGCCTTTGTGCAAGCAAGTCACGGCCACATCGAGTCGCGAGTCACAAGTCACAAGTCACAAGGCTGCAGTGACGCTGTTTTTGTTCTTGGAGGAGATCTTGGTGGGGGTGGTCTTGGGGAAGGGGGGGCGGTCAGTCCTGAGCTAACGCTCAATAGGCCACTAGCGAATAGACCACTAGCCCCTAGCACCGGTTGCACGGGAGCCGAAAAGCAGCCGCACCAACCCAAAGCAGCTGCCTACGGCGGCCTTTGTATCGCTGGACTCGACCAATTCATGCCGGGATCCTGGGGCCACCAGCAGGCTGCCCGCAGCTGAGATTACTACCTAGGTACCCGGTCGATGTCTCGATTGGCACGCTTGAGCGACTGAGAGCTTGAGAGCCGCCGCCCAAATGCGCGGAGTTATTGAGTCTGCCTGCAGTGGCCAATGCCTCGCCTGCCGCATTCGGGGGTTCCTTGCCGGTTTGCGCAAGCCATTCGAGCCTTTCCAGCCCTCCTTGCCCTCCCTAATACTGTTTCCATCTGGGCGTCGCTGGTGGCATCGGGCTTTTGGACCCCCAAGGTCGCAGCCCACTAGGTAGTAGCCAGTCACAGCGCCTCACTAGCCCTTTCCTGGTACCTACTACTGTACTGGGTACCTCGTATTATTACTGATGCCCTGAGGCAGCAGCCTGAAAGCACTAACAAGTGCACAACCATCTCCAAAGCACTGACTGCATCTCGACTAACGGTGACCGCTGTCAACCTAGCTTCAACTCCTCCCGCCTCCATTCTACAGTTCCCTGCACTCCTTCTTCTATCCTTTGAGACATTTTCAGAGCCATTTTGATGTGATACTATTTGGACGCTCCCCTCTTTTTGTGTGAGGATCCACATGCCGTTCGTTACCATTGTCCGTGTGACATCACGCGGATTGCACCCCCGTTGCTCCTAAACACTGGTGGCCGCATTGCAGCACACGACAACTTCATTCTCATCAGCCCTGGACTTGCCTTGAATGGCCGCAGTCTCTACCCAATCCTCTCCTCATGTCGCGCCTACAATGTCCGAGCCTTCTCCCCAGCTGAAGGGTCTCAAGAAAGTTCTCTCCAACAGGCGACGCTCGTCGGAACTCGTGGGCGACGAGATCATCAAAGATTTACGCACCGAATCCATTGACTCGGTCACCTTGGACAAATCCCCTACGAGACAAAGTGCGCGCTCTATCAGTCAAGATGGGAGCAGCAAATCTGGCAGCAGTGGAGTGCGCAAACTGCTGCCGGGTCATAGTAAGCGGCAGAGGAGGAAGCTGCGCGAATTGGAACTGAAGGCTGCTGTTGAAGATCTGGCAAGAGGAAGAACTGGTACCGGGTTGAGTGTCGCATCTGTCCCAGCGCCATTGAGCAGGAGAGGCAGCAGCCAGGGTGGTGATGGTGATACCAGTCTCCTCACAGACGACTCGGAGGTCGAAACACCTCCCCTGGTCACCCGAGATTCTCACACTGGCTTTGCATCCATGTCCTCGCCCTTGATATCTACGACTACCACCCGTAGTGATGGTGAATTCCTACAGAGCCCCTCCAAAGAGCCATCAATGAGCACCATCCCGACCCTCATTGAGCCGACAGAGAATGAAAATTCTCCCTCACCCAAGAGTGCGCCTCTGTCCGACTCTGCTCCAGCCTTACCCTCTTCCGCTGGGTTGATTGACCGAGCAGACTCGCTAAAACCAGAATCTCGCCGCGATAGTATAGGGAAGCTCCGAGGCAAATCACCTGGAAGAAGGTTTAGAGATGTCTTTGGCAAGCCTAGCAAAAGTTCGAAAATCAGCCCCGAGCGGAGGGAAACCGAGCCAGTCGCTGGAGTCGCTAGCTACGAAAGCCTCCCGACTGGATCGAAAGCACATGAAGAGCAAAACTCTCCCGAACAGACGACAGCGGTTCCCCCCGTGTCAACTATCCCCCAAACCAGTTCAATGCCAAACCTCGATACGCTTCGGCCTTTAACACCTCCTGCTGCCCTCATAGGCACTCCGCTTACCACCGTTACTCCTCCTACACCTACCGACACTCGTTTTGAACCATCAACTGGGTCTCCGAATGCTGAGAAGCCAGACCCCAAGACTACATCAGAAGGCTCGAATATTGTCGTAAGTCCTTCTGGGAACATGATATCACACCGGCGGATCCGTTCTGCCTCTTCTGTCACACATCAGCCCAGCAAGCTCTCCACTTCGTTCACTGCCCCGCTGACGCCTACCTCGGAGGAGAAGAGAACGCCGTCTGGAGGTATATTCTCCTCTTGGGTCTCCGCGGCACAGAATGCCGCATCGACCATCACGAACCTGACGGGACAGGGCCGAAACCGGGCTGGTACTAATGCGTCAGACGCCACTAACAAGCAGAAACCCGTCGAGGAATCCATTAAAGAAGAAGAGGAAGAAGTCCCTGAACCAGAAGTCCCGCGCAAGCAGTTGGCAGTAGAGACACTGGGCTCGGGAGACTTGAACTTTGAAGACCTGGGTCTGAATACTGAGGATAAGAACGCGTCCTCCTCCAAGGCCGATGCGGTTGAGTTCAAGAGAGACGCCACTGCAGAGAAGGAGGAGGTTGCTGCTAAAGTGGAAGACGCCCTTGCAAAACGGGCCGTTTCGGCTGCCTATGAAAAGCCGTCGAATACCACAACTCCTGTGGCTGAAATACCCGATCCCGTGGGGAGTAGCATGAGACACGCACAGGCAATTGCGGCGGCAAACAGCGGGGAAAGGACGCCTCCCAACGGCAGTATTTTCGAAGGCGAATTGGGTTCGGTCAAACGCACGGGGAGTGTTCGCAGTCGAATTGGAAAGCGAAGATCCCGAGGGTCATCCACAGCTACTGGCCAGTCTGCAATTGGCGCTATGATAGGGGCGAGCACTGCGACGCTGGCAAATCCAGCCAAGGGGCCCCGATTAACGGGATTCACAATGGCTCCAAAGCAACGAAATCGAAACTTCCATCAACAGTTCCGGAGTGTTCCCGAAGACGACTATTTAATCGAAGACTACAGTTGTGCTCTGCAAAAAGAGATCCTGCTTGCTGGGAGGGTCTACATTTCTGAAGGCCACATATGCTTTTTCAGCAATATCCTTGGCTGGGTGACGACGGTGGTGATTTCTTTCGAGGAGGTTGTTAGTATAGAGCGGGAGAACACGGCAGTCGTGTTTCCAAACGCCATCGCCATTCAGACATTACATGCTCGTCACACCTTTCGAAGCTTAATATATCGGGAGCAGACTTATGATCTGCTGATCGGGATTTGGCGCGTCAGTCACCCGGCAAGTTTCCAAAAGAGCATGAACGGGAAGCAATTAGCTGCCGAAGAGGCCAGTGCCGCCACTGTGGCGGAAAATGAAGCAAGTGCTCAGCCCAGTGACGGTAGCTCCACCGAAGAATCGAACTCAGAAAGAGATGATGACAGTGCTCCCAGTCTTCTAGAGAGCAGTGCGAGCAACGCCGGCAGTGAGCTTGTGGACGGCAAGACCGTGTCTAGAAAACCGTCCGGCATGAACGCAAGTGCTGTTGCGCAAACGGCTAGCATCCTGGCCGGAACAGCAAGCAATGTTCCACAACCACTTGCTGCCCAAGCTGGATTTCCAGAGGCAGCAAATGACTTCCCCGGACCAGCGAGTCATGCGCCAACGGAATGCTCGGACAGTACTACACATTACGACAAGATCATGAAGGACGAAGTCATTCCTGCTCCTCTAGGCAAGATATATTCTCTGCTGTACGGGGCCGAGTCGGGATTCTTTGTGCGTAAATTCTTGGCCGATGAATGCAGATGTACAGAAATTACTTTCGAAGACGACAAGAAGGGGTTGAACCACGACGTCAAAAGCAGGCAGTATTCGTATATCAAGCCGCTGGGGGGAAGCATTGGCCCCAAACAGACCAAGTGCATCACGACCGAGAGTTTGGATTTCTTCGACCTCGAAAAATCGGTGAGCATCACCTGTACTACGCAAACTCCCGATGTCCCTAGTGGCAATGCATTCAGCACCAAAACTCGGTACTGTCTCTCATGGGCACCTGGCAACGCGACGAGACTGCAGATGAATTGCACGGTCGAATGGACGGCCAAGTCCTGGCTGAAAGGGCCTATTGAAAAGGGTGCAAACGAAGGTCAGCAGCAGTACGGTGATAGTCTGGTCAAGATCCTCAAGGGTGCGGTTAGCGGCCGTCCTAGGGGGACGACGAATGCTAGCAAAGGCTCGAAATTGACCAAGAAGAAACGGAAAGGTGAGAAGAAAACCAAGGAAGAAAAAATCGAAGAGGAGAAGAAACAAGGAGTGAATTGGGGAATTTTCGAACCCTTGCGCCCATTATCTCCCGTTGTAGACATGTTAAGACCCGTCGTCAAAATGGAGGTCGTGGTTGCAATTCTCCTCATCATGGTCATGTGGATGTGGATACGTGGCCCGGCGGGAACCACTCAGCTCAGCCTGTATAAGTCGCAGTCGGAGCGGCTGGCGGTATATGACTCTCTGTGGTCGCGAGAGGAGAATGAGTTTTGGGACTGGCTTGAGTCTCGCGCCAATATTGACACTGTTTCGCTGCGCGAGACGTCTCCAAGAAATTTCGGACGGCCAGACAAGAACGAAAACAGCGATACTGCGAAGCAGAGGCTGACGCAGAGGCAGAGGCGAAAGCGGAGTACGTCCTCGGCGAGACAAGACGTGGAAGCCAGGATTAAAGAAGAAAAGATCAACCAAAGAGAGATGGAGGACGCGATTAAAATCACGAAGGAGAGGTTGGAAATTCTCGAAAAGGTGATGGAGAAGAAAAAGTATCAACAACGATAGTGTGAACGACTGTTGCATTTCCGTTCCCGGATTCATCCTTCATGAGCAGAGCACAAAGGCTCAGGGCGGTCGGGTATCATTATACGGCTTACTGGAACTCGTTTGGATAAGAGAAAGAGAGACAGACGGGGAGACGAAAATGGATACGTAAGAACCAGGATGATTTATTGTTTTCACTTGGGGTGGAGGGAGGAAACACATGGCTTTGGGTCTCCTGTTTATCCATGACAGAGGCTTCTATACAGAGTACTACGCTCAATATCATTCACTTTGTGCGCCGGCAGCTGGTCTGAACGTATGGGTGGAATACAAATACGTCAGCACGGCGTTTCGAGGTGTCTACCTAGGCATGTGCTGAGTTCCTAAGGGATCTTTGGCGCCCTGTAGGCACCCAATAGGCAGTCTCTTGCCTGGACAGGTGGCCAAGGCCCATGAATACGCAATCGGGCAGCCTCACCAGCCCCAAAGCTTAGCGCTGTTTACCTACTTGTGCTTGTAGGGCTCGGGCCTGGCTCGCTGGGTCGCTGGGCAGTATGCAGGTGCCCACTCTTCGCGCTACGCTTCAATGAACGTGGATCCCCATGTGCATCGACACCTCCTGATGGAAACCTAAAACACCATGCATGCGCAATCGCTTTCGTGCTACCTCAATAGGATCTACTTTCGAGGACTTTTGGCTGTTTTCTTCTTTCCATGTCCTTTATCTGTGACGCCTGCAATCTTCCTACACACCTCTCTGTCCCTTCTACCTTCTCCTCCGTCCCTCTCGGAGCGAGCTCTTTCCTCGACCCGCCGTTCCACCTTCGCTCTTCACGTTTCTATTGCTGCGGCAGGACCGTTCAGCCCAGGGCAAAGACATGCTACTGGTCACGATAATGTATTTTCACTCGCACTTATAATCCTTTTCAATCAGTGTCCCCGCGACCACCTAGGAAGACTATTGCGGCTTGTACCTAGCCGTCGCACTCCTCTGTCCCCAGCTCCACACAAAGCCTGAACCCTATGCCACCGATCGTCGACCGGCCGTGAACGAACTGGAAAGGCGACAGTCTTATCATCCAAGTCCTCCACCTGCAACTGCTCCAATTGGGGACGATTTTCAGACGCTGGATCTCGCAATGGCAATATCCAAGTCGTGGAGGCGTGCAGCTCTGGCCGCTGCCGTCCTCCTGACTTTATTCCTCCTCCTGCGGCATTCGTCTCTCTCACCGAGCCTTCCTTCGGTGGAAGTTGCAGCTGGAAGCAGACAACCCTCGAGACCCTACCCTCCTCCCAAGCCTCCGAATATCGTCCCGGAGGCTCAGCAGACAGTCCAGGATGTGGCCGGCAGACCGCTGCGAGAAAGATTACGATACCATTTCCCCTATGACATCGAAGCCAAATTCCCAGCGTACATTTGGCAGACCTGGAAACACGGACCGGGTTCGGGCAACTTTGAGGAGAGATTACGACCCTTTGAGGCATCCTGGTCGAATCTACATCCTGGCTTTGTCCATGAGGTGGTAACTGACGACGCCGCAATGCACCTCATCAATTATCTGTATGCCTCAATGCCCCAGATTGTTCAAGCATACGAAGCCATGCCCCTTCCTGTGATTCGCGCCGACTTCTTCCGCTACCTGATTCTGCTTGCACGTGGGGGGATCTACAGTGACATCGATACGCAGGCTCTCAAGTCTGCCATAGATTGGTTGCCGCAAAACCTGGACAAGGCCACAGTGGGCTTGGTGGTGGGAATTGAGGCCGATCCGGACAGACCAGACTGGAATGAGTGGTATGCTAGGAGGATACAGTTCTGTCAATGGACGATCCAGTCCAAACCGGGCCACCCAGTCCTGAGAGATATTGTGGCCACCATCACCGAAGACACATTGGCCATGCAAAAGGCTGGGCAACTGCGAAGGGGCAAAGAACCAGCCAAGAGCATCATGGAGTACACGGGACCTGGCGTTTGGACGGATGCGCTGTTTTCATACTTCAACAACGAAGAATACTTTGATTTCAGCAGCCGGAAAACGAATGTGTCATACCCTGATTTCTTTGCCATCACCGAACACAAGAAGATTGGCGACGTGGTGGTGCTGCCAATCACGAGCTTCAGTCCGGGCGTAGGCCAGATGGGCTCGGAGGGACCTGAGCATCCAATGGCTTTCGTGAGACATGATTTTGACGGTATGTGATCTCTAAGTCAGCCCTTGGCGGGACGTGATTGAACCCGCTAATCACAATTTACAGGTTCGTGGAAGCCCGAGAATGAGCGCATGAAGGACAATTGAACGCAGTCTGTTTATTTATCGGCCTGCCCCTTGAGCACAGCAGTTCTCCATCCTGGTTCGAGTGTGGCTTTCTTTCTGGCAGCGTCATCTGAGCGTGGGACGCCGAAAAAGGTGCCAGGATAGTACATGAGAGTATTAACTGGGAAATGGAACTAATCGACGATGTGAACGTCATGCATATAGACAGGGGGTTAGATTCCATTGGAGGAGTTATTGGAACACAGGCCGCAGATGGTCCGGCAGGGACGCCATGTACTTCTAGGGAGTAAAGAGAACGCATACTGAAAGTGTGACCCAATCCATGCAACGACTTCCCCATTGAGAGCGTGTGAGAGTGTGATTGCGCCCTCCGATGCCCATGCCCACGCCCACAATAGGCACCGTATTCACCGACAATTCCGGGCGATGGATGTGTGTCGATGTTGTGCAGGTGCTGTGCCAATCAATCGGCATGTTTGGACAGCTGAAGCAGCACAGTCGCACCAATTTGATCATCAGGATCGACATGGGCGGGCCAGACATGACGGGGAGGGAAGGAGGGAGGGAGGAGGGAGGAGGAGGGAGGAGGAGGGAATACGAGTAGCTCTCGATACCCAGCGCATTCTTCTCGGCTGTCAGTGCCAAAAGCCAAATGCCTAATGCCTAATGCCTACTTAATGCCCCCCTGGTGTCTTGTCAAGGCCATCTGGTCTGGTTTCAGCTGTCAGCCACTCAAAATCCTCCGCATCCACCCGCCTGTCGTCATGCCCGCCAGGCTGGTTTTCTGGTTTTCTGGTTTTCTGGTTTTCTGGTTTTCTGGTTTTCTGGTTTTCTGGTTTTCTCGTTACGAGATCTCCACTGCGACAGATGCGTGCTAGGCTCTGCTAGCCCTGAGCAGCTGAGGGAATCGGGAATCAAGGATCCCAAGACTAGGGAGTCCCAAACAAACCGCTGGGGCTGGGGGAAGGAGGGGAGGCAAGCAAGTCCAAGAGGGTCACTCAGCAGCAGCACCAGCAGCAAGTCCTCCGTGTGAAGCCTTCTTCTATCATTCCGCCTCCACTGCGCTGCTTTCCTCTGAGCCCTTTTTTTTGGGGGTGCTGCTCTTGGGGGCTGTCTGTGCCTCTGCTCTTTCTCGAAATCCCTACGCTTCCTCCTCCTCCAAATCTGCTCCCTCGCAGCAATCGGCTGCAATCCTCGTCCTCGTCGCCCTCCTACACTATCGTCCAGCAAAGAGAACCCGACCAGCACTGCCTCACCGCTGACGTCGCCTTGCCTTGACGCCCCTCGTTGGTCGCAAATCGCATTGTGTTTCGATCTCCCCGCTTCGAGATGACTTTCAGCCTTGACGCTCCCTAGGCTACTTGGAAAAGAAAAAGATGCGAACTGGCTGTTCCGATGAGCACAGCGACGCTTCAGACGCCGCAGCAACAGCCGCCGCCGCAGCGAGCGGCCTCAGCTCAGGGCCATAGACAGTATCTACGAAACAGCAACCCTCAAAACAGTCGGAGCGCCTCTCACCCACATCCCAGTCGTCAGTACGATAAGGAACAAATCCAGAAATATGTCGATCCTGCCCGGCCCAAAGAGGAGGAGGAGGAGATTATGTCTCCGGAGGAGGTCTCCAAGGCCCCAGAAGAGAAGAAGCTGGGCCAGTCATCCCGCACCCTCAAGGTCACCGACTTCGAGTTGATGCGGACCCTTGGAACCGGTAAACCTATCCCATAGGCGTGATTCCACGCGCACAGGCATGACTAACAAAAGTCGCGGTGCCAGGTACCTTTGCGCGAGTCTGGCTATGTCGCTTCGCCAATCCTCATCCGCAGGACAGAGACAAGGTCTTCGCGCTCAAAGTCCTGAAAAAGGTGGATGTCATCAAATTGAAACAGGTCGAGCATGTCCGAAACGAGCGGGATGTCCTCGCCGCAGTTGCTGGACACCCTTTTATCACTACCCTAATCACATCATTCTCCGACGAGACCTCACTGTACATGCTGCTGGACTACACCCCTGGCGGAGAGATCTTTTCGTATCTTAGGCGGGCTCGTCGCTTCCCCTTTTCAACCGTCCAGTTCTACGCAGCCGAAATCACTCTGATTTTGGCCTACCTCCACGAGGTGCAATTTGTTGCATATCGAGACCTCAAGCCGGAAAACATCCTCCTCGATGTCGACGGACACCTCAAACTGGTCGACTTCGGTTTTGCCAAGTACCTTCCGGCTAGTCCAGACCAGCATGGCGAGAATGGCCAGAGCGCCACCCTTGAAAAGCTGGGCACAGAGCATCCCGAACCCCAGGCCAACGGGGCGGGTGTCACATATACCCTCTGCGGCACGCCTGAATATCTTGCGCCCGAAGTGATACGAAACACTGGTCACGGAACCGCGGTCGACTGGTGGGCACTGGGTATTTTGGTCTACGAAATGCTGATCGGTCAACCACCGTTTTGGGACCAGAACCCGATGCGCATCTACGAGCAGATTGTTGCGGGTCACATCCGCTTCCCTACTGCGCATCCGTCTCAACACGGACACCGTCATAGCCTTCACGTGCCCCGGGCTGCACGAGATTTTATTCTTGCCCTGTGCAAGACCGATCCGACTCAACGACTCGGGCACATTGCTGGTGGGAGCAAGAGAGTGATGCAACACTATTTCTTTGATGGCATTGATTGGGATGAAATATACTACCGGAAGAAGCGGGGGCCCATTATACCTAGGGTGGAATGGGCTGGCGATGCAGGCAACTTCGATGAGTATCCCGATCCCATCGAGGGTGAAGAGAGTGAGAGTGGGAGAGGCAGATACACAGACGAACTACGGGAAGAGTGGGAAGACGCATTCAAGGACTTTTAGGTTTTCCTATTTTCCTATCTTGTGAGGACGCGAAAGGAGGAGGGGCCCGGGCGGGCGGGAAATGAGCACAGTCAGCGAATTCGAAGGTGTATACAATCGGTCCACGCTTCGAATGCTGAGCATACGGTGTCGGATTTTGATTTGCAAATGACTAGACAAAAGGGCGTTGGTCTGTGATTGCTCAAAGCGTATATTGTCAGCCCGCCTCTGATTCATGCGTAGCGATTTAATACACGCCGTTTGTCGGCCCAGGATACCAGTTCGAACACGCAGCGATCTACATCACGCACATGGGTAGGGAGGGTTGTTACTGGAATTCATACAATTTGGTTTCTTTGGGTTTTCTTTTTTTTTTTTTAAAAAAAAAAAAAAAAAAAAAAAAAGAGAGAGAGAGAGAGCAAAGAAAACGGACTGTTTGCTCAGGCTTTATGTGTTAGGGCCCTCGCATCAAATGGAGACAAGTCTCAAACCACCCTTCTGATAATCAAGGGATTTCTCGTGGGCTGCAGCAAATGTGACATAGATGGGCGACCCAGTTGACGCTACAGTGCCCAGCCAGAAGCTACTCGGCGAGTCAATATGTAGTCGGAGCAAGACCGGGGGGGGGGGGGGGGAATGGGGGAATGGAGGACTTCACTGCACCCCCTTCACTGCAAAGCCTTGCACCATGATCTGAACCACACAGAGTGCACCGCGACAACTCATGGTCTTTCCAAGATCAAGCGTAAATTTTCACTTGGTTCCAAGTCTTGTTCTCGTTTTGTTTTTCACCTAAGCTGATCTCATTGTTGTTCAAGTGCTTTGGAGAATACCAAGGGGAGCAACGCACCAACGCACCCCGAACGACGGAGCATCCTTCCTATATCGGCCCTGGCCTGGCTTCAAAGAGCAGCTCTGAGGGACCTTGTAGACTCGAACCTACAGCCTTGTCATGCACAAGACGCTAGCAGCTGCTGTCAAAGTTCCAGCTACACTAGAGGCCCAGCGCCGACGGATCCTGTTGTTGGCTTGCTACCTTGACGGGGAATCATCTGAAACTCTGATCCCGACCTGCGTTGGGATGCCCTCAGCTCAAACACGGAGGAGTGAGTTCCCTTCATTGGGTTCCCTCGTACTCATGTTGAGCGAGCGGATAATTGACCCGAAATGATAGTTTTGGATCGTGTCTTCTCTGGTGAATGGTGCTGGCACAAGGCTGAGAATTTGTCAAGCAAGAGGTGGCAGCCTCACTAGCCTTAGCGCTCGCCCTGCGTTTGCGGGGAAGCCTAGTGGCCTGCTGCGGTTTTGCTACGTATGTCTGGAGTAAGTCGCAACACTTTCCACGTCGAAACTCGAGTCGGGGAAACGGGCTACCTGTTGCTCTTCAACTCACCAGCATCTTCCCCTGTGAAACTCGTGCCATCTACAAGTATGCGAAGCGAACCCAGAGCGCAGTAACATTTCCAAGTCATTGCCTGCCAATATCCTAGTCTCACTCCTCCTTCCGAACCCCCAGTCGCCCAGCTCGCGTCTTCCTCATACGTCGCATCTGTTGATGCATCATCGACATCTCTCTCACAATGGCAGGCATACAACCTACGAGGGATCAAATATCCCAAGTATGTGCCATAACACAGGTGGACGAAGGTAGCGCGAGGATTCTGCTCAAGGTGAGCCCCTTGAATATCACAACGACACAAAGGAAAGCTATTGACTCCTTGCGGCGCAGAAAAGCAACAACGATGTCAACAGTGCCATCAATGCCTGGTTTGAAGACCCCACGAGGTCGGTGATTGAAGAGCCCGTAAGCTCGGTTCGGCCATCGTCCAGTCCAAGAAATACTTGCTGATGGATGGGTGTGAGGACAGCCTGCTTCCAACGACTGGCAATACCAAGATAATCTTCCATGTAAGTTCTGGTACCCACACACATTTGAGGCCTTGTATAGGTGACTCGAGCCTCTGCCATAGTTCAAGATGATGCGAGCATGGGAGGAGTCGCCGCCCTGTCTCGCCCGCCTTCACGAGTCGACAATTCGATGATGGACCTCTCTTCCGAACATGCCGCGGCTTCAGCAAGCAATGTCAAGTCCCTTAAAGAACAAGAAGAAATGAACGATCCGGAGCTGCAGCGGGCAATGGCCGAGTCACTGAGGCAGACCTTACCAGCACAGGAAGACGGAGTCACAGGGACCGGGACACATTTCGGGCCTGCCAACCGAGAATACTACGACCCCAGCAGCTGGGCTTTAACTACCTATTCCACCTCGCGGGAGATCATTGAACATCCGCCACCATCGAAGCGAAGAAGGATAGGCGACGCACCTCCTTTCCTGCGTGGCTCGAAGGAGACTGGCTACTTGGGATCCTTGCTTACGATCTACCACAATATCCCTCTCGCTCGCCAAGCTCTTCTCATGCCTCCTCTGAAAGTCCATGCTTACGCCCACGATAATAACTGGTGGTCTGGGGCCACCGACGAGAACACCAAGGCCTTGTCGACCGACAATACTCTCCGCATTGACCGGCAAGAGTGCAATCTGCTTACAGAAGTCCAATGCCTGATGGCTTTTCTTGACAGGACCGCTCGGGCCTATGGCAGTGTCGATGCATTGGCGGATTTACAGGCCGTTCGCAGTCGAAACGACGATACGCCGTTTCATCTTTTTCTCGAAGCTTGGACCGCAGCAGCTGTGAAGCAGGCTCCCCAGGAACAACTGACGCAGGTCTTTAGTTCCGTGGCAGCGAAAGCAGGGGGGCCGGGCGACCCTGCAATGGTGGAGAAGACCCTGTATTGCATCGATCCTTTCATCAATCATTTCCCCGGTGAGACTTTGACCGATTTGCTCGACAATACGATCTGGAACGATGAGCATGGAAACATAGATGATGTTTGGATCAGCCATTGCGCGGAGATCTTCACTATCCGAGTCCACGATCCTAACGGCACATCGAGAAGCTCGGATCTGCAATTGGATCCTATATGGTACCCCGACCGGTACATGTATGAATGCAGGGAGCAGATGCAGCAGATACGCAAAGAGCTTCAGTCGATTCGCCGAGAGATGGATCAATATACTCACATTCAACGCCGATGCCAAATTTTCAAGTCGCCTGACAACAGACTCCTCGATGTTGCTGAAGTACTCAATGCTGCAGCCAAAGCTTCGACTACGGTGTTGGGGAAGAAATCTGTCCCGAATGGCTTTGTTGACAGCCAGGGATCCGGAGCGGAAGACACAGTCACCCAGTCCGACGTGGATGAGCTCGGCTCGGCATTGCAATCTGTGCTCCAAAAGATCCGGCAAAAGTTGGATTCTCTTGAACAACGCAAGAATGAGCTTCGGGTCAGGAGCCGGCAGATCACGATGCAACTCACAAAACCCACGCCAGAGATTCCGGACGTCCCCAGTCACAAATACACTCTTCAGGGCGTCGCTACCAAGCCTGGGGTCACTTATTTCCGCCGACAGAACACGAAAATTCGTTTCCTGGTTGACGACGATGCATTGGACCAGGACAGCTTAAGTTGTGGTTGGTGGAGAACTGCGTGGCTACAAGAGGAAATCCAACACCCGGTCTTGCACCCTCCGATGTTGGGCCCTGTGACCAGAGCCCAGGCGGAAGCAACCAAGCAGTCAGAAACCACTCCTTACTCGGTCACCAGGGTTCAGGAGGCCGAAGTGCTGGAAGCGGTTAGAACGGAGGCCAACTCTGTCCTGCTGGTATATGCCAACGAAAACGCGATGAACTTTCAGGCTGGCGATTTGAGCATTTCACTCCGGCACTTTGTTGATCGTGATAACCAAGCATTTGCAGAGGAACTGCAACAAGAACAAGGTTCACTACCTAGTGCATCTGCTGATCTCGAGGTCGAGACCGAATTTGAAGATGTCCCTTTGATTGACCCAACAGGATCCAGTGGCTCAGTACGTGAGCTCACCCCCATGTCGACTTCCAGCCCCGACCATGACGAAGACAGGCAACCCTCCCCCAGACGTGCGATTGGACAAAGTTCGGCCCAAATTCCTGAAGAGCCGCCTTCCTACGAGGAAAGCGTCCGCAAGCAGGAAATGCAGGAGAGGAAGGGGAATAAGATTGGCTTATATGCGGAACAAATGCTGCAGAGATACGGAAACGATGGGGCCCAGGAAATGGGAGAGAACGACAGCAGTAGCGGTTGCCTAGAGGTTGAGAATGCGAACGCGGAGTGAGAGATATCAAGACCATTAAACCTGGAAAGTCATGGCACGAAATGTAAGTCGGGGCCTCACACCGGCAGCTGGCATGATGAGTGTGGCCACGCGTACATTGGAGGAGAAATGTTTTCCGCGGGCGGACTTTTAGAGATGGATCTCGAGCGCTGTTCTTGCCGGACACGGTTCAGGATACTGGCTTCGTGCTGTCCCGTTGGTCGTGTCTTGATAGCGAAGTCGCACAGGGAAAGGGAAGAGCCGTCTTCAAGAGCTACGGGTTGGGGTTACACAACATCCTGGACAGTCGGGGGGCATGTGACACCAGGCCGTGGCCTGTCAACCGGGATGATGTTGAAGGGGACAGGAATTCTTGGATACATTCTCCCTTGGATCCAGGAGTTGGAGATGAGATGGGGAGGAACGGAAGAAGTGGGCATCACTCAGGCATTTGTAAGTGTACGAGCCTCGAATATGTGCCGCTTGGGAGTTTGGCTCTGGCTCCCTCTCCCTGTCTCCCCGGGCCATGAATGCAAGGATGGCCAATTTCTAGACCGACTGTCAGAGTGGGCGCGGGCCTGCACGGCGCAAGTGTGGCTCTTGTCTCCTTCCACGAAGTACTAGTAGCAAGCTCACCAGCGGACAATGTTGCCCTCTTCAAGTGACTGGAGCAATGCCTTTCTTGGACCCCCGTCGCCTCTCCACTGGCGAGCCAGTCAATTGTGTGAATGCCTTGTTCTGGCAGTTGGGATAACGAGCTAGCGAGCTGGGTAGCTAAGTAGGTACAGTAGCTAGGTAGGTACCCAGTACTCGTAGCCGCTGCGGGGAGCATGTTCTGACACGCGGCACAGAAACTGCTCCAGGTCAATCCAGGTGTCTGTCTGGCTTTGCCGTCTTCAGTGGCGGCCAGTCAGCGCATCACCAAGGGCACCCTCTCGACCCTCCTTTCAATGTGCCCCAAGCTGACAAGTTGTCGTCCCTACCTAGGTAATAATAGCGCCAAAAGGCCCTTCCCATTCTCGAATCTCGACGCCCCCTAAGCTCTGCGGAAATGCAGCTGCTGAATCCCGTGTGTCCTATCAGCAGCCACCCAGCCAGGCTGTGCCCGCGAGTTGAGAGCTAAGAGCCAAGCAGCGATGCGGGTTTGGAAGATCATCAGGGCTACCAGGGCTTGCCAGGGCTACCCCTCGCGGTTTCAGGTACCGAAGACTGGCCTGCGGCTCCGACCCAGACTCAGCAACAAGGAGATGGGGCAATGGACTTGTGCGTTTTGCGATGCAGAAGAGCTGCAAAGTCCTCGATATATCTCAAGAGTCAAGACCAACCCCTCTTGCGGGAACTGGGCCTTTCCGAACTGACCCAGCAGCCAGAGTCAAGCCCGAGCAGCAACAAGACGACCGACGACGAGACTCCTACGACGACCCCACGTGGTTGACTGTTGGTTAGCTCGACTTCACGGTGGTCGCGGTGGTCGCGGTGGTCGCGGTGGTCGTGGTGGCGCTCTCAGCACGAATCCCACAGTCCCCCGTTCCGTTGCACTCATCGAATGCGCCCAATCGGAAGTTTAACGCGATGGGCACCCAATACTAAGCCTCTTGGTCCTCGAAATCCAGAACTCGAACCCCCCTTTGGATACTAGTGACTTGGGGGGTGCAAGTTGGAAGCTGATCTGGCGGTCGGAAAAAGATCGAACTTGTGATTGAGGGGTCAGAGCCTAGAGGTCACCGGCCCCGGCAGAGCAGGCACAGTCCTCAACATCATTGGTACCCAGACCTTGGGAAAGAAAAACCGATGGTGCCACTCAGCAAGCTGGTGTTGGTGGTGTGGTAAAATACATGTAGGCGGAGTACTGGAAAGTCGAGTCAACCGCCTACGGAGTCAGCATACCCCGTTATCGTGTCAATTGGGCGAGGGGGGAAGAAGGAGAGCAAAATGGTGCCTACCTAGCCCTATGGCCAGGAGGCAGGGATATGCCACACTCCCTTGACCCTGTCAACTTTCCCGTTTGGATGGCCTGGGGCGGCCGCTGGCGCGACGTCTTAGGTAGAAGGGGCGTGCATTTGGGATGCTTATCACTGCCTCACTAGCCCTCCGAACTCCGAGAGCTTCACCCTCAAAAGGGCTCTAAACCCTTCAGACTGGCTCAGCTTGCCTGGCCCGTGGATCTCAGGTCGGCCGGCATCGTCCTCAACAGCAAAGAAAGAGACGTGCTCAGTCTAAAAAGCAGCACACACGGACAAGACACTGACCGGGCTTTCAACTGCCAACCGCACCTACATACCGACTGCATACAGGGTACAGAATGGGCAAATTGCCCTAGCCAGTTGCGACGGAAGCATCCTTTGCGACACGCCATTATTGGTAATCGATGGTCCCCCGTCACCAAACTTCCACACCTAGAACGCCTCAGGAGGACCAAAATACGGAGCATCCTCCTCTCTTGTTTGTTTCTGCTTTGACTCGGAGGAGACTGTCGGGTTTCCCGCTTCTTCGATCGGGGATCCAATTACCGCGCCATTCTATATCTTTGGCGTCTCCTATTTGACTGCTTCAAGCATCAAACTTCATCGTCTTTGGCCAGATACGGTACGTTCACCAAACACCAACAACTAGCTCGCCGTGCACCTAACAGCCTCCCCCCTAGCCACTTACGGCCGGGGGATAGCATCAGTCCTACCTATTACCTAGGTAAATACTCTCCAAAACTCTCCACCAGATCTTTGGGACGCACACTGCCTCCCACAAAGACCAAGGACTTAGCAACATCCAACTCGCCCGCCGGATACGTGATCCTACGCCCACCGACGGCTTGGTCCCGAGTTAAACGGCATCCCTCTTTTCCTTCGAAGGCGCCCACCCCCATGTCCGACTACGACCAAGTCCGGTAAGGATCATTTGGTCCAGATACTCACCAAAGTTTGCGACAGCTTCATTAAATTCACGCCATCCACGAAGTCGTGGCCAAAACATCGGATCTCCAATCCTTCTTCTCGCCTGCAATCCTGACAGCCTTATCCGAACTCGTTTCTGTTTGACCGACATCCAGATCCTCCAAGCGAGCTGTCCCGTTTGTCTGCTTGTGCGTACGTGTGCTGAAAGTCCCTAACTGGTACCCACTGATCATCTCTCCGCGTTTATCTCTGCTCGCGGTGGGACACAATGGAAGCTTACATATCTGGGTAGGACCAATATCAGCTGCCAAACCCCCTCTCTCGGCGTCCACCACTCAGCACCCTGGCCATGCGGCCTGTTTAGCGTGGTGCATGCCAGGCCCTACTGCCCGGCTCCATCCCCACCACCCGGTCGCCGCGCGATCGCGATTTGTATCTCACTCCTGCCCACCCTGCGCCTCCAGCTTGGTGCGAGGCGTCTTGGAGCCCATCTGCAAGCCACCACGGTGTCGGATTGGCACGATTGATCATCCTGGCGTCTGCCAAACACAGACTCCCCAAGCCTAGCCGTTCTTTATCGCTCCCTATCGACAGGGCCAGTCGACGCCGCCAAAAGATTCCGCGTCGTTAGAATCGCTATCCCACCTCTGCATCTTCCTCAACTTTCTTGCAATCCTCAGCCCTTTTTCGACTGAACTGCTCCCCCCGTCCCATTCCCGCCCTCCTATCCTCACACACCCTCCAGCACCTTGTCTCTACACGTTCAGAATATTGTCACCATCTTTGACTTGCTTTACACTCCATTGTCTCGCTCTGCGGTCAACGGGCGAATTCGCTTTGCGACGGTCGAAGCACAATCGACCCATCGGTGGATACTCCTTTTGCTACCTGTGAGCATCGTCTTAGTACTCGCTGGTACTTGTCACATCATCTTCGAGATTGATAGCTACTTCGCCCATTTTTGCCGGGGACCACCTACGCCGTTGCTATCACCGTTTCAGGTTTCACAAGCATCACTTGGACTTATCCCTTCAGGCCCTGGCACCAATACTTCCCCACCGACTTCGGAATCTGTCACTCCCGCATACGGTCTCTCGGACAGTTCGTTGGGTATCAGCTCGGTCCTCGCAATCGGTACTTCCTAAATCTGCAGGAACGGCGACACCGCGTCTGTCCTGAATGCATAATTGCATGACACTCAACCAATTTCGCTGAAAGCAAAGTGGTTTGCCCTTGGTTCACCCTAACATTGCACCTTCAAAGGACACTCCTTGCCGTTTACAGTTCAGCCCGCGTTTGTGGTTGGCGAAGATCCGGCTCCCTCTATTTCCCTTGCTCTTCAGAGAATGAGTGTGGTTGCATTCAGTTTCCCAGAGCCTCGACTGCAGCCCAGTTTGTCGGACTCATATACAATGCCTACGCATCCTTCAGGCTTCGAAGGTGTGGCTGCAGATAGGCGCATGTCGAGTGCGAATGAAGCCGCACTCATGGCCCTTCCGACAGTTATGTTGCGGCGTCTGCCGCGAAATACAACTCTCGAGGCAGTACGTACGATGCTATTATTCGCCAAAGATTTACAAGACACCGAGATCATCCCGAACGAGTATGAAGAGGATGCTGGCTTCACCACCGCGGTGGCTCGATTCGGCTCCATGGCCGGGGCAACTGAAGCGCAAACCATGCTTGATGGCAAGCCTAACACCGCCGGGCAGGCCAAAATGATTGTGGAGATGATAAGAAGCCCATCCATGGCAGCGGTACCCCGACGCAACACCATCGATCCCCTAGCTGGCCGCAAAATAGGCCAGTCGATGTCTCCATCCATGGCCAACGCTCAGAAGTCCTCACGGTTCAACGGCACCTTCCAGTCCATGGACAAGACAACATCTCCGCCTCCTGTCGGGTCTCCGCCGGAACTCGTGTCGCCGGACACCAGTTCCCAGCTGCAGATCATCTTTTCGCCGAAATCCCCGGTGCCGAGCGCCATGGCGGATCGCCCTCGAGCCAGCGGGAAGAAGGTGATCAATGAAGATGGCGCAGATGACGATACGGGGGAGTTACTCAAGGATCCCTTGGCGTATATGAATAACTCCTCAACGAGCACCCCAGGCAAGAAGCCAACAAACCCCCACATGCCTACTGCCGCGTTCTCGGCGCTCTCCCTTAATACCAATATTGGCAACGGCGCAGCGTCCAATTACGCATCTCCTCGGTCTGCGATCGGATCTCGAACTCCTCACGCACAGTTTCCTATCATGGGACCTAACGGGCCATACTCGATTCCTTCTCAACCTTACCTACGACATAACTATCCCCCGGTCAACCCTGCCGACCAAAATCCGCCCTGTAATACTTTGTATGTGGGCAACTTGCCCATTGACACATCGGAGGATGAGCTCAAAGCCATGTTTTCCAAGCAGCGCGGGTACAAAAGATTGTGCTTCCGAACCAAACAGAACGGGCCAATGTGTTTTGTGGAGTTCGAAGACATTTCATTCGCAACCAAGGCTCTGAATGAACTGTACGGGGCGCAGCTTCACAACAGTGTCAAAGGGGGAATCCGGTTGAGCTTCTCGAAGAATCCGCTGGGAGTCCGTGCGGGTCAACCCGGGAGCAACAATCCAAGCACGCCTCTCAGCGTGACTGGGCCGATGAGCGTGAACGGGTTCAGCAATGTCACGCCCGGTAGCTTTTCGACTGCCAACGGACCGCCGCCAGGTCTGTCAGCCCCGCCAGGACTCAACATGTCCATGGCTGCGATGAACGGCGTTGGCGTTCCTCCGGGGACATTTGTGAATCAAGGATTCCCGCTGGCAAACGGCCCGGCGCCGAATATGCGAGGGATGCCGATGAACAGTGCAGCACCGGGACCGGGAGCAGTTGGGGGCATGTATCCCGACTACATGCTCGGGCGGTGAAAGTGGCGAGAGGAAGGCGCCATGGGTGAACAATACGACTCGGCATGGTGGAAAGTTTAGCATGGGTGTGATATTCAACTGCTTTACGGGCTATCATCCCCCTGTTCAACATGAGACCTGGACATGGGCGCGCGTGTTTAGGGGAATTTGGGCTGAGTCGAAAAGGCGAGATTGCGTTGAGTGATTTTCGAGCACAAAGATTCCCCTTTTAGCAGACAACAAGCAGGCGGGCAAGCGAATTGGCTTTTTCTTTTTTGGGGGGATTCTTAATTTTTTTTTTTGGGGGGGGGGTTTGATTTGGGCAGCAAAGGTTTGCGACCTGGAAGGGAACCACAGGAACCAGACGAAGGGCGGGCAAATTTCTAGCGCAACGTACTTACTGTCATTATCGAAGCGATTTTTATTTTGCATGGACGGAGTGAAGCTGACATTACGGAAGGAGAAACTCGTGGATTCGGCATTTTGCTTGGTGATTGAGGTGGACATGGGTACTTTGAGGAAATGGAGGACTGTCTCGACGGCGGATTAGCACCACTTGTGCAAGATTGGGAGGAGGAGAATTCGACTCGGGATGAAAAACAACTTCCATTGCATGGACTTTTATGACATGAAGAGCAAAGGCGACAGGAACTCATCAGGACGGAGCGCTATTGTTTTGTTTTGCTTTCTTGCCATTCATTCTGGTTTAGCAACTCATTGCTCCATAGCGAGGCATGTAGTTATCAACGGCACGATCGATGGAAGGATAGCTGGAAGCGAGAAAAGGTGGGGTTGCATATGACATTGGCCGGGTTCTAATACTCGAATCTGCTTGATAGAGAGTGACCGTGGTGATTTGCTGTTTTGGCTAGGTACCGCTTTGATAGAGAAGCAAAGATCAAGAAGGTTCAAAGATGTCTCGAAATGCAAAACAACCCGAGGAGAGGGTGAAGAGAAAGTGAAGCCTTTTGATCGAGATGTGGTGCAGAGTTGACTGTCGAGATGCAGTCAGTGCCGCAATTTAGTTTGTTGGCTCGTCGGGTCAATTGGTGAGTGGCGAGTGGTAAGTGGTTAGTGGTGAGTCCAAGTACATATATCTACGAGGTACCTCGTAGGATATCACGTAGTGGGTGGTGAGGGTGGTTAGCGGTGCTCCGTACCTCGTATTAGACGCCGAGCAGCATGCTGCTATGCGGCATCACCAGTACGCGGTACTCAGCGGTGGGGTTGCCAGCGCGACTCGCTCCATCGACCCAGTACCCAGTACCCAGTACCGAGTACCCAGTATTCGGTCCCGCTGTTGCCGCTGTCGTGGCTGCTGCTAATATAGAACTCATTCAACGTCGGTCAACATCCATCACTTCCCACCACACGCTGTCGCTGCTCCATCCTGCCCCTACTCTTTGCTGCTGCTCCGGCCGCGCCAGCTACAGCTCCAGCTCCAGTGCCAGCTCCCGCAGCTCACAAAACACCCAGGCATCCATACAGACCAGCAGACACCTGGCGGAATTTCTCACCCCAGCATTCCATTCTCTGCCTTAGTTTCACTAGCCACAAATCATTTACTCCTCCTCCTCCTTCTCCTCCTCCCTCTCCTCCCTGCTTTTCTCTTCTTGTCTCTGTTTCTTGTGCTCTAATCTCTCCAATGAACCGACCGAAGGCATGACAACTCTGAATGGGGTGGTCACCACCGCCATTGCCATTGTCCTTCCCTAACCCAGCTCTGACCAGTCCTCCCCGATGCCGTTATCGACAGCTCGTTCACGCCCGCGCATTCCTCTATTTCGCAGTCGGAGTGCCAGTGCCGCTCCCACAGACCCCGATGTCAGCGCCACCAGCTCACCAGGCCAAGGTGATGCCCATCCCCGTCAACGCTCGTCCGGCGGCTTCAGTCTTCCCACGCTGTCGACCCTCGCCAGCTTCAATTTCCATCGCCGAGTGCGCACAAAGTCCGAAGGCAAATGCAAGAGTGTCGCTGTGCCAGACGACCCAAACGACCCAAACGACCCCAGTCGAGAGCGAGCGATCACCGTCTCGGCCCAAATCGCCCCCAGCCAGAGCTTGAGGCCTAGTGAGCCCAAGGATCTGCCGCTGCCGCTGGTGCCGCCCAATAACAACACTGGCGACACCCAGACCACCGCCTCATCAGCCACAGTTCCACCCACCACACCCACCCAGCTCGAGCCTGATCACCCTGACCTCAAGTCTGAGCCTGACCCTAGTGACCCCAAACCCACCGTGGCCCTTGCGGCTCCTGCTTCACTTTCTCCTTCTCTTCACCCAGACATCACATCCAATACTACCGCCGGCACCAATACTTACATCCTGACCCCAATCACCCTACCCACCACGCCTTCGGTCAATAATCCTGATCCCAAAATTCCTCTTCCTCCTGCTACCGCTGCTGCCGCTGTTGCTCCTCCTCCGGCTTCTGCCACAACTCCCCCGCCCTCCCAACCCGTCTGCCCCGTGGTCCGCGTCCAGCGTCCCTCCACTCCCACCATCCCGGCCCTCACCTCTGTACAATGCCTTCGACATGAGACGCACGACGCTATGCAGAGAAAAATATGGGTGAAACGACCCGGTGCTTCCCCGACCCGAGTCGAAATCGCCGAAGACGACCTGGTTGATAACGTGCGCGATGTCATCTTACAAAAATACGCCAATTCCCTCGGTCGCACCATCGACGCCCCGGACATTACGCTCAAAATCATCAGCCGTGAACATAACAATAAAAATGTGAGCGCCGAGCGTCCCTTGGGTCCCGAGGAGCCCATTGGTGCCACCCTCGACGCATATTATCCTGGCGGCCAACAGGTTGATGAAGCTCTCATCATTGAAGTAGCTGCCCGCAGAACTCCCCGCGCCTCTCCTCGCGCTGGAAACCATCAGATCTCCTACTATTATACCGATCAATACCGTCCCGATGACGCCGCTCGAGAATATTTTCCTCCCATGCCGCTCCACTCTCCTCACCTTGCTCACGTTCCTCATCCCAACTCGGTTTCCCATTCCATGGCCGTCTTGACCACCGGTCAGCTGCCCCCTCTACCTAGTCCCGGCTCCCACGGCCAGAGAAGGCACGCAAGGCCAAAATATGGAAGGCAGCACACGAGCAGTCCAACCATCCTCCACACCGTTCAGCCGAATGGTCAAGTTTTAGGTATGTTTGCATGACCCAGCGGCCAGATCGGGGAGGATGCTCAGCTCTTTGTTTTTTTTGGTACAGAATCTAAAGCACAGCTCAATGGGCCCGCCCCTTCGGCGGCCCCTCTTCCTACCCCTCCGACTCAGGGCCCGAACGAACACAAGCCCTCGATCACGCCCCCCAATCGAGTCTCGTCTCCACATCCTGGGCAGAAACTCAGGAGACGGAAAGGTCCTGCTTTCGGCCGGTCTGTCAACGGTGATCTACAGGCTCCTCCTAAGTCTCTGCCTGCTGCTGCAAGTCTGTTGGACGGAACAGTCCCTCCCATCAATGTCTTGTTGGTGGAGGACAACGTCATCAACCTGAAATTGCTCGAGGCCTTTATGAAACGCCTGAAGGTGCGATGGAAGTCTGCCATGAATGGTAAGGAAGCAGTGGCTATGTGGAGGACAGGTGGATTTCATTTGGTCTTGATGGATATCCAGCTGCCGGTAATGAATGGCCTGGAAGCCACCAAAGAGATCCGACGACTCGAGGCTGTGAACGGCATTGGCGTTTTCAGTGGCAGCCCCATCGAGACCGCCCTGAGGAATCCCCAGATGAATGGCGGTCCTGTGGGCGAGGCCGATGCCCTACCTGACCGCAGCTTGTTCAAAAGTCCCGTCATCATTGTGGCTTTGACTGCCAGTAGTTTGCAGAGTGACAGGCACGAAGCATTGGCCGCTGGCTGTAACGACTTCTTGACAAAGGTAGGCATTCCAGTCGATCCTCGAACTTTTGCTGCTTGCTGACCCCTTCGCCCACAGCCGGTCAACTTTGTGTGGATGGAGCGCAAAGTCACGGAATGGGGCTGTATGCAAGCATTGATCGATTATGATGGGTGGCGGAAGTGGAAGCAGTATGCCGCTGATAAGGCTGCTGAAGACCCAGCCAAGAAGGCGGCCGAAGAAAAAGACGAAAAGGCCAAAGCAAAGGCCGCGCTCAAAGCCATGTTCTCGAGACCGCCGCCGACTACAAAGAAGGACAAGGACAGTGGAACAAGCAGTGGATCTACCACCACCGCCACCACCACAACAACAACTACGGCGGCGACAACAACCAATGCCAGCACCGAGAGAACATCAACTCCGGTGCAGAATGGAACGGCTAAAAAAGGGAGCGGTTCGAGTCAAGGCTCAAATACAAGAACCCACAAGAGTAGTCGAAGTAATGCTAGCGGAGGTGGGGGAAGTTTGGAAAGCATGGCAGAGGAGGACGAAAAGGCAGCATGAAAAATAAAAAACATCTTCTATTGTTGGGAGACAAGAGGAGGAATTTTGCTTTCCCATATTTGAGTCCTTGCTTGGTGGGAGTCGAAGCCTTTCGCTTTTTGCGTTTTGTCGATTTTGAGCGCGCATGATACATGGAGTTCGTCACCGGTGGGAAAACACTCGTTGGGATGGCCAGTATTTCCTTTTCTATTTTTTTCCCCCCCCTCCTGAGAGCGGACTCTTTGCGGGTTCAATTCACGGCCAGGCAGTGTCGAGAGGTCACGAAATGTTGGTCGGTCAACGGGGGATGTTCTCCTTTTTAATCCCCTCTTCCATATTCCTTGCAGCACACATATCGAGCACTGCGGTTTCGCGTTGAGCATTTAGCCATGCTCCGGAATTCCACACAATGATGATTTACTTCCACTTGGGGAACTTTCAGCACATCAGATTTCCAGTAGACTGAAGATGTGGAGGAGAATTCAAAGATGGCAAAATGGCCGATGAGGCAAGGCTGGACCCACGGACAAGGCTGCCAAGCTTTCAGAACAGCATGACGTCGACCTGATCTGCAAACCCGTCAAACCTCAATCCGACTCTCTCCACTTGGTACGGAGTACTAATAGACTGCCGTTACGAGATCTAGACCACTTTGTCCCTGATCCTCTTATCCCACTTCATCATCATGTCAGCCAAGATAGCAAAGACCATTGCGAGGCAAAAGGAAAAGTAAGTGAAATTCTTGACGTGATCAGTTTGCTGTTGAGCTCGGTACCCCCGCTTCAGCCAACCCACCGCACATGCAGGCAGTCAGGACTCATCGCTTCCCTCTTCACGTTGGGGGCTTCTAACATGTGCCTCCCAGGATTGCCGAAGGAAGTTTCTATGAAGCGCACCAGCAACTCCGTGTCATCACTGCTCGTTATCTCAAAGCCTCCGACTACAACTCCGCCTGCGACGTCCTGTACAATGGCGCCCTCCTTCTCCTCCGCGCGGATCAGGGTGGCTCAGGCGGCGATCTGGCACTCATGTTGCTGAACGATGTCTACGTTAAAGGCGAATACGCGTGTGACGATGAAAATAGAAAAAGACTGTTGGAGATCTTCCATGCATTCCCCAAGGAGGAACCCACGCGGAAGAGGTTTGTGAGCGAGATGGTGAATTGGAGCGGAAAGTTTGGGGACTTGGAGAGGGGAGATCCGGAGATCCATCATCAAGTGGGCAAGGTGCTGGCGGAAGGTGAGCAAGAGGAGAGGTTCTTCCTTGGAACCAGGCGAAGCGGTTCTCCGTCAAGTTTTATTCCGGTTCACTAACAACCTTGGGGATTTATAGAGGGTGAAGCATACGACGCTGAACGGCATCTTGTCATTGGTACACCAGCCTCACCCCCTGTCCTTGCCAGCTTACACTACATCTGGTACAAGCTGGACCAACCGCACCTTGCACCCATCTACGCCTCCCGCTCCGTCCTCCCCTACTTGTTGGTCGGCAACCTCTCCAGTGCAAATCTTGCTCTGTCAGCGTTCACGTCGCACCTGACAACGCAGAACCCCAACTTACTGTCAATGTCTCAACCCCTGGAATCAGCCAAATCTGGGCTCTCACTGCGGATATTTCCTTCAATCCCTCTTCTAAATTTCCTTTCGCTTCTATTACTCTCCTGCCAGAAAGCCGACGCAAGTTTATTCCGCCAACTCGCGAAATTCTACGCCACGCACCTGAAGGAGGTTGAGGGGCTGTGGGGCGAAGCTTTGGCAAATATCGGAGAGATCTGGTTTGGAATCAAAATTCCCCGGCAGACCGCTGGGAATCCTTTATTCGATATGATGGGGAGTATGCTTTTTGGTGGACAGCAGCCAGGGGGAAGAGCAGCAACACCGAGGTCGGGCACGCCGAAGCCTGCAGGAGGTGGCAGTGCGGCAGCCAGGAAGGAGATCGAGAAGCCGCCGACGATGGATCTGGATTGAAGTTGGACACCTCTTTTGGGCGGCGAACCGGTATGCAGGTGGTGATGAAGGTGATGACCAGGTGAGGAAAAGCAAAGCCGCGCTGTCATCTGGATCGATACCCGGTGAAAAGACAGAACCAGAACCAATGTTTATCATCGCCATGCCTTCGCTCCACTCCGCCCAATGCACTCCGCCCCGCCCCGCCCCGCCCCGCCCTACCTTCCTTTAACCCGATAAATACTTGGTGCGGTATCCTCCACACCATCATAACACAGAGTACCCCATTTACCGGGTCGAACCAGCCACTAACGATATAGGACTGGCAAGGCCTGATAGAAGACGACAAGCGAAAAAGTAATCGAAAAGGGAGGAGCGAAAACAAAGAAAACAGAGTAGGCGAACCAGCGAGTGACAACTAACACCACCACCATCACCACAATCATTGACGCCATCGATATACAAAAAGAAAAGGCAAAAACAATCAACAGCCAGGATTCCCAAGTGGTCACCCACCTTAGTACTGACTGGCCGGCATGTGGCTTAAGTGCGGCTGAGCGAACGGGAAGCCCTGTTTTCCACATCCTATGGTCGATTGCGGGAAATTGTATTCCGACTTGTGAATATAAATTTATACCCGCATGCCTGTTTTAGTCGAGTGGAGAGGAGGAGTGTAGCGGAGAGGAAAACAAACTATACGACGATGCGGGACACTAGACTCACTCCGGACCTGGATCTTGTTTCTTCTCACTCCACGGCTATGACTGTGGTTAAATTAATGCATACTGGGGATGGATGCATTGCGTCCGGTATCGATATATTTGTTACAAGGGCCCTCATATCCTGCCTCAGTCATGGTCTCGTTGGTATCATAAATCTGCCAAGGATCGCTCGTTTCGCCTTCGCAACAACTCCTTCCCTGTCCCTTAGCTCCTGTCAGGAGGCTGGACTCGATGATGACGATGATAATAATAATGATGATGATGATGATGGTGATGATGATGAAAACATGCCCAATGGAAAAGACCCGTCGGTGATGTAATACACATGGCATGGCCAATAAAGAAAGTTAGGGCGATCCTGTGATTTTGGCACAGCCGCGAGGCTCTTCTTAGTCGTACACACCAATCTCGTCTCTCCCCGCAATCCCTCCCACTCCCAAGGGCTCGCCAAACATCCAAGCTTCCTCGTCCGCCCTGGCCACCTCCCTCCGCAGACTGCCCATGATCAATCCCATCAGTTCATCTTGCTCGGCTTCTTCGTCCTCCTCAGGCGAGAGCGAGGGCGACACCTTCGATACCTTGGCTATTTTCCCTTTGGCTCGCGCGCGTTGTCTCGCCATCATTTCCCGTAGCAGTCGCTCGATGCGTTGGCGGTCTCGTCGTTCTTCGTCTGCTTCGGCCTCGGCCTCGGCCTCAGCGCTGGCGGCGGCGGCGGCCATCGCGGCGGCGTGAGCATGGCCCGCCGTTGCAATGTGAGACGTGTGATGGTCATAGGGATCGTGGCGTCGCGCTCTTCGGCGTGGTGGGCGCCTGGCATAGGCTTGCGCAGCAGGGTCATGGAGTTCAACGTCAGACAATTCCTGTTCTTGGGTCTGGGCTTCCTCGTCCTCGTCCTCCTCCACCTCCTCATCCTCGGCGTCTTCTCCATGGTCTTCTTCATGCCCATCGTCCGAGTCCGACAGTCTTAGTCTGCCAGGGAGTAAGGGGAGTTTCGGCAGGACGGGACGCCCTGTAAGTGGATTTAACGCGATGATCGATTGATTTGGAAAGAGAGCTGCAGAGGATCGCGGGCTGATTGGTCGAAGGGGAGAAATTGTAGGGTCGTATCCATCTACCAGTGCTGTGCGGTGGGGAGGTGATAATTGCGGTATTGGAGGGGGGACGAAAGTAGAGCTGGTGCCGTTGTTCGGAGGATCGTGAAAGGGAGACGACCGTGGGGGAGAGGGTGAGAGGGACGGCGTGGACACTGAACGCTGGTGAACCCGTAGACGTGGAAGGCTACTACCGTACTGTTGCCCTTGGCTTTGCGACTGTGAATCATGTCGTCGAGTTTGACTGTTTGATTGAGCTTGCGGTTGTGCTCCCGAGGCTGGGCGTCGCGATAGATGTGCGGAAAAGAGATTTCTTCGCACCGACCCTGCGGGGACTTGGTTGGAAGTTGAGTATAGGAAGGACGACGAGTTGGGTGATGCATCAGTCGGATCGCGCGAAGAAGAGGGGGCCATTCTCAGAAATAAGAGGGGCGACAACAGGTCAATGTCGCCAAAACCCGAGTTGAAGGATGCTCCGTGTATAGGGTTCCTGTGCAATGTACGAGTCAGAGCGGGCCGAGCGGGATGCAGGACGAAAGCGGCCAAGGAGTAAACACGCGCAAGGCTCCGCTTCCGCCAATCAAATCCGCCGCCAATCCAAACATGCCAGCCTCGCCTCGTTCCCCCTCGAAACTCCTCGACTTCCCTTTCCGCCACCACAATTTGCTCTCCATCCTCCATACTGTTGTGATCATCACGTGGGCCAGCAACACGACGCGGCAAGTGATGCTGACACGCGGCTGACCTCCCTCTCAGGTCGACTCCAGAGCCTCATTCCATTCGTGGATCCCGGGTCTGATCTGTCGTACCCAGTAAACTAGAATCAGGCGACCAACGATCCGCATCTCATTGCGAGGGAAATATCACGGTCGCATCGATATGTCCACTCCAGAGTCCAGACACGTCAATGCACGTGGTTGCATGCCTTACTAAACGAGAGGCTTGCGGATAGCTCGCAAATACATGGCCCTACAGCCCTGAAGTAAGATCTGTTCTGGCCTGATCGTATTACTTCATTTTATATCAAAGATATCTATATATGCGTCACTCTGCCATCATGCCTGCTCTGCTTGTCTTGTTGTCTTCCTTCCCCATCGAGATCCCAAAAAGCAACAGCAAAGTTGATACTGTGAAACATGATGACAGCTGAACCTAATGAGCGGGCATCTAATGGCCCGAGTCCACCTGAGCCAGTCGTCGGAAATGTTAGTGTCGAGACCACCAGGACTTCAAAGGCTGTCCTCGTTGTTGGCGGAGGTGTGGTCGGCTGTCTCACGGCTCTCAAGCTAGGCCAGGCAGGGGTCGATGTAGATATCATCGAGAGGCTACCTGAGACGAGCAACGCTCCTCGTGCATGCGGCTACTTCGGCGCCGTGCACCACATGCTGAACGACATTGGCATGTACAAGTTGATCAGAGCGGAAGGTTTTATGACTCGTGAACTATCTTTTCGCAAGCCGCCTAAGGACGATGACGAAGGGCGAGGTGGCAAGGTTCTGGGCGACATCGTCGCAAACCTCCCCTTATGCGCCCCTAATGACGATCTCACGGAACCGGGCTCGGGATTGCTGAATCTGCCACAAGCACAGCTCAATATCCTATTGCTGCGAGAGGCGCTGAAGACGGGCCATGTGCAGATCCATTTCAACAACGAACTGACACATATAACAAGCAACGATGACAGCGGCGTCACGGTCCTCACGCACAATCCCAAATCCGGTGCGCAACGCCAGTTCGAAGCGAAGTACGCGGTTGCAGCAGACGGCGCTCACTCCACAGCCCGCAAGGCCCTCGGTCTCCCTTACCCGGGCCACACCTGGCCCGAACGACTAATCGCCACCAACGTGATGGTCCAAAACGTCGAGGAAACACCGATGCATACGCATTTCGTCATGCATCCGACATTCTTCAGCATCTCTACTCCCCTGCAAGACCCCGCCATGGGGGAGAAGACGCTCTGGAGGTGGACATTGGCGGCCGACCCAGCGCTGGAGAAGTGCTCTGATGAGGAGTTGTTGACGGACGAGGTCATTTATGCGCATTATGCACGGTGTATGCCAGGGCCAAGGCCATTGGATGTCGACATTGTGGCGAGGTCGGTATATAAGACGCATCAGAGGCTTGTGCCGACGATGAGGAAGGGGAATGTGTTATTAGCCGGCGATGCTGCGCATTGCAACCATGTGAGCTGAGTTCTTCGATGACTTCCCTTCCCCCTCCAGCAGGTCTGTCCATCGATGAATGAATGCCGGCTGACTTTTTGTTTCCTTCCTTAGCCCTTCGGCGCACTAGGTCTCAACACCGGTATGCTCGACGGCGAGGCCTGTGCCGAAGCCCTGATCATGACCCTCAAAGACTCTTTCCCCCCGGCCCAGACACTAAACACCTACTCGGACTCGCGCCGCAAGGTCTTCCAGTTCTTCGTGGATCCCACGTCAACGCAGAACAAACTCCGCGTCCACTCGAATCCAGTGGAGACGGCGGCGGAAGACGATTGGCTTTTGAGGGACCTGAACCATATGACGCCGAAGAAGGCGGTAGAGATGGTGAGGCCGTATTTCGAGGTGTGGCGGACAGATATGAGGAAAGCTGTCCAGGGACAAGACGACGACCCTTCTGCACTAGTTAACTAGTCGGTGCGTGTAACAGGTTATGGTTATTATGTTGGCTGAAGAAAGGTGAAAAAGGAGCGTCTCAATTAAGGAGCATCTCAATTGTCTGAATAGTTTGGGACAAGGGAAAAAAGAATCAACAAGACCAGATTGCTTGTTCCTTTTCTGCATGATACACAGCTTTGTCTTCTTACATTTTCTCATAATGACACGTAAGTTGGAGTCCACGGTCTAGCATTTCCCGCCACGGTGCTTTGGCCATCATCTCCGAGGTGCTATCTAGTTTTCTAGCAGGAAAATAAAGATTGCACCATCAAAGGTCCCAGGGGTATCTCAAGAACACAGACACAATATCTCTCGGAGGTCCAGGAGTTATCTTCGCTGTTGCTCCGCTAACTCTTTCTCTTGGTCTCCGCTCAATCACTCCAGATCCTGTCCTTCAAAAGCAGGTAACCTCTTGATAACATCTTCCCACGTCTCCTCCCCGTCAACCAATGCCTTTACCGCTGCGATGATTTCATCCTCGCTCGCCCTCACTTGCTTCGTGGAATCTCTCTCCCTCAGCGTCAAGGTCCCATCTTTCACCGTCTGGAAATCAATTGTAATACCGAAAGGCGTCCCCAATTCATCGTTACGAGCGTACCTCTTGCCAATACTTGCAGAGGAGTCGTCGACTTTGTTGGAGACTCCGACCCGGCGTAAGCGGGCTGTTAGTTTCTTGATGAAGGGCTTGAAGTCTGGATGGCTGGAAAGCGGGACGAGGAGGACCTTGGTGGGAGCCACCGTGGGCGGGAAGGACAAGACTCCACGAGCACCATCTCCTTCACGAATCCAGAAGACATGTTCCATGACGCTGTAGAGAATTCGTCCGATACCAAAGGATGGCTCGATGACGTTAGGCGTGTACTCGCGGATGTGTTCTGTTCGCTTCCTCTTCTCGATCTTGATCAAATCTTTGTCAAGTTCTGTTCTTCCGCTTCCGACTCCTGGTGTATCGATCTCAATCTTCCCAGACTTCTCCAACTCCAACGCGAGCTTTTCACGCAGGTCTTGTGAAAGAGCATCCACTGCGGCTTCGACCGCTTTCGCATCCTTGCGGAACTTGGGTCCGAGCTTCTTGCGATCCAGATCAACTTCATATTCTTCGACTATGAGCGGTTGTGCTCGAGTTTCGCGAACGACGAGTGGCGCTCCAGTCTTCTCCTTATGGACGGTCAGATCATAGGCACTGCGGTCAGCGCACCCAACGCATTCGATCCATCCGTACGTCGTGAAGAGTTCGGCGTCCCAACAGTCTGCAGCATAATGAGCCATTTCGTTCGCCATGTGTTGTCTGAATCTCAATTTCGTCTGGTCAACACCGAGCTTGAGCAAGAACTCCTGTATTCTCACGAGGAAGTAGCCGAGAGTCTCATTATCCACCAACCCGGAAGACACGGCCTCGCCAATAGTCACTACGTCGATCTTTGTGCTTCCAGCGAGTTGGGTCTTTCTGTTCAGCAGAGACAACTTGGTGTGTTTGACATCTTCGAAGCGGCAGTGCTTCTTCCCACCTTCGGGATCCACAAAATGCTCGATTTCGGCCATCAAGAACTCGCGGACACGCAGAAGCCCAGAGCGTGGGGAGATTTCGTTTCGGAATGACTTTCCAATGGAGGCAGACGCGAAGGGCATTGATTGCTGGTTGAATTCGAGCAGCTTCTGGAAGTTCAGGAACTGTCCTTGGGCAGTTTCTGGACGAAGATATCCATTAGGTCTTTCGGCGCTGGGTCCGATATGAGTCTGAAACATGAGGTTGAAAGCTCTAGGCGGCTCAAGTTCTGCTCCAGTTGAGGGGCCTTTGATGTTGTATTTCTTGATCAGTTCGTACAGTTCATCACCGCCATAGTTGTCAATCTTTGCCAGGGTCTCCTCATACTCTTGTACGAGGGCATCATCGAGTTTCTCAATCTTTGCGTCCTTCACCTTCTTCTTTTTTTTTGCTTCTTTAGCTTCGTCAACTTCGACGGTTTGTCCGCGTGCGTCTTTATCAGCTTTCAACCTCGCCTCGAGGACTTGTTCCACCAAGTGGTCTGCACGGAAGATTTCGCCGCTCTTTGGATCTTTGCACATCCAGTCTGCAAACTTGTCGACATGACCACTGGTCTTGAGGACCGGCTCTGGAGTGAGCATCGTGCAATCAACCTCGAGCATGTCTTCTTCCAGGACGAAATGTTTCCGCCACAGATCGACCACATTAGCTTGCAGGGCGCATCCCGGTGGACCGTAGTCAAAAAGACCACGTTCTCCGCCGTAGATTTCGAACGAGGGCGTGTAGAAGAGTCTTCGACGCAGAATAGAATCTAGGACCATGCGGTCTAGCGGCTGACCAGTCTTTGTCGTGCTTTCTGCCATTTTGAGGTCTAGTTTGGGCGGCTGGAATTTTGCTCTGACAAAACCAGCAGTTGTAAAATGTCGCGCAAAGCGACGAGACTGAAATGAAGTGGCTCTAGAAAGGCAAGCCAAAGCACGCATAGAACCAAAGAAGGAAGGGACTTAGACGGACCCCCCTGAGTAGATATACAGGAGTCGCAGGAAACGATGACTCGAAACTTCGGTGGGATTCACAGGGAAATGACCAAAATAAAATGTTCGGCTGCGTTCCAGGGGCTGAGTGAGCGCCACTTCCCCCAAAAGAGCAGGGAGGGCAAGGAGGGCTTGGGAGGGGTAGCCTCGCGCAGCCACATCCAGCCACATCCAGCCTCGCTCAGCGCCACACTCAGCCTTGCTGCATTCGGAGACACATTTCCCCACCCAACTTTTTTCTCAGCGGCACATCGGTCACTCTTCACCACGCTCTGAGGTCCAGTTCGGCACGAGTATCTCATCCCCCATAGACCTTCATACCCTCCAAAATGCCCCCTCGAACCACAAGACTCTCCGACAAGGCCGCTCTCCCCTTCAAAACTTCTAATAAGCAGCGAAGGCAGGATCTCCACGTCAAGCAGAAACGTGCGCGAGATGCATTGAAAAGGGCCGAAAGATTCAGTCGCAAAAAGGAAGAGGCGAAGAACCCGAGGTTGCGGGAAGAGCGGCTGCGGCGCAATGTTCCTATTACGTTAGACAAGAAACGGGTCTACGATGAAATCGCGTACGAGCCTGAAGATGGTGGCCTGGGGATGGTCTACGATGTGGAAAGGCTGAAGAGAAGGAAGTTGGGTGAGGAACAAGAATTACAGCAGGGTGTGGATGAGGCGGATGACATGGCAGGAAAAGAAGAGGGCGATGAAGATCACGACTCCATGCTGGAGGACAGCGACGACGACGGGAATCACCCCGACGAGGACGATCTCGAACCCGCAGATTTGGACGAGGATACCCAGGACCCTCTGCCCTCAAAGTCTCAGCTCAACTACTCAACGACTCGGTTGAAAGATCGCGCAAGCTCACCATCCCGTTCAACGACCTCAACCAACCTCTCTCTCGCTCCCGCGGCCCTTGCTGCGAAATTCCCGACTCTGTTCTTGTCCCCGGACTCGCCTCCTCCACCTACACCCAAAATTTTAATCACCACATCGATAAACTCGACCTTGCACGATGAAGCTGCCACTCTCACCTCGTTATTCCCTTATTCAAAGTACATTCGCCGCTCGTCCCACCGGTACGGGTATAAGTTCTCTGTGCGTGAAATCTCCGCCTTTGCGGCAAAGCACGGATACACGTCAGTCATCGTCCTCGAAGAGAATCAAAAGAAGCCCTCAGGCATGACTGTTGTGCATTTACCCGTGGGCCCAACATTCCACTTCACCATCTCGAATTGGTATTCGGGCAAACAGATCCCTGGCCACGGTCGCCCCACAGACCACGTTCCTGAACTGATCCTGAACAACTTTACAACCCCGCTCGGCCTGATAACGGCCCAGCTCTTCCGCTCTCTCTTCCCCGCCACACCGGAGCTACACGGCCGGCAGGTCCTAACGCTGCACAATCAGCGTGACTACATCTTCCTACGCCGCCATCGGTACATGTTTCGTGCAAAGCGGGAAACAGAGAGATCCGTGGTCGGCGCCGATGGGAAGGAGATGAGGGGCACGGAAGGCATCAGAGCTGGATTGCAGGAACTAGGACCTAGAATGACGCTCAAACTGAGGAGGGTAGATAAGAGAATACAAAGGGCAAGTGGACAGGAATGGGAATGGAAAGCCAAGATGGAGAAGACGAGGACGAAGTTCCAGCTTTGATGTGGCGAGGACAGGCTGAGGTACAGGGGGGCCCAAGGGAATAAACTGGGCAATCACCCAACCAGATCAATGACCATGATCACCTGGGACGGCGGACTGTTTCTCAGGGAGAGGCGGGGCGGCTCATAAAGTTCTCGAGTGAACTTTGGCAGGTGAAAGAGACAGAACGTACCGAGCACATTTGCGTCCGTCTTCTGTCTGTATTTCATCAACATGGCAGGTTCCTCCGCCTGCCAATCTACAACCAAAGCGACCATAACCGGGGATATCTCCTGCTGCTGCGCGTGCACCTTCGATGGTCACCGTGTCATTCACCATATCCGGCTGTCTTATTGCTTCTCTGTTGCTGCCGTGTCACTCCTCACAGTTTGTGACTCTGGAGTTGACAAAAATCTCCCTGAAGCCAGTCACCACCCGTCGGAGTCTACGTGAACGTGGGCGGCGTTCACGGGTCGTTGGTTCAAAGTCTTGCACCGGCAGCGGTGGCGTTGGGGCTTCTGTTTCTTCTCCAACGCCCACCTATGTCATCGCAGACCCCTGGACGGCGCTCCTTCTTGATGACCTCCTCTTCCGCAAGAAGCATATCCAGTAAACGGCCGCTAGCAAGATCAAGACAAGAGAGCCCACTAGGGCGCCTGCTATCACCGCGATTAAAGATGCAGAGCGCGAGGAAAAAGATGGAGAAGGAAAAGGAGTAGAAGTTTCGATCGTTTCGAGTGGTCATCGTCTCGAAAGGAGCCCGAGAGAAGAGGAATGAAGCTACACTAGGGACGACCGTCACTGCGCCCTCAAGCACCTAAGAGTAGACGGCAGCAATCATATTGCTCCATAATGCCATAATGTCAGCCCATATTCCTTTGACGATCCAATTGCTCACCTTATCCCCAGATACCGGGCTACTAAGATAGATCGTGAGTAGCGTAAGCTGATTCGACGTTTATACTGACTATAGAGCCTAACTGCTGTATATATTTCCCCTCGTCGAGAGTGTCACGGATCTAACAGCGTAGACTCCGAAGGCCACCGCAGCGACGAGTGCAGCGAGCTCCACGATCATTTCGATCAACCACTTCCCCGGTAGCGGTCTGAAGACACTAAACGAGGCTCGAGATTACTTCTCCGGTCGTTCTCGGACCTCCACTGCTGTCTGTGAGCCTGAATCTTGGTACTTGGGCTCAATCGTAGCTGAAGACACAGTCTGACCCGATGGTCGCTCCGCGTGCGAGACATTCTGCATCTCAGCCGGCGTCGCTGACATGGCTTCTTCTGGTCAATATCGTTTCACTGATAAGATGTCCACCGTTGTCCATTTTCAGCCTCATGAGAAAACTGTCGCACGAGTTGAGGGGTCCAACACGAGAATGAAACCCCCCGACCCAAGCCTCGTCAGACATAAGCAATTGGGCAGAAAGTGCGCGCCCAGCCTTGCCGACGTGACATCCATCAGAAGCGATACGTGGTCCGTCAGAAAGCAGAGGAGTTGAGCAACGGAAGGGGGATCACAGCACTTGCCACCTACTACGAGACCGGCGGAAGACCACAAGTAGAAGACTAAGAATAGCACTCAATCTCAATGTGAAAGCTCGCTTTGGATTTCTGTGGACCCTTCTTGTTGAGGGCTCTGGCCGCTCGATCCAGCTCGTCGATTCCTCCCAACACTCAAGGCTAGTTTCGTCCTTTGGTCCATGTGTCTCGTGTCTCTCCGTTTCATCTCGGCGCCTGAAGTTTGTTGACACCCATTTTCCACTCACGTGTGAACAGATGTCGATACCGTCCCATCCCGTCCCGTCCCCAATCATCGGCGCCAGATCGGTGTCTCCAACTCCCTTTCCTGGGGCCGTTGCAAGGCCCTCGTGAATTTGACATGTAGCCCACTCGTCCATACGTGAAGCAAGCAAAATACAAAAGGGCTAAAGCTGAAACAGCAGGTTTTCCAATCTGGCCACCCATCCTTTCTCGAGCTCTAACTACCTTGGCCTTGAGCCTGGGTCCAGAAGTCAAGACTGGCGATCACATCCTCGCCGGTCTCGTCTTCGTAAGCGTACAAAATCTAGGCACAGGCCGTTAGCACAAGCATGACCGTCTTCAGCGGGTCCAATGTTCGTGACTCACCTCTCTCGTACTCGAATGCAACATCCTCACGTTCTTGCCCGTCATCACATGAATCAATTCGCTCGTCTCAATATGCCGTATCTCGATGAAACACGGCTCGAACGCCAGGATGTACGGATAATTCAGTGCAAACGCTTGTGGTGTTCCCTCCCACGTGATCTTCCAGTCCTGCCTTGCACGCCAACCGTTGCGGTTAACAAAAAAGCTGAAGTCGGAATAATTGAGCAGGAATTCGCCATTGAGACGCTCGATGTGGATGGGTTTGACGTTCTCTTTGCGCGTCACAAAGTCGAGCGACGTGTCGGCCTGGTCGAGCAGGGATTGTCGTTCGGTAGTTTCTAACGAGACAACTTCAAAGCCTCTAGCACAGCCGACGCAGAGTGTAGAGCGCAGATAGTGTACCGAGGTCGACTCGGCGGGGATGTAGAATTCCTAGAGGGGTTTGTTAGCGCCCAACTATCACACATCTTTGACTCAAGCAGTATCTACCTTGAATGGCTTCAGAGCGTCTTGGCCGCTGGCAAACATCTTACTGATTGCCGGCTTCTTCTTACCCTTAGTAAGATCGTCCATGGGCTCGTACACCTTGATGGTAGTGGATAATGCCGACGTCTTCACAGAGCACACCAAATGTCGTCCCAATCCAATTCCAGCTTTGAAGAAATTGGAATGTCCCTGGATCTTGCGCGGTCTCGTCGCCAGTGGATTCTGATTATTCGGATCCAATGCGTCAAATGGATATGAAGTAAGCGTTTTGTTTGACAACACCAGGAGTAGTCGGTATTCCTCCAGCGTGTCGATTTGTGAAACTTGGGTGGCGTCGAGAATGCGCCTCGGTTTGACGGACTTATCCTTTGGCCATCGATCAGCGACATAGATCCCATTATCAGTGCCGTAAATGAGCTTGCGACCTCCATCTGTTGGTACTAGACAGTTGACCCGATTCTGAGCATTGAAGAAACCTTCGCACAAGATGGTCTTGGTGTAGAAGGCACTACTTCGGTCGCGGAGTTTGCTTTGCTGCTCTTCCACTAGCTCAATAAACTTCTTGCGTTGAGTGATGGAGGTAGCATACAGTTGAAGCTCATATGCGCCTTTTCCAAGATGCCGGAAAGTAATGGGATACACTTCTTTCTGACCTGGAGTGCTTGACGCGGATGGTTTCGTGCCGGGTATGAGACTGGACGAGGAGCGCTTTGCGAGGCCCAGGCGGGGAATAACTTGATCCATCTCGGCAATAACGAGGAGCTCCAGCGGAATCGGCTTCCTGTATACTCGAAGTTCCTCTCGTTTGTTGACATTCTTGACACGGCACATGAGAACCGCATGATCAAAGAGGTATACTTGAACTTCTGCGCTGTCGGTGGGAGACTTCTTGAAGCTCATCTTGGTCAGAATAACGCGGTTCTCTTCAGTGAGTTTCAGATCCGTGTACTCTCCTGCGTTCCACTTGAGCTGTGAATTCAGTTGAAGTAGATTGAAGTGATTCTCAGCTTTGCCACTTTCTGCGTTGACCCGAGCCAGGAAATCCTTGATCAGACCAATGGCTTTGGGAATTTCCTTCTTGTCCGGATTGTCATCCTTTGTGTACTTCAATACATTGTCCAGCAGGAGTGGATACCTGGCTAGTCGCGTTGTTGGTTTGGTAAGGTAACCATTCAGCTCGAGCTTTCTGGACTCTTTCAGGCGCTCAGTTTCGTCAACGAACCGTGAAAAGGCTGGGTTGGCGCCTTTTTCTTTCTCAAATTCGTATTTGCCATACATCTGATTCGCGCCGTACTTGATGAAAGGGTCGAACTGCGGGACAAATCTGTTGAAGATGTCACCAATACAGTGTACCACGTGTTGCTCTTTCTGCCTCTTCGACAGCTCCTCCGCAAATCGGCCATTCACTGCCAGGACCTCCAGACAGTTACCAAACACGGTGCGGACAAATTTCTCTCGCCTCTCTTCTTTGATGGGAGACATGACATTGCCGGCACCACGAAGTGGTCGTATCCAGAAATCACGGAGATATTCCAAATCCTTGACAAAGTCACGCTCTGTGTACATGATCTCTGAGATGACTTCCTGCCTCTTCTTTTCTCTGTCATCAATCTTGTCTGCAACCTCCTTGGGAACGCTGTTAATCCAGAGCTTCTGCTCCTGGTCCTCGTCGCCGTGTAAGCTTCCTCTCGAGTTGGAATGTCGCAATCCGGGCTGTGGCCGTAGATTCAGGCGCGCTTGCTGTTCCAGCCGCCGAGGACACGCGATAGAGTAGCAGAGGTGATCTTTTGTGCAAGTTGGAGAATAACACTCTGTCAGCAAGGTAAAGACACCGTTGACATCTTTAGATGACGCCTCTTCCCCCATTGTCTCTCGGAACTGGTAGACTTCTCCGGGGGCGTCTCTCAGCCGATGCTCATAGGTTACGTCGTGAAAGAACTTTTGGGCGTCGAGTGCTCGTCCAAGAAGCAAAGCAAGGTTTCTGTCAGTTGTCTTGATGATGTAGGCGATCAAGTCGACGGCCTCGGCACCTGTAAAGGCGTTCTTGTATGAGAGATCATTCTTGCTTCTGTCGCCAACGCCGATTCTCTCTTGAAAAGCGCTCGCAACACGTGACAGCAGCGCAGGATAGACAAGGGGGGACTTTCTTTGGACAACAGTCGTGGTCTGGCTGGCTGATGAATGAGCCGAACCTGTCGGCCTACTCATCATACTGTCGTTGCGAGGGCCATTCATGGTGGTTGTCGACGTGAAGTCAGACGAAGCTGAGGCGGCGGAAGCGGCAGATACAGCGCGCGGGGGGTTACTTCCCTCACTGGGGCGCCGTGACCGCGGGGTGACGCCGTATGCTGGAGAGTTAGTGGAGCTAAAGGAACCATTAGGAGACGCATAATGGTCTGCGAAAGGGTCTGATTCTGATTCTCGGCGACGGTGAGGAACGACTCTCCCACTTGTCAACTGCTGGGTATGATCTCGATCCAAAGCGTACGACCCCATTGACATGGATCTATCGCCATCGACTCTTTCAGGTATGTGTCTGCCCTGAGCGGTTGTCCTTGGACCACCCATACCCATTCCCGCATAAGGCTGCTGTCTAAAAGCACTGGCGGTACCCTGCTGGAAGCTGCTGGGTGGCGGGCGATAGCCCACGGTCGGCTCCCCAGGCCTCACCATCGACCGCGACCTATATCCATCATTATTCAATGCTGGAGGAGGCATTCGGTTGGGAACGGGTTTCCGGTCGTAGGTCGACATGGACATGGAAGAGGAGGCACCGGGCCGCATATCTATCCGCTGAGGCGGAGGATAAGGTCGACGGTCAGGGAACATTGGCGCGGGATTATGTGGTGCTGTTCTTGTAGCGTTTGCGCCGTTGGTATAAGGCTGAGCCGGAGCAATGCCGTTGGATCGATCGTAGGATTGAGGCATCTGACGCATGTGTGGAGGGGGGCCCTGTCTCATGGACATGGTATGCTGGTGGTGTTGTTGTTGGTGTTGTTGGTGTTGTTGTTGTTGTTGTTGATGGGTACTCATGCTGGGCAGTCGATCGTACATGCCAGCTGCAGATTGTGTTGTCATTGTCTGGGATCTCCCTGGAGGAGGAGCGCCGCCAAATATATTATGAAAGGCGGTATCTCTTTGATCGGCGGGACCTCCATGCTGTGGAGGAGGTGGTCTTGCACCATAATAGCGAGAGTCGGGCAGACCATAGTCTGCCATGTTCGGTCAGAGGGTAGGGAAAATAGCGATATAGCAGAGGTGCAGTTATTGAGCGGGCATGGAGAGTAGTGGCGACTGAGAATCTGGTCTGCAGGGTGTACTCCGTAGTGTGCAGGGGGGCTTTTTTTCTTTCTCCTCTCTTCGCGATTTTGAATTATTTCCCCCGCCCCAAACTTTTCGATTGTCGAGCCGATATTGAAGGCAGAACGAAGGGCAACGGAATGGATGGCAGTGTCGGCGTGATGCAATGGATTGACCGTGGAGGACAGCGGGTGGTCGATATTCAAGTTGGGGATCTGTGTGTGTGCTGGGCTGCACGAATGGAGGAGGTCGAAGTGGATGAGGGATGGTCAGAGATTACAGATGATGGTCGCACAGATTCCGCGTCATGCTCTCACCATGCCAGCAGGGAGAGAAAGCAGATGGTGATGGTTGAACGAGTATGGACGAATTAATGCGTAGTAATGGTGAACAGATTCAATGGATAGAGGCAGTATAGCATGCGGTGGAAATGGGAATGGGAATGGGATGGTTCAAGATGGATGGTGGATGGGGGAGAAACGACTGCAGTTGGACGAGGATCGACTGCTGCTAAACCAGGCAGCATACTGGGGTTGCCATTGGTTGCGCCTGCTCTTCCTCCTGGCAGGCGGCAGGTGGCAGGTGGCAGTGGCAGAGCCAACAGAGCGCAGGGCCTGCGTGGGCCTGCTAGCCCGCCAGCCCAAGGGCCTCACCAGCCGCAGGGCACATCCCATCGCATCTCCTACTACTGGGTAAGTACTGGAGTACACACTTGTTGTTAGGTTCCTTTCCACCCACTCCATTCCATCCCAAGCTTGCTTCATCATCGGCAGAACGTTAAACTGCCCGCAAGGTGCTTGCTCGACAACCCACCCACCTTTTCTACTGCACCTTACAACATCCTGCTCTTCCTCTTCTCTGACCACCTTCCCATCCGTCGCTGAATCTCCCACCATGACGACAATCACAGAAGGGCCGGGCAGCGAACTCACGCCCAACTTTGCTCCCTTCTTTGGCATGGTAATTCCGCTTCCTGACTATTCCTCGCTGGACGAACTAGACTAACACGGAGCATGATGTAGGCCGGAATCGCTTCTGCTGTACGTCGAGCTAGCCTCAATCAACCCCGAACCCTCTTGCTAACCCTCCATGCGCTCTAGATGATCTTTGGCTGTATGGGTTTCGGAGAAAGGATGAATACTGCAAAAGATGCTGAGCGTCTCATACAGGTATAGGAGCCGCCTACGGCACCGCAAAATCAGGCATCGGAATTGCTGGCGTGGGAACTTACCGCCCTGACTTGATCATGAAGGTCTGGAGTGCACGGATATCCCCTCCACATGCCTCGTCTAACGGCGAACGTCAGTCCCTCATCCCCGTCGTCATGTCCGGAATCATCGCCGTCTACGCCCTCGTCATCGCCGTGCTCATCGCCGGAGATATGGGGCCCCCGCCTCAGCAGAATTACAGCTTATTTACTGGATTCATGCACCTGGCCTCAGGATTAAGTGTCGGCCTCGCCGGCCTCGCAGCTGGCTATGCCATTGGGATTGTGGGAGACATGGGTGTGAGATGTTATATGCAGCAAAGCAGGATATTTGTGGGCATGGTGCTCATTTTGATCTTTGGTGAGGTGCTGGGGCTCTACGGGCTGATTGTAGGACTGATTTTGCATTCAAAGAGTTGAATGGCCGCCCGACGACGATACTGGAGGAACACGAGTGTATTCGGATTCGGAGACTTAGGTTAGAAGGCCAGTACTTCAAAAATAGAACCGGGATGTTCAGCATAAAAGGCGAAGGCCCAAGGGACGATATATCGCATCGTGCAGCTATGAACGCTATATGCTCTTACTGCAGGAACTTCCCAAGATTGCCACCAATATGCTCTAAATCCAAGAGAAATGTGTCGTGCCCGAACAGACTGATATCCTCGCCGAGCTCCACATGCGTAACTTGATTGTTTCCCGTAGCTTGCAACGTCTCGGCAATCTCCCTTTGCTGCCACGCTGGAAAGAGTATATCGCTCGCCACACCCATCACCAAAACGGGGTGATCGCTCAAGGGCGCCATTCCCTGGACGAGATCTCGCGGCGGCCCGGCGTTATGGCCCGGCGCAACAGCCTCATCCAGTGGCGCCGTAGAGACTTGTTCTTCGTAATTCTTCGATGGCAGCATCAAACTGCATGATGGATCATTGCGAATAGCGGCTTCCCCACGGATGGTCAACAACTTCTCCTGATTCTTTTGCCTTCGGAATCTAGTGCTTTCTTGATGAGCCCATCCAAGGTCGAACAGGTCCATCGCCTTGCTAACATAAAGCAGAGAATTTGGATCATATTCCAAGGAAAACTTCTCACCAGCATGGTCCAAGTACGTCTCAATTAAGAAATCCGGACAGAGAGCGGGCTGTTTGCTGGGGTCGGCTCGTTGTCTCCCAAACCTATTCTCCCACTCGGGCCCACTGCGATATGTCACCGTGGCAATTTCGCGGGCAAGCTTCATTCCCGTATGTGGCGGAATACCGCTGTCGTAGTAGAAGCCTCTATTCCAGTTGGGGTCCATCATCAACACTTGTCGTTGAGTGTGCCGCATGGCGATACTATACGGGTGGCTCCTTGCACAACCCGAAATGCTGACGATTTTGCCCACCCGGTCCGGGAAATGGACACCGAAGGCAAGGCTTTGCATCCCACCCATACTTGCACCAACGCTGGCGTAGAGCTTGTCGATACGTAGCCCGTCCAGAAGCCGCGCTTGCGCTCGGACCATGTCGTCCATTGTCAGGATGGGAAATCGAGTAGCATATCGCCGACCGTCTGAGGGATCGATCGAAGAGGGTCCAGTTGAGCCATAGCAGCCGCCTATCACATTCGTGCATATCACAAAGTATTTGTTGGTATCTAAAGGAGCACCAGGCCCGATGAACTTTTCCCACCACCCCGGTTTCGGGTTTGCTTCTGTGCTGTGTGCGTGGCTCGACGCCGATAGTCCAGTATGTAGCAGAATTGCATTGCTCTTGTCCGCGTTCAGTGTGCCCCAAGTTTCATGAGCGATGTTGAATTCGGGTAATATCCCACCCCAATCTAAGAGGATGGGTTGCGAGCTGTAGAACACCATGTGTTGGCCAGTGGTGTAAGAAGGTTCGGGTCCTGATTGGAGAGACCGGTCCTGCAAAGCGGCTGTCTTCATTTCTTGCGCATCAAGACAGGGAAAGGACATTGCTGGGTTTGTGGACTCAGGTCCCTCGTAGGGCTCTTCTTCTTGCACTTCGGCGGTGGCGGCTTGAGCACGGTGGGCCGCTCGTGTATGTAGAGATGCATTTCTAATCCGCTGGGCCTTCGTTTTCAGAGCGAAGCGATCGAACTTGTGCTCTCTTATGGGTGAAGAGGAATGGGATGTCAGACTCCTAGAGCCTCGACTGAGGAGCCGGGCAGCAATCTGAGCTCCTCGGGGGACCGCCATGTCGAACTGGAGGGGACTTCAAAGTGATAGAGGGTTGAAGAAGGAGCGGGGTCTCGCTCCGGAGACAGTTGTGAAGGATGACATCCATTTTGGCGGCTTTGACAACTTGGGGGTAAAAGTGCAGGGAGTTGATGGCACCCTTGCGCATCCTCAATGATCACGACATCAGCGGCCAATAACAAAAGAGTTGACGGCTCTCGCCAAACCTGCCTCTCCTCGATATTCAGCCTTGTCGCCTAGTTCGGCTCAGCCTTGTGACACCCCAAAACACCGAGGACACCTCGTTGCATTGAGAACTCGATTTTCCGGCCTCTCCTGTCTTCTTCTTCTGCTGCTGCTGCTGCTATATCACGCCGGCCACAAAGCCTCGGCATTCTTGGTGCCTCTGCGCCCCCGCTACGAGCAATCGCATTCCTTAGGTACCAAGGATCGTCATGCTCATGCCAATCTACCCTGGGCATCCCCAAAGAACTAGGGGCAAAAAGAGAGGATACAAGTCGCCACATGTTCACCACAACCGGGCAGAAATTACTATTAAAGCCCCAGTTAGTTATGCTGGCTGTCACGGTCGACTTTTCTCCGTCGTATCTGGGGTCGCACTCTTTCTTGTCAGTCATGGACCCGCCCTTTCGACGATCCCGAACGAGCCTGTCCCACTTCCCTGTACGGCCGCGCCGAGAGATAATGAGATGTCAGAGTTGCCCGCTCGTATCAGGACCTTGGGAAAGGGGGGAGTCGTATTTTCGACCTCTAGAGAATGCTTTGAGAGGAGGGTGTCAGTGTGCTAGGAGATGAGCACCGCGGAAAATGGTTGTTGCCAACCCTCATGACATCTGCGCGGCCTGTCCTATGTAGCTGGGTGTGGCTTGGTGAATGCAACACATCATCGTTCGCATTGTCCCGATCCCCTGCGCTGAGTAGAGCAAACACGGAGCTGGCACCCAATGGGCTTTTCCATTTGACCAGTGTAGCCGTGGGAGAAGCTGAGTATGTTGCTCCTGCGGAAGAGAGACGGTCGATGTTCCGGGAACCTCGGCTGTTTCCCCAGCTCAGGAACCGCGATACCCTGGAAACTCCACAGCACCTCCCGCTCACCACAGCTCAGCGTCCCATCCTCCCTCATTCATGATTAGTCTGCTGCCGGTGTCTGCGGTGCTGTGCCCGTTTGCCGTTCGAGGCGAGAGCTTCCTTGCCAATGCCGAGGGTCAGTTGAAACATTTTATATACTCTATACTACCCCAACATTTCTTGGAGAGGTGGAAAAGGCTGCCCCCCAGACCCATTCCTCAAGTCACTGCGTACTGACCCCTTTCGGTCAGCTTCAGGCATATCTCAAGAGGACGAGCTCGTTCCCGCTTGACATCCCACCACCTGCCTTCTTCCCACTTCTCTGGACCACCGATTTACTTCCTCCCGTCACCATGGCTTCCCCGGAAGAAGCAGTTCTCTACAGGCAGCAGGGCCGCGTCGCCATCATCACCCTCAATCAGCCCAAGAAACTCAATGCCATGTCACAGCCCTACTACTACCGTATTTCCTGCCTGCTCCGGGACATCGCCGAGAACCCCGATATCAGCGTGACTGTGCTCACAGGCACAGGCCGATTCTTTTCGGCTGGTGCAAATGTCAATTCCACCAGACCTGGTGTAGGACCGGGCTTGGACAAAGACGCCGCACGTAATGATATCTTGAAGGGGTTTGTGAGCAACAACTTGGACATTACACGCTCCTTCTATACCCACCCGAAGATCCTAGTCGCTGCCTTGAACGGGCCGACAGTGGGGCTGTCCGCTGCCTTGTTGGGCTTCTGCGACTTTATTTATGCCGCTCCGCACACATTCCTGTTGACGCCTTTTTCCTCGCTCGGACTGGTTGCAGAGGGCGGCGCGAGCGCTGGACTCGTGCAGCGCATGGGTTTGGCAAAGGCCAACGAAGCGCTCATCATGTCCCGCAAGATCCCATGTGACGAGCTCGTGGCATGTGGCTTCGTGAACAAGGTCTTCTCTGGAAAAGACCAGAACGACTCCGAAGGTTTCCTGAAACAGGTGTTGGCGGAAATTGATGATAAATTGGGCGACCACCTCAACCAAGAGTCCATTCTGAAGATCAAGGGGTTGATCCGGCGGCCCTACTTGGAAGGTCTTGAGGCTCAAGGAGTTAGGGAGGTTATGGAGGGCATGCTGAGGTTTGTCAAGGGAGCTCCGCAGGAAGAATTCAAGAAGATTGCGAGTGGACAGAAGAGACATAAATTGTAAATATATTGGGGGGGGGGGGGGGGCCAGATGCATCAGAGAATGCAATGAGTGGCTGGGGATTGATGAAAAAGGCTGATCTGTCAATGGCCACCGCTAGGGGTCATATAGAATTGACTCAAAAGGCCAAAGGAACCTATGGGAGGGAATGATTTTTGGGAAAGAAAAGGACAAGCGTGGGTACGATTCCTCGCTTTGGACACCCTTCTCAGCAGTGCTGTGTTGCTTTCTTTGATCTCTAGTCATTCGTTTCTCAGTCATCCCAAGCATGCATTTCCTTCCAAGACACAAAAATCCTAGGAAAGACCATGCTCAGAGGGCGGCCACGGTCTTGGCGAAGGGAAATCCATGCTCTGCTCTTCTAGCTCCTGTTTGCTTCTTCTATAGCGTGGCCTCTTCACATCAATCGGTCCTTACGTTTGGCAGTTCTTCTTTAGGTTCATTTACAATGTACTGTGTGGGAAACCTGCTCCGCAGCCACGAGCAACTAGCTGATCCATGAGAGCGTAACATTCTGGGCGCCATGCGAGGCAGCAAGCATTCGTAAAAGGAAAGCGGCAAAAATCATTCCGCTGGTTCATTTACTTGTTTATTCAGGCCTCATCTGACCAAAACCGGCTTCATGGAAGCTCGAGCGAATTGATTGTCGTCGACAGTCCGTGTCAGGGATTCGTTGGAAGAGGATCTCCCTCCGCATCGCTTCTTTTCATTTCTTCAAAATGCGCGTGGGGCCATCCATGTCCTGCGTCGCCGCCGCGCAGGGGGCGGGAGCAACCCCTATGCTAGCATCTATTTACTCCACCATTTGTAGAAACCATGAAAGCAGCAAGCGGGCATGAAGTGAAAAGCGGCAGGACAAACTGGTCTGTCGGTTCACGAAGTTGTCCTTTGAGGGATCAATGTTGCCTAATCCATACGCTCGAGCGACTCGTGTGGTGGGGAGGCAGAGACATGTTGACAATTGTAATGGTGATCAGGTAACTATGCTCCTTTCTCCTCGCACCTGGGGCTGATGCCTGACGGGCTATTCCTACCTTCGGTTTAGGGTCAGGGGAACAGCCTTAGAATGAAGTGGTATCAGTCCAGGTCTGCTCCATAGTTTGGGCAGGGGCACAAGGCCATGAAAAGCAGCAAATGGGCCTGAAGTGAAAGCAGCACGAGAAAGGGGTCTGCTGTTTCATGAAATGCCCAATTCGGCCCTGGTTGTGACAAAAGAGGAAATGTATTCGTTCAGACGTGGCGGAGAGGACGCCGCGTGCGTCTTATGGAGCCATGTTGGCGAGATGATGTGGAAGCATGTAACCAAGGTGCCAGGATTTCGATGCTAGTAATGGGAAAGGACACAAAAGGAGCAAGATGTTGGAGGTGGCGAGGGTGGATTTGGTTGAGCAGACGAAAAGGAGCGAGATACTTGGCCACTAACGGCAGGTTTTGTCTTCCCGAAACGGAAAGCAGCACTTGCTCTCCTGCTATTACTCTCGAGCCCAGTGTCTCTGATTATGCTATTCTCGGGAATTTCCCGCCACTTTTACCACGCCGAAACCCATCGAGCCATCTTCAAGCGGCAGCAGCCTGCCACTGACTTGTCGCTGCTCTTCCGACCTCGTATCCTCTTCTTCCTCTGCATCTTCTCCGTGGACATTCAGCATGATTAAATCTAGGCCGTCCAATCGCTCTTCTCAATTTCTCCGTCAGTCTCTCGGGGACCAGTTTCTGAGGAGCTTCCAATGCAAGGAATGTCATAGCGCATCTCTCGGCGAACTCCTCCCAAACCGTACCTTGGAGCTTCATGCAGCTCTGTTTGTCAGATGACGTCTCCATAGGTCTGTTTACCATGGTCTGAGCTGGACGCTTGGAGCTCGTCAAGGTGCTGCTAGATAAGCTATAGTTCGAAATAAGCTGCAATGAAGTGTTTGGTTCTTTCCATCGTTCCAGCAGTAGACTGGGGTATATATATGGAGGTGAGGTATTCCATGGTATCCCGGCATGTCTTTCAGTTGCTCAGTTGATATTGAGAGACAAAGATCCAAATCAATTCTTAGCGCAGATATTGTTCAATAGCACTTTCTCGACATCTGTTCAACGTCGACCCTTACATCTTGTCAAAATGTACACGACTCTGCCCAACGGTATCAAAGTCTTCTATCGCGAAGCTGGCTCCTCGAGCAACCACACCATTCTCCTGCTACATGGTTTCCCTTCCTCCTCAAACCAATATCGAAACTTGATTCCTATTCTCTCCAAGAAATACCATGTTGTTGCCCCGGACCTACCAGGCTTTGGCTTCACTGAAATTCCTGCCTCCCTGAAATTCCAATATACCTTCGCCAATCTTGCGACCACCATTGGCTCCTTTCTTGACATTCTCAAGATCCAGAAATTCGCCGTTTATGTGTTTGACTATGGCGCTCCCACAGGGTTCCGTCTTGCCCTCGAGCGACCAGAGGCCATTACTGCCATCATCTCCCAGAATGGTAACGCCTACGTGGAAGGCTTGTCGTCGTTCTGGGATCCCTTACGACAACTGTGGGCCTCCGACGCGGGGTCAGATGAGGAGAAACAATTGTGTGATATGATTTCGGGTGCAGTCTTGTCCTTTGATGCCACGAAGGGCCAGTATCTGAATGGTGAGCCCGAGGCTGAAAAGATTGACGACCCGGCGACATACCATCTCGATTACGCCCTTATGTGCCGCCCGGGGAACAAGGAGATTCAACTCGACCTATTCAGGGACTATGCCACTAATGTCGCCTTATATCCCAAGTTCCAGGCGTATTTGCGAGAGGGCGGTGTCCCTGTGCTAGCTGTGTGGGGCAAAAACGATACCATCTTCCCGCCGGTTGGGGCAGAAGCCTTTAGGAGGGATGTGAAAGAGCTGAAACTCGTGTTGTTGGACGGTGGGCACTTCTTGGTCGAGAGTCACACGGAAGAGGTGGGAAAGCTGATCCTAGAGTTCTTGGCCGAAAGGGGCCTTTGAGCAAGCTTATCCAAAGCCACGATGTTGAATGGAGAGATAGCCATGGTGGGACATAGCCGAGTCTGGTTGATATATACGGGCCCTGATAGTATGACAGTCAAAATAATGAATTTCGCGATCGAGTCGACGCATTTTCTGGTACCAGTCACTGTCGCCGCCACAGACAGACTTTGGTTGAGCCTCGATGACCTCCACCATGGACATGGAGGAGCCAGAAGTCGCAGAACCAATGCCCACAAGGGTGAAGAGCCCTGGTGATTACGAGTCCCAAGAGACTCCTCTATAAAATTAACTGTAAAGTATAAATGACGTGGTCCGGTCCTCTCGATACTCTGTGAGCCATGGTCAGAGAGGGATTGTCAAGCAAACGCTTGGCTTTTATGTGGTATTCTGCTCACGATGCCAGCCTCATTGCGGATCGAAATATTCCCCTCCGACCTCCAGCGAATGATTGATTTCTATTCCACCATTCTCAACTTCAGCTTGATCAAGCGCGATGGCGACTACGCTTACCTTGGACGCCGACATCCAATGGCAACCTTGGGGACTGAAGGATTTCCGACTAATCGACCCCGACGGGTACGTCCATTGCTCTACTCTCCCTAAGCCAGGCTAGACTTTGACACGTGGTGACGCTTCTTCATAGGTATTACCTGAGGATCACAACGCACAGCCCAAAGCGCGATGGGAAAGGACTGTGAAGCACACGCATGGCACATGGGAAAGTCTGATTGTCCTCTCACATGCAGCGGTGGACGATCCCCTCCACAATAGTCTAACATGGGCCACCGGGAGACCCATTCAGGAGGCTATGCGATCCCACTCTTTGAAGGAGGGATGACGAGGTTTGGTGTCTGCGTTCGTCGCTAGCTTTCATGGTGACTAGTGGTGATGCTCGTGGTGGCTGCTCATGGTGCATGGCATGCGGCACGCAAGGGAAAACCCGGGGCTCGCATGGCACAAGGCAAATCTTGATGCTTCTTCTGCTCTCTGGTCGTACATACGTCATGGTAGAGAGGAATAAAGCCAAGGCACTTCGTAGGTGGTCGGATCAAAATTCCTGGAACTCGAATGACGCAGGCCAATTGAGATCGGAACGCCACGGACCAAGCCACGATCAGCCACAGATCGCCCCGATGTCCCTGCGCTAATTGGTGGAAACTCACTAGCGCGATTGTGGGTCTCCCTTTAGCATGTCGTCACTCCTTCACATTTTGGGCTCTTCCTCTCCACCTTCCATTGACTCTTTGTTCAGCTCTCACTCGTTCCTTGTTGTCTGTGTGTGTGTCACCAGATCAAAGGACGTCATAACTTCTCAAAGAGCCACCAGAGCCGCCAGAGCATGGCATTGCGAATGACCTCAGCTTGGATCTGGCTGATTCCTCGGGCGCGAGTTCCTCTCATGGCGGGGGGCCGCGAGCAATACGCAATATGACTGGACCCATAGTGGGTGTCAGGGCGTTTCAAAGAAGGAGAGACTGACAAGGAAACGAACTCGCAAGTGAGGGCGAAGTGAAGTCGCAACGCGGGGCAAATCGGGCAAACGCAATCTAGCACAAGGAACAGCCACCAAGCAGGGACACCGCGCTCAGATCTGACAGACTATAAGTATCTCCCTCTTCCTCCTTTTCCCGTCCAATCTTTCTCATCATCCACTGTTCTTCTCACAATCATCCAAAGTCCTCTATCCCAATTCCAATTCAATCCAATTCAAAATCCAAACTACATCTTCGTCCACAATGGAGTCCGTCAAGAACGCTGCCAAGTACGTTGCTGCCTTTCCATGACCTCGCCGTCTCTCACCATACTGACTTGTCTCCTCAAAGCTACGTCGGTGACAAGGTCCAAGAGGCTACCTCTGGTGCTTCCAAGGAGGCCAACAAGAATGTCGCCAAGGACTCTGACGCATCTCTCGGAACCCGTGCTTCTGCAGCAAAGGACGCCGCTAGCGACAAGCTCGACGAGAGCAAGCACTCTGTATGTCCCCTCCTTTTATCGCCACCCTGTATCTATGTCTAACAAGTTGTGTATAGGCATCTGCCGAGGGCAATAAGCAGGCTGCTACTCACTAAGCGTCCCAACACCGAGTTTACATCTCGGCCTACAATACCTTCCTGCAACAGTTCCTAAGAATACTTTCTTACCTCACGGTCAAAGTGGTCGATTGATGGACACGCACAACTCGGTAGAGCACTAGCAGCGGTTTCATGAGCTTTGGACGATGGCAATGTATTTCTTATGACACACATGCTCAAGAAAGCAGATGGTACCTCATTAGGTAGCTTGAATCGAACGATATTCTAAATCCTAACTCGAATCCTGTCCAAATGCGTTTCAGTGTTGAAATTTTCCCTAACCTAGTTGTAATCCGCTTGTCCATTCTTTCTCACTTTCTCAGCGTGCAGCTGGCCAATGACCACCAAATCCCTTGCTTATGATTCTCACACGCTTGAATGTTACGGAAAATCACCTTCCACCCTGGCCACAACGACTTAAGAGACACTGCATGAAAAAGGTTGTGGAGAGTGAGAGGTAACAATAAGAGAGCAATGCAAAAGTGAATATTTCCACTAAAGATATACGAGTAAAATCACACCACCGTAACCATAGCTTCACTTTTACTGCCGCTACGTTGCGATCGTTTAGACCCGCGTTGGGTCCCCGTTGGCACACAGTGAAATCGTTCATGACAGATGGTCACAACTGTGCATCACGAGGGTGCTTTGTTCAACGTGTTTGTCGTTACTTGAGACAAAGCCAGAACAGCCATGCAGCGACCACGTGTCTACTCCTCCTCCTCCTCCTCGAACGAGACCATCCTTGAAGCGTTCTCTTCCTCGCCTGCTACACGCACTCCAGGTCCGGCAGATGTCACACGTGGTTCCTTTCCGTCAGGCCCATCATCTCACCTCCCACATCCGGTCGTGCCTCTGCGTCAAAGCCTCGCCTCCGGCCTGAAGTCCACCGCCGAGGCAAGCGGCAGTCATGGCGTCGTGAAAGGGAGGCCACTTTCAGGGAACAACAAGCAAGGGATTGTGGGAGTAGATGCGGATGGAAACGATGACTCAGAAGAGTCGATCGATTGGGACGCAGACTCGGATGAAGATACCGCCGCCGCTGCCAACATCAAGTCACGACATCATGTCGTGAAGCGTGCCAAACTTCCACAGACCATGGGCTTCCACTTCGATTGGTGGATCGCACGCATAGCGACTGCGGCGGTGAATGTGTGTGCTTTTCCTCTCCCTTACCTCAATGACCTTTGCTTTGCCACCGTTATGGTTTGGCAACCATCGACTTGCCTGGAAGGTTCGCATGCTAACTATATTCCTGCATCCCTGTAGTTGGACTTCAAGGTTCTATGTGCGAGCATGATGCTGTGGAGGGAGAGGAACGAGGTTTTGCAAGTTCCCACCTATCAAGCGAAGGCCATACCGCGAATGTGGTTGAAACACAATGGTCCTGTTCCGAGCACAGTACCGTCGCAGATACACCAACCCTCGTCATCAACACCACCACCAGACAGCATGACCACGCTCAGAGGAGTAGGCGCATCCCCTGCGTGGACGATGGACTGGGATGTCCTGCTGGAAGAGATCAGGCAGGCCAGCGAGAAGATGCATCAGGACCGAAAATGGAAACTGAGAGGAAAGAAAAATGCCGCCGGTTGGTGTAAATGGGGAGCGAAGCAGCGGGTGAAGGATGGGGGCGAATTCGTTGAAAAATCGGCAGCTGGATATGAGGTAGAAGGAGAGGGAGAAGGTCGGACGTGGGTTGTTAGGCTAGGATACCGGAGGAACGACGCGGTGGCAGAGGACATGGATCTGGATGGCGAAGCAGCCGATGCTGATGGGGCCGTGACTGGCGAGAGGAGCGTCGAAGGAGAAGAAGGCATTCGGGGGCCCATGGACAGTCCGACAAACAGCAATGGCGACGGTCTCGATGTAGCGATGGAAGAAGCCCCGGAGCCCTGACAAGCGCTTATGCATTCTCTGCATTCCATCTGATACAGTCTTCAAATCGGGCTCCGCTGCCGCCAAAAATATCCAAAGCACTGCCGATGGTCAGGTCGACCTTGCCTTGGCTGCACTGCTTCACAAGGTCAAGATCTCCCACAGAGCGTGCGCCCCCAGCATACGTTACCGGGATGGTGCACCAGTCAGACAACCTCTTGACGAGCTCTGTGTCGATGCCTAGCTGGAGGCCTTCGTTGTCGGCTGCGTGGATGAGGAATTCCGAACAATAGGGTTCGAGCATCTTGATGCTCTCTGTGGTCCTTTGCGTGAGTGGATCGAAACAAAGAGCGTGCCGTCGGGGCAGCACATCACGTGCAAACATACATACATGCATACATACCTTGGGTGATTTCCATCTCGGTGATAGTCTGCCACTTGTTCATGGCCACGAACCATGTATCGCCGCTCCTCCTGCAGCTGAGGTCGATGACGAGCTTGTCCCTGTCGTCCGCCAGAGCTGCGAGCACGGATTTCAACCGCTCCGGAGAAAAGCGGCCGTGGGGGAATAGGAACGAAGTGATAATGACCTACTGCTTGTTTTTAACCTTAGACAAGCTACGATCTCTGGAACGTGAGTATCACCCGGATGGAGGGTGTGCCCCGGGTCAGGAATAGAGGCGAGGATGAAGATGAAGACGGCAACGGCAAAAGGGTCTCTCCTGCTTACCTTTTCGGCGCCTGCTTCAATCCATTCCTTTGCATTGGCGTCCGTGATGCCACCACCAACCTGGAGACGCCCGGGCCAGGTGGCTAGAGCTTCCTTCGCAGCCTGTTCGTTCCCCGGTCCAAGCATGATGACATGGGCGCCCAAGAGACTCGCATCGCGATATAGATGTGCAAAGTACTCCGCCGGATGCTGCGAGATGTAGTTTGTCTTCAGCTCGGACTCTTGTGTGCTCAGTGTCCCGCCGACAATCTGTTTGACCTGGCCGGCGTGGAGGTCGATGCAGGGTCGGAAGCGGGTCATGGTGGCGGGTTTGGAGACAAGACAAACCAATAAACTATTGTATTGTTGTCTATAACGCAAATGCTGAAGAATAGTTGTTACGTGCGAAGGGTGGGAAGGATCAAGTTACTTTCCGCCGCTTGGGCTCTTTTTTTTTTCCCTCTCTCTCCTTGGTAGAAGTGGGGAAGGGAGAAGGGGAGGGGGGAAGAGAGGCATACATTTTCTACGGCAGCCGAACAAATGTACAATTAAAGGTTGGAGGAGAGCACAACGCCAACAAGGGCGGATGGTCGTCGATGTGACTTTTACTGACATCCTCATTCTAGCTGCAAGATCAAATTCTTCGTCTCTGAGCTTTCAACTTGCTCACGGGCTCAAGGAGTCAGATCAAGTTGGGTTACTCGGTATTTGTGCCTCCCCTCGAAGGACCGCTCGAACTGCGCGACGGGTGTGGGCTTGCGTCGACACCTCAGTGCGGGTTCTGCACGGCCAGGCAGTTGTCAGTCACGACGTTGTGCTTAAACTTATCTATCACTTGTCCGTCGTGGTATTTCTTGAGAAGCGCTGCGGCGCACGACCAATCCCGCCAATCAAAATTCAAGAAATCTGGCTGCTTTGGAAACCTTTGAACCGACGTGAAGTTACTTCTGAATTTTAGACCATCCCGTCAACAATGCAATACTGACCCTGGCATCTGCCCAAAGGACGTCCGAGACATGATTGCTTAAGCTAACAAGAAGCAACACCTGTGGGCTGTGGTTTGTTCAACAATGTTGGGGAAGCGAAAGCGAGAAGTCGCAGTTGCAACTCGCCAGAGGACGCGCAGTCCCGACAACGATCAGGCCGTCGCAATGCCCTTCACTGCCGATCGAGAGATATTTCGCAAATATTTCGAGTCTGCCTTCGAGCCTTTACCAGAAACTGGCACCACGCCGCTACCTCTGCAAGAAGATGAAGGAGAGGCCGAGTGTCCTGCGGAAGAGTCGGAGTGGGATGGTCTTTCTGATTCAGAGCACGAGAATGAAATGGTTGAGATTGTGGAACATCGCGCAGGGGGGAACTTGCCAGAAGAGGCTGGACTACATCGCCAACAGTACAAGACATTCATGGTGAGTGACTGGCCACCGGACTTGGTGGCTGCTTTGCACTGACCCGCTACGACAGAGTTCTCGACCCCCGAAAGAGATCGAGAGTACGGCTACCAGAGGTTCCGCTCAGCAGGCTGACGAAGACTACGCTGCTGAGGTCCTGAATGTCAAACATGATCTTGATCTTCAACGACTCCTGAAAGAATCCCACCTCCTCGAGCAGGCAAAGGCATCATCCACACTGGGAACGCACCGGCACAAGGTGGTAGACATGCGCATGCAGGCCTTGGGCTCAAAAGGGTCCATGTTTCATCAAGAGAAGATGCCGTTAGCCCATAGAAGGGGCATCCTTGCGAAGGCGGCAGAGCGGGAGGCAAGCCGGAGAAAGGAGGCCCAAGAGAATGGCATCATCCTGGAGAAAGCCTCGGGGAAGTCTAGGTCTAAAGACGCCCGAAGAGAACGCGGCGTTGATGTCCCTGCCGTGGGCAAATTCCGAGGAGGTACTCTGACGCTCAGTAAGAAAGATGTCCTTGATATCCAAGGACAGGGTCTTTCTCGACTTCGTGGAAAGTCACGACGGCGATAGTGATGAATGTAGCTGAGAATTTTTCAAAGTCTTCTCTTCCCGCTGGACCACCTCTTTCCTGTTTGAGCCGCATCGGCACAAAGGCAACCTTGGTTTGCACCTTACCAGGATCTCCGTTGTGATCACCTCGCGCTCTGGCCAGACCGGAGCATTTTCTTCTTTCCGCTCGTCTGTCATTGGAAAATAAGGGGCCAACGGGGATATTTGTCATGGACGAAGGTGACATTGCCCAGCGAGGCGAGCTCTTCCAATGGGCCAAAAGCACAATCTGAAACAAGTTGCTTTTCTTTGCTCTGCTCCCCGCGGCTTAAGTCAAGCACAGGTTTCCGTGTTACACCATTGCTTCAGCCTTGGTTCTATAAGCCCCAAAGCTTGGACTCATCATGATGGGCGTGCGAGACGAGCATCCGAGGTCTCCTCTCTCCAACTGTTTCACAATGACCTGGGTTCCGGCCTTAATGCGTGGTGGACAGCAACCATCGCAGCCGGATGCGGTAAGTGGTGATAACTCTCGTTGACTGTTTCGGGCTCCTCGCGACTCGAGTCCATCCCTCCGTAAAGGGAGTGATCTCTTGTCGGAGATTTGCCAGGATTGGCCTTGTTCGTTGCGATTACGCCACTTTTGGCCGCTGGCCGCAACCACAGGCGCAGGGCAAGGAGATGTGTTTCAGGAGTCAACGTGCCCCATGAGATTAATGGAAGGCTTATTTCCTGAGCTTTGTGGAATGCCACGAATCGCGTACTTTGTATCCTTCCGCAGATGCTGTGCAGAAATCGATCGACTGACAAACTTCGGGGGCTTGAGAGAGTTGCAGAACGAGTGGCCAAAGAAAGCATGGACGTCTGCAGTGATGATATGCATGCTGAGTCTTGGGCGTGATGGACGACCCAATCAGTTCGGCCACGGAGAAAAACCCATGCCTGGAAGCCAAGTAACATTGGGGTTGGCATCGCTCAGGGACCAAAGTTCACCCTTTTGTGACCAATGTGGCTGTCGAGTTGCACAGAACCTGAAACATAGCACCATCGGCCACTTTTAGGGGCCGTGGCGCGTGCGTCGAGATCCTGGAGGCGGCGAAAGCCGAATAGAGGGAAAAAGGCCTCGACAAGGTACTGCGGCCCAACTTTTGTCCTGCCTCTCGACTCGCAAAGTTCTGATCTGAAACTGTTGGTCAAGCGAGGTCGAGCGAGGTCGAGCGAGGGCTGTCCGCGCCAGTTTTAAGGTCCATCGCGGTCAATTGCATCCGATCAAGAATACGAGAGAACGAGAGGGTGCTCGGTGCGTGGTACGTACGGTAGGGACCAACCATTGTCAAACGATAGATAGTAGGAAGGATTGTGGGGAGATGTGACTCCGGCAAGCTGGCGAGATGGAAGTAATTGGTGTTTGGTGATGGGAAGTTGGGCAAAAAGGGCGTTGGGTGCCGGCGCCTGCACCAGCTCCGTCACGTGGGCAGCGCTGCGATTTGCTTGTGCCTGCACACGCCGTCAACTCAATCCAGCAGCGAACACACCAATCACACTAGAAAGCTGAAAAATTGCATGTTTCCCCTGCCTTCTCCCCTCCTGCTAGGCCTTCGTACCTGATGCTGTTGAGGCTGAACGGGATTTACGAAGGGCGAGCCTCTGGGACGCTATGTCGCCGCCGTCATCACGCCCTCAGTCAACCTTGACCTACTTCCTATTCGTATCTCCACAGTGTCATCGCCTGGTTCAAGCAGTGTGCGAAGAAGCTGCACCTGCATGAACCGCATTTGGCCAATAAATGTGTGCCGACAATCACGCTTTTGGGGTGGGGGGTTCCTTGTGTCAAGCTATTGAAGACATCTCGCCATTGGTCATATAAAGGAAAAGGGGGCAGACATGGAAGAATCAAACTCATGGGACCCCCATCTTACACCGGGGTTCGTTCTGAATTTTTGCCTGCGAGAGGGTTGCAGTTGTGAACACCCAGAGGCCAGAAGCACACCGATCCCAGCGTCAACATGGGCAATGATGGAATCCCTCAAAGCGGATGTCGGCATCTCTGCATGCAGACTCCACGATGCTGTGCCGCGCCTGTTTGAGATGTGTTTCTGAATCATCAAGCCGTTGGCTGAGTGGCTTTTCGCGCCAGGGTGGGGCAGACAGCAGCCCAAGACAACCGCCAACGCGAGACTATTCGTCCAAGCGATCCGCCGTTCTCAGCCACTCGTTTCATGAATTCGCGACTTCAACGTTCACCATTGCATGCCTCAGCGAGACGCTGACCGTGGGGATAGACATCTCCCCTCGCGCGATAACCCCTCTTATACGATCAAAATAGCAACCTGGCCGGGTTCATGGGGTCAGCATTTTGCCTACCATACTGATGAATATTACCATGGTATCACGGTTGCCACTCGCGCAAAAAGGAAGATGCTGGGTCGCGCGGGCAATGCCTACTGGCTCGCTGGGTACCACATAGGTCCTCCGTGCGAGTACGGAGGACATACACGTTCTGGGTAAGGGCACTCGCTGTGGAGGTTCCGAGTCCCTAGTTGTGGTAGTCAACAAGAATCGCAATACCATTGTTCGCGTACATGCTTTTCAGGGTATTTCCTAAGCAAGTATAAGTACAACGACGGGCGATAGACCCAAACATCTCGCCTTTTCTGCAAATGGAAGATCAGATGCAGTATACGTTTCAGTTCTCGACCAGATCGAGCTGCACTGTCACTGAATAAATCACGGATTTCGCAAGTCCCGAAGATACGTAGATGGCTCGAAGGTTTTGGGGGCGGGCCAGAAATGGTGCGTGGTAGAGGCCATTGACCCAGAGAAGTTCTGGTCCCAGGAGGGAAGCAAAGATCAACAACAGAAGCAAGAAGTGGAGCAGGCGTGCTGGTACCTGTTCTAGCGTGGATTTTCTTCAGAGTGGGACAACAACGGAGGCTAAGGAGCGGCTAAGCTGTGCGCTTTGGGTGCAAGCGAAAAGAGAAATGCCAGGAACCAAGGGAGCGAGGTTTGTCGGTCATCGCGGTCATCCTTGACCACCCCCCTTTGACTGTTGAGGCGGCAAGCCGGCTCCAATGCTATGCTATTATGCGATAGGGAGCCGGCCCAGCTCGATGCCGGGCATCCCTTTGACAAAGAGCTGGCTGGACTGGCGGGAAGAATGACATCTATTGGTGACAGTGTTACTGAGCACAAGATGTCGCCCTCCCCTTTCCATCCATAGCCCCCGGCCCCGCCCAACAGGCGTCGTCGGTGCCTGTACGAGCATCCATACACTATAGCGTAGAGCAGCCCTGTCCAAGATTTTCCTCGGGCGGGTTCTCTAGGCTAGTAGGCCTGCTGGCCGCTATCCCTAGGCTGGAGCTAGCGGGGAATGAGGCTAGTTGGGACCGCTCTTTAGGGGACTACCTAGGGCACTAGTATTAGAGACCCAAGCACCCACAGCTTTTATCCGCGCCCGCAGTCTCTCTATTTCCCTCTTCTCCTCACTCCGTTGTGTCTGTCTGTCTCTCGCTTGCTCGCTGGTCCTGCTGGTCCCGGTCTCACCCTTCGCCTTTTCCTCTCTGCCCTTTTTTCCCTCTTCCACTTATTCCCTCTGCACCTCTATCACTCCTCGATTTGTTTCAACCTCTTTTGTTGCTACAGCATCCTCCCAGTCCTTCTTCCTTGTCGACCTTCACTTCCTGTACTCGGCGTTGCTCTGAGGACTATTGAGAGACTAGCTTCTCTCCTTAACCCACTTTCGTTTCACCTGTCCTCGCTTCCCGCGAACTCGAGACAGGAGCTCTACCACGTCTGGACGTTTTGCGAAGCTGGTCTCTCGCACTGACTCCATTTACATCATCGAACACATTCGCTATACACATCAGCATCCTCCTACTGCGCTGTGTTGTTTGTGGTCCGACCGTCACCAACGATCGTTTCCCTCCGCAGTTGTCCTCATTCCGGCGAAGAACAAGAACAAGAACAAGAACCCTTTCCCCTTCAATTGAACGAGAAATAGACCCCGATATACTTCCATATATTGCATGTATTGAACAACAATATTCACTCCGAGTCAGTGAAGGCAGCCAACAACCCCTCCGCTTGTTTCCGTCGACGTTTGGATAGCGTTGTCGATTTCTCCTACAGCTGCGATGTTTCCCTCGAGTGGTGCGCCAATGGCCCAACCTCAGAAGCCAGAGACCTTTATGCTCTCAAACGAGGCACAGCAGAGCTTGCCCCAGGATGCGCAAGTCGCCCTGCAGCAAGTGGACAACCTCAAATATTTTCTCATTTCCGCGCCCGTGGACTGGAGTCCCGATTCTCTTATTCGCAGATTCCTCCTTCCCACGGGCGAATATGTCTCCTGCGTTTTATGGAACAACCTATTCCACATCTCCGGCACCGACATTGTGAGATGTCTATCTTTCCGTTTCCAGGCGTTCGGCCGACCAGTCAAGAACCCCAAGAAGTTCGAGGAAGGCATTTTCTCAGACCTGCGCAACCTGAAGTCAGGCACGGACGCATCACTGGAGGAACCTAAAAGCCCTTTTTTGGACTTCCTGTACAAAAATAATTGCATCCGGACGCAGAAGAAACAGAAGGTCTTTTACTGGTACAGCGTGCCTCATGACCGCCTATTTCTTGATGCTCTGGAGAGAGATCTGAAGCGCGAGAAAATGGGCCAGGAGGCGACGACTAAAGCAGTGGCGGAGCCAGCGCTCTCATTTGAATTCGACTCGTCGCAATCGCTGTTTGAGCAACTCACAAAGGCCCAGCAGGCTAGCTCGTCCTCCTTTGCGACCGCAAACGCAAATGTGACCTACTCCCAGTCGACCTCGCCTGTCCTACGTGCAGCGGATTCGATGCCTCCTCCAATGGTGCCTCCTCAGATGCCACGATCTCAGGAGCAGCCGCAGACCATGTATACTAGCATGAGCATGCAGAGCAACCTGCCAACCCCCCTTTCCGCTACGGCGATGTCTCGAGAGCCGGATTTCTCCCACGTCGCCTACGATCGCGCCCACATTCGTCATGCTTCCATGCCTGCATACATGGAGTATTCCCCAGCTCCTTCATTCGTGTCGTCACATTTCGAGGATTACAGCACTCGCGGTCTCTCGTATGAGCCCATTACACCACCACAACATGCCATTCCTGGCGCCGAGCCTGCGTATATTGCCAATGAGGACACTGGCCTCTACTCTGCTATCCCAGAGATGCAGCCTATGCCGGCTTATAATCCAATGGCTTCATTGCCACCTACCCTTGCAGGCCCACTTCACGTAACTGCACCACGACCGTTCCCCCCTGCGAACGTCTACTCGGTGATTGAAGGCTCTCCCACCTACAAGGCAAGGAGGCGGCGCTCATCGATCCCATCGTCCATCATGAATGCGGTGGCTGCCAATGCCGTTGCTCAAGTTACTCACGGAATCAAGGCACATCTCCCTCAAAGGCCTAGCGATCTTCGCCGGTCTATGTCGAGCTCTGTTTTGCCTATTGCGGAAGGCGATGAGTCCGGCGACCAGTCTCCTCCTGGTCTTGCACACAGTTACGCTTCCTCGGTCGTCAATCGCGATCATCTCGCTGATTTCTCCCGACGAAGCACGCCATTACCGAGCCTCGAGGAGGACCCAACACACTCCCTCGGGATGCCGGCTGGCACTGAACCCATGCCTAGTCTCATGGGAGATGATATGCACATTCACTCACTCCAAGCTAGCCCCGCAGTCCGGTTAGAGAGGCCAGGGCCCGTGCGCAGAGCACGAAGTGCAACCATGATGGAACTTGGTGTACCATACAAATCTCATTCATGCCCAATCCCCAGCTGCGGGCGGCTTTTCAAGCGCCTTGAGCACCTCAAGCGGTATGCCTGACGCCCCTGTGATCTTGCTTGGCGCTTACTGACACGTGTGACCGCTAGACATGTCCGAACCCACACCCAAGAACGTCCCTATGTCTGCCCTTACTGCAACAAGGCGTTTTCACGATCCGACAACCTGGCTCAGTGAGTACACACGTGACTCAAATCTTCGACGTTGAGACTGACAATCTGCAGACACCGCCGAACCCATGAATCTCAACAAGATGGTCAACCCGCCCCAGTGACCAGTGAAGAAGAAATGGAGACTGAAGAGAATGATTTCGGCTCCATGGACGAGCTCTCGTCCCCAGATGAAGTTACCCGACCCACGAGCGTTTCTGGCATGATGGCTATGTCCATGCCCCCTCCATCAACGCTCGTCATGCAGCCAATGACTTCTCAGCCAATGATGGCCCCCAGTCAGCTTGTTCAACCTTCGATGCTGCAAAACTTGTAGACCTGAGACATGCATGTTGCAACTGCTGAATGATTCACCTGCGAGGACGGAAAAGGAAATTCTTATGCTTTTTATTGTTTTACCGCAAGGCCCGTTTTATACCTGGTGAGGCAACGGGACCGTGCGCATGACGAACCAGAGCTCTATGCATTTGTTGGTTTTACGAGATGGCAAGTTGTTGGTGAGGCCTTTTGATGCTGGACAGCGCCCTCAGCGAGAAGCTGAATGGTGACATTCTCCCCCATTTATTTTGTTCCTCGTCTCCTGCCTGAGACGAAAAGTAGCTATCTCTGTCATCTACCATGAGGACTGGAGCTTTGGCAATCTGCTGGACCAACTGTACATATATAGCCACTTTTATCTATTCATCTATGCTATAAGAAAAAGGGACAAAAACAATGCTTTCTGGCGTCAGAACAACCTCTAGACCCACCTCCATCCGTGTCAACCGTATTTGAAACCTGATATCCGGAATCTACAGGCCCGTAAAAATGGCTCCAGAACGCGCACCTGGGAACATAGTCATAGGAACCTGTAGGAACACGCAGCTCGCTTTCATCTCTTGTAGTTCAGTCTACCTCGGTCATTTGTGGAGTAAAGCTGTCTTCGATGCGTCTTTGAACCTCATAGCCTACATTTGCTTTTGATATTCTTGACTGAGCGACCGTCTGAATTGTAATTTCAACAGAATGATGATGAGGCTAAGGGGCGAGACTCAGCACGATGCATAACCCTCTTTCGGGTTCCTTTCGATTACGTGAATTTTGATAACGCGTCTCGCAGAGCGATGGCTGAAAGAGTCCTCTAGTTCAAGCCGGACGTGAGGGGTCACTGTCCTAGCATATAGCATCTCAGAGTCGGGAGAGAAATCGCGTTGTTTATCCTCCACCTGTAATTCAAAAGAATATTTTACTCGTGGCATCGTATTCCAGTTCATGTCCGAGCACTGCTACTCCTCCTCCCGACCACGACCTGATCATCCTCGTCATCCTCGTCAGAATCATCACGGAATCCTTCCTCTAAGTCTCGACTTAGTCGTCGATCCGAATCCGAGTTGGGTACCCCTCCGATACCACCACTGCGACTCACAGTCCTGGTGGCAGCATCCATGTTGGAAACTTGCCTCTCCATGGCATCCCGTCTCCGGCTCCGTTCCTGGGCGTCGAATCCCACCATCGCCTCACCAGATTCTTCATCAAAGAGAGTGCCCTCATCGGCGCTGACAATGCTGTTTGACCGGCCTCGCGTGGGGCGGTATGACCATGCTGAGGGAACGAAGAAACGGGCGAAGACTGCTGGTAGTATGAAGCGTGCGGAAGCAGGGATCATTGAGTGGAAAAGGCGGGTGGAGAGAGAAATAGAGGCGGACTGTACGGATTGGAGTGGTAAAGGGAGGTACTGGGAATATCGGGCTCGGTGACGGCGATAGAGAGGCAGTAAGACGTGGAACGCCAGGAGGTAGAGAGCGAGAGAAATGAACAGAGGAAGAAGGATCGTCTGTGCCACCAGTCAGTCCTGTGAATAATCCCCGTTTGATTCAGAAGAGACTCGTACCCTGGAGAAGTTCATGAACCCTGACCCAGCCATGGCGCCGCTGCCAGCTGTGGTGCTGACCGGAGCTGGCGGTGCGTCTTCAGTCCTAACGATCGTGCTGGGCAGCGAGCGCCTGGAGGGGAAGCCCATTGTTACGCCGCCATACTCGGCGGCAGGAAGAGACGAGGGGGAAGGAAAGCTGCAATATATATTCCGTACGGAATATTATGGAGTGAGGTGCTCGAGTCGAATGTCCGTCATGAGATTAGGCGCACCCAATCTGGCAAGCTTGGTGGTGTCCACTGTCCAGACCGAAGCCAGGAGGGGCGGTTCGAGAGTGGGAGCTGAAGGGGTGACGGTCTCGAGATGTCGAGTACCTGGGTGCCAACTGTACTTGTAGACACTTGTCCTATTCAGACTCTTTTCTAGGTACGGAGGACGTCCTGTCGTGTGCACCATGTGTAGAATAGCAGGTGCAGTGCAAGTGTCAGCCTTCGCATGAATCAGTGCGTTGTGATCATGAACGGAAGTTGAGAGCCCGGATCACGGCTGGCCAAGGATTCCGAGGACAGAAACGAACAGGTTCGATGGGGCGTTATTCAACGAGATGAGGGACCACAGATTGCCTCTGGACGGTACTGCACAGCATACTCCGTACGAGATATTACAGTGTTCATTGGCATGCTTGTATCGCGTGCAGGAGCAGCAGTTGAGATTGGTTTAGCTTGGGACTGAGCGAAAGGGATGACTTGCGGCGCAGTTGCTACTACTTAGTTGGAAGTGGGCGCCGATCGCAGATGGCAGACCCTAGCCCAAGGCCTAGGGAGGCGTCGAGGGCGTGTTCCCTAAGTAGGTACTTACTCGCACCTAAACTACCCTACTTAAGTACTTAAGCGGCTCTAACGGGGGCCCGTAGCTCAAGTCCATTGGTCTATGGCGGCGCCGCTTCAGCCGCTTAAGCAGTCAAGTGCACCAAGAAACGCCGCCAAAGACTGTTGATTGAACCCCTGGCAGGCAGGCACCAAGCACCTGTGGCACCCACCAGCACCCACCAGGTAACCCACAACGCCTAAAAAGCAAGGACACTCGAGATCATCATTTGCTGTTTGGCTCGGTGGCTCTTGGACGCGGACGGACACTGCAATGCAATTCACGCCTGACGGGACGCTGGCACATTTTGACCGTCGTCCATCACCACCACCACTACCACCACCATCGCCCTCACGAACTTTTTCGACAAACGCCGCAAACCTGAGCGGCCGTGTCAAAGCGTCGTTTTATCTCTGTTTGCAAGCCAGCATTTCCCCCCTCGCTTTGTTCCAGTCTTTTTGCTCCCGCTCACTTGGTTATAGCGCTCGCTGACGTCCGCGGCCAATAAATACGCCGTTTCATTGTCTGCAATCACGCCCAATTGTTTACCGCCTCGCCAGCTGAACGATCCTGTTTCCTCTTTGTTCAACGACACCAAGCGACCAATTTAGCCAAAACACGTGCTCGCTGCCGATATCCCTTGTGTTGGAAACTAGGTGTATCAGTATCAGAAAGCGCAGGGCATCATGCAAGGATAAATATCCGCCACCTACAGCCGAAGCCGAGAACGTCACAGAACCAGGGTTGTTTGGAAAAGAGGGGAAGAAAAGTCACAAAGAGGTGGACTTCCCCTTTCGGGGGCATAACAACCGCATCATTGTACACATGCGTCCTGTTGGCTTGCCTGCGCGCCACCGAGTATGCCCCAGGTAATCCAGAACGACAAGACGACCAGACAGTCGTCCGCAAGCAAAGGGTTCTTTAGACGCAACCGAGACACGAAGGCAGACAGTCGCCACGAAGGGAGTGGGAGTCTCGATTCTTCCAACACAAACGGCTCCTGGGGCTCGCGTCATTCGAAAAGAGAATCGGTTGCATCCAATGATGGCCAAGATCCTGATGCTTTAGGTCTAGCCATGACCGCCGGGGTCATCACCTCTATCCCATACTCTGCCACGACTGCAGGTGGGCAAGCACCAGTAACGGTGGACTATCTCCCCCGAGACGAGCAAGTACCAACGCGAAAAGATCCACAACCGTACCAACTTGCGAGGGGTTCTGATTTTCATCAGTACCCTGCCATCAATGGAATATCGAATGGATCGTCACACCCCACCGGGCCTCGCCCGCCTCCACACTCGTCGAGCGCAACTGGCATCACGATGGCGTCCAGTCAAGCAGGGGATCGAGGCACAAAATATCAACAATGGGGTCGGCCAGGGAGCAGCCATGGTCCTCAACATGGAACCTATGACTCGGTATCAACCAGTGATTCATACTCTGGGTCGGGACAAAGGAGATCGTTTGACGGCGCTAGCATAAAATCAACTACTTCTACAGCCACTAGAGGCTCCAGCCTCTTCTCCTCGGAGAGCTCGTCGCGAACGGCAATGCCTCCACGGCAGGATTCCGACTCTTCTGTTACAGTAATTTCTCCCACTCATTCCAGATTATCAAAGATTAGTTCACACTCGGGCTGGCCTGCCCAACAAGCCTCACCCTTCAGCTCGACCACCTCTTTTACCCCGGCCGGGTTTTACCTTCCTAAACCTCAAAGCGATGCAGAGATTGAGAAGTTGTTCCTGCAGCTGATGCACAAACGTGGCTGGCAAAATCTGCCCGAGCAAGCCAGACGACAAATGATGGCGTATGCGCCCGCAAAGAAATGGACGCTTGTGCATCAAGACAAGTTGACCGAATGGCAAGGTGAGCAGAAAAGGAGACAGCAAGCGAGACAGACAGGAGCTCTTGATGGACCAGTATCTAAAGATGTCGAGGGCACCCCCGAGTGGTACGTCAAAAAGATTCTAGATAACAGCATCACCTCCAAACAGCTGCAAAGTCTGAGTGTCAGTCTGCGAACCCAGCCCATCAGTTGGGTTAAAGCATTCATCGAAGCACAGGGTCAGATTGCTTTGACCAGTGTCTTAATGAAGATCAACCGACGTCAGGCTAATGGCCCGACGCCCGTCAGCTCTGTTGCCTCAACCGATAAGGACCTGGACCGGGAATACGATATAGTCAAATGTCTGAAAGCGCTGATGAACAACAAATACGGCGCTGATGACGCTTTGAAGCACGAACAGATACCGGTGGCTCTGGCGACCTGTCTCATTTCTCCAAGGCTTACCACGAGGAAACTGGTCAGCGAAGTTTTGACGTTCCTCTGCCACTGGGACCAAGGCCAGGGTCACCTCAAGGTGCTACAAGCTATGGATTTTGTCAAGAACCAAATGAGTGAGAATGGTCGCTTCGACGCCTGGATGCGCATCGTGGAAGTCACCATCGACGGCCGAGGCAAAATGGGCAGCCTGGTAGGAGCCAGCGAAGAGGTTCGGAGTGGTGGTATTGGCATGGAAAACCTTCTCATGGAATACGCCGTTGCTACGCTCGTCCTGATCAACATGTTGGTGGATGCTCCAGATCGAGACCTGCAATTACGATGCCATATCAGAGCCCAGTTTATTGCTTGCGGGATCAAGCGAATTCTGGTGAAGATGGAGTCTTTTCAGTACGACGTGATTGACAAACAAATTGCGAAGTTCCGTGAAAACGAGGCGATCGACTATGAGGATCTCTTACAGCGCGAAGGGAGCAGCATGGTCGAGAGTATCGAAGGCGAGGTCAAGGATATGACAGATCCAATGCAAATCACGGACGCCATCATGTCGAAAGTCCACGGCACGAGAACCCAAGACTACTTCATCTCGGCAATGCAGCACATGTTGTTACTTAGAGAGAACAACGCCGATGAGCGTCTGAGGATGTTCCAGCTTGTGGATTCGATGCTCAGCTATGTGGCCATGGACAGGCGACTGCCGGATATGGATCTCAAACAGAGCCTCAATTTCACGGTTCAAAGTTTATTGGATCGACTGCATACTGACGACGAGGCGCGAATTGCTTTTGACGAAGCCACGGAGTCGAGGCAGATCGCCGAGGCAGCCCTTGCCGAAAGGGATGAAATGGCAGCTCAGATCGCCATGGGTGCTGATGGGTTGGTGAAGAAGCTGCAGAAACAGATCGAAGAACAAGCTGGCATCATCGAAATGCAATCCAGGCAAGCCGAGTCTTTGAAGTCGGAGGTGGCTGAACTCCAACGAATCAGAGCTCAAGAATTGCAACGCAACGAGTTAGAGACGAGAGAGCTTTACCTCATGCTTCGAGATGCCCAGGATGTCGCAGCTTCCCGTGCTGCTAAGGAGGGCACCGCACCTCAAGACCCTGCTCAACTGGCAGGCATTTTGGACCGGGAGAAGTTGATGGAGCGCCTAGAGCGCAACCTCGAGCGCACCAAGACACAATTCAAATTGGAAGGGAAAGTCTGGGGCCAGACAGGGCCTTCCGATCGACTTAGAGAGCTTCGCGAAAAGATGGACGACGTGATTGATGCCGATTTCCAGGAGCAGACGCGACGACACCTCACCAATAGTGTTATGGGAAGCGTCCATCGTAGCAATGCCCACAAAGGACCCAGGAGAGCCGCATTGGAGGCGCTCGCAATTAGTGAAGAAGCGGACCAGGACTCGGAAGTGGAAGAAGATGTTGTCTTTGAGAAGCCGCGACTTGTCGAGTACAAAAGGCCGAAGATCAGCGCAGATCAACAAAATCAACAAAGCAACCTCCTCGACGAGCTTGCTTCAAAGGTCAAGAAGATCAACAACGAAAGTGACGAGGAGGCAGGGGAAGGAGATGATGGTGGTGTCACAACTGGACCAAGCCACCCGAGCCTGGAGTCTGAGTCTCCCAAGACTCCTCCCGATGAGGGACAAGCGGAAGCCAAGTTCAATGGGCCACCTCCTCCACCTCCACCTCCTCCGCCGCCGCCACCGTCAGATCCAGCGTCTGCCGCCTTGATTGCCGGGTTCGGAACCGGTGCACCTCCGCCACCTCCACCACCGCCTCCTCCGCCTCTTCCAGGCATGCCCATCTCTCCAGCTACTCCCTCCATGCCGGGCTTCACCGGTGGCCCCCCTCCGCCTCCGCCGCCTCCTCCTGGTTCTCTACCCATGAGTCCGTTATCGCCCATTCCCCCGCCACCGCCGCCTCCCCCAGGCGCTCCAGCTCTGCCCGGTCCCCAGCATGGACATTTCTTGCCCCAGTCACCAGTGGTGCCTGTGCCTATGCTTAAGAATCCTATCATGCGACCGAAGAAGAAACTGAAAGCCTTCCATTGGGACAAAGTTGACACGCCCCAAGTCACCGTCTGGGCAGAGAACGTGAACGCCGAGTCCAAGGAAGAGAAGTACCGCGAATTACAGCGCAAGGGCGTCCTTGACGAAGTTGAGAAGCTTTTCATTGCGAAAGAGATCAAGATCATCGGCGGAGCAGGTAGCAAGGGCAAGAATGACAAGAAGCAGATCATCAGTAGCGACATGATGAGGAACTTCCACGTCTCGATGGCTAAGTTCAAAAATGATTCAGCCGAAGAGGTGGTGCGCAAGATCATCCACTGCGACAAGGAGGTTCTCGATAACAACGTGGTCATGGATTTCCTACAAAGAGAAGATCTTTGCACGATTCCCGAAAATATCGCTAAACTCATGGCACCATATAGCAAAGACTGGACCGGACCTGATGCCTTGACTTCGAAGCGTGAGCAAGATCCGTCTGAGTTGACAAGGGAAGATCAGATCTACCTCCAGACGGCTTACGAGTTACATCACTACTGGAAAGCCAGAATGCGAGCTCTCGCTCTAACACGAAGTTACGAACAAGAGTACGATGATATCTCCGGCAAGCTGAAGGATGTAGTCAACATTTCCGAAGCTATTCGGGACTCAACCTCTCTCATGAGCGTCTTAGCCCTCATCCTTGATATCGGAAACTACATGAACGACTCAAACAAGCAAGCCTCTGGCTTCAAACTTAGCTCTCTTGCGCGGTTGGGCATGGTAAAGGATGACAAGAACGAGACCACGTTCGCCGACCTTATCGAACGCATCGTTCGCAATCAGTATTCTCAATGGGAGGGCTTTGTAGAGGATATTGCTGGCGTCATTCCTGCCGCAAAGCTCAATGTTGACCAATTGCGCCAGGACGCAAAGAAGTACATCGACAATATCAAGAACGTTCAGTCTTCACTGGACGCCGGCAATTTGAGCGATTCTAAGAAGTTCCATCCTCAAGATCGTGTAGCGCAAGTCGTACAAAGGTCCATGAAAGAGGCAAGGCGAAAGGCAGAACAACTCCGACTCTTCCTGGACGAGGCATCAAGGACGTACGATGACATAATGACCTATTTTGGCGAAGATAATCAAGATGAGAATGCCCGCAGGGAGTTCTTCGGTAAGCTTGGCGGCTTCGTCACGGAATGGAAGAAGTCACGAGAGAAGAATATGGCTATGGAAGAGAACAAACGACGCCTCGAAGCAAGTCTCGCTCGGAAGAGGGCCCAGGCCAGTGCCAACGCGAGCGGCGGAGCAAGCGGCGCTGAAACACCTGGTAGTCCTCCTGCTAATGGCGCCATGGAAACCTTACTCGAGAAACTGCGAGCTGCAGCGCCGCAAGTGAAAGATCAACGTGATCGAAGGAGACGGGCTAGGCTAAAAGAGAGACACGATCAAAGAATTGCCAGCGGCCAGCAACTTCCCGAGCTTCAAATCAAAGACGGGGTGGAAGAGAGTCGCGGTCTTGCTGGTCTGGGAGAGAAAGCCAATGAAGATAATCTTAGCACAGACGGCACTAGCGGCAGAGGGGACATCAGTGAAAGCGAAGATGTCGCCGATCGGGCTTTGAGGGCTCTTCAGGAAATGAGAAGCTCTGCTCCATCAACAGGCGACGAACTTGATGTTCGGAGGAGGCGCGAGGGAGCTGATGAAGAACGCAAAGCGCGAAGGATGAGACGCCGGACAGCACACCAAAGCACCAGCAGTGTCGCAAGAGAATCTATAGTGTCCCCGACTGAGACGAAGACAGAAGAAAAGAGCGGCCAGGATGGAGCCTACGATGGCTCCTCTCCTACGGAGGACAAACGATCGTCCGAGGGCACTTTGAGTCCCGTGGCCTCACAGCCACCGCCAGCGATCATCGTCAGTCCGACGGATGATGATGAATTTGAGGCTCATCAAAAAGATGAACGGAAGGAAGAGGAGGGCCTTGGCTCAGGAATAGAGGAAGGAACATGAGTTTGGGACCCAACGAACGGGGCACAGCGCCTGCCCATTGTACCAGGGTTGAGTTGGATGAAGAGAAGCATTATCGTCTCGAGTGTTGTTCTACTTACATGCAAAAGATACCCCCAGCAGAATAATTGTTCCGAATAGGAGGAAGACAGCATTTGCTAGAGTTGGACCTGGGGACCCCAAGCACATCAGTATCAGGGTGTGAAATATTCTTGTGTAGCTATAACAATCATCCACGGCAGCAAATGAGACAAACTGCACTTGAAGGTGGCATTTCTTCGTTCCGAGAAAGACTGGAACAGAAATACCCAAGTAGTGTCCCTCATGAAGATCGTGGACGAGCAACATCGCCATCCAAATCCATTTGTTTACTCTTATAGCTCGTTCCATCTCGCGTCTCTGTTAGTTTCCGCGTCCTGCGGACATCAGCATTATCTCCCTCCAATGGGTTGGTCCATTGTTGAGTTGGGAAAGGTACGAGACACTTCATCTGGGAGCTGTAGGAGAAGCTCTAGTCTCTTGCTCAGGCAGGCGATCAATTAACCCTGACAAAAACGACAGAGACGAAGGCGGAGACGGGTGGTCAGGGGCCAAGAGGTATTACCAAGGGCGGCAACATTCTGTAGGAAACTAGAGGCAAGATATTTGGATTGGTTGACTATCTAGGTTCTCTTGTTTCCTTTGACGCAAATATATGTTTGCGGTTGGGCAGTCACTGCCTTTGTCACTTCCGTTGGCACTGCCTGTCACCTGCCATCACCTAACCCCATCTCTCGGGTCACATGACAAAAATATCACGTGACCTAAGGTCCAGCACCCTGAACACCTCAACCATGACATGGGCGGCAGCGAACGTGGCGCGGAGAGGAAGACAGCCTGCCAACACGGCCTCTAGACAAAGAAACAAAGAAAGACTGCCACTTGCGGCCTTCAATCAACTTCGCGAGATCGTGGAGAACCATTCTCAAAGAAATGGTGGGACTTGGCGGTTCAAATTGCTCTTGCCATTGAGAGCAACGTGGTTGTAATGTAAGAACCTAGTCGATGAAAGCCTGCCCAGAGGACAAAAGCAGGAGAATTCGCCCATCACACGCTCCATCTCCCCAGCCATCTATTTTTTCAAGGGAGGATCATAATTTCCCCGGCCAGAACTTCCGCTCTTTGACTGCCTTCTCCTCCCACGCAAAATCATGTGCGAAGATCACCTCAAACTCCGCCGGCTTCTCTTCCCCGTCCACCTTGATGCCTTCGTTCGATGCCGAATATAATCGAGCCAACGTCTCCTTCGACTTTGGAATGTCCACATGCATGCAGCAATATCTCCCGGTTTCGTCCGTCCATGTCGCTATGTCGCACTCTCCCGTTAACAATCGAATATCGTGGCATGCATCTCCAGCTAGGCAAACAAACTTGGGTGGTTGACTGGAGATTTTGCATAAGAGATTGATATGGCCGGGGAGGTGACCAGGTGCATTGACAATGTAGACGCTGCCGTCATTGAAGAAGTTGATCGCATGTGGGAAGGTTGCAAACGGCTTCCATGAGAGTTGTGAGTTCCCACCCTCTGGAGGAGGTAGTTCTATTGTTCTTTCTGACGGGAGCAAGTCCGGCTCAAACACCATATGTTTCCCCAAGTTGAGTTGCGTCTTTCCACTGAGAAGATCGAGAGCGCCATTGCCTACAATGAATTTAGTCTTATCGTCATTGAAGTCCTTTGGAAGTCCGACGTGATCGTAGTGGACATGGCTGAATATCACGTAGTCGATGTCACTCACGCGGAGCCCCCCGGCTGCTAGTGAAGCGACTGCATCTGGATGCGTAGAGACAGGTCCTCGGTTGGCTAGATGAGCTGTTAAGGCTGGCGGATAGAGGTCGATCTCCCGTCTCATACCCAGGTCGAAGACGATTCGTGTGACTTTCCCACTTTCCACATCTTTGTGCTGTATCAGGAAAGATAAGGAAGGCACTGTTCGTTTGGCGACAGGGTCCGCCGGGACCACAAAGAATCGTTCAGGAATTGTGATGTGGCCGGTGCTCAGAGCATGAACTGACACCGTCGCCATACTTGTCGTGATTTGTTGGCGGTGCTTGGAGGATCAGTGCACTGAGTGATACACTTGTGAAATGTTCTGCAGAGGTACAAACTGTGTCGAGGAGCTTGGGGATCTGTACCACGTCGGCTCGAGCAGACAGACAGTGATTAGATTTTCCCCGCACCAGTATATGCCCAGAGTCATCCGCGGCTGAATCAATCGCGGATGCTCGATGTGAGGGGAAGCTGATTTCAAGCACTTTTCTGGAGGGGGGGGGGGAGTTCTCAAGAGCCGTGTGAAGACGGATGAAAGCTTCTGTCTACCCTAGAAGCAACCCATCGAGTTGAGGACCGGCCATGGGGTGGTAAGCATCTAGAGCCTCAGCCTCGTGAGGGGTGAAGAGGCAATCGACGGCTTACAGTTCCACGACTGAGATGTAAGATCATGCTGCAATATTCCAATTCTCCTGCCACATGTTGACTGCATTGTGTAGAAAGTGGCCAACATGCTTTGCCATTTTCAGACGCAAATTTCGCAGGAGATCTCTCGCCCTGGAGTTGTCACCCATGGTTTGGCTTGTTTCGCTGCCTGTGGGCAACACTAGGTGGCACAAATCGAAGGGCGGACAGGGATGATTCGAGATCGTTTATGACTGCATCCGAGACCTCCTTGGTGGATTCGAGACTGTGTTCTCCATTTCTGTCCTGATTTTCTTTCTGGTCTGGTGAGACAGCGGCAGGATTCCTCCTACTTTCCATTCGAGAGTGCTGTCGTCGGTGGCCGCTATTCGCTCCCTGGTCGACATTGGTTGACACTCTTCTGCGACGACTTTCGTGAAGCATGGAGGTCGACTTGTCAATGCCAGTGTCGACAATGCGAAAGTTGTAGATCTTGGGGAACAAGTGTTTGTCAATTAGATGAAGACGCCTTTTTTGCGGGGTAGAACACTTTCTGTCACAGGCTTCGACGAAGCAAGCATATGTCTTCTCACCTTTGGCTTGCAAGGCTTCGCGGAAGGTGTTGTGGTTCTCGTCGATGTGCAGGCCTAGGAAATGAGCAGTAGGGAAGTTTTTGCCGCATGAGGTACATCGGTTCGAATGGTCTTTGGCATAATGCACCTCGAAATCATCGATAGAAGCAAAGTCAAGGGTTTCCCGGTGAGGCGGCAGAGAGCACTGCATGACAGGTTTGGCTGGCAGAGTGGCGGCCGTGGCTACAGCACTCAGTTTTGCAGGACGAGGAGATGGAGATTCTTGTGCCAAAGAACTGGCGGTGTCGCTGCTGGAGGAAAAGGTCGACGACTCGCGTGATCGCTTGACCATGGCGGTGTAAGTTCCCGGCTGATGGGCATGTATCTGGGTCTGATCAGCCTACTCACGCTTCAAGATGATGATTTTTCTCCTTCCATGCCTAGACCGTATTGAAGTCGTCGAACAACCTTCGTACCATGATTGATTGATGAGAGACACTGGCGTGACGTTGGCAAAGGATGGTGATGGACCAATGGCATGAATCAGACCAGGAAAAGAATCATAACACACTGTGGACAAAGAAGAGAAGGGGAAAAAGCAAATGGTTGGATCTCAGAAGGGCGGGAGCCAGGCCCGAAAGGGCACAAGAGGTGCCAAATCATCCTTGCCCCTCCCCACTGTTTGCGCCTAGGCCTGGGACTTGGGCACGTCCTGGGGGTCGCTAGGCTTGCCTGTGGGTGGTGATTGGGTGCCTCTGGGTCCCCCCCCCCCCAGGCGCCCAGGATGTGCCCAATGAGCCTGATCCAGCCTGATCAGCCTGATCAGCCTGGTGCGCCCCCTGTCTCTCCCATGGCTGCTTCATCTTGCTGCCACAAGCGCGTCTCTCGTGTCTGCTTTCTCAGCCTCTTCGTCCACCTCGTTGGTCTCTGATCGTGTGTTTCAGATTCTGCAGCCACGATCCAAGAACAACATCGATTTGAGGGTGCCACCACCAAGCCAGCCCAAAAGCCGCCCGGACTCGTCATCCATCTTGCATCTGACCTTCCATCTCATGAACCTGCGAGGCCTCATCCTCTCTCTTTCCGCTTCCTCCTTATCCGACTACTCGACAGGCCACTAGAGACCACTATTCAGCACCTACGCTTGCCTAGTCCATTGTTCAACCACATCTCTCGGACTCTGTGTTGTCTAATTCCACACTCCTTGTTTCTTTGTCACATTCCTCCGCCTGGTTGAAAATCCACCGCTCGACCATTCTTTGTCTCCACACACTTCTCCCATTCCCGCTCGAATGCCGACCGTTAGATAACAGAAGGAGCACATCTCCCTGTCCGCTCGTTGCTACAAAAACCACGGTGGAGGAATTGACACGAACATGCTGGCCTCCAAAGCACCATATGCGGCCAATGTTGGCAATAGCCAGCAGATTCCCGTCCGCAACTTCTCCGAGTCCTCGACCAGGACGCAAATGACCTCGATGGCTCTCCAAGATGGCCTCTTTACCTCCCCCACAGACTCTGAATTCTCCGATGTCTATGACGGGCTGGACTCGATACGGGCATGGGACGAGAAAAAGGTTGGGGAGTGGCTGCACTCAATACGCTGTGGACAATATGAACCCCTCTTCAAGGCTAACAATTTCACGGGTGAGAGTCTACTGGAATGTGACCAAAAGATTCTGTCGGAAATGGGTATCAAGAAAATTGGTGACCGCGTCCGACTCAATGTTGCAATTAAACAGCTTCGAAACAAGTCTTCGCTGTTACGCTCCAGGAGAAACCGGGATAGTCTTGCTATCTTGGATGGCCTTGCTGGAACCCCTTCATCCTCAGACTCACCTCGCACTCACGGTCCGAGATCGCACAATGGCAGTGGCAAGCGCTTTTCCCGTCAGCTCGACTCCTCCGCTCTGCAGAATTTCAACTCAGCCAGCACCGGGTTCAAAGTCGGATCAAGACCAAGCTCGCCTTTGACAGATGTGCACAGCGCAGGTCTAAGGTCCCATCGTTACGCACAGAGTCCAATGGACAGTGGGAGAAACACCTCAGGCGGAGGCTACTTTAGTCAACCGGGGTCAGCGAATTCCACATCTGGAAGACGACCCGAAACTCCGCAACTTGCAAATCAAACCACACGAGCAGCTCATCTCCGACAGAATTCCAGCATCGATGGCCTGACACCAGGTGGATTACCTTCGGGATCTCCGGTCATCAAGATCATCCACAACGGCGGCCAAACGAAGGTTGTGAACATCAAGTTCTGTCGCACGGCCGATGACGTTACATCGACGGTACTGAAGAAATTACATCTTCCAGAAACCCATTTCCGCAATTATTGCTTTTATGTCCTCAACGGGTTGGAACCGGATCCTGCAAATTGTCGTCGAGTGGGCGACAGTGAACTCATGAGAATCTGCAATGAATCGACCCGATCCGAGAGAAATAGGTTGATCTTGAGAAAGATCAACGACGGGCCTCCCGACGTGGACGAACTCCGCAAGGCTGCCAAAATAGCGGCCGATGAATCACAAGTTCTGCACATCAATGCACTGAGCACGAACAACATGCGCAACCAGATCAAACTTCAAAAACTCACAGGCGAGTCTTGGCACAATATTCAAGTACCCATTTCACCAGTTACCACTACAGATCGAAATCGAAACATCATTGCAACTGCGGACGAGTATGATCGACAGGAAGCCCAACAACACCTCCGAGTCCCCAGTAGCCAGAGTACAAAGCTGCGTACATTCTTCGGGGCCCGACCACCCAGCGAGATGATTGTGCAAGAGTTGACGTCTTACTTCCCAGCCCACCAGCGCGAGGATATCGAGAAGACGATGAGATTATCTGTACGACGCTCACAACGCATGAGTCGCGCACAAAGTCGCCTAAGCGTGATGAGTAACATCAGCATGGCCTCGAGCCTGAAGGATGCTCCTCCCGTACCAAGTATTCCTAGCATTGCTGACCCCTGGCTGAACCAGACTGGCATGACCGCTCGTGCTCCTGCAGCAAGACCACTATCCGTGGTGTCGAACAGATTCAACCTTATGAACCAATCGTTCCGAGATTCAATCGCCTCATCAACGTTGCACCCACTGCAGGAAGAATCTCCTATCGAACAAAACAGGAAATCATACGTCTCGTTTGACAGCGGTTCTGACACTGCCGCCCAGGGTGAAGCGGCTAGGGCAAGCTACTTTGACGAGAGTCCTGGGGTCACCTCGAATACGGACAATATGAACGAACGACTGTCGGTGATCGTTGCTGAAGATGGAGAGGAAGAAGATCAAGAACTCAACTCGTTCCTCCAAGGAAACAGCTTTGATAAGAATAATTGGATGAAGGGTGACTTGATTGGCGAAGGCTCATTCGGCAGTGTTTACCTCGCCCTCCATGCCGTGACAGGTGAATTGATGGCAGTCAAGCAGGTCGAGTTGCCCAACGTGGCGAAAGGCACAGAAGGTGACAAGAAGAAGACGGCGATGATCGCGGCGCTGAAACAAGAGATCACACTCTTACAGGGCCTGCGACATGAGCACATCGTGCAATACTTGGGTACCTCGTCGGACGAGGAGCACCTCAACATTTTCCTTGAATACGTCCCGGGTGGCTCCATCGCCGGCATGCTCAAGCAATACAACACTTTCCAGGAACCGCTCGTCCGGAACTTCACCAGACAGATTCTCGAAGGCCTATCCTATTTACACGCTCGCAACATCATTCACCGAGACATAAAGGGCGCTAACATTCTGGTTGATAATCGCGGCGCCGTGAAAATCTCTGACTTTGGCGTCTCCAAGAAGACCAACTTCAATGGCATGAACTCTGCGCCCGGCACGCGCACCTCCCTCCAAGGAAGCGTCTTCTGGATGGCCCCTGAAGTGGTCCGCCAGTCTGGACAATCCATCAAGTCAGACATCTGGTCAGTTGGGTGTCTTGTGGTGGAGATGTTCACAGGTTCCCGCCCGTTTCCCTCTATGACAACGCTCCAAACACTGTTCGCTGTCGGAAGCAATAATGAGAAGCCAACTATTCCCGAACACGCGAGTGAGGATGCAAAGAGGTTTATGGGGAAGACATTCGAGGTAGATCATGAGAAGAGGCCTGGCGCGGATGAGTTGTTGAGGGAAAGGTTTTTGTTGCCTATGGCATGAAGACAAGCTGAGGCTGGAAATTCCGCAACTATGAAGTGATTTGATGGATCTGTATTATATGAGTGCTTGGTTGTCGCCAAGAGGATCTCATCGAATACCATCAAGGTCTAAGATGGAAAGAAACAATGCAGACTCGATACAGATCAGCCTAAGCAGGTGGTATCGACCTTCAGAGCCGATAGCAAATATTGGAGGACATGGTTTCCTTTCTCCCATGTGTTGTCTAGTTGGGTTCAGCCTAGGATGGTGTTTGTGTCTATGACTGGTGCATTGATGAAGGACATACCTCAATCGAAGGAATGAAGGTATTGAGTGGTTTATGGGAGTGTGTCAAATAGAGATTACAGAATCAGCGCACCAAAACCGAATTGAATCCATGGCCATCCCGACACTATTGTGTTTGTATTGGTGGTGATTTATCCCTCCGCTCAGATCTGATGGTGATGGAGCATACAACCGGCTTTCATGGTATAGGTGCTCGGTGCTCCGTACAATGCCCAACATGAATTACAAACTGTTCGAGAAGTCATTCATCTAGGTGCCATCCATCCATGATTTGTTTACTCAACGGTACAGATGGGATGCACAGTCGAAAAAAGAGAGAATCAACCACCCCCAAGACAACACCGAACGAGGAGCAACGAAAATCAATCCAGAATCTGCGCACCAGAAAGAAAACACCCAAGCAAAAAGGGCCTTGGGCGCTTCCCTCGTCTCATCCTGATAGATGACCTAGCATGTTCTACCGCATGACAGGGCAATGCTTCGATGCGTTGTATTGTCCTTCTTGGCCTCGTCTGACATGTTCTCACAATCGAGGACCATCAGGTTTTGTACACTAGACTCTCTCTCCGCAAAGCCTGTCCACCACGGCAGGATGGGCTCGACCTCTGCTATATCGATCTTCCCCAGAGTTTGCCACTCTCGGTTCTTGCAGTCACAAAATAAACTCGTACGTGCTAAGATATGTCCATGGGCTGAATTGGAACATGAACTGCCGGAGGCGGTCGAGGAGAATCGAGATCTGTCGTCTTCACACCGTTCAGTAAATGTTGCTGCCCTTTATCAGCCTGCTTGTTTCCTGGTGCAAAATCGATTGTATCCATCATTTCTCCCAGGGGCCGTAGTGACCTCGGTGTGGCCTGAGCTTGCGCTTGCTGCAAACCATTGACAACCGTTGATGTTCTGTTCGTTATATGGGGAGAGTCAGGAGGCGGAGCTTGTGCCGTTGCTGTGGATGTAGGTGTCTGGGCGTCCTTCCGATACCGCAACTGCACAACCAAGCTTTCTTGAGTATTCTCATCCTCCTCCACCTCGTCCGGCTCGAGTCCATCTTCACTCATATCCTCATCCTCATCGTCGTCCTCCTCCTCTCTGTCAAAGTCCGGTTCTGACTCATCTGGCTCGTCCTCATTTCCACTCCATTCTCTACCTGAAGATTGAGCCTCTTCGCTCTCGTCTGAGTCCATTTGGTCGGCATAACCATGTCTGGTCGGCTTGACTTGTCTTCCTGACCTTGATGTTCTTATATCACGCGAAGCAGCCATAGTGGCGGGCATGTCATCACTTGTCTCCGTGAAATTGCCTTCGCCCGTAGCTCTTTCTAACTCCTTGCGCTGATCAATCAGCATGCTCTCACCGTACAGACCACCCACCCTCGACTTGACCTGCCTGCCACTGGCGGTGACGGTGGGCCCAGTCTCTAAAGGGGTAGAGATGCCGGAATGACGCGTGGATCGTTTGCTGGAGAGGCCATCCGACCCATATTCGTCGTCGGAATATGTATATCTCATTCTCTTTCCTCGCGTCCGTCCCTCATATAGTGAGAATCCAGGTTCTGGGCGGGCAAAGGCGGCCTTTCGGGCAAGGCGATAATCACGACGTTTGCGCTTCTAATGCATTGTCAGCGGGTGTAAAATGTGTTTGGGACGTTGCCTACTTCTTCGCCAGCCTCGAATCTTGGAATGGCCGCTCGTAGCTTGTCACTAATCACTTTCGAATTGGAACTATGTTCGTCGGCGAACTTATCCGCCAGGGCGATAACATCTTGAATGGAACCAGCGACGCTGAACCACGTGTTTGTCTTTGCGGTCTTGCCGTCATTTTCTCTGTAAATTCGAAAATGCGAATCATCCTGTCCTTCAACGAGCCAGTACTTTCGGCGGTATTGGTCTGAAAACCAAGGTTGGACGCTTCGAGGCTGGTTTCGGTCGTCGTCTCGACGTGTCTGCTTGTAGGACTCTTTGATAAGGGCTTGAACGGCTTCGGAGGAATTAAGCGACCAAAGAATCAGGGCTTTGAGCAAGCTCAACTAGGCCTTGGTCAGCCGCGTGCAGCAAAGGAGGAAAGGCAGACGCATACCCGCTCTTCCGGGCTCATGTTGTTGAAATTTTTGCCTCCGTGCAGAGGGTTGACTCCCTTCCACTCCATCGGCCACTGGCTGTGGTTCGCAGAGATCGCGTCGTCAAGTGCCCGGCCATAGTGTCCACGTCTGGTCAATGTTAGAAACGTAATAAAGGACGTCCCTAGAGCTCGCTGTTGGGCAGCGGGTCGTCCAATGTGCGGAGACTAACTCGACATCCTTCTTTCTGTTCATGACAAGACCCAAAAGCGCGCACAATAGTCTCTCTACTTGTTCGTCGGGAAGTTCTCCGGAAACCCCTCTCTCAATGTCCTGCGGACCGTAGTTCGGCAGAGATTTGGGAAACACGTCGCTGAATCGGCTTCTGAACATGACAATGAGGGCAATCGCTGGGTTGTCGGCCAAAGTATATTCGTGGGGAGGTGAGGGTGCGCGTTTGGGAGGTTCCGGGGTGGCTTCAGGCTTGGGTGCCGCCTTGAAATATCGATCCAATCCCGTAGGCTTCAACGCCATTTTCTGAGCCATTTCCTCATCGTCCGAGGATGGTGCAGAAGACAGTGAGGAAGAGTCGGAGTCGGCCATGGCTGAACGGAGAGCAAATGAAGACACAGAGATTGAAACAGTTACAGTGCGGGACGGGAGTGTCGCAGCAGGAGCGCAGGGAGGAAGTGAAGGGAAACTACAAAATCAGGAAGCGGTCTGATGAATTCACTTGGCGCGTTGAGGGCAAGTTACGCGCTGCTCGGCCAATGATCGCTTTTTCATCGCTATCCGGGCCCTGGCATCAACGACATCCCTTTGACCTCCCTCAAGAGTGACATCCTCCCATGCTAATCATGCCTTTGAGACCGCAACACCAGTTGGCCTCCAACCACCAGCCGCCGTGGGACATTCCTGGTCTTTGAGCGTTGGAGGGTGATCGCCATGAAGGGTGTTTTGGGGGATGAGAGCCTGCCAAGCGTTCGAACAGCGTCTTTGGACTCCGACTCGGATTGCGGCGGTCGCGGCCTCACTTCCGTATTTCCCCATGCAGCCAGCCTCGCACACAACCGCCAGCATTCTGAGCCGATGATATGCTCGCCGGTAGACGTCTATTTCCCAGCCTCGAACGTCGCTGCGGCATGCTTTGTCCCTGCCTCGAATCCTGGCTGAGACTAGCAGTCTCCGAGAAGGCGCGGGGTTCTCCGGCTTTTCATGCCATTTGCCGTTCCAACAACGCGCCCAAATTTTGTGCCTTGATTTTGTTGGTGAATACCTAGGTACTCTTGTGAGGATGGAGTTTTGTCACTGGGCTGGAATACCCAGTGTCTAAAATTGGGGACAGTGACCACAGGGCTTTGAGACGGATACCGACACATCGCATCACTGGCAAGATCGTTGTAGTTGCTGGTAAGGCTTGTACATATAGCTGAGTTCAATGGTGTGCTTTCGAGTCGATCCGCTTCAGGAGAGTATCCCGGTCAACTGTGAGCAGGGGCTTCGAGCCTCAGCTCGGCAAATTTGAGTGTCTTTGTAGCAGTCCCGGCATTGGTGGCTTTGGTTGACCGAGCCCTTCTATGCAATGAGTCTTCGCAGACACCGCGCGAGTAGATGATAATTCCCCTGCTCCAAACGTGATCTTGATCAATTCGTCGACGTTCAGGCCACGCCCATCCATTGGTCAATGCATGGCAGGATCGCAGACTCGCAATCTACTCCGCCTATGTTTAAGCTTGGAAGAACTTACCACAAGTCACAGCTGTTCTGTTCGACGTGTGTCGCCCTGCCGAACAGAACGAGCATCATGATACGACGAGCCTCCCAAGTTGGCAAGAATCTGTAAGCTCCATATTGCCGAGCATCATCTGGAGGTCAGAAGAAGGCGGTACGAACTACGTAAACCACCAAGGCATTTGCGGATTTCAGTAATCTAGCTGCACCCAGCACAGGAGGAGGAAATCAGTGCGACAAGGCGAAGAAGTAAGATGAACTTTGAAGTTGGCGGTCGCGGACTAGACTTCAGGTTCCAAGTTGGAGGAGGTGAGGCGGGCTGGGCGGGAGCCAAGTTATCACGTGCGAAATTAACACGCCACCTTAGGATGCACTAGTACATAAAAAGAGTATTGCAATTACTGCGGTGCCTCTACTTGTACACCGCCGTACAAACAGTGCCGCTTGCCAAGATTTTTGCAAAGACGCACACAAACGAAACCTGCGCCCATCCCCTTCATCTCGACCTCTCAACCACCACCTTCGGTCGACAACTACCTCCTAGCTCTACGCCATCATGGGTAGAGTCATTCGGAACCAGCGCAAAGGGCGTGGATCCATCTTCAGTCAGTGCCTTCTCGTCCCAACCCCTCGCGCACAATCCCTGCTCTCCGTCCGCAAACTTGCTCAATTGAGTCCTCATCCTTTACTGACGTCTCGCAACAGCCAGTCATACCAGGTTGAGAAAAGGAGCGGCCAAATTTCGACAGCTCGACTATTCAGAGCGACATGGGTACATTCGTGGCGTGGTGACTGAAATCATCCATGATCCGGGTCGAGGTGCACCCCTCGCCCGTGTCCAGTTCCGCTCGCCCTACAAATACGGCCTCAAGACCGAAACATTCATTGCAAACGAGGGACTCTTTACCGGTCGTATGTTTTCCCCAGCCGCCGTTTTTGCATTGGGACCCGTAATCTGGTGCACTGGCTGACTGCGTGGTGTCCCTAGAGTTCATCTACGCCGGAAAGAATGCAGCCTTGAATATTGGCAACATCCTCCCATTAGGTGCAGTTCCCGAAGGAACGGTCGTTTCGAATGTGGAAGAGAAGACTGGCGATCGAGGCGCATTGGGAAGAACTTCAGGCAACTATGTGACCGTGATCGGACACAACCCAGATGAAGGCAAGACCAGAGTCAAGCTCCCCAGTGGTGCAAAGAAGGTTGTTCTCAGTTCAGCTCGAGGCATGATCGGTATTGTCGCTGGTGGCGGACGTACCGACAAGCCAATGCTCAGTATGTGCATGGCATCGTTTATTTGACTGTCGGAATAGGCTAACGGTTGGGCACAGAGGCTTCCCGCGCAAAGCACAAATTCGCTGTCAAGCGCAACTCTTGGCCCAAGACTCGTGGTGTTGCCATGAACCCCGTCGACCATCCCCACGGTGGTGGTAACCATCAGCACATCGGCAAGGCTTCTACTATTTCACGATACGCAGCCCAAGGTCAAAAGGCCGGTCTTATTGCTGCCCGGAGGACTGGTTTGCTACGTGGTACCCAGAAGACCAAAGAGTAGACGTGGATGTTTGTACGAGAGACTTCCTGAAAATGGCGTGGATTGTGTTACGGCTCTTTATGGTATTTGCATCACTACCACTACGCAACACAGAAAGTGAAAGGGCTCAAAGCTCTGACGGCCAAAAGAATGCCAGTCGGTGCATTATCATTGAGCAGGAGCTAGTGAAGCCAGATAGCTTGGGGTTCCATGCTCCCAATGAAGATCCGTTGAGAAAGACAGGGAAATTCTACAGGGTTTTAGCAGCATAGGGAATGCCATCACTTCCAGAGCATGGCGGTGTCAAAACATCGAGTAGGTGATGGAGCTGAACCCCGCCCCCTTTTACAAGTCTCGAACTGTACCGAGTAACCTGCGGCTTGTGGCGTGTCAATGTCGCGCCTCCTTCAGAAATACCTATGTCACGAGGCCAAATTCATACGGACGTCCATGCTTACATGCCGACAATGTGCATGACAATGCTTACGGCGTTCGGCGGCGAGAAAAGGCCGGGAACATGGTAGTCCGTATGGCTGTTGAAATTATGCCGCAATTGTGCCCCTACCAGAGGCGAACTTGACTTGGACGCCCTGCGCCATTTACGAGGTAGAGTGGACTCGTACTGTACTTGTACTCGGTAGATAAGCCAAGTGATGATTTCAGTTGGTGGCGCATTGTTTCAGAGGGACACGACCTGTCACTGGCAGCGCTGGAGCTTCTGGCGAATCCCCCGCAGAAGAGTTTGAAGTCAGGGGCAGCTGTTGGGAACCAGTGGCTCTCGCTGCCCTGGCCGACTCTTGGTGGTGCTCTGGTTGCGCGGTGGAACTCGAAGGGGTTCAGAAACTCTAAAAGACCGATGCATGTGTGCGCGTCGCTCGTCACTGCAACCACGACTGTAACTCGCGCCGAGTCTGGCAACGGGGGGGATTTATTCATCATCCACACACACGGCCTTCTCTTTGTAAGGCCTGACTCTTGTTCCACGCTGTAAGCGCAGACAGTCGTTGACTCTCCCTCTACGTTCTGACCTCATTCACGCTGCTCGCCCATCGGACTTGTTTCTTTCCCTTGCTCATCTTTCCCTAGTCCTGGATCAGCATTTCAAGTTGCAAGGCCAGATCACCGCGCTGTCCGATCCGATCCCTCCGTTGCTCACCACCGACGCAGAGAGCGTAACATAGCACTTTCCCTTATCGACCCAAACATCAGAACTCTCACTCGCTAAAGATATTCTCCTCTCACTCCCTTCACACTGCCGACAAACGTCGTCGTCCAACATTGCCAATCATGAATGTCAACAAGAAACTCGACCGTTTCAAACAATGGGCAGGAGAGCGTATGGGTGGGGAAGTCAAGACCAATGTATCCGACGACTTCAAGGCCCTTGAGGTGGAGATGGGCCTCCGTCAGGAGGGTGTGTACCATACTCCTGCTGAACAACCGCAGCCAAAAAAAAAAAACAAACAAACAAAAAATATGAGCGCTAACGGCTATACTTTTCAGGTCTCGAGAAAATGCAACGATCAACGAATGCCTATATCAAAGCCATCTCAAAACGGTCCGAGGTGGAGGGGAAAGAGAAAACACTTCCGATCGCGTATATGGGCGGGACCATGATTTCGCACGGCGAAGACTTTGAGACAGATTCGGAATATGGTCAATGTCTCAACAGTGAGTATGCCCGTGCTACAGTTAAACTTGGATGCTGACCTCCCAAGTGTTTGGCCGAACGCAAGAACGGTTGGCTCGCGCACAGGAAACCTACATTACAAGCGCCACCACTTCCTGGCTAGAATCTCTCGAGAGGTCTTTGGTCCAGTTGAAAGAATACCAGGCCGCTCGCAAGCGACTCGAGACGCGCCGACTGGCCTATGATACATCTCTAGCAAAGATGCAGAAGGCCAAGAAGGAAGATTTCCGTGTCGAAGAGGAACTGCGGACTCAGAAAGCTAAATATGAAGAATCTGCCGACGACGTTCAGCGCCGAATGGAAGAAATCCGTGACTCGGATCCTGAGAGTGTTGCCGATCTTGCAGCGTTCCTCGATGCTGAACTGGCGTATCACGATAAGTGCAGAGAAGCACTGTTGCAACTGAGGAGCGAGTGGCCTGCCAGGTAAGCGGCTTTCTTTCTCTCAGTTGAGTGTCGGATCTAACTCAATTCGCGCAGAGTCCAGCTATCAAATCGTAGTAACCGTCCTAACCCTCGATCAAGATCAAATACTGTTCGGTCATACACTCAGACTGTTGAGCCAGCGGAAGAAACTCCGCCAGCGGTCGAAGTGCGGCCGACTATCAAGTCGACTCGGAGCGGCCGCTTTGCCGACCAACCTACGCCCGAATATTCGCCAGCTCGCCCGATATATGCCAGAGCCACGACGTACAATGACTCTCATCCTGTGAGGGATCTATCTCCAGCTACCAGGCCTGGGATTTCACGCATCCCCAGTGATTCTTTGATGATTCGAACCGCTCGATCGCAGCTACGGAGCGTGGACGAACAGGATGTCTTTGCAGATGAATCGGGCTCTTACACGAACAGTGGCTCAGATCGCGGTTACGGGGACCCATCTATATCCCCTGCAACTTCTCACGGCAGTGAATCAGTGACGCTTCTGACTGGAAAGAAGAATGCTGTCCCGCCTCCTCCACCTCCGTCACGCTCAAAGAAGCCACCGCCCCCTCCTGTACCAGCAAAACGCACTGTTCTTACGTGAAGTACCGAGCATACAGGAGATCATGAAGGCTGCTTGGATTGATAGACGGAGTCTGGCGTTGGTGGTGGGGGGCCATGATGGGGGGGTTGCTTGCCACAGACAGACTATTAGAGCCAGGCCCAGGGGAGAATGCATTTGGAGCGGTGTTGTATGACATATATCTGGGTCACTTTGCAAGCATACCTAGTATCAATCTCTTATCATTTGCCTCGAAACTCTACAAATGATCCGTACCTAGGTAACAGTGTAAACAGCCAGACCTTTTCCTTTTTCCGAGACGGAGTGTTTTTGGGAGATGCCTTTGCTGCACCACGTGATTTGTGATCCCGTGACCTACAAAGACCCAAGATTTGCCGCCCGCTTGGCAAACTACTTGCAGACCGCAGACCTCGTTTGGGGTCACATCTGTTCTCCGTTGCGCTCCCCAAGACGTGAAGGCCCCTCGGCCGGGAAAATCATCAATCAACGCGTCGCATCCATCTCTTTTCATCTCAACCGAACACTGGTAACTCGCAGCACCGCCTGAGGAGTGCGCCCGAACGCGGTGACCGACTCTTCGTCCCCTCTTTAATCAGGCACCCTCGCCTCAACCGCCCAATTTCGCCTCACCTGGGACTGCTTCACCACGAATCTCTCCCATCTGCGATCTGCGCCACGTTCATCCATCCTCACGAGGCTGCGCCGGTCGAAAACAACGGCACCTACCTTGATTAGATGCCCGGATAGGCCCTTCACCCTTCGCCTTGACCTGCAGCTGCCTAGCGTTGCAGTAATCCTGCACCGACTAAGTCACCATGACTTCTGTTCAGTCCGCGCCTGCGATTCAGGCCAATGTTCCCTCCCTTCCCCCCAACCTTTCTCAAGCTCAAGTGCAGGAAGTTTATCAGGTATGTAAGCTCCGCGAAAAGCTTTCCAACGCCCCCCGCTTCCTCCCAATTATACCTTCAGTGGCCGACAACTAACACAGGCAACAGAAATTCCAGCGCATGAAAGCACAAAATGTCCCCGAAAACGATCCTGAGTACTTAAAAGCATATCGATTTCTCACTGCTGTCCAACAACAGCAGAACTACCGCAAATTGCAGGCTCAAAAGCAGGCACAGGCACAGGCACAACTCCAAGCTCGGATGCAGATTGCCCAACAACAGCAACATCCACAATCGAACCAACATGCCGCACTACAAGTGAACGGAAATGCAAACACCTCGACAACAAACGGGATTAGCAATGGTCAGCAAGATTCGACAGGTGCGGTGGTGAACGAGGTAATTTCCTCCGCGCCGAACCCAACCTCAGGTCCCAATCCTGTACCATCTGCTGGGGCACAGGCACCACGTGCCGCCGCCCAGACCAGCGGAAGCTTCACACCAGAACAGCTGAATCTACTGAGAACCCAGATTTTCGCTTTCAAGACCCTGTCAAAGAACCAGCCGTTGCACCCCAGGATACAGCAACAACTTTTCCCCTCCTTAAAACAACCGACAGTCGCGCCCACGGACAACATTCCCTCTGGAGATAAAGTGGCGGATGGCGTTGTGGAAGCGAAGGACGACGGTGCATCAACCGAAGTTGCTCGAGCTAAATCTTTCTTCGAAACCTATCAGTCGCCTTACGATCTCCTCATCAAGGCGATTAGCTTCTCCGATTATGCACAGCGCACCAGGCGCCAGAAGATCCCTAGCATCCTCCCCATTGGTCTTGACTCGGACCAGGTTCGAGAGGAGCAAGAACGGCTGCTGTACAACCGCATTCAAGCTCGAAAGGCAGAATTGGCAGCGCTGCCTGTGAACATCGCATCTTGGGACACTAGTAAATCCGTTGAACCCACTGCTGACGACTCCCTTAAAGTCAAGGCGTTAATCGAGTACAAAAAGCTATGTCTGCTCCAGAAACAGCGAGATTTTCGCCGTGAGATTCAGCAAGAGCTCTTCTACTATGACAACCTGGCAATGACCGCGAACCGATCGATGCATCGTCGGATGAAGAAGCAGTCACTTCGTGAAGCTCGTATTACCGAGAAACTGGAGAAACAACAGCGCGACGCCAGAGAGAACAAGGAAAAGACTCGGCAATCGAATCACCTGCAGTCCATTGTTGCCCACGCCCAAGATATCAAGAACAATGCCATCAGTCAGCGCTCGCGTATACAGAAGCTTGGTCGGATGATGGTCACTCATCACCAACACATGGAACGTGAGGAACAGAAGCGCATTGAACGGACTGCGAAGCAACGTTTGCAAGCATTGAAAGCGAACGACGAAGAGACATACCTGAAGCTCCTCGGCCAGGCCAAGGATTCTCGCATTACACATCTTCTCAAACAGACCGATGGTTTCCTGAAGCAACTTGCCGCCTCCGTCAGACAACAACAAAGAAGCGCAGCAGAGAAATGGGGCGAAGACAAGTACCTCGACGAGGAAGAAGATGATGAGGGCGACTCGGAAGACGAGGAAGGACGTGGCAAGGTCGATTACTATGCTGTCGCTCATAGAATCAAGGAAGAGGTTAACGTCCAGCCCTCAATCCTGGTCGGAGGCACTCTGAAAGAGTACCAACTCAAAGGTCTCCAGTGGATGATTTCACTGTTCAACAACAACCTGAATGGCATTTTGGCCGACGAGATGGGTCTGGGCAAGACCATTCAAACCATCAGTTTGATCACCTATTTGATCGAGAAGAAGCGTCAGACCGGCCCATTCTTGGTCATTGTTCCTCTAAGCACACTCACTAATTGGAATCTGGAATTCGAGAAATGGGCTCCTTCTGTCAGTCGCATCGTGTACAAAGGCCCTCCGAACAGCAGGAAGCAGCAACAAATGAGGATCCGACAAGGTAACTTCCAGGTCTTGCTCACAACCTACGAATACATCATCAAAGATCGCCCCATTTTGAGCAAGATCAAATGGGTACACATGATCGTCGATGAAGGTCATCGTATGAAGAATTCTCAATCGAAATTGAGCAGCACCATCACCCAATATTACACTACGAGATACCGGCTGATCTTGACCGGTACTCCGCTACAAAACAACCTGCCCGAGTTGTGGGCCCTTCTCAATTTCGTTTTGCCTACAATCTTCAAGTCAGTCAAGTCGTTCGACGAATGGTTCAACACACCTTTCGCCAACACCGGTGGACAAGACAAGATGGAGTTGAGCGAAGAAGAGCAGCTTCTCATTATCCGCCGTCTGCACAAAGTTCTGCGACCTTTCTTGCTTCGCCGTCTCAAGAAAGACGTAGAGAAGGACCTTCCCGACAAGCAAGAGCGAGTCGTCAAATGTCGCTTCTCAGCTCTCCAAACCAAGCTTTATATGCAACTGATGACGCACAATCGACTTGCTGTGGCTGACGGCAAAGGCGGCAAAACCAGCATGCGCGGTCTCAGCAATATGTTGATGCAGCTGAGAAAACTGTGTAATCACCCTTATGTCTTTGAGCCTGTGGAAGACCAGATGAACCCTAGCAGAGGGACGAATGACTCCATCTGGAGAACAGCCGGTAAATTTGAGCTCCTCGACAGAATTCTTCCCAAGTTCCGCGCCACTGGTCACCGTGTGTTGATGTTCTTCCAGATGACTCAGATAATGAACATCATGGAGGACTTCTTGCGGTACCGCGGCATCCAATATCTCCGACTTGACGGCGCCACCAAGGCTGAAGATCGATCCGAACTGCTGCGGGTCTTCAATGAACCCGGATCGCCATATTTCTGCTTTCTCCTTTCGACCCGTGCAGGTGGACTTGGCTTGAATCTCCAAACTGCAGATACTGTTATAATCTACGATTCAGACTGGAATCCTCACCAGGATTTGCAGGCTCAGGATCGTGCTCACCGTATTGGACAGAAGAACGAAGTGCGTATTCTGCGTCTTATCAGCTCTAATTCCGTCGAGGAGAAGATCCTGGAGCGCGCTCAGTTCAAGCTGGACATGGACGGCAAGGTCATTCAGGCGGGTAAATTTGACAACAAATCCACCAACGAGGAGCGAGAAGCGTTCCTAAAGACCTTGCTTGAAGCCGCCGAAGCTGCCGAACAAGTTGGAGATCAAGAGGAAATGGACGATGACGACCTGAACGAGATCATGGCCCGCACAGAAGATGAGTTGGTCTTGTTCAAAAAGATGGACAAGGACCGGGACGAGCACGACCAGTATGGGCCAGGCCGACCACTTGCCCGGTTAATGGAAGAAAGTGAACTTCCGGACATCTACGTGGCTGAGGACAATCCAGTTCAAGAAGAGGTAGAGGAGTACACTGGTCGCGGCGCCCGCATCAAAACCCAAGTCAAATATGACGACGGGCTAACTGAAGAACAATGGCTTGCCGCTGTTGACGACTCGGACGATTCGATTGGCGAGGCGGCCAAACGCAAACAGGCAAGGATCGAGAAAAGACGCAGCAACAAGCTCAAACGTGAACGAGAAGCAGCAGGCATTGCGTCTTCACCCGAACCCGAACGCGAGAGTTCCGAAGAGGAACCCCCACCGAAGAAAAAGGGTCCTGGACGGAAGTCAGCGGGCCAGAAGCGCAAGGCTGAGGACATTGAGGACGAGACACCGGCGACGAAGCGCAAGAGAGGAAAGCAACCCAACAAGCCGGCCATCGACCTGCTGAGTAGCACTGAGCGATCTGCGTTACAAAAAGCTCTCAAGGCCGTCTTTGGGTCCATCAAGGCTCTAGAAGTCCCTGACTCGGATTCAGAGCAGCAGTCGGAGGATGAGAGCGACGACGAACCGCCGACAAGATTGATCATCGGACCGTTCCTAGAACTTCCCTCAAAGAAATTGTACCCCGATTACTACAGCTTCATTACGGAACCCATCGCCATGGACATGATTGAGAAACGTATCAACAGCCACCAGTACTCCAGCCTCAAAGATTTCCAAAATGACATTGCGCTCTTGGCGAAGAACGCGAAGACGTATAATGAGGACGGCAGCATGCTGTACAACGATGCAATTGCCATTGAGGTAAGGCTTTGATCCCCATTTGTTCCGAAACGCGCAACTAACGACATGTTATAGAATCACTGCAACGAGATGATTGCCAGACAGGTTGCAGACAACCCCAGCCTTGGGGATAGACTTCTGGATGGCGATTCCACAGCAGCGGCTTCGAGCGCGGGAACGCCTCGCGGATCCGTGGCACCAGCTGGCGGGACAAAGCTAAGACTGACATTGGGGACGAGCAGTAATGGGATTGCGACGAATGGCACTACGAGCGGGGCTGCCAGCGGAGCGGAATGATAGATGGATGTCGTACTGTACCATAACGAGATACACCGAAGACGAGAAAAGCGGTCATGGGGGGGGGGGGGGGGTGGATTTGGTATAGGGCTTGCATCTGGCAATGGGAAATGGCGGGATAATCCGGTCTATCGTTCTCAACAGCAGAGGGGATTGGGATGTCATTGGCATCATGCATGGCTTTGGAATGGCGGAGAGAGAGGGTACGGTGAGAAGGCATTTGTTGCTCAGGAAACTCAGTCCTGGGTGTAGCTGTGGGATTATTACTGGCATTGCTTGTAAAATGGAAATACTTGAGCTGTCTGTCCATTTTCGTGTTCGATGTATACCATGGGTCTTCGTCTTGAGGGGACTCGGTGCGTTATGTTGCAGAAAAGGAGACGGCGAAGACGGCACCGGCGGCTGGATGAAGACACGAGGAGCAGGACATTCGGCCAATGATGGTGTGGAAAACGCAGCGTGTGGAGAGGAAGAAGCGAGCGGGAACTATGGACGGAATACGGAGAAGGGGAGAACAGTTGGTGGCATCTCGCTATGTACTGGGTACTTGTACTGTAGTCCTGAGGAGTAGTGCATAGGTACCTGCGCATCTGGAGTGTGTACAGATTTGCCTTTGGAACTACGCCTGCGCCTGCACCTTGCACCTTGCACCTTGCACCTGCGCCTGTCGTCCCCAACCTCCCACCACCATCACCAAATACGTCGCAGCCTGCTTCTCCCTGCCTGTCAATACCGTCTCATTCCTGCTTTTCAATTTCCCATCGTTACCCATGTGTGCGCCCTGGCCGCGCCCTCTCGAATGATCCCTAGTTTGACCTCTGCGCCAACATGGCGTCAACTCTGGTGGGCGCGACGTTGAGTCTTCTCCGTATGCAGTCCTCTCCTGGTCAACCCTTGCGAGACCGTGGCATGATACTGATTCTCCGATACAGGTCGCCAGGCTGAAGACGTCGATCCAGATGGTACGCTGCATGCGCTGCTGTTGTTCACGGTGCCCTTTCGACCGCTCACTGATTGATGCTCGATACAGACCCTCCCGAAGCTGGCCAGAAAGAGATCTTTTCATCATGGGCACTCTTTATTTTGATCATGCTGCTGATTGCGGCGCTCTTTACGAGCTATATCTTGCAGCAGAAGAGAATACAAGCCGTCCATGAAACCGTCATATCTATATTTGCCGGTACGCACCAAACCCCCGACACACTCGTGCGCCGCCGCTGACCGCATGTGCAGGCATGGTCGTCGGACTGATTATTCGCATAACACCTGGGACCGCGATACAAGACACCGTCAGCTTTGATTACCAGTTCTTCTTCAACCTCCTTCTCCCCCCCATCATTCTCGCCTCGGGCTACGAATTACACCAGGTAGGGCTTCCTTGCAAAGAGACCGGATCTGCGCCTCGGTCGAGCATCAGCTAAAGGGTCACAGGCAAACTTCTTCCGCAACATTGGTACGATTCTGACCTTTGCATTCGCCGGCACCTTCATCTCGGCCGTGTCCTTGGGCTTGATACTCTGGTTGTGGACGCGGATTCCCTTTGACGGCCTGACCATCACCTGGGTCGAAGCCATTTCTGTCGGCGCCACCCTCTCCGCCACCGATCCCGTCACTATCCTCGCTATCTTCAACATATACAAGGTCGAACCCAAACTCTATACCGTCATCTTCGGCGAATCCATTCTCAATGACGCCATCGCCATCGTCCTGTTTGAGACTGCCCAGCGATACAGGGAAGGGGCTGCTGGGAACTTGAATATCATCAGCCTGTTTGAGGCCATCGGCATCTTCTTACTCGTCTTCTTCACCAGCCTAGTGATTGGGGTGGTCGTGGGCATCGGGACTGCCCTCGCCTTGAAGTATACGCTTGTGCGCAGGTTCCCCAAGATCGAGAGCTGTCTGATCGTTCTGATTGCATATGCAAGCTACTTTTTCTCCAATGGCGTCCACATGTCAGGTATGTCTCGTTGTCCTTATTCTGGTCTTCATACAGTACACTGAGACCATCACACCAGGCATTGTCTCGCTGTTATTCTGCGGGATCACCCTCAAACATTACGCATACTACAACATGTCCCGAAGGACTCAATTAACCACGAAATTCGTCTTTCAGATCACTGCCCAGCTGTCGGAGAACTTCATCTTCATCTACCTTGGACTCACTTTATTTACCGAGACAGATCTAGTTTTCAAACCGCTGTTCATCCTCGTTACCGTGGTTGGCATCTGTGGCGCACGGTGGCTAGCAGTTTTCCCGCTTTCCAAGGCGATCAACTACATCATTCGACTTCGGGCCAAACGCCGTGGTCGAGACGTGGCCGAAGAACTTCCCTGGCACTATCAGGTCATGTTGTTCTGGGCTGGCTTACGAGGTGCCGTCGGTGTGGCCCTGGCTGCTGGGCTACAAGGCAAGAATGGCCCCGCACTCCGAGCCACTGTCCTCGTGGTGGTGGTGTTGACGGTCATCATTTTTGGCGGCACGACGGCACGCATGCTCGAGATCCTGGGCATCCGCACGGGTGTGGTCGAAGAGATTGACTCAGACGATGAGTTCGATATTGAGACCGCCAATGGTGGCACGTACTACAAGCGTTCTGGCACCGGTTTTGGCCATAACCCGCGCCCGTCGGCGATTGGCCTTGACTACGTGGGCAATGGTCGCGAAGCGAAACCAAACGGCCCAGCCTCACACGCTCGCACCGACCGAGGTTATAGCAGTAGTAACGGCCGCTCTCCACCACTTCATGGCGGAAGCCATCGGAAAAACTCAGCCATCTCCCAGCGTGATCGCGAAATTGCCGCCCAGCAAGGAAAACTACTGTCCGGCAACGGTAGCAACAGTGGCTCAACATCCGATGACGATGAAGATGCGGCAGAACTTGACCTCCCTCCTGCGGCGCCCCGAAGGAAACAGTCTCCCTTGTCGCTTCCTCCCGGAGCTCATGACACACGCGTGCGCTCAGCTCCAGATATTATCCTCAACAACGGAGACAGTGACCCCTTGGGTGCAGACCAAGGAGATATGGGCACAGCAACAACCCAGCCAGAAAGATCATCGACGCCGCTTGCGGGAGCAAGTAGTTCGATAAGGAATCTGTTAAGGGGTGCAGCGGCGGACCATACTGCATGGTTCCGCCAGTTGGATGAGGACTTCATCAAGCCGCATCTGTTGTTGGACCAGCATCAGGGGCAGGGCAAAGGGCCACCTCCTTCATGAGCGCAGGACTTTGTCGTGTGTCTGGAGGATGCTTCTTCAAAGAGGAGTCCGCCGGGACTGTGGTTATTCCTTGCGCGAGGGCGTCAGGCGTTCTATAAAAAGTGATTCTGAGATGACATGATTTTCAATTGAAGGGATTTCGATGATGGGTAGGCAGGCACAATATCACGGAGGCCATTGGGAAATAGAATCGATGCCATCGGAGCTTCACAGGGCAGATAACTTAGAGCAACGGACATTTTCCATCACCTTTTACATACAAATCTTTGTATTTGATGCTGACCGAAGGCCTCTGCCAGTGGCACGAACAGAGATCAAGGCTCCCTGCTTCTTTGTCTTTAATCCTCCCTCTTAACATCGCTCCTAACTTCACTCGTTACCATCAATTTTATTGTAAACACCTCTCTATTCACTAGCTCCCGGAGGACATTTAACGCCTCATCAGGCACACATCTGGCATCACCGCCCTGGTGTCAATGTTCACCTTTTATTTGGGTGTCTGGATATGCCCGTTCTCTCATTCTCGTACCCCACATCGGACAGTCATCCACGTCCACCGACTATCCACAAGGTCTAGAGAACTCAAGAGGAGAATCGAGGTCGAAGCCACCCGGGGAGGCAGTACACAAGCTCACGACACCACTGACGTTCCCGAAGATGTCAGATCCCACTGGTCCACCTCCGAAAGCACCCTCTTTGCCTTCCCCATCCTCCCCCCTTCGCATCCAATCGATCACGACAGCCGTCTCAACAGAGTCTACGACCAATGCCAACCCCCCACCCCAAAAAAGCACAGCCTTGTTGCGCCAAGTTGGTTGCCCTCTATGTCTGATCTTGTACAGTTCAACGATCAGACATCGACGCGGACAGAGCGCCCTGGGAAGGCTGACAAATGGAAAGAGCTTCCACTCGAAGTCATGGAAAATATTATGGGTTACCTCAAATGAGAAGATCTCAGGACTTACCGGCTGGTCGACAAGAAGACTCATCATGAGGCTCCCCGTGCCTTGTTTCGCTCCATCTTTATCGACCCTGATTCCCATAACCCAGAGCTGTTCTGCGACAAAATGGAATTGCCGTCACTCACGAATCATGTGCGTGGCACTCACTACGATGGAGGCTGCACGGCTGCTCCAATCTTATGGTCGATGGTGAAATCCTTTAGAAGATATCTGCTAAAATCGGTCGTACTGGATCTTATCAACCTCTCAGATGTCAAAAACATGCTTAACAGAGGAAGAGAAGTTGAGGGATTCCTCTCCGAGGCCAGCCACTTCGAACTTACCATCCACCGTCGTGCGCAACCTCGTCTGTACGATTTTGAGCTTGTACAAGGTGTCGCGAGTTGTCACAGTCACTCCTGCGTGTCGAGAAGCTCTCCCTCGAGGAGAATATGATGGAATTTCTGAGATGGATCCGAAGACGCTAGAACTCTCCGCCACGGGATCGAAGAATATATCCATCATCGAGGACCCTTCCCATTCAGTGATTTGCAGCCATATATGACGCGCATTATCGATATGACCGTCGTCTCATGTAGTGAGAATATCGCCATCACGGAAATCGATACATTCGGATGGAAATCTACTCTGCAAATGCCAGTGAAGAGTGATCATGCATGGAAAGTTTGCGCGCCATGGTGAAACAAGTACGACTGACTGCGCTCGGCTACGATCATTCAGGCACTACTCACGAAAGTGATTGTGCTGTCTCCTCCAAGGAGATGACTAGATATGGGCATGATGATATGCTACGTGACTGAAAGATATCCGACCAAAGGTTTCAAGTGAAGAAGGAGCTGAGCAGTGCGATTGAATGAAGTATCAAGTTTTAACTTAGGCATCAAGCGAGGGCCAAGCAACATTCGTGAAATGCCTGACAGGAAAACAAGACATGTCTCTCCAAACGAGACAAACAGGACGATTCAGGCAGGGTTTAGGGTGCAGTGAGGCACATGGGGATCAAGCTATGACATTTCAGGCTTCTATATGGCCGCTCGAGTCATGTCTCTGGCGAGATCCGATATCCAGACAAAAAGGATCAATCGTGTAGTATGGAATTAAAGGAAGCTATTGATGCTGCGCCTGGGTTTCGTGCCCAAGACGCCTGAAGATCAATCGCGTCCCCAGGTTTCTATCATTCGTTTGGATACCCCTTTGTCAAAGCCTCCGCACATTACCCGCCAAGCTGGCGACGGTGAGGTGTATATCTGGTTGTCGACGTGTCCTGTGTACACTGACAAAGCAGAGAGATGGCATCCATCCACTGCAATTGCCTCAATCTTGTCCCAGCCGAGTATAGTCTGGAGTAGCTCCATCAAAGGGGCTCCTGGGCATTGCAACCTGCAAGCATGTATTAACCGATTTGTGTCAAATACTGCCTTGCACGGCACTCTCGGTCGCTCATGCTGCGACAAACCCTTCCGACATTGCGTACTTTTGGACTTTGCATCAAGAGTGCCGAGGCTCTGTAGAATTGGAAGGGGCAACAATGTCCCGATCGGGCTAATTGCTCTCCGTCCACCCATATTCTGCTGAGAGTCTCCCCAAAGTTCGGCGCCGCCGTCAGGATCAACACGGTCGATTTCCAAAGAGGCAGCATTGAAGTCAACGACCTGTTCAGGGTGACCAGTCGTTTAAGCAGTAGCCAGCTCGATCTCGTCGAGACATCGGGAGGAAGCTTCGAATCGCCCATTATGGCGACCGGCGTGGCACAAAGTGAAAAGTTCTTCCAGGGCCCCGAAACCCGAAAGCATGCTTCTTGCATGTCGCCCAGCAGCTCAGAAATGTCGCCCAGATGCCCGTCATTGTCACAGGAGGCATCTCTCACAAAGTCGTCTTGGAGGAAGTTCTTGGCGATGACCCTCGACGCATCGCTGGCAGGGGAACGGCCATGGGGTTGATTCCCGACTTAGCTAACCGATGGACTGGTGGAGAAGACCGTGCAGCTTCTATCTCACGCAGTGTATTCTTCCCGCAGATCCTAGCCGCAGCGAAACCTCGGGTGTACAAGGCAACTTCAAGTTGATCGGCCGAGGCTGGCGGGCCCGCAAGGGCGTCTAACCCGTCTTGAGTTTGTTGTTAATATGGGTGATCGAAGCTAGGCCACTGAGCACCAACAAGCAATGAGTACATCACGAGTCCATGTGTGTTACCTCTGGCGTGTGTCCGGCCCTCGTACCATCGGATTCCAAAACCACCCCTGAAAGGTTACGCTGCGTTAGCGATCGATGACACAATCATTAGGTAGAACCCTCAGACAGGACGATACCTGGGGGTGACGCTCGCTTGAAGTTCCGCTTGGAGTGTCGCGACTGTGTTCATCTCTGCGCAGAACTTGGACAGGGTGAGAGTTCTGCATTTAGTATGAATTCCCCGACCAAGCATCAGGGTAAGTCCATGGGCTGCATTATAGAGTGGGCCCGATTGCATGGGAAGCCAATAATCGGAGGCCTTGATTGTGGGCCAGCGCATTGCCGAATCGAGAGTCAAAGATTGGTATTACTACTCTCGCACTCCGGTATCACATTCCAAAGGTACATCGAGATGGTCCCGAGAGCGCTCAGCGGAACTCTGGCCATCCATCCCTTCCCCCTCCCACCTCTGAACCCGCGCATCAAATCTTCACCTCGTTCAAAGCCGTGATCTGTGCAGTCACCTTACGCTAGGCGGGAGGAATGCTCACAGAGGTACGAGTTTTATCGAAGGGTACCTTCATGTACGTCCTCTCCAACCTCAAGGATTTGACAAGCCATTCCCCATCCTTCAACGCCCACGTCTCATAGTAGTAGCCTCCTCCTCTCATCTGGAAAGGTGGGTTCTCATCCTTCCAGATAATCTGGTCCTCCGTGGACCAGATCGCTTCGACTTCGTTTTTCTCCGGCGTCAGGTATCTCATGTCGCCTGGTCCGAACATATGCAGTGTTTGCGTCCTGGCTAGGAAGACAGCCATGTGGGACGTGAAGGCTTCGAGAGAGGGGAAGGCATATGTTACACCGTCTCTAGTGATGGGATTGCCCTCTGTGTCGAGGAAGCTGAAAGAGCATTCTGGGACAGCGACCTGGTCGAACTTGTCCAGCTGCTTCTTGTCGACAAGCCGGCCGTATAAGGCCTTTTTTGTGCGAGATGGCTTCGAGGGTATCGGCGGAGACTGGCATTCTGCTTGTCTGGACCACGAGTAGAAGCCTTTCTGGATGCTAGTGTTCCACGACCGCCATTCATTTGAGGAGATGGATTAAATACCTCCATCGTAGTTCAATTTCGACCGGCATTCGGCCTTCGACCGAGGAGCTTACGCTACACGAGTTCTTTCTGCGGGTTGAGAATCGGAGCAACTCTATGTACCGTCGCCATCCGGGAGAGGAATGCGGCTTGTCGAAAAGGGGTTCTCGGGTAAGATTCGGAGGAACCATTAAGCAACATAGTTTGACGGGGATTGTTCAGCGTATGCAAATTGTGTTATCATGTTATGGTGCTTCGACAACCAGGCAATGAGTTGCCAAAAAAAATAATCATTATTGAGTGCCGGACGGTACTTCATTCCGCAGCCTGGTTGAGTGTTCTGAGGGAAGACATCGATAATTCTCGACCCATAAAATATTTACTTGTCCTATATGCCCTATGTATGCCCCCTTTGAATGAAAATAAGGCTGTTGAAGGTAGCTGCGGAAAAAAAGAAAAGGAAAGTGCCGGTGCCCAGGAACTGAAAAAAATTATTTATTGCGTTGCGTCAGCCGGGACTGAGAACACCGTTAGAGGACCCCGCACAGTCAACTACACATTGGTGTGCAACTTACATCGAACCCGGGGCTAGAGCTTGCCTCAAAGGGTGTGGAAGGCTCCAATGTCTAATTTCCGCTGTTAGATGGAAGTCTGCGGTGTGAGGCATGTTGAAACTTACTACCATTACACCACCAACGCTGTAATTGTACTCAAATTTGGTAGCAATATTACATATGTGCAATGTTGGTGGTGGTGGGGCAGAGTGGGGCTTGCTAGCTGTTTGACCCTGACGTCATCGCAGTGCCATAGGTAAGAAAATGGCAGTCTTCATATATTGCGAGGAATTTGTAGGAACTACGAGGTACGTAGTATCCATATCATCCTCAATTCTTCAACATTGACCGATTGATCGGGTATCACCAAGCTCAGAAGTTACGTGGGAACAAAGAATCAGAAATCAAAAATGGATGTGCCCAAGTTCAAGGAGCGCGAGAAGGCCCTCGAAGATGACTATATTCGTCGCAAGGAGTAAGTCCATCGCCCACTACAACAGGGCGCTGCCGAGGATCCAATCTCTCGTGATCCCTAGGCTCGAGCAGTTGCAAGCTTCCTTGAGCAATGCACCCTACTGACAAACGCCGCTTCGAATTCTGCTGTAGGGCCGAGAAATTCAAGCCACCTGCGCCGACTCAGCCTGGTAGTACCCAGCCCTCAAATCCAGAGCACAAGGTAAGCTCTCTGGCTGCTTCAACACTTTCTGAGACTTCGTGTGGGCTATCTAACCGATATAAGGTTCAACCAAAGAAACAAACATCCTGAATAGATATGGAGGCGTAGTCAGTTAAAGCTGTTCGCACCTCATATCGGGCCGGGTCATGTGTCGTTAGGTCACTCAGTCACTTTGTACCAAGTACATCCACCACTTTTTCGATATCTCATTCTCTTCCCACCGTGACGAGCTATGCATATTCATGCAACAGCGCCATACAAGTGACTCACCGTGTCTGTCTCTGGCCCTTCGGACGGCGTTGCTCAAAGGAAATCCTCTATTCCGGCTCTGCAGTCGGACATCTACTCAATGCCCATGAATGTTTTCATGTCAAACAGAGAGCGTCATTTAATAGTGATTGCACTACTGACGGGGCTTGGTTCCGAAGAACTGTGCCAAACGTGACTACCGGTGATTTTGCCTTCGCGCCGAACCGGTTCAAGGTTGTATCGTCGTCCCGTGTACTGGTGTCTCTCGCTACAGTGATGATCTGACTTACGACAGGTGCCAGGCACCCCCTGAATCTAAAAACACTGTCAAAGGTTTTTATGCATCGGTCAAGATCGAAGTAGGGCGAGTTTTCCCACCGAGCTCAACCGAAGGGACGTCCTATCTTTGAGAAGAATATCAAGTTCTGTCGCCATATATCAGGATATACCGCGATCTACTTTCAGACTCAAGCCGAGTACTCCTGCCTTCGAGCAGCACAGGATTAGTGTTGAAAATACCAACGCTTTGTGAATAAATGCTTGCAGCTTCTGACCCTATTTCTTTGCGGTGTGGGATAACCGCAACATCCTGGAATGTGACATTGGAGACTGCCCTGTCTCACTCCCGACCCCGAAGCCAGTTAGGTGACTGGGGAGATATCCAACCATTGTTGCGGGATGGACAGATGGATGTTTCTTTGTCGACCCTTCAACCAACACGAAGCAAATGAGTGCCTAGAAACGACTCCATATCGTGCTCTACTCTCACATTCCAGACAAACCTGTCGCAAGATGACTGGTGGTCTTCCTCCAATGGACACTACACCCTCATTGTTGTACAATGTTACAACAACTCAACAGATTAAGAGTCTTTGGTACAGACCGACTGCGCATTCTACCGGTCACCTTGGCAATCATCTTCCTCTTCGCCCTCCTTCCAGACAAATATACGAGGCAGGTCTGCCTGGGACATCTTCTTGCACCTTCAAGTGTTGAGCATAGGCAAGCTGCGGTAAATGCCACACTCGGAGTGGAGAACGCTGCTAATTCAAGAGGAAATCAGATTGCTTGGGCCGCTCTCGCTAATAGTTGACTGTAGTTTCAGAAGCTGTTAGCACTTTCATCGAAACCCAACTGGGGCACACGAGGACTGCAAGCAGCCGCCAACCTCAGCGGCCTCGATTCACCATTCCGATGCAGCCACACAATCCCGAAGAATTCGTCTACGCATTCGAAGATATCGGACTCAAATCCGGCGCCACCACCCCGAAACAGGACACTCCGTCAACCTGGGTCGCTCACGCCGACTTTGCTCAAGTATATCATTGCCGCGGGCTTCAGGACCGCTTTGGTACTTCAAGACGATGTCGATCCGGACGGCCGGACCGAGAAGCATGTGCAATTGGTTTCGGACAACATGCGCCCCTATACTCTCGCACCTGAAATTGATCCGACACCATATGGCACAGATTGGGACGTCCTTTGGCTAGGCTATTGCGGCGCAGCAATCGATGACTGGGTCCCTCCGGGTCTGATTTCCGCCGACGAGGCATCCGACGTCGCTCTGTCCAACCACTGCCGCGCAGAGGAGTTGCGGATTCCTCAGTCTGTCTCACAAAAAAAAAAAAAAAAAAAAAAAAGGGGGCGGTCTGGGATGCTACGAGTGGCAAGCTTAGTAAACATGCCTGAATCAACTAATATTCGACCACTGTAACCAAATACTCAACACAAGCGAGTCGGTGGAAATTAAGACAGCTCATTCAGAGAGAAGTTTGCCTCTCGCCTCGTTTGAATATGAATAGTGGATGAAGCATTACGAGACAATATTACTAGGTATATATGTATATGGGCTGTGTTGCTGCCCATTGTGCCAATAAACCCAATTGGCACCGAGTCCCGAACGCCCAGAGCCTTGCTCTCTCGTAGCCTTCTTCCTTGCAATGTGGCTGTCATGTACTGTGAACCGATTCCACCCAGTCCATTTTACAGCCACTCCCCCCAAAGGCCAGATCTCGATGGAGCCACCACTCGGGCAGACCTGTTTGCCGTTTGAACTCCATTCACCCACCCCAAACACGCTATTAGAGCGGCTGCGACTTCGCAGCCACTGACTTCTTTCTCAAAAACACCCTCTTAATCCCCCCAATATCCCCAAGGCTCATACGGTTACCCTTGGATCGCACACTAAGACTCGTACGTCGTGAAGCCTTCGCGTCACTGGCAATGGAACTCGTGCTCGGGCTGGTGGAAATTGTCACAGGGCTCGAGTTGGCATTCGAGCTCGGGCTTGAGCCCAAATACGACGATGCTCGACGGCTCGTGCTTGGCGGCGTGGAGCTGATCGTAGTAGTGGTTGTCGTTGTCGTCGTGGTACCATTGGGACCTTGCACAATCGTGGGACTCCCACCACCACCGCTAACTGCCCTGGCTTTGCCGACCATTCCTTGTACCCAAGCGTCATTGCTAGCGGCGGGTGTAATCCCATATGTAGCTGCTCGACGCACGTTCATTTTTGGACCAGCGGCACCGAGAGGGGTATAGTTTGTAGTTGTGGTAGGAGGAGTCACAACAGTTGTCGTCGTGACACCGCCCGGTCCAATAATAGTGGAATATCTTGGCTGGGACATTGTCGCTGGATTCTGTCGCGTCCGTTGAGATTGGTCCTTTGACAGTGCCAGATCAGGGTCGACGAAACTGGCCACAGTGCCACCATCATAATCAGCGGACGTGGTTAATGTGGGAGAGCTAACGGTATAAGACAGGGGGATGGGAGGGACTGGAGGCGGTGTCCATGTACCGTCACCCCTACTCTTGCGACGTTCAGGAGAGTGACGTCGCTGGGTTGATGATCGAGTCTTCGGGTTTATGAGGTCGGTCGACGGTGCGCCCTCAAACGTCGTTTGGGCTACAGTGGGTGATCTCGACTTTCGACGTCCCTGGGAAACCGATGTCCCGCTGACAGAAGTCACGGAGTCTCTGAGTCCATTTCCGGGGAAGCTGGCAACCTCAAGTCGACCATCCACTGTCGCCCGGCTTCCATGGTGAAGACTATACTCTCGTAAGTATTCTCCGAGATCTGCCCATCCTCCGCCAACCCGAACCATGACACGGTCTCCATCTCCGACAGTTCGAACAAAGAGCTTCACTGGAGGAGCCTCGCGACCTTGTCCAGAGCGTGTCAGATGATACAGTTTAATGTCGGGGTCAGCGAGGCTGCCTCTGCGGCTGGATGGGTCCGCTTTGGCTGGTGATAATGTCAACGATGCGGTTGGTGTTGAGGCACGGGTTGATGAGGTGGACGAGGATTGAGCATCTGCATCCTTTGCCAATCGGATTCTTGTAGGCAGGCTCGTGAGAATATCTTGGATTCTGTCGTCAAGCGACTCTCTTGTCCTTGGCCGTCTGGGGGATTGTCCCATTTCAGCCGTCAATTTGTCCGGAGGCCGTTCCTCGGCATTCTCATCGGTGCATCCGCTTGTTAATGGCGTAACCGGGGAGTAGCCATTCGTAGTGCTGCGCTTGCTCGACCTTCTTGGCAAAACTGGGAGAGATTGTTCCTGGCTGGACTGTGTCCCGGCTGGGTCGACTTTAAAGGATGGTGTTGGGAGAGGAATGCTGGTCGTCGAGGCTGCAACTGGCGGTGACGAAGCTTCGTGTACTTCCACTTCAGCAGTATGAACTTCCGCCATTGAATCAGTCTCAGTCAACTGCTGCAAGGCTTTCGATGGAGTACTCTCGAGCGGCTGAGTCATTTGTGTAAGTATATCCCAGCTGGCAGACCGTCTGAGCACGACTTGTTTCAGTTTGTCCTTCGGGAAGACCTCTATTGAGGCGGTCGATGCTCTCTGGAGCATGGGCGGCCTCAAAGCCATCTGTTGCTGAGCTGCAGATGGCGACCCAAACCAGGCAATCTCATCTCGGCTCGTTGGGAAAGGATTTTCCACAACACTGATCTTCGGACTTGGAAGCACACTGGTAGTCCTGGCGTCCATTATCTCCGCATTAGAGATGTCTGAGAACGCCGAGTACATTGAATCAGCGACAGAGACTTTCGAAAATTCTCGTTTGTGACCTTTTTGGTCGCCAAGATCAAGCTTCAGAGAAGGTCTGCGCTTAGCTTTCACCTCCTCTTTTTCTGATGGAGGCATCTCTGGGATTGACTCTTCAGGCAAAGCACCAGTTGCTGCAGGCGATTGAGCAACCTCTGGCTGCAATGCTGGTTCCGGCACTGAATTTTCCTGATGTGTCGAACTGGGATGTTCTGGGCTCCCAACCGTACTTTCAGACCCGGTGCCTTTGCTAGATTTCAATGCTAGCTTGTTTTTGAGCACAACGTGCTCAGCTTCAACAACCCAGGTTGCATAATCGAGCTCGATCTTCTCGAGTATGTCGATCCAGGCCTGTGGGAGTGAATCCTCACGCCCTTCAAGCATATCAAGAAATCGATCGATGCGACGCCCCATGTCCGCTACCTGTGCACCCAACGCCACTTTCTTATCATCCAAAGTCGACCCAGTCAGCGCCTGAGCAGAATCCGGTGTCCTTATCTCATTGAATGCCTGCTGAATGTCGGATTTAGTAGAGTGCATAACATCTAGAAATCTTGGGAGGTCCCTTAGCACCCGCAATCGCACATCCCAGGTGTCGACCAGCATGTTTAACTTGGCAAGATCTGGCAGGGCTTGGATGACTGTCGCGGTAATCAGGGCGGTGAAGTCACGCATCCTTCCATAGCTCGAGCGAGGACCCACGGGTCTAGAAGTCTTTGTCGGGCTCGATGCTGGAAGATGAGCTTCGAGCACATGGTCTTTGATCTCGTCGATTCCCAGGCTGTCGAGGTCGTCCCTAATCTCCTCTAGTCTGGCTTCATATTCTTCTGCCACGGACCCAGGCAAACAGCCACGGTACTCTTCGCGTGTGCGACTTGCATGTGATGGCGGCACAAACCCCAGGCCAAATCCTCTCTCTTGCTTGCCTGGCCAGGGCCATTGTGACAATTCATTCTTCCACTCCCGCAGTTTCTGAGCGGCAAAAGCGGCTCTTATGCCGATTTCTCGCTCTGCCGGGGTCGCATCCGCAATACTTGATGTCAAAGCATCTTCTTGTGCAGCACCTCCCGAGATAGTTTCTGTAGCCTGTAGTGCTCTGAGGGTAGAGTCTGGCGTCAGATTTCCTAGGAGCGGATCGAGCTCCCTAATGGCGAATTGAGCTTTGCGCCGAGGGGATCGAGAGGGAGAGCGAGACGGCGAGGGAGGATCTAAGCGAGGGAATTGCGGCGCAGTCGGAGTCGAGGGCGCCATTTTTCTCAACAGGAGGATGCTCTCGATCTATTTATCTTGCCAGCAAGCAAAATTGCTTCTTTCTCAAAGAGTTCCAGCCTCCTGGCAAACAAAATGGCTGCATGCTGAAATGGCTGCTAACACCGCTCACCAGCGATGGTGGAGTGAGAACATGCGAGACAATGTCTAGGCTGACGGAGAATTGGCGGAACGATCGAGGAGGCAGTTGTGTGTACCTCGTGGGAGGCTGAAAGAGCGACAGAGCGACGGCTCATAAGGATATTACAGGCATGATGGAATGATTGGGAAAGAAATTGAGGATGCTGGATGGTTTGAAACAGGTTCCCCCGGTCGCCACCAATAAGCTGGAGGTCTCAACACTGCAAGCTGCATGGAAACTTCCCCCAGAAAATTCCCCCCTGTGCAGGTGTGAGTATGAAGTGTGAGGTGTTCGTGCCGCCAACTAGGGTCTTGCTAGTTTGCCTAGTGGCCACCATCCTTTGGCCGTATTTGCGTCGATAGGCGAGTTGAGAAGCCAATTCGCGTATTAAATACCCGGCTGGACGCCGCCTTTTCCGCTTCCTCGGGGCGCGTGGAACCGTGGTTGGTGTTCTTTTGATTCTTCCATGTTCCTCGAGCTAGACCAATTCATCGCGTTGCTAAGCCTCAAAACTCCCTCCCTCCTCCCTATTCCCTGCCACAGTCATTAACCCCCAGACAATGCAATGCGCTTCAAGAGCCAGATCAGAAATGTGAATCTACTTGCAAGTAGGCGCCATGTCCATCCTCTCCGACTTGCTTCATTCCCATTAATATCTCGTCAGAATTTTGCGCCTCGTTGGCCTCTCTGGGGCAGATTGCCTGGTGCCGACTCAACGACGAGGATGTTCAGTTCACCATCGTCCCCGACAAGGGGAGCCAAGTCTGGTCCGTTTTGAGACCTGAGATGATCTTTGAGACATACATTCTCCAATCTGCGTCCCCCCAAAACACAATTAACCTCGAAGTCCCCATTCAAGCCCTTTCGCGAGCCCTGCGTTCGGCGCTTGGGTCGACTTCCGCAGAAATCAGGCTGACCAAGAAAGACAATGTCCCCATTCTGTCATTGACCATTGTAACCAATACCTTTAGCAGCGGGAACAATGTTGTGGCGCATCCCACGACCTCCCGAGGGGATGGCGGTAATGCTGATTTCGATTTCGATGATAACGATGATCTATCGTTGCGCGACGCCAATGGCGGAGGATCAAGTGACCGAGAAACAATCATCACTCAAGATATCCCTGTCAAAGTCCTAGCCATGGCAGTTGTCGAGAGGCTCCATCAGCCCCGGACGCCGGAGCCAGACGTAAACATCTATCTTCCTCCTCTGGCTCAGATAAAGACCATATCCGAACGCTTCACACGATTGGCAATGGCCACAACCAAGGCGTCTTCCGGCGCCAGTCCTCGCCTGGAACTCAGCGCCAATATGCATGGCTCGCTCAAGATCTCGGTCAAAACAGACGCCCTCAATATTACAAGTCGCTGGACGGGGCTTGCCCATCCTCAACTCGACCCGACCCATTTCCCGGATTTGACGGACCATCCCACGACCAAAATGAAGGAGCTTGGGGGACCCAATGGGGAAAACGAGGCTGGGTGGTCGAGGGTTCGGATTGATGCTAAGGACTGGTCGCGGGTTCTCAGCGTTGGCCGAGTCTGTACCAAGGTCATTGCATGTTTCATCAATGAGGGAGCGTTGGTGCTGTATGTATATTTGCCCGCAGATGAAAATGGCGATGAAGGAGATCCATGTCTCACGGTAAGTTGAAAGCTTTTCCTTGCAGGAGCGTTCTGACTTTGCGCAAGTACTACATCAGTTCCTTTTCTGCTTGATCCTACAGCCAGAATCGTCCTTGTTGAGGTTTGTTCTCAGTCGAGAAGTCACTCGTGGTATATGACCGTGATGTGACCCTCTTTGCAATTATGACGGCGTCAAAGACGTGCGACAGCATGAATGTGCTGACTGTGAATATGTACCTGCTTCTCTACTTGGTCCTCTCCCTTCAAACGTTGACCTGAATACCTCATTGATTCGTCATCATGGCCTTGTCCATGATCTCACCATGGGCACGTGCTTTCATCGAAACTGCAGAACACGTGATACTTGGCACTATCAGAGCCTTTTCTTCCCTGCTTGCTTTCTCGCTTTGTTCTTTTTCTCGTGTTCCATCCATGTCCAAAAACCCCATCAGAACTCACCATCTCGACGCTGCTTCGGGTATTTTGCCACCACCCCGCTGAGGTGGTACGGGAGACGGCACGCGCCTCCTGCGACCTCTTTCGTGGCCAATGGTTTCTTTTTCTGGACCCTCCCCGGCGTGACGCCCGATTTTGTTTATCAACCATGGTGAACCCCAATCCGTATTAGACAAGGGCTCCCCACGCTGCGCGGCTAGTCGTCCATGCCTGTGGCCTCGATCATGACATGAAACAATGCGGCCCAGAGGCCTACCATTATTCTTGACAGCTGGAACTCCTGTATCCTGGTTGATGTCGCCCTCATTCTCATTCACCAGGCGCCCTGAGTCGCCCACATAACGTTGTTTCGTATGTGGGCTGAGCAGCCGGCCTCAACTTCGACCAAACCGATGTCGCGCATAGCCATCTGCGCCTCAGACCTGCAGTTTGCTCCGAGAGCACATTATTTCAACTTCTTCACATAACTGCAATGTAAGGCGAAAGCAAGACAAAACCGAGAGCCAGCGCTTATTTCCCAAGGGCTGCAAAGAGTTTGCCTGTACTCCTTTTGTCGTTTCATTTCCTCTCGTTTCCTGTCACCTTTCTGCCGCATTCGCCATTTCTTCTGCATTCCCATCAGAGAAAATGAGCGTTCAGACATAATCAGCCTGGGTCGTCAATGAGTTGAAATCCAAGTTGAAGGTCTCTTTCTCCTATCATCGCAGTGAACGTTTTCCCGCATGGCGGACACGTTGGACCCCGTTGCTAGTATTTACCAGGGCGTCTGGACAGATTGGTCCAAGGGCAAGATATGGGGTCTTACCTTAACATTGTCCCCAACCTATGCCATCATCTTGACCAACTCGTTGGCAGTCTTTGTCACTGTTTGCGGGGTTCAGCTCTGGAACATTATTCGATACTCGGTCTACAAGTTCGGTACTCCCACCAAGCCAGAGATGCTCACTCCACATCTCCAGAGACAACAAACGGTATTAAAAATGGCGGGCTCGGACATCGTTACGACTGCGGGGCGCATGTTGCGTCTAGCATGGAAATATCGACGGACGAGCACTGGCAAGCCCTCTCTACGCTCATATTCATTCGGTTTATTCGCCATAATCTACGCAATCCTATTCTACGCTGCCGGGATCTTTTCCAATCGAGCAATTAGCACCGGCTCAACAAATGGGCCCTGGCCAGCCCTTTCCAGAAGTAAACATTGCGGGATGTGGAATCAGACTTATTTTGAAATTGTAAACAACGGTGACTTTTCCGCAGAAGAAAACTTCAAGATGAATATTCAGTCCTACGCCAAAAGGGCTCAAGATGTGCAGCTGAGTCTCGAATATGCTCAACAGTGCTACTTCGCCCAATCGCCTACCAATAGCAGGCCATCCTCCTCCAACACGTTCAAAACTTCAAGTCTCAACTGGACTATTTCGACTGGCACATGCCCTTTTCAAATGCAATCATGCCTTGGAGACCGCAACGTCATTGTCCTAGAGACAGATCAGATTGACTCTCACGAGGCCCTCGGTATAAACGCTGACCCAAAAGACCGCTTGAAATACTGGAGAAGGACAACATGCGCCGTTCTCAATGGGACTGATCATGTCAAGGGGTGGAATGGCACAATAATGAACAGCTCAAGTTCCCTGTCTACACTAGACACTGCTTACGCTTATTATGGGCCTTCACTCTACAAGAACACGGAATGGACATATGCCTACTCAAATTTTGCGTCCTTTTTTGACAATTTCACCTCTCAGGTGACCCTTGCATATCAACTAGACGCAGAAATGGCTTATGCCACTGCAGACCCGCAATGGAGCGTCGGTGATTTTGAGCCCATTGCAAAGCTAGTGCAGAAAGATGCCGACCTGGTTCTTCTTTTTCTCAGCTATACGGGAACGTACATAGGCCAGGTTGACGACCCGTGGTTTGCCGCGCATAACGAAGCCCGGTTCGACCATCCAAATATGCCTCCCTATCTTCGAACCCGCTATACCCGGGATATGGTCATCAGTACCCTTGGCTGCACCGAGCAGCATAAGTTTTGTACCAACGACAACATCTGCACCGGCTTTCTTGGATTCGATCAAGTTCAAAATGTCGCTGCTTTCAATGCCGCACTCACACCTCATCGAAACGTTACCTTTGATCGAATGATGAGAGCTGTGACCTTGTCAAGCCTGAGAAATCTTGTCTCATCCCTCCGCTCCACGACTAACCCACTGTTGGCGAACAACGAGACATACTCTGCGAGTAGTGGTGCAGTGGTATCAACTGCTTTGCCAGAGAATCAGTGGACGCTAGAATTAAAGTATTACCACTCCATTGCAATGGCACACCTTCAACGAGGGATCTATCAATGGGCTACTGGGTCGATTGCCCCCGAACCACAATACGTCGAATATATCCTGCCACCAACAGAGGAGCAGGACACCTGGTTCTGCAATAACATGATCCTTCGTTCGACTGTCTATCAGTCCTTCGCTATGGTGGTAATCATATTGATTGTCATCTTTGGGACGTTGATAATCATTGCCGCAGCTGTCATTAGCAAGCGTTTGACGACCTCCGATCAGGATGATCCGCTTGAGGAGCAGGATCCTTTGAGACCTGAAGTTTCGCCAAGAGGTCACTGTAGTCTCTCACCCTCACGACGCAGCGACCTTCTCAAAGCTTTTCAGTTGGCCAATATGGAGTCGGTACGAAATAAGGATGGAGTCGATTCTCCTACGCTTCCGCCAGAAGATCGCTCCATCTTGATTCTAAGTTATGAAGAAAAGTTTGAGACGGTCAGATCCGATCTGTAGCTACTCTTATGCAGCTAGAGATTCGTGGGAGGCAATTAGTCTTAAAAACCTTGATTTATCAGTATTACAGGTATTAAGACAGATTGGGGACTGAATGATGTCTTGGCCTTAGGGATATGACAGCCACCGAATCCATCATTCAAACCAGAAGAAAGCGGCAGATAGTACTCGGTACAAAAACGCAAGATCGGGTCGTTTCTGATCTCAGAAATGGAAGCGAATGAGAAACTCCTCTGGGCCACGCTTCGTTCGAACATCTCTTCATCCATGTGCACACCACACGACTGAACATGCCCATCGAAGCCGATAGGAGTTGCAAATTATATCCCTATGGCATCAATATGGGCAAGGGTACATAGATATGGGAGAAGAGGCGCCCCGAGATGCATAAGGACAAGGTAGTGGCGATCCGAGAGCCATCATTAGCGTATAGCCTGCCACTGTCATAGCGATGAGCCAAAACAGTTTGCCCCGTACAGCCTGATCTTCAGCATGGCGTGAGTTGGAACAGCATGCAAGTCCCAGGGTGGCACAAGGAGACATGGCACAATCCGAGAGAAGAGAGAAGACCGGGTCGTCATAGGAGGACTGTGGTAGGGCTTCACACGCACATAAGAACCATTCAATTCTTGAGGCGGTCTTGTCAACGAAAGGCCATAGTGACGGCTTGGGAAAATGGGACCCAGAACACCTGGGTAGAGTTCGACAAGGGCACATCCTCACTGCGAGGCACCCGGGCAAGACCTCATCGGAAAACCGCATCAAATGAAGGGGTGAAAGAGGCTCAAGCAATTTCGTTCGCAAATTGCCCATGAACGCGGCATACCATATTGATGGCTGAGTGGGAATGTGTTTGCACGAATCATTTGGTGGACCAGCGTGTGGCGATGAAACATTTTCTGGTGAATACAAGCAGCCAATCAGCAAACGCCAGGCTGACACCCCTCTGCGTCCTTGAGGCATGCTCTGGGTGCTGAGTGTCTGGACGTTTTCAAGCTTTGGAAAGGCTGCTGCGTTACGCTCAATTGGCGTGCCTCTTGTTCGGGTGTCGAACAGCATGATGAGAAAAATGGCCACGAACGACGCGATGGACCTCTGCTTTCGATTCTGCAACAAGAAAGGGACGATGGGAATATGTGGAGCGTGAATGGAGATTGAAGGTCCCTTGTTGTTACATTGGCAAACCCTTAATATGAGAGCTTTCCACCTCATACAGTGTTTTCAGAATATGCCAAATCATGCCCTATTTGACCATACAGAAAACAACAAATTAACATTGCGTGAGCGCTGTCCAGTTGATGGATTTTCCTCCTTCACATTGATTTCGCCATCCGACTTGACTGTGCCTTTGGCTGGAGAGCAAAATTGAAAAGTAGATCCACAAACCACGAGATGTAGGGCGGTTGGCAATCATGGCAGGTTCCGCAGGTCGCAGGGGACTCTTCCAGCTTCCAGCTTTCGAAACCAGAATATTCCAGCGCAACCTAGTCTTGCATGGCCAAGATCGGTATTATAGCGCTCTGGTTGTGCAACCTCACAGCGCTCACAATGCCGTTTGGTCGTATTGGAAGATCATCATGCTGCTGAACCCTCGGAACTGTTTGGTTGGTGGGACTTGCTGGCAGCCATGGATGATGGAGCTTCTCGTAGTGATCTCGCTGACTGGAGGAATGCCAGCGGTGGGATTTGATGCAACGCTCGGCATTAGCACTATCCGTCGACGGAGTGCTGTGCTTTAAAGGCAGTGAGGAGACTGATTTCTCTGCCTGAGCTCTGCAAGCTTCTTTGCTGTGATGTGGAGGCGACTCTTGCGCAGGATTTTTGAGATAGAGGACCGTACCGTCTGTTGCTTTGAGTCCGTCTCCTAAGCACCTCCTTCTGCGCCTCCCGTCTTCTCTTGAACTCCCTCTCTCTCCCGTCTCCTCTTCTCCTGTCTCGCCATAGGATGTTCATCGTCTTGTGGGATTTCGCCAGGCTTCAACCCCAGAGCTTTTCGCAATCGTTCACTTTCTTGTTCCTTTGCCTGGGCCAACTCGTGCACTTGGTAGCTCTTCAGCCCCCTTCCGTCGACTCTCTTGACATTGCCTCCTGATCTCCCGCCATCCCGGTTCTTCTCACGCTCCATCTCCTTGGTCAAGTGCTCCCTCAGCATCTCACATTCTTCTTCTATCTGCTCCTCCCCGAGCTCTTCATCCTCCAATTTCTCCCTCAATTCCAAGACTTCGACCTCGATTGCTCGTAGGCGGTCATGGTTCAGGATTTCCTGGTCGGGTTTTCGGGTCTTGGGCGCCTGTTGTCGGGCGGATGCGTCCAGGCTATAGGGAGCGCCGACACCGACCGTGCGGGGCTTTAGGAGAGAGAGGTTGCGCTGAACATAGCCTGATGTTCCTGAGCCACGCGGAGTGGAGAGGCCAACATTGGACGACATGATTGAGATGACTTTCTGTGCTCAAGCAGGGCTTGGATTGTGGGTAAGGCATTGCCTGGGTTGAGGGGCAAGCAATTCAATTTGGTACAGTGACGGTCAGGACAGCGGTCCCCGACTTATCGATAAGAATCACGTGTTATGTATTTTTTCTCTCGGAATAGTTGCACCAGCGGGACTGGTGTCCACCCGCCGGGCCTTCCTGTTACTGTACCACGGCCAGCACGGCTTAGGGCTTCCTAGGCCCCTTTTTCACGAAGCTACTGGAGCCACCAAGCCGCCTGGAAGTCCTTCCCTAATACCTAGTAGCGCTTTGCCTTTCTCGTCCAGGCCCGGAAAATGAATCCGTTTACTTCCCAATATCTCGCCTTGCTCTTGCCTGTTGAACCACTCAGCACTCAGCACTCAGCACTCAGCACTCAGCACTCAGCACTATCTACTGTATTGCCCGTCCACCCTGCTGCCACCTGCCACCCTAACGAGTCTTTTAATGCCCACGGGTAGGACTTCCGTACCGCTCGTCATCCTTTGTTTCCTCCTCCACATCACTCTTCTTTTGCAACTCCGGGCCTCTTTTCTGGCCTCGAAACCCTCCCCCCAGTCCCCTTCTGCGGTACCCGGTATTCGATCTCAATCTGCGCTGAGAAAGCGAACCAACCTTGCCGCCTCCGTGTTTGATCTGTCTAGAGCCCATTTGTGCTGTCATTGTATCCTTTTGCCCCTCTTTTCCGCAGACGCTGTTCTTCTCCGAGACTTCTCAGAGGTCGGCCTCGAATGCTTAGTCTTACCCTCTGCCCTCTGCCCCCCTATGCACCATTCTCACTCGTACTCTGTCCTCTTCTCTGTCTCCTTCTCTAGGCCCAGATCGAAGCTGAAGGTGTCAATCTCACTAAAGGAACAGCTACGGTAGACTGCCTCTCGACACCTCACCATTCTCCAACAAGATCATCGAAGCCACTTCGACTATCATCATGTCTGGGCCTCCTTTGCATGAAAGCCATGTTACCTGGCCAAGGAAGCATGCCGTCGACTCCCTGATCCTGTCCTTCCCATGCCTGTTGTTCAGACCCGTACCTTTCATGCGCTAGGCCATCGACTTCGAACTGGCCGCCCGCAGCCTGCTTGCCTCTTCGCCAGCCCTGAGTACTCGGTTGTCTCCCACTGTCAAAGTCCATAACGCCCGTATCTGGATATATCGAGCCGTCCATCAAACCCACGTGTTCATCTTGCAGTACAGCAGGATCAACACTACCGTCCATCCTCTCGTGGAACTGTTGACCAAGGCTGTCAGGAAGACCGTCCGGCAGGCCGTCCGACATGTCCTCCTCTTCACCATCTACCTCCATCACTGACGTTCGTTTTGCTCTTTGACCCGCACTGGCAGTCACCGCTTCTACAAAGGTGAGTCTGTCATCACTAGCCGTCGACCCTGGAGTCATGACAGAAGAGGTGGTCTTGGTGCGCAACAGATTCGGTGGCTGAAAATCTGGTGGACGATATGATTGTGGACGATGTGGCTGAGCCTGTGTATCCGAAGCGGAATCTACCCGGTCACCGGCCGGGCGTGTACTTGTATTGTCTAGCCGTGGAGGGTTCAGTCCCAATCCTTGCAGAATCGCGTCAGTGGATACACGACCGCCGCTCTCGTCTGGAATCACCCCTGGGAATCCACGGCCTTCCCGACATGCCCAATAGAGTCTCTGCAACGCCTCATCAATCACATCCTGCATACCCAAGTACCTAAAGCCACAAACGTCAGGCCCAGAATGCAAAGAGATATACATGCCAAAGTGCGAAAATGTTTGGCCGCGGAGATCTTCAGCACTTGCTCCGGTGTCCGAGGTCACTTACCAGTCTCTTGCCTCTCTTCGTCTCCGCGCACTATATTCGCATGTGCTCTCAGCCGCTATACACGCCGAACAGGGAGTGTTGCCGTCACACTACTCCTGGAAATTAGCCATCTGATCTGTCTTCTGAGTCCTCAGCAAATTGCTGCCATCCGGGCATCAACTGACCTTGCTCTTCTTGATCTTGCACCGATCGCATGCTCTCCCTATCCTCACCCGTGATCTGGCGGGTTCACCACTTCCGGGTTTGGGAGAAGGCTTAACATCTTGGCTTTCTTTGCGGTTTGGCATCCTGTTGCCGCGACGGACGCTGGGCTCAATCGGAACGATGGTCTTGAGATGAGGGTATTGACCTCGCGACCGTGTCTCGTCAGCCACAGACACGGACAGAGTTCTTTTGCACGTTCCGACAACGAGATACCGCAGTCAGATGGCTACGTTATCGCAAATGCAAAGGTATAAGTCTAATCGACGACTGACGGCCACAGTATCGCAGAAAGCCGCTCATCTTTCCCACCCGACTGTGACTCTATTTCAGCCACATTTTCAGCGCCAACTTTGTTCAATTGTTCCTCGAACAGACAAAGCCTTGCTTACTGCTGACCTGAAACGTCTCAGCAAAGTGTTGAAAATATGTTCAATTGTCGTTAAAAGTGGCGTGGACGACCGTTGGCGACGAAACCTTTCTTGGCCAGGAGCCAGATTATGAGGTTGGAAAAGAGGGATCGGGGCAAGTTGCCGTTTGATATGCGACTATGGAAGAATGACCCTGCTAAGATCGAAACCGTCCAATCAGCTCAAGACACAGGTGGCATCTTCATAATCGAATCATCAAACAGTACCGCCGCTATTCTTCCTCCACCATTTTCCCTGCCTTCGACCCTGTTCGACCCTGTTCGGCCTCAACAACCAAAGTGAAAATCTTTCTCAAGTACAAATACAGTACACAGATCTGTGTTCTGGTCCACGTGCTAGACTCGTCTGGACTTTGTGTCCGTGGCCCAGAACTCACAGCCAGGTTCTCCAATTAGTTGGCGAGAAACAACTCCCTCCCTGTCAATTCGCTGATGAAAGCTAGCCCTAGGCGAAGCCGACTTTCTAAGATTTGGAATGACGGTGTGAACCCGGCTTTCACCACGTCCATCCTGATGGCGGCTGTAACAGGGTGATGTTCATTAGACTTGCTTCCAATTGCGATCCACCTGCCTGACTGCACAGTGAGCATGGTGCAGGAGTCGACACGGTGAGAAATATCGCGGTGGACCAAAAATTCCACCAGACCACTATCATCCAGGAGTGTGGCAAATTGTCGCCTTGGACGAGCCCGGATATTTCCTCCGAGTGGCATTTTTCGCGGAAGGGAAACAAAGGTGTGCTCCACTGGTCAGCCTTTCTGTGTCTATCACGGGAGCGAGATCCGTCGACTCAGGAGGCCCATAGTTGGAGAATCACTCGCCGTTGATGCCGTGCTATTACGGAGGACGGTTTTAGCAATGGCACCAATGGTTCTTGCCGGAGAATGGTGCGGCATTTTCAAACTATATACAAGTAGATTGGATCCTCCAAGGTTCGCAGCGACCGCTTTGAAAATCCTGAAGCGCAGTACTCTCGCCAGATCACTGCTAAGTCTAATGCTTCTGTATTCGCATGCAGATATTGACACCTCGTCCTCTGGCTCTGACAGATCCCCCCTTTGGCAGCGCTATATCGCGAAGACCTTCCTCGATATTTGCACGCGTTGCAGACACCGTACGGTCCTCTCCCTTCATTCTAAGACGATGTCACTGGTTCTTCATCTTGCAATGCCTCATCGCGCTGTCGGGTTGTCTCAGATCTCAATAGCTTGTTCATATGGTTGAAAGCGTCAGACTAGAAACTGAAACTCGAAAGAAACATATCATGTTCTTAGTTTTTGGACTGAGTTCACACTTTCTATGCTGATCGGCTTTGTGGGTATATTGCAACATTCCTTATTTGAAATGCAACATGAATCTTGTACTTGGCGACATCTGAGACTGCGGCCTTTGGATACGAACCACAAAAACTCCAATTTACCTTTCAGTGGAGAGAAGATGATGTCTCTCAAACAGTTGAGGTCGCTCAGGAATCCGAGGAGTCCTTGTCTTCATTCTCAAAGCTCTACGTCGGCCCCCCACAGCAACCGACCTTGGAAATAAAAATAAAACAAAGAAAAGTTATAATCAAGACAATTTATCCATAAACATTGGTTTAGGTACGTCAAAGGCCATGCTTGTACGCTCTGCTGTTTCAACTCTCAAGCCTTTGAGAATTACATAGGCCCAGCCGTCCCCCTGTTGCCGTTTCTTCGCGGTTGTGCTAATGCCACGAGCAGCTTTTGAAGCCTCAAAGAAGGTAAACGACAGTTCGAATTTCTCCCTATCTGTAGCAATTACTTCTTTGCGAAATGCCTTATTAATGATCGGCTTGCCATAGTTCGGGACAAAACGCTAATAGAGGTGACGAAGCTACTATTGATCAATCTATTGCAATCCTCGCAACTCAATGTGCCACGAAACACGGTCCCGTAGTATTGGACCAGCAAGGGATAGAAGAAAACAAAGAAACGCAGGGGGATCATCGTCTGCTCCTTTGATCATCTCATCAATTTTACCCGAGGTCAACCACATGAGGCCTACAAGGCTACACCTGACAACTTTGCTATATTGAAACATCATCTCCATCCCTCCAAATCAGGATCGTCAAACCAGAATCCGAGCAGCAAATTTCGACAACTGTACCACCAAGCTGAGCAGCAAATCCCCTTAGCTATCCCACATACCCTCGCCTAACCCCAACAGTGCATCTTGCAACCCTTTCCTTGCCCTAACAGCCTCCTCTCGATCGTCCCCTCTCAGTTTCGCGCTGAAGCACAGCTCGACAAGTGTACGCAACTCATCGTAGGTGTATCCTACTTCCTTCTTCTGGGATTTGCATTCCCGGACGTATTGTAGGATCGAATCTGGTCCGGTGAGAAAGAGGTCGAAGTATCGACTTGAGGAAATGAGGAGACCATCATCTTCATCGCCATCCCTTGAATCCTCTACGTTTGAGATGCCAAGGCCATTTTGGTCCTTGGTATTGTCGGACCAACTCCTTCGCTTATCCGTCGTATTTGCAAGTATGGCTCTCAAATTCTGCTGTACGACCATTGTGTCGATCCTGATCCTCTCTGCTCCATTCATATTCATTACCCCAATCACATCAGCGGCGGCCACAAGATAGCGATCTACGAGCTGCGATAGCCCCTTGAGGATGAAATTCCTCTCCCGCGCGCTGAGGAATGATGCAATGTTCGAGTCGAAGGCAATGAGATCGTTGTTGAGTTCGAGGACTAACGGGGACGCCGAGGACGGCAGAGAGGGTAGAACATAAGGGTAGAGTCCTGAATCGAGACGCGGAGTACCCGCAGAATCCCGGTTGTCGGGCGGGGAGGCTGGGCTGTTGGCGTAGTCAGGCCCTCGTAAAGTCCGGGATAATTGATGAACGATACCACACCTGACATCGATGTGGAGAGTCAATAGGCATGTCTGAGCCAGTGAGCGGAAGGAGGCCACAACAGTGTCGAAAGGAATTGCAGTTTCGGACGTGAGAGGTAAGAAAACCGGGGCTGCTGCGCCAGGGTTGGCGGGCGTTTTACTGGAACTGCCACTGCGCAGACTGGTGATCAATGTCCATCGCCGGACGCTCCTGCCTTGCGATCCGCTCCTTGCATGCGAGAGTCCTGTATGTGTGCTGGTCTCGACGTTGCGGATTTGTACCAGAGCGGCGCCTAACCATTGCATACTGTTGTAGAGCAAAGAGAGTTGGTGGACTGATTTGGGGTCTGAGATGATGTCGTAGGCGGAGAGCGGGTTTGTCTTCATTGCAGAAAGGAGAGTCTGTACCTCCTTGGTGATCAGGCTGGATCGGGACACGCCCTCGCTGCTAGATTTGTCGTATTTCAGCAGCTCTAGTGCAGCATCGTGGACCTCGCCGGATGCTGCAAGCGAGGCTGCCGTTTTGGTTGACAATGTGGTGGAGCCACTTTGGTTCGGATCTGAAGACGCCACACGACTCACCAAAGCCTTATAGAAGCCGTAACACTTGTCATAATACGTGACCAGCTGGTCGATGATGAGTTGAGTGAACATTTGATCTTGTGGAATCGAGCTCAGCATGCCTGAGAATGCACGGATCAGTGCCATGAAGGACACTGTACCTTTGAAGATCGGATGCGGTGAATGCTTCGACCATTGTGAGTCTTCTGAGAACGCTTCTAGGTCAATCATGGCTTGCGTGCAGAGTTCAGTGACTGCTTCTTCGAGCTGGGGATGAAACACGTTGATGAGGAAGTCGTCGAGGAAAGTTGTCAACGTGCTCATGGGAATATGTGCCGTTGAAGGTACAATATCTTTCAGACGTTGCAAGAATGTCAACGATGGAGGTAGCAAGATGGTCATGTTGAAGACGCCTGGCTCAACCAACAACTTATGTCCCGCAACAGTACTATCCTGCCCAGTGCGGTCTGAAACCAGATCGGATCCATCTCTTGCACGGGATTTGCTGACCAAACCAGGTACTGAGCTCTTGAGAATCTCGTTCAATTCGTCCTCTTCAGCTTTCATGGACTCTGATTTCTGATCCATTTCAGAAAGCCGGAACATTTTCTTGTTCTTATCGCGCTGGGGCCGGGCAAAGATGTCGGTGCTGGTCGTACTAGTCAATCCAGATCGCAAAGTCGTGTGGTCGCCATCTGTCGCCAAATAGTCGTGCAATACCGACCGCATCTCCATCTGATACAATTTCCACAGCTCCTTGAATCCAGTGGTATATTTTTCAGGCTTTGCAGCCTTCTCCCTCACTGCGATACCTCCAATAACCTCGTGAAGCACCCGATGACTCTCGGCAATCGCTTCGAATTTGGAATACAAGGTCCAGAGAAAGTCAGACAGCACTTGTGCCCTCCCATCGCTCATTTGCAACGAGTATGCCTTTCGATTTGTTTTGCTGAATTGAGCTCTCAGACGGCTAGGATATTTGGCGTCTATGTCGTGGTTAGTTTTCTCGGCGACCTTGTACAGCTCGATTGGCATTCTCTGCTCGATTCTCGAAACAGCCTCCCCAAGCTGACCCAGTTTGTTGAGTGATTCGATGATCATGTGTATATAGTAGAAGGTGTCGGTTTCGGGGTTCTTCGCTGGATCTTCCACCATAGGCGTCGAGAGATCAACATTATTCAAGTAATGGTTGAACGGGCGATCCCAAGCATTGACGCCCATGGCCATCATATTGTCCTTTGGATCTCTATCTTCCCCATTGGCTTTCTTGCCTTTCCACCTGTCTTTACAATAGGGGCTTCTTAGATAGAGATGGTCGTGCAACTCCTCAATGAGGATATCCAACAAGGTGCTCTCCTGATTGGCGAAATAGCTTCGAAGATCGGAGATGGCACCAATACCGTCAAACTCACTCTTCGTAATATTTTTGAGACTATCCATCAAGATGTCGACGGCCCCGAGGAATTTCTTCTCACTGATTTTCTCTTCGAGCTTCGCAGGAATGAGTTTGAAAGACTCGATTTTGCTCAAGGTGATGAGCATATCGTCAAGCTCACCGCTTTGCTCGGCTAGCGTCCTCAGTTCCGGCCGAGTGCTTAGCATGCCGTCCTTTACATTCATCAAGCCGACTTTCAATTGTCTCACACGACTTTGACTATCCCGAATGGCGTTCTGGATTTTGTGATAAGTGCCGACTGCGCTATTGAAGTCGGCATAATGCTCATTGACGACTGTCTTTAAACACTTTTGTAGGTCAACGTGTGTGTTTGCGAAGTCCCCCTCTTTATCGGCAAGGCCCAACGAACTAGGATCCATAAGCCTGAGGGCCATCTTGACAGGGACGCAATCGTCACCCTCCATATCTTTCCAATTTGATTGTATATGACGGAGGATTTCCTCCATGCTCTTTACTGGACGGCGGGGGGAGTAATGTCGGTTAGGATTGTCTGGAGGAGGCTGAGAAGGGTAGTTCTGGGGTGCCGTGTAACCATTTGTGGACGTTTGTTGGCTCATACCGGAGTGACTCGGTTTCGAAGCGATCGTGGACGGCGGAGGCATCTGTCCTCGCATCTCTCTGCCATCTCGGCTCCTACTCTCATTGTACGCTCTCTGACCCTCGTTGTTGTAAGCCCTCTCCCTTTCCCGGAATGAGGGTGTGGGCTGCCTCTGTTCGAACTCTTGGGGTTCCTTTGCTCTTCCATAGTCGTACTCATTCCGCGGAGCAGCGGCATCCCCATATCTCGCCCGTGGCATTCCCCCATAGCCTCCAGCGACACTCGTCCCTCCCGATCCTGCCCGTGCTGACGGCAGCGGGCTCGGGGACTCTCGATCGCGCTGGTCATATGGATTTGATCTGCGCCTGCGCTCCTGAGGTGCGAAACTGTTCACGGATGGAGAGGAACCATTATTCTGCTGGTTTAGGTACGGGTCCGCATAGCGACTGCCGGAAACAGTGTTGGAAGCATTCGTGGAGGCATACGGATTGGAGTCGTTGGACTGGCGAAGGCCCCCGTATCCGCCATTGATGGCATAAGGGTTGTTACCGCTCATGCTGACGGAAGCTGCAGAGATTGGTGCAAGGGAGTGGCATCTTTCGTCAGATGCAAAGGGAAAGAGGCATTGACCCCAGCAGAGACTTAAGTGAAACAATGTTGACGAGGAGTTTAGTCGCAATGGGGAGTGAGATGAAGACGAATCGCGCTTTGTGAGGGAAGTTGGAAGTTGGAGACCCCGGTCAAGGCTTCTCATTCCTCCAATCGGGCTGGTGGCCGCATTCATCCGCCTACTACGGCGAGCCGAGCACAAGTACAAACAAGTACAAGTGTGTACCTAGCGAACTAGAGCAGCTAGGAGGTACCAGGGAGGCATTTACTGCTCCATACTGCAGAGGAATCAAGCAACGGTTTGAAAGCCCCTGTGAGCACTGATCCTTAACGCTTGAATTCTTCATCTCAAAGATTCTACGCCTCCTCGATCAGAAAGCTTAGGGTCAAGCGATATATCCAAATCCGCTTCCCCGGCATGCAATCCAGAAGTCCTTCACAATGTCACCCGTCTTCCTGGCGCCTCGTAATGCCTCGACCTGCGCCACAAACCGGTTGCGTTGTTCCAACGTCGTAGCATTGAGGGCCTTATCGCTCATGACCCCGGACTCCTGCTTGACTGCTGCCCTGAGCACCGCTTTGCTCATCATGAATTGTTTCTGCACGAATCTCTTGAGTGTTTCGGTCAGGCTGTCGATTTCAGACCGGGCACATTCTCCCCCTAGGAGACGGAGCACAAGTGAGAGAATCCGTGGTCCAGATGTTTGAAGTACACCTTTAATCCGCGCACTCGCTTCGCTGTCAAGCCCAGTCTCCGACCCACTGGCCTCTGCGAAGGCCGCGAAGAATCCTGCCGCTGAACGACGCGGAAGCGTGTCTGAGTCTGTCATGACAATCAAGCCCAACTCCACCGATACGGCCGCTGTTTCTTGACTGTCTTGCATACTAAACCACATTGCAGGCCATTTCGTGAGCAAGCGGCTTAAAAATTCAAGTGAACTGGAAGGGAAATTGTTATTTGGGAGTTGCCTTGCTTCCTGGTGTGTTGACAGAACGTGCTGCTGATTGGAAATGACTGCATACAAAAGGCCGCTGACGCTAGCCTGAAGATTCTGCGGGCTTACAGAAGCTAGAAAACTGGAGGCGCAAGCCATTGCGTTGTCGATGCTTGGATTCTCGAGATTGATGAACTGACTAACTAGCTCGAGGCCGATCGAGTCTGTAAACTTAAAGGGGGATGGGTGCTCTTCCGTGAACCCAGATTTGATGAAGTCGCAGCAGGCGTCGACAAACACATTGTCAACACAAGATTGGACTTTCTGCATGGTGGCGTGGTACATGACAAGCACATTCTGCTGGATGAGGGCACCAGGGCCACTCGTCCAAAATTCTGAAGAGCCCATGCCCGCGGCTTCTAAGTCCACTGGTACATCTGCCGGGGAACGCAAGCCTTTGCCTATTGAGGCAAGGGTCTGCATGATGTCAATGCAGCCTCTCAAGATGTCGCTCTTATCGACATTGTTGCCGTTCAGGGTCGTTAGTGCGTGGCCAATGGGCCCAAGAAGCTGTGACAATGGCTGGACTTTGGCTTCTTCGGCCGGTAATGCTTGAATGATGGCGGCAACAGCAGCGTATATCCGGTGTCTTTCTGTCTCGCCAATGTCCTCTATGGAAGCTAAAGAGTCCATGAACTGTGGCAGTCCTTCTCTAAGCATTCTTCTGTGAGAGTCGCATAGGTTGTATATTGCCCGAGAGGCAGCAGACGTTGACGCTTGTAAATGCAGCGAGGAGAAGAGGAAATTCAGGATTGAGACCAGTCTGTCTGGATGTCGTTGAAGGTATGCCACGTTTTCGGCGATGAATCTAATGGCAGTCCGCAACGCCCGATCTGGAACATTGTTAGCGGTCTGAAGTAGATAGCTCCATGCTTGGCTCTCCAGGATCGTGGTAATAAGGACATCGTATGTGTCAGGGTCGGATGACATGGTGTCGGAGAATGCGATCAGACTGAACGTTCCGGCTTCAAAGGCGCTCCAGTCCAGCGATGGACTCTGCCCAAGGATGCTCTTGACAATTTCCTCAATTAATGCGTTCCCAAGAACAGTAAAAGCCGACTGGAAAAAGTCCTGCACATCGTAACGAAAGTCTTGAAATTTTGCTCGGTCATCGGTGTCCCAGGCGTGGGTCTCGCTGGACATTTGTTCAGAGGGGATTCTGATCTTAAGGAGACAGGCCTCGCATGCATTGGCTGTCAAAACCTTGAGAAACCCTTGGGCCGGATCGTTCACGTCTTCCCAGTCAGCGTAGCCCTCGACAATTTCACTAATCTTCTCCAAGACAATTTGGCACACTGGATCCTCAATGACGGCCACCCCTTCGCAACAGAGAAGTCGTTGTAGAGTTCGGACCACCTCGTTGTATCGATGATTGTGTAGGAAATCGGGTTTGGTGATGTCTATGTGACTCATGATTGACTCGAGTAAATCAACATAAAGGACACCGTCGGTAATGAAGTCGCCCTGAAGAAGAAGATCTACCATCCCTCTTACCTTGGGAGAATTGGCAATGCTAGCCGGGAAGTTTGGTAGAGCCTCTCGAAGAAGTTTTGCTGAAGAGTTCTCCAGGGCTATGAGCATTTGAAGCACTGGTCCTGTATACGTTTCTTCCTCAAGATAGTTGATTGTCGTCGCGATGCAGTCTCTGGCGATTCCTTCACTTCGACGCGCTTGAGCAATCTCTGCGTACTTGATCATGCTGGCCCAATAAGGCATCGCTTTCATAACCAGCTGGAGTATATCTCCAGAATTGATTCGTATCTGTTCCAGCGCTAGTGTTGTATGCGATTGGCCAATCGTGCGCTTTATACAATACCTCAATAGAAGCCATACATCGAGACAGTTAGCAGCCACACGATCATCAAGTCTTCCTTCGTCTAGAGAGCTGGAAGAGCGACTGCTCAGGTCCTCTGCCATAATTGTAGCGACCATGAGAACTCCCTTAAGCTCGTTGTTGGAACAATTATTGCAGGCTTCCAACAGCTGGTCCATGCCCGGTAGATTTTCTTCAGAGGCATAGTTCTTGCTGAGGAAAGATGCCAAGATCTGTCTGAATGGAAGGTTCCAGCCTGAATCTCGTCTGGCAAAGAAGGTGATGAGGGTTGAACCGAGCTTTTGGAGAACGAAATTTGAATCTGGCAGATTCACTAAACGTATGTAATTGCCCACTAGCGCTTCAAGCAGGGAGCTTCTCATGTATTCATCCTTCCCCATACCATCATGGTCCCTGACATTCCTTAGCGGCTTTGGTGACGCGAAAACAGACGAAATCCTAGATACTTACCAGTCGGCGTTGATCTTGATAGTCAAGGTCAAGGCACCATAGAATCGTATGGTAGCTTCTCCATGATGAAGAAGGTCCAGAGCTAGTTGCCATGCTGACTTCTCACGCTGGAGCCGCTGGATCTGCTTCTGTATCTCATTTACGCGCTCTGGGGACGACTGATTAGCAGGCTTATGAAGCTCGACTATCAGCTGCTCCATGGTCTCTATGAGACAGGTTCAAACAGCACATTCTGCTCCAAGCAGAGGAGGTCCTGGTCCTTGATGAAGCGGCAAGGATGCGTTGACCAGGATCCAAGTACGTGGAATGCGGCCTTTGCCGGAAAATTAGGCCTTGGTCTTGGAAGCCTCAATCGTGGAAGGTGCGGCTGGTCCAAGGCCTGGATAAATGGAGGAAAATCAGAGATTCACGCCCGAGGTTAACAGCTGATCCGGTAGAAGCTTTGCGTGGAGATTTGCAGCGTGTCATACGATTCCAACATGACTTGAGCAGGCACAATCGATCTCAAGAAATTTGGAGAAGCAGACGGCGCATAATTATGGTGGATTTCTGACTTTTTCCAAACGCCCAGGATATCAACATGAAGCTTAGTGCGGTGGGGGAGTGATTTGGAAGCGACTTGTGAAAAAGACCTGTAAAAGACGTGGGTTGGCGGACAACCACAAGGCTGCAGCCTTGCCAGCAAATGATCAGTTCGGCATGCTTGCCCAGTTGGGCCGCTGCAGTCCAGCCATGTCACCAACAAACGAATCTAGCAACATGGCACATGAGCTGAGTTTGAGATAGCCGTATCTGTATCTTCCTACCTTCACAGGGTCTGGCTTTCAATGCGCTGGTCGTTCCTGCGTCTCCCGTCGTTGCTGCGTCCCACGTCGCCTCGCTCGCAGACTCTCGCTTCTACACTCTCGCCCTCACAATCAGTTCGGTCTTTCTCCTTCTCAAGCTCGTTACGAAGGGTCGACATGGAAAAGGTGGACACCACAAAGCGTTTGTCGCAGCTGCGCGATCGCATGCGGGAACATAAACTTGATGTCTACATTGTGCCTTCGGAAGACAGTCACCAGTCAGAATACATTGCACCTTGCGACGCAAGGAGGGCATACATCTCTGGTTTCACTGGGTCCGCTGGCACGGCCGTTATTACCCTCGAGAAAGCAGCTCTGTCGACAGATGGACGCTATTTCAATCAGGCTTCGAAGCAGCTCGATGAAAACTGGCTGTTGTTGAAGCAGGGCATGGAAGACGTCCCCACGTGGCAGGAATGGTGCGATCATCATCTCCGTTGACTTGTGCAAGACTGAGCTGAGATTAGGACTACAGAGCAGGCAGAGGGCGGCAAAACAGTCGGCGTCGATCCCACCGTAATTACAGCTTCAGATGCTCGCAAACTAAGTGAGACATTGAAAAAGAAGTCACATGCTACACTGGTCGGGGTCTCGGAGAACCTCGTTGATAACATCTGGAATGACAGGCCACCCAGGCCGGCAGAGAGAGTTATTGTCCTCTCCGAAAAGTATGCTGGAAAGCCTTACCAACAGAAACTCGATGATCTTCGCAAAGAGTTGAAGAAGAAGAAGGCTGTTGGAATGGTTGTCTCGATGCTTGACGAGGTCGCTTGGCTTTTCAATCTCCGCGGAAGTGATATCCCATATAACCCTGTGTTCTTCTCCTACGCAGCTGTTACACCAAACTCGGCTACGCTGTATATCGACTCGGCCAAGATCGGGTCGGAAGTGAGAGAGCACCTCGAAGGAGCAGTGGAAATCAAATCTTACGACGACCTCTTTTCTGATCTCACGAGCATCGCCGAAACAGCAGCCATTGAATTTCAGACCAACGGAGTCACTAAATCCCATCCTAATAGACTTCTGCTCTCCAATAAATCGTCTTGGGCGCTATATCTTGGCTTGGGTGGCGAAGACAAGGTTGAAGAGTCTCGAAGTCCTATCGCAGACGCGAAGGCTATCAAGAATCCCACTGAACTTGAGGGGATGCGACAATGCCACATCCGCGATGGTGCTGCGCTTAGTGAATACTTTGCCTGGCTGGAAGGAGAACTACACAATGGATCATGGGTTGACGAAGTCCAGGCGGCTGACAAGCTCGAGGCGATCAGGTCAAAAGGGGAGCATTTCGTTGGGCTATCTTTTGACACTATTTCAGCTACAGGACCCAACGCCGCCGTGATACACTACTCGCCCGAGAGGGGGAATTGTTCAACAATTGATGTAAGAGCTGTATACCTGTGTGATTCTGGGGCTCAATACCTCGATGGCACCACCGACACGACGAGGACTTTACATTTCGGTACCCCAAGTGATATGGAGATCAAAGCATACACTTTGGTGCTCAAAGGGGTCATTGCTCTAGACCGCGCCGTCTTTCCCAAAGGCACGACAGGATTCGCCATCGACGCGTTCGCTCGCCAACATCTGTGGCGTGAGGGACTTGACTACCGGCACGGCACTGGTCATGGAGTGGGTTCCTACCTCAACGTCCACGAAGGCCCTATTGGAATTGGCACGCGCGCCGCATATTCGGAAGTCTCGCTTAGTATCGGCAACGTCATCTCCGACGAGCCAGGATATTATGAAGACGGCAACTTCGGGATCCGGATCGAGAACATGATCATGGCTTGTGAGGCCAAGACGAATCACAAGTTTGGAGATAAGCCCTGGATCGGGTTTGAACATGTGACTATGGTGCCCATGTGCAGGAAATTGATTGATCCAAGTCTCTTGGACCCGGAGGAGAGAGCGTGGTTGAATGCGTATCATGAGGAGGTGTGGGAGAAGACCAGTGGGTTTTTTGACAAGGACGAGAGAACCACGAAGTGGTTGAGGAGGGAGACTGCCCCGATTTGATGCAAGAGAGATTGCGTCTGCATCAGGTTTGAAGGCATTGAACCGACGAGGGAAAGTGAGGACGTCTTGTGCAGGCCTGAAGATTTTAACAACCTCATGCTATGCTGTATTCGTTTTCATTGAGCACTTCTCTGGGCGAGTGTCATTGGAGGAGGAGCAGAGAAAAGGGGCTTGGACTAGAAAGATGGTATGGATATGATAATAGAATCAAAGGCTACCCATAGCCAGTAGAGAAAGACAGGGTTTGGCCACTCCTACGAGGTTGTCTGTCATATGGCAACCATCTCACTCTCCTGCTTCCCTTCCCCTTATGCCCGTGGGCTTCGACCAAGCGAGCAGCCTGCACTCACACATCCCTCGTTGACGCAATCCGTGCAGATCTTTTAGGTGCTCTTGGGTGCTCTTGGGTGCTCAAGGTGCTCTAGGTGTTCTTGGGTGTTGTGGTAGTGCCACGTCATGGTCGAGTGATTCCCCGTATTGGCACTTAACAGAATTCCACGGCGGGATCTTTTTTGGGCTAAATGCAAAACTGGCCTGACACGTGCCCGAGAAATTGACCGTACAAATCAATTTATCTTGTATATTTTACAACATCTCTCTCCACTGCCACCCAAGACGCCTTCTGGCGACCAAGGAAGAAAGGAAAGGATTCAACATGGCGAAATATGACCGTTCCACCACTCTAAATATCGCCTACCTGGGCCCCGAAGCTTCATTTTCCCACCAAGCAGCCATTGAAGTCTTTCAAAACTCCTCGTCTGGACATGTCGTCTCTTTACACCCCCTCCCCTCCTTCTCGGCTATATTCTCGGCTCTTCAGTCAATCCCGTCATCTGAACAGGCCATACATTATGACTTCGCCGTCGCTCCGATCGAAAACAGCACCAACGGGTCCATTGTCCAAGTCCTCGACTTGCTGGCCCGGTGCGGCCACTCCCCAACGCTCTACCCTGACTTGGAAGTCTGCGCGGAATACTATCTTCCTGTTCATCACTGCTTGTTCGTCTCGCCTCCATCAGGGCGGGCCTCAGCTTCCTCACGGGCCGCAGAACAGTTAGCCGAGGGCAAGGATGGGTTGATGAGCGCAATCCGGACCCTCTACACTCATCCACAAGTCTGGGGCCAATGTCACCGTTATTTATCTAAACATTTCCCTCCGGATATCGTAGAGCGGATTGACGTGGGAAGTACCTCTGCCGCTGCTCAGCTGGTGGCCCGCGAATCTCACTCACAGACCCAGACTAGCAAGCTCAAGGCCACCGACGGGATCAGTGCTTCGATCAGCCCGAAACTCGCCGGCGAAAAACATCATCTACTGTGCTTAGCGGAGAACATCGAGGACGAGCCCGGGTCGAACACGACGAGATTCCTCATCGTGCGGAACCGGAAGCACCAAATACAGTCTGAAAGTTTTCACGCGTCTTTTTTTCTGCACAGTAACCCTGTTAACGATTTAAGATACAAGTCCCTCATATCGTTCACAATATCCCACTCCCAACCGGGCAGTCTGGCCGATGCACTGGCGGTCTTTAAACGTTACGGTTTTAATCTGACGAGCATTGACACCCGGCCCAGCAGGACGCGGATCTGGCAGTATGTGTTCTTTGTGGAGTGTGAGGAGGCTAGGGACGATTCACAGGATGGACAGGAAAACAACCGAGGGGAAGCTAGTCTCATGAAGATGCTTGAAGAACTGCGCAAGTTTACTGAAACATTGAGATATCTAGGGAGGTTCATGGACCAATTGCCTAGAGGCCAGCAAGAAGACGAAGCAGAAAGGTCGAGGTGATGGAGCGGAACTGAATCGGACTGAAGTAAATCGCATTGAAAACCTTATGAGCAGGTCTTGGAAGGGAGTGACTATCTCAAATTTGCTTGCACACAGCAAAGTCTGTGTGGACCAGGTCAGCTACGTGCTGTTGCAGATGCCCCTGGGTCTCTGAATGTTAGACTTCTCCCTGGTCAAATAGAGCAAGCAACTCGCTGACGTCTGGCACAGCGAAGATGGTGACTGCGAGCAAATCTCAGGTAAGAACTGAACAAGAGTTGAGCTTGATGTTGCAACGAATGACTGGCTCAATCGAATATAGAGTCAACGTCGAAGAGTATTGGGGCTCTCTTGCTGTGGGAGTTGGTCAAGAGCTTCTTGGATCTCAGATCCATCTCAGCATTCCCTTTTCTGGGCAATCCAAGCAGAAATCCTTGCTTGTCTGTCGACATATGCGGCTGTCGAAGGCATCGGTTGTAATATTGGGCTTACATCAGATTCTGTCCCTGCATCTCTGGAACTTCATCGGAGTTTTTACAGGTGTGCCTGGCATTTAAGATGACAGGGACTTCTGAACCGGAATGCCGTCGTCAATTCAGACCATTACCATGTTCCGAAGGCTGGAACGTCCTGTGAGCACTCAAAGAGTCAGAAAGATGTTAAGTTTTCCACGAGTAGATGGCACAGGATGGCTTACCGTGGCGTAAGTCGAGGGTCTGCCTTGCTGGCGGCTTCATTGCTCGCTCAGCGCGCGCGAAGGCACTGTCTCTGGTACCTAAGTTGTCTAGTCGCGTGAATTGTGGCTTGCCATTGATCTCCGCATCATCTAAATGCGTCCCTTGCTGCCGGGACTGGGTCGCGTCACTAGGACGCCCAGGCGAGCGCGGAGTTGCCGTCAAGCTGCCTTCAACAAAATTGTCTTGTTGTTGAACAAAGCCTGGAGATGGATGCTCCTCGCGCTCTACTGCGAGGTCGTTGAATTGTCAATCATCATAAAATTCGTCTTCGTCGTCAGCGTCAACCAACTGTTCAAAGTTGACCTTGTAGCGCAAAATGGCACCAATACCACCAAATCCTTTCACAAATTGATTACCCTCGCTGGAGCGGTCTGAAACGAACTCCAAGGTGGCGCCAAAGTCCTTGTACTTCTCGGCAAGCCATTCAAGGAACGAACCTTGGTCGACAACTTCCATTTCTTGACCAGTATCTTTGTCCATGAACTGTTCGCGGTCGGCTTCTTGAGCCTTGGTAGTGTGCAGGATCCTCTCAGAGCCATCCGAGGCCTTCAAAACCCAGCGAGTGACGTCGAGGTTCTCGTAGACAATCAAGGTCTCGGCCGCGCCTAGTTCCAGGGCTTTCAAGGTGTCTTCTACACCGTAGCAGACGCGGCCGCTGTCTTGACTGATCTCCTCGAAGTATTTGCCGATCAGTTTCTTCTCTTGAATGAATTTGACATTGCCTAGGGTCTCGGACGCAAGATCGATAGCTTGGTTGAACCCATTTTCACCACCGTAAGAGACATCAACCACCTTGATAACCTTGGCTTGAAGACGTGCGTCGAACATGTCGGACTGATTCAAGTCGTTTTTGAAATCTGCTGATCCAGCAAGGACGAGGCCGGCAACGTTGACTTTGTCGTTTGTGATGAAGTTCTGGACGGCCAACTCTGCAACTTTTCGCACATAGTTATGACGCTTTTCTTCTCTAAGACGAGCGAAACGAAGAGCAGATTGACCACCTCGACCATGCTTCTTTGGAAGATCAACAGAGAATTTGTGAACGACTTCTCTGGTGTTGCCACTCAAGGTTCCAAAAAGGGCGCCGTTGCCATCCATGACGATGAAGCCAAACTTCTGGTCAGACTCGAGAAGTTCGCTCAGGGCCTCGGTGTGAAATTTGTTGTCGCAGAGGTAGAGAGAGGTGTTGATGGGCTTGAAAGGCTCAAAGTCTATGTTGATCTTTCTCTCTTTCCCCTCCGAGGTGATAATTTCACCGCAGTATACCACCAAGCCATTTGGGGGGACCTTGGAATACAGCTTCAGGCGCTGCTGGGTGGAAGTGATGGCCGAAAGGACGGAAAGACGATTGACTCGAGACTTGATGTTGGAGGCGGTACCGAATTCTTCAGCCAACATTTTAGCAGCGCGAGAGACCTGATCCTTTGGTGCTATACACGAGTTAGCAATGAGCCACAAGAGCTAGGGTCTTCAGGCGGTGTGACTTACGGATAATGAGGGAGATCATGGAGGTGCCATTGCCTCTGGCGGCTTCGAGGCGTTTGATGAGTTTCTTGACCTTCCAAATCTCGATGTTCTTTTCTGCTTCGTTCTGTTGAGGTGCGCTCATTTTTGTGGCGGGGGGGCCGAGCAGAGACGGCCTGCTGGTGATGGAAGAGGAAGCAACAGTGTATGAAGAAAGGAAAACAGCGACAAAGGTGAAGGAGAGTGTGGAAATCTCAGTCTATGACGAGGGAGAAAACCACAGTGGCGTTGAAATGAGTTCGATACTTTTATGAGGTTTCTTCGTCGAAAGGGTGGTGGGCGGTGGGCGGTAGGCTGTGCTGCGCTGGCACTAATTAGGTACTGCTACCACAACTCACAACCGCTGCGGGCGCAGTCTGGAATTCTTCCAGGCGCTGCGAGTCACGGCTGGTGCAATCAGACGGGCAAGTCACGTGGATGCGCTCTCCCATTTTCGTTATCAAGCAGAAAACTTCCCCCGCCGCCACCAAGCTGCAATTCTGCTCCACTTTGCCCACTCGACTATCACAACCAGTTTCCTTGGGTTTCGCCGCTGCTGGTTATCGTCGGTTAACAATGATTGTTTCCATGATCTATTACCACTAGCTCATGATTCCGAGTAGAGTTCATATTCCTCAAGGTCCAAGGAAAATTTCCCTTTCTCTTTGGTTCAACTATTCCCCTGCTTGACGAAATCATTGTACTATTATCTGAGCCTCGGAGGTCTTTGTGGATCGTTTGTCCGTTTACTGTGTATCTCGAGCATCTCTCTAGCTTCTCAAGACATGCTTTGACTCGACAGATTTGTGAATCAAGACCCTTAACGTCCATCTGTCGCCTCTTGATCTCCTTCTCTTTGCCCACCATGAGCGCGAAAGCCAGACAGGCTCCCACAAGTTGGGACGTCTACGAGCGTGGTCGCGCATCCTCCTTCGATTCCCTCGAATCTGTGCCTGAAAATGAGCAGCAAAACACCCTCTCCTCGTCCACTCCTGCGGTACATTATATCCCTCCAATGCATGCGGAAGGTGAAGAGCACGGCGGCTTACGGCGGAGATCTTCTTTTGGCAAGAGAATTGACCACTTCATGCAGATGGGTGGACCCAACAGTATCGACAGATTTGCAAGGTCGTTCCAAAGAGCTGCAGGATTTCGTGAGATCACACCAGTGCGGAGGAACTCAGTAAGCCTCTCAGAACCAGATCAGGAGGCAGCTCTGGTGGCTCCAGCTAGTCCTGAACAGAGCACAGCAGCCCCGAACAGGTCCCTTCTGAGACAGCAGCTTCAAGACTACGATTTTGGGGGTCAGAGTGATTCTGCCGTTTACGATGAGCGTGCTCCTGGCAACCAGGAGCCGACCGAAGAATCAGCTCTCCTACCTGTCGAGAGTCGGCAAACGTTCAAATCCACTACAGGCTCTCTCGTCCCAGGGTCGTTGCTCCCGCATGAGTTGGGCACAAGCTATGGGAGTATCTCCTCCAAGTTGACAGCGTCTGCTCGGCACCGAGCATCTATCCTGATTATGGAACAGGAGGAAGCTAGCAGGCGAGCACGGGAAGAACCTGAGGCATTCAAGGAAGAACCTCATCGACATCTTGAACGGGAGATTCTACCTGATGGTGAGGTCATGGAGCGGATAGTAGGCGAGTCAACCGTTCCCATGACCGTCTTCAACTCGACGAATGTCTTGATTGGGGTTGGTATTCTGGCCCTCCCGCTGGGTATCAGATACTCTGGATGGGTGATCGGTCTCTCGTTCTTGACTCTTGCGGCCATCGGTACCTCGTACACGGCTACACTGTTGGCAAAATGCCTGGACTCAAACACCGGCTCAACTACTTACGGAGACATCGCTTATTTGGCGTTTGATACTTGGGGCAGACACTTTGTTGAAGCATTGTTCATATTGGAGTTGACAGCCGCAAATGTCGCCCTGATCATTCTGTTTGCTGACAGCATGAATTCTCTAATACCTGCTGTCTCTGTGACCGAATGGAAGGTCCTTATTGCAATTGGCCTGATTCCATTGAACTTTGTTCCATTCAAAACCCTGAGTGTCACCAGCGTCATCGGCATTTTCTGCTGTCTTGGCATCATTATCATTGTCTTTGCAGATGGCCTCATCAAACCTCGAGCTCCTGGTTCCTTGAGGGATGTGGCCAAAACATATGCATTCCCCGAAGATTGGAGAACTGTTCCGCTCAGTCTGGGTCTGTTCATGGCGCCATGGGGAGGTCACAGCGTCTTCCCGGCCATATACAAGGACATGCGACATCCATATAAATACGGGCGAGCTTTGAAGTACACCTACTTCTTCACCTACGGCCTCGACTTGTCTATGGCTGTGCTCGGTTACCTCATGTTTGGCGACAAGGTGCGGGATGAAGTGACCTCTAACATCCTCCGCTCGACTGCTTACCCTCACACCCTATCTGTCATCATTGTCGTTCTTATCGCGATCATCCCCATTACCAAGATCCCGCTTTCAAACCGGCCCGTAATGGACACGCTCAACAAAAAGTTTTACATCGACCTTCGCCAGATGGATCCCAAGGCGCGTGCATACAGTGAACGGTCACTCAAGCACCGTGCTGCACGGGGTCTCATCGGTATCATAGCCAACGTTATCCAACTCGGCATCGCCATTGGATTTCCCGACTTTGACAGCATTATGGCCCTCATGGGTTCGGCTTTGTGTTTTACCATTTGCATCATACTGCCTGTCAGCTTTTATCTGGTGATTTTCAGCTCCGAGGGCAAAGAGATCGGGTTGGCAGAGAAGATCCTTGATTGGGTTTTACTGGTTGTTTGCATTTCCCTGGCGGTGTTAGGGACTGTATTTGCTATTCTGCCCAAGAAAAAGATTGGGGCTTCGGTTTGATTTTGGGGCCTGTACGAGGTAGAAGAGATGATGTTGAAAAGATGGAAGAGATAAATCAATGGAGCCGAGACATATTCTCAGGCCATGGGAGGGTCTCATCAGATGATCGATAATAATACACACATACACAAAAGTGGGAGCATATCCTCCGCTCTCAAATCCTGTTTTCCCAAGAGCCGCTTGGCCTCTAGCTTTCCTCGGTGCCAATGAAGCATGCCTTCGGAATACAGAGTAATGAGGTTCTCACCCAAATATTGCCAACGCACGGGCTTCGGGATCAGACAGCAACTTGCAGCCTGTTAAAGAAAGAATCAACCAACGCCACGCTTCACATGTTGTGGTGTTACTTTGACTTTGAATTCAACTTGGACTGTGCCCCGGAGACCACGAACCCGCCGGGATTCTGCCTCAAGAACTCGACTTCTTCAGGTGTGCTCTCCTTGCGCAGCGCCACGTTCCGACTGGGGAACCTCCCGAACCGCAAAATGACGTCGCGGTGCGCCTTTGCAAATTCGCAGGAACCCTGCACGAACTTAGCCGCCTCCTCGGCTGCGGGAGACACGGGAAGCGAAGCCGACGGGGAAGAAGAGCCCGCGAGGCACCGAGCGGCCAGGTTTTCGAACAAAGAAATTCCAGCGACCTGGTGGACCAGGGTCTCGGCGTGCATCAGCGGCATGTAGAAAAACATGGCCATGAGGGCAGTCACTTCGGGCGAGCGGTCGAATTCACGCGCGATCGACATCACGGCCAGATCCAGTGCCTTTGCGTCCGAGGAGTAAGAGAGGCCTGAGCCGCGGTATATGTTCCGGGGAAACTGGTCGAGTAGGACAATCAGGGCGAGGGAGCCGAGCGGAGTCGAGGACCAGGAGTCGAGAGAGTCGTTGCGTGCCTGCTCAATGAGGGACGAGAACTGGGTGCGAATCTCGGCGTCGACGACTTCGGGATTGGGCGGCCGGAACCATTTCTCTGTTGGATTGCTGTCGAGTGACGGAGGGGGGAACCAGTAGTCGAGGACGCGAGCGATTTCGCCTTGGTGTTCCATGGAGATTTGGGGTGTTGCTGGCTTTGAAGATATCGCGTTGGTGGAATAGAACAAGGGCGAGAACATCCCTTGCACCGCGCTTTGCAGCTGAAAGACCTTTATTGACGAAGAACAACGACAGCGACGGCTTAGTATATGTATATGTCTCTGCGAAACAGCGAGTGGGCGAATATAGGAGTTTTGTGGAGGACGGGCTTGTAAATGCAGTTTTAGAACAGCTGGGAGACGGCATACCCTTGCAAAGACCTGATCTAGGGCGGCCTTCATTATATTCCCCAGACCGAGTTCTTGCTGGAGGGAGATAATAGAAGGTTTCGAACGGGCGGGTGGTATTTCCTTTGGATTTCTAAGCACTTTCGATGCTTGATCCTGAGCCCTGTACCGGCTTCGAAGGGGGGAAGTCGTAGATGGAACCTGAGACACCGAGACACATTGGCGATCGGGACGTTGCGTGTCCGATATCCGAGTCGTGGATGCCGAAACAAGGCTGACCAATCGAATTTCAAGATGTATCATCCCAGAGATGTAAGAAGGCTGTCCACGTGACATCCAAGGCTGTGCATAGTTCGGTAAGAGATGTAGAAACCCTATTCGAAGGTTGAAGAACGTGAAGATATCTTCTTAAGAGTCACACCGAAAGAAGATAGACGCACCAACTGATTTCACATGAGGGCGGAGCAGTCGGGGAAGCCATTCCTTTTCAGACGGCGGACAGCAACGTCACAAATACTTTCCCCAGATACAGTTTCAACTCCCAGGATCCTTGTCCACGTGTATACGATCATCAGGCTTCGGGTCGATGGAGCCAAAGTCTGAGCAGTTTCAGACAAACACAATGCTCCTCCCAGCTTGAGACCAGAATGTTTTGGAGTAAATCTATCCAAGAATGTGCAAGCTGCGGTAGCGACCGTGTACAGGGCAACAAAGAGCCCACGTTCCCCCAAACACAAAAAGTAAACATAGACAATTAACATAACTCCACGCTCTGCGGTATCTGATGTAAAAGCCTCCAACAACTTTTCTCCGAGCAAGTCAGACCGTACACCTTTGGCAGATACATATAACACGCCACACTATTTTTCGTGATCACAGGTTGACGTCATGAAGCCAGACCTGTTGCTCGACTCGATGGGAGAATCGACTGGCAGCCAGGATCTCAACCATCTGCTGTTCACTGACAATCAGCTCCTGCTTGGGGAGGAACCATCGCAAACCCTCGCTACAAGGCGGCGTGGTTAAGCTGCCCTTGTAAGTCCAAAACTCTTCGACACCGCCGACCTCATCGATAGCAAGACGCATATTGACGGGCAAGCCCTCGAGCTGCGCTGTGTCATTGTAATGGATCATTGGACCAAGCTGCTTGAGAAATGCGGATTCCCTATCACCCACGGCTACCCGAATGCCAATGACAGCGGCCTCGTGCTCTTCCTCGGTGACATGAACGAGATGGATTTCCGCACGGCTCCGCTTGCCCGCGATAAGGTGTTCGGAGGGGGCGTGGATGTGCCATCCAATCATGTAGACCTCCTGGTCATCGAATTTCATGCTAGGGAGTGCGGTGACCACTCCTTCCGGATGATGAGGTGTCCAGGCCGGCGCGAACTCCCAGTTGAAGAAGTTGCCTGGAATAGTGGCGTCCTTTGCGAACCCCTCAAAGCTAGGCTTGTGATGTTGAGAAAGTTCCTTTTCGACAATGTTGATGGGCGATTGATGTGTGCCAGATTGACAAAGGTGGTATTCTGCAAGAGCGTCAGCAAGGCTGGGGGAGGAAGGGGTGGGGAGTAAGTCCGAGTTTACCAGGCTTGATTGTAGCCCAGTCGAAAGAAAGAGCGTAGTTCCAGTCTTTTGGCACCCGGCCTTTGTCGACTCGGACTTGTCTTCGACCAAGATGAGGATGTGAACGATAATTGTCATGCTCTGGACAGCTCCAGGCTGTCGAAAAGAGGACAGAAAGGAAGAGAATAGAAGAAAGCATAGCGGGAGATAACGCTCTAAATCAAATAAACGATACGAAATAATCAGTGGCGCCCAAAAATAATAATAATAATAATAAAGCAATGGCTTGTAATACCAAACAGTGATAGAGATGCTGGTAAAGGAAAGACTCAACGGATGCGAGGGAGAGTGGTGGTCTGATGAGCATCTCAATGTGGGGAAAGGCATTCTTTTTTTATGTGGCCATAGACGCGAGCAATGTGAGGAGCCCATCTTTTCAGAGCCGACTTGCTGAAGACATAGGGAGGTGCCAAGTAATTACTTGTTCCAGCAGCGGACTGCTTCAGCTTTGCTGAAACACACGGCGAGATACTGGATTCAGCGTCGTGCTTGGTACGGAGCACCTCGTAAATATGCATCCTTTCCAGCCAAGGCAACAATAATGGTGATTCAGCCGCTGGGTGCGAGTAAGGCGTGCTGCACCGCAAAATTCCCAAGCCCTTCAGGGTCTGTATCTTGGGATTTTCACCACCAGCGGTGACGGGGAGTTTCGGACAGGCTCCCCTATATACATACATATGTACTGACGAGATAAGATTAGCAACGGCAATGCATGACAAGCACCGCAAGCCATAGCAAAGATCGTGAAAGCATGCGGTGAACCTCGGCGCCAAGCTATATCTGACAGCCAAGTCGACCGGAACGCTCTGTTGGGCCGAAGAAGGTAAAGCGCAGCTCTGAAAAATGATCTCCGAACCAGTCGTTGCTTTTCAGGGGAGCGACGCGTGGCTTGTTGGCTGTTGCGGATGATCCGCAGCTGGCGGAAACAGGACAACCAAGAATCTCCAAGAAAGGGCTAAGTGACGAATGCTAAAACGAGCTCTCCCCCATGAGAAAAGCTGAAAGGCCTAGACTCTCGACGCGGCGGTTTGTGGCCATCCCTGGTTGCCCAGCTTTCCTCTCCGTGTGATTCCAGCCCGCATCTGACAGAGATGAGGCAAACGCCGAAGCAGGAGGTGCTGGGCGGTTCAACCTTCAAGACCTTCCGCGGAAATTCAGTCTCACATCTCAGAAATTGGCATATGGTTGGTTCGAGCGTAACAGATCGGAGTTCAGCAGTGAGCACCAGTTCGCAAGTGTTTTTGAAAGAAGCGGCGGGTCTCCGGACTTCGAGTACTCCGTATTGGCAGTAATAGATTGCAAATTCTGACCAATGTTGAAGATGTTATGTCGATCGCTCGATAGTCCTATTAATTGAATGGACTCGTTGTAGGATAGACTGGCCTGTTGGGAAAAGGCGTCACCACTAACAAGCAGCGTTGCCCGTTCGGTGTAACTAGTGATGATGGTAATAGCGCCAGATCCTTAGAGGCATGCCGGTATGGGGTTCCATCCCCCGTACTGGGTACCAGGTACCTACTAGTATGCGTCTCTTGCTTGTCCATATTTTTCCATGGAGGTTCACATCTCGGTGATCAGCTTTTGTTCTTTGTCTAGTCTGCTTGTCTGCCAACAGCTCTCAGCTCTTGAGGAATTCGAAGCATCTGACAGGAAGATTCAGAAGCTCCTACGCGCTAGCGAGCGCGATCAGCGTTCCAATCGGGCGTACCCCTCGATGGCTTTGCGCACGATCGGTTTGCGGGCATTTTCGGCGTTAGTTTTCCGTGTTCTTGACCGATCAGGTCACGGAAGGCGAGTGATAGGCCCCCACCGCCTTACTAGCCCTCAGACAGCTTCAAAGTCGGCGAGCAAGAGGAACAGACAGCGGTACCGCGTATGTTGTGGCCTTTCCGTGGCTGTAAGACGTTCGGTGTTGGGGAAGCTTTGCCGAGAGCGTGCACAATGCTACAAGTTCAGCCTCGTCAGCAAATGATCTTAACTTTATGGCGGCAAATACGAGGTACAAAGCTGGGAGAAGGGCCTCAACCGCAGGCGCCAATTGCACTGATGGTGAGCATCATTCACGCAAGTTGTATGGGCAGTCGCATTTGTAGCCGAATCAGTCAAATGCACATTTTTAAAATCAATATTCGAACAAAGTGCTTTGGCTGAACAATTCAAGGCAACTCCAACTTTGCTGCTAACGGTACCTGAGACGTCAGTGAACAGCATATTCTCAAACTCGAGCGTACTGGTATCGCAGTAGTGGGCCTGATCAGGTACCCTGAAGTAGCACTTGTTGATGTAGACAGCTTGGCTCGTGTTGTGAGTCGTCAGTCCCGCGAAAGTCACATTGGAGACTTTTTCCTGTGTCCCCGCCGCCACCCTGTGGAGGTACTCCCTCTTCTTTGCCTACCCAAGATTTGAAGTAAGCTCCACCAGATACTGCAGCTCCCCCAGTGCGCGGATTAATGTCTTGGGAGACTGAGATGTTTGTGGCCGTCACGTTGAAGATATAGTCGGGCGAGTCGACGTATTGGCCGATTGATCCGATCGCGATTCCGCCTCCGACACAAGTCATATTGTTGATGACGATGTTGGTCGTATTCCCTTTCGGAGCTAGACAATCATCTCCGCCGTGGAATTGCCAATCTCTTACCAGAAGGTGATCGACTCTCAATGAATCGAGGCCATCAATGTTCGTTTCGTAGTTGGAAGAATTTCCGTGGGGATCCGAGTTGGTATCATTGATACACACCTTGCTGATTTCGACGTTGTACGAGTCTTGAATCCAGAAACTCCAGAACATCGGCTGGCGAATGGAAAAGTTGGTCACAGTCACATTGGAGGAGTTGAAGATTGAAATGACAATTGGACGGCCAAATTGGTTACTATGCCCCGCTCTTGCCCGCTGCATGGGTCATCCATGCCTGTCCATTGCCATTGACACCACCTTGCATCCAGCCTCCTCCATTGATTTCGAAGTTGTTGCCTTCAACAATCCACCCTGTTGACTGGTTCTGAAACTCAACGCGGAAGGAATTGCCAATCCAGTAAGTCAAGTCCGGCGTGAATGAGAGGGTACCAAGAAATTTCCAAGCGCGCATTCTGGAAGTTCATGTGCATCCGCCTTGAAATCGCATAGACATACGGAGCTAGTAGTGTAATGGTCCCATTGATTCCGCATTTTCGGACAGCGGCAAGAATCTGGGACGAGTCGTCCTGGCCCCAGCCCAAAGGTGTCACAATCCACTTGAGTCCGTTTGGAGATGGGGGGGTGTGGAAAGGCAGCCCGAGAAGGAGCCTGTCCTAAGTACGGATACGAAGCATTCTTGTGATATGGAAGCATTGTTTGAGGGAAATATACCGAAGTGGTGGCCGCCTGGGGGAAGTATATGGTTGATGAGCCATTGTTCGATGGCGAGCTCTTAGCGAAGGAGGACGACACATATCCCAGTGCGCACAGGAGAATTAATGCCTTTGTAAGCATGGTGTTGAGAGATCACGATCTCTCCACAAGTGATTCGCAAGCAGGGTATTTTCTTGCTCGTTTTCCAGATGTGTAGCTTGCCTGAGTTTGTGGGGGGGTGTCTACCACTATACATACATTCTCATTTCCATGGAAGTTAGGGCACAGCGTGGGAACATGCTTTGGACGACAATGCTGGGGACTCAAGGGAAAGATAAGGTTCGATCCTTTTTGACCAGACGAATCCAGGAGACATTGGGAGCACACGTGCACTGGAAGCGAAGGCAGATCATTATCTGGGCGATGTGGTATGCTGCATTGATGACGAAGACACCATACCAACTGTCAAAGGCACCAGCTGACTGGATGTCTGCCCGGCCGCTATGTATGCGAGCGCAGAAGAAGCTTGACAAAAGAGCTGGAGTGGGATGAATGAGGAGCCGAGGTCATGAAGGTGATGAAATTTGTTGTTCTTAAAGGCGGCGTGACACTCCTCCCTATCTCGGTATCCAGTATGAAGTCCACATTACAGGGACTCCCGCACGCTCCATATGCAGTGCTAGCAAGAAAGCGGCACCACTACCATCCCTAAATAGGCACAGCTTGGCAGCCTCCGAAATCGCTTGTCTGCAAGGCCTTCTCGCCCTCCAGCAGCTGCGCTGATCCAATTTTTTTTTAATTGTTGCAGAGCTCGCCCTTGCGTCGTCGTGACTCATATTTCAATTGATGCAACAAAACCATTCCCATTGTCCTTGATGAGGTAGTGCCTGCTTGTCTGTCCACTACGCCCTTCTCTCGCCGCCATCATGGCAGGCAGGCACAATCTCCTATCTCTGGCCTGTAGAGCCATTGTCCAATCTCCCCGAGCGCAAACTGGGACCTCCTTTCTTAATTCTGTCCTCCCCGCGTCGAGGCGAGCCAAAAGTACGAATTCAACTTCAGCTCTAGCATACAAGGCTCTTCACAGGAGGTCACCTCTTCCTCTCCCAGTATCAGACACCTCTCCCCAATATGGCGCGGCAGCAGCTGTTTCCTCCATCCTCTACGAAACCCCGGTGGCCCCCCAAGCACCTCCCAAGAAACACATCCTGAACTGTCTGGTGCAGAACGAGCCCGGTGTCTTGTCTCGTGTGTCTGGCATTCTAGCGGCCAGAGGATTTAACATCGACTCTCTGGTCGTGTGTAATACGGAGGTAGAGGACCTGAGTCGAATGACCATCGTGCTGCAAGGTCAGGATGGCGTTGTTGAGCAAGCTCGGAGGCAATTAGAGGATCTGGTACCTGTATGGGCTGTGCTGGATTATACATCTGCCGCTTTGGTGCAGCGCGAGTTGCTGCTAGCCAAAGTCTCTATTTTGGGCCCCGAGGTGTACGAGGAATTGATGGAGCACCATCGCGAGATGACCAGTCCCGAGTCGGACCAAGGTCCAGCAGATGTGGAAAGTGCCGAAGAGAATGCAGACAAGAGGTTGCAGGAGTTGGAAGCAAACAAGCCTGAAGAATCAACTCTCGTTCAACGAGCCAAAGACATGCTTGGTCAAGGTGCCAGCTACCATCCAAGCCGTCTGGCTGCTAGTCAGGCTTTGCGACATAAACATGAGCATCTCGAGGCCATCACCCATTTGACTCACCAGTTTGGCGGAAAGGTTCTAGATATCAGCACCAACAACTGTATTGTGGAACTGTCAGTGTCTTCCCTGAATTTGCCGGCTCTCTGAAGTGCTAACGTGGGGACAGCTCTGCGAAACCGAGCCGAATCGACTCCTTCATGAAACTGATTTCTCCGTTCGGCATTCTCGAATCAACTAGGACGGGATTAATGGCACTCCCTCGATCACCACTCTATGATCCAAATGACGAGCACGTGCGGGAGGCTGATGATGTGGTTGACGCCAGCACTCTTCCTCCCGGCTAGTCATGGATGTTACCATCATGTTGGAATAGCGTTGGGCGCCCCTTACATGAGGCTGTTTTCTTGGTTTTGGAGTAGGTCGGCTGTCCTTCATCACATACGGTTGATCATGTAAGTTTTAGCATTTTGACCCATGAACGCCGCGGCCAAAAACATGGTAGAAATGATGCCATGAAGTGATTGTGGTTCGAGGCATCCAATGTCAGTCTCCAAAGCTACACTCGTTGTCTGGACCAGTATTTTCGCTATCTTACGGAATACCCTTTCGTGATGGGGTGGCGCGGTCTAGGCCCTTACAACCTCGTATCCAATGCATTTTAAATTGAGCTGGTTTGGCTGGTGTAGCCGGGCTTCAGCTTGACAGCTGCCCCAGCACAATGAACCAATTTTTCCATCGGGCCTTATCCTCGTTCTATATTCGTATCTAGCCAGCAAAGCCTAGGTAGCCACGGCAACACCTGACATGGCTGGAGGTCAGCCTGAGAACCTCCCTGATTCACCGCTATATGTGAATCCCACACCGTTCCATCGCATTCTCAAGAGGCGCATGACGCGACCGAAAGCCAGAGAGGCAACCATTCATGCTGCGCATACGGAAGACGACCGAGACTTCCAGTACAAACATCCGGAAAGGGTCTCAAGCTGTGGATTCTATGAAGACAGACCTAATCACGCCTCAGAATCGTCCATCCCTGAGACACACTCGACTCATCAATCGCCGTACGTACTCCGTACTCGTGCACATAACCATGTAATCAGTGACTGATGACGCGCACCCAGTGAGGACAGGTATGAGATGGAGAACAGAAGTGATATATTGTCAATCGACAGTCGCGGCGTCAAAACACCTGAGCCGTTCAAAGCTGTTGCTGTTGAAGACAACAGTCCTCCTAGAGTCAACTCGGATCATCATTTCTCGAACTGGCCTTACAATTGCTGCTATTTCGTGCCTAAGCTCATGAACGCAGAAGGCGCGATCTCTCTACTCAATCATGATGCTGAATTTCACCCTGCGGACAGCAACACACCAGAACATTTGAAAGTCGTTGATTTGACGGAGACCGGATCATCTTCTTTTGACCTCTCTCCGTTGGAGAGTGAATTCGACGACCTTCTCCAGCTGTCTGACCTCAACCACGGCAGTACACGAATCCTCTTCATCTCCCAGAAACGGCGGTATCACAAGAACCGCACCACCAATAGGTATGGACTCAAACATTCAACGTGGCTCAGCATCTTGTCCTCAGGCGACATACCTCCAGATGTAGTCCAATTGATCCACGAGAACAACGGCTGCTGGGGAGCCCACACATCATACTGTCCCGATGTCAGAGGCAAGTCTTGTCGGGTCAAGAGCCCAGATGACTCGCTCGGGCAGACACTATGTGCCTACCATATATGGTTGAAGCCACGACCTTGGTGGAACGAAGAGCATTTCGTCTACGCTCGTCATGGCTTTCATTCAAGGAAGAAGCTTTTACTCGTCGTGGGCACTTCGCTCGAAGCGCAACAGCAGCGTCTCTTGTCACAATTTCACTCTGCAACGCAACCGCATCTGTTTTCCGTCCTGCTTGCCCTTACAACCACATGGACGAAAGACCTCGAAGAATTTGTGTGGGAGCAAGACTTTGACACCCAGCGGCTTGAGTCGGACACTGGGTGGTCCACCGTTGGGCACACACAGCTGAAACCTTTGCCGCTCGACAAGCTTGCCCTCCGCAAAGACATGGTATTTACCAAGGACGCGTTATCCCACGTGGTCCGCGCATCAGAATCCTTGAGCGAACTCTTCATCTTCTTGTCAAAAGAGGTACGCACAATACCTTGCAACGGCTACAATGTCAACCTTCGTTACAACCAGCTTAAGGACGCCTTCCTCCAACAGGGTTCCAAACAGTGGCACCAAAAGCGCCAAGCTCAAGGTCTCATTGGCCGCATTGATACTCAATGGAACGTTATCAGTGCACTCATGGCTCAGCACACTAACAGCCTAAACTTTCAAATTGCGAGAGATTCGAGGATTGACACCATTGTCATGCGGCGGATCTCCTTTGTGACAATAGCTTTTCTTCCTGCAACCTTTCTAGCAACTTTCTTCAGCATGTCGTTTTTCACCTCAGGGGACATCACTGCAAATCCCACGATCTGGATCTACGTTGTGTGTGTCATTCCCCTGACCTTGGCGATTGCCTGGCAGTCGAGTGCCCGACGTTGGTTCGCGGTACGGTGGGTGGTGTCAAAGTTACAGAAGAAGGCCCCTAAGAGAAGTGATTTCTTCGAGGACCAAGGAGAGGGAATTCAGATGGCACGAAATTCTCTGCATATGGCTTAGAAGGCACCGATTGTTTGCAGTCACCGAAATTCGTGGCTAGGTCGTACCCTCGTTTATTGCTTGTTAGGTCGGTTTCAAAGGGTAATGCATTGTGAAGGTCGTAGGTTTTTGCTCAGGTCTTCTGAAGGGATATTGACCGTCACACAGAACTGAGTGAGACATGATGCGTAAAAGCGGCGTCACTGTCACCGTCGGTAACCGTGGAGTCGATGGAGTCAAGTGCCACAACATACGGAAGTCATCCGTACTAGGTACACAATATCGTCATGACTTGCAATATTTGTCCTTGCAGCCTCACTACATATATCGGAGAATAATCCCAGACCACAGCCTCCCTTTTTTTTTTCTTAGCTTCAGTTGAACAGGCATGGCGTCTTATCTGGCAGATCTGCCCTCGCTAGGCGAGTTCTTTCCCCCTACAGCTCGAGCGGCCAAGTTGTCCCTCGATATCTTCAGATTATACATACCCGTAAGCTTATCCCAAGTGTTTTTGCTTGCGTGTTTTAGACCGATTATCCTGGAGACCTGATCAAAGAAGGCACCAAGAAATGTCGATTTTTTTGCTGATGAGACCTCATGTTTCCAGATCTCGCTGGTGCTATGGACACCCTTGAAAAAGCTACAGGCGATGGGCAAGACCTCGTCCAAATCTCACCTGAGTCTCACTGGTCGTTATGCGTGGGCGGCGGCGGAATTGGTTGGGCCGATTAATCTGCTCTACATCCTTTTCACTTTGCCATCAAAACTCAGACCCCAGCCTGATGCTGCAACCAGCTTCCTAGGTACAGGCTTGCCTGCTCAGAACGAGATATTGGCGTGCTTGTATCTCCTTCACTACGCCAACCGTGCCATTATCAGCCCGCTGTATCTGAACCCGAGCATGTCACCCATCCATCCATTCGTTACAGCGTTCATGAGCGTCTTTCAATACACGAACTCGACCAACATTGCCTGCTGGCTTGTGTACTCGACACTGACCGCCAACACGGAGAGTCGGGCCATAATCTCTTTCGGTTCATTCATAGGGGTCTCGATCTTTCTGCTGGGACTGGTGGGCAACATCTGGACAGAGACGACGCTCTATGATTTACGACGGGGAGCTGCGAGGAGGAAATCCAAGTCAGAGGGCAAAGCGACGATTACTTACGACAAGGTGTACGTGATCCCACCAGCTGAGGGAGCGTTCAAGTATATCTTACACCCGCATTACGTCCTGGAGTGGCTTGAATGGACGGGGTATTGGGTCCTGGGAGGAGTATGGGGACTGGGATGGGGAGGTCAGAGTCCGGCCTTGTGGTTTGTGATTTGCGAAGTAGTGACAATGCTTCCTCGCGCAGTTACCGGCCGTCAGTGGTATGAGGAGAAGTTTGGCAAGCGGGCTGTTGGAGGGCGAGCGGGTGCAATCCCAGGACCGATCAGACTGTGATGAGCAAATCTCATCCTAAATCATCAGGCTGCAAGCCACCTGGGATTTCCTCGGGAAACGCATCCTACTACCGAGTATACTCTGGGGTACTCGTAGATGGCGTGATTGATGATTGATGAGCTTGTTCGGATGTGGCAGGAACACACAGCAAAGGGGAAAAAGGCGTAAAGCCATATTCGGATCTCACTGGTCTCACTCACACGGCGACTTTTCGTAGTCATGCAGGCGAGCGAACCTCGGAGCCCATGGCAGCCAACCGACTAGCACAAGCATCCCACTAAAAAAAATAATAAGTGGCCTTTGGCCTTCTCGTGTCACTAGTCACCGCAAGCAACACATTTGATTTTTATTCATACACCTTCTCGGTCCTGACCCTTTCTCACCGCTCTCATCTTCTCATCTTCTCACCTTTCTCTTGTTGTCCTGGTCTTCCCATCCCTGTCGTCTGCCTCTCTGTCCATCCTGAGGACGTATTGGAAGGCTGCTGTCCAGACCTCCTTAACATCTATTCCAAGGTTCCCAAGGGCAACCGCGAAGATGGTTCAGTCGTAAGCTGAGCAGTGAGACCACCCTACCTTTCAGCTGCTGACCTTGTGCCAGCTCGATCCTCGGTTTCCCGCGTATGGGAGTTAACCGTGACCTCAAGAAAGCCACCGAAGCATATTGGGCTGGCAAGATCTCGCAGGATGAGCTCCTTGCAGAGGGGAAGAGATTGAGACTGGAACACTGGAAAATCCAGAAAGATGCTGGCGTCGACATCATTCCAAGCAATGACTTCGCCTTCTACGACCAGGTCCTGGACCACATTGAGCTCTTTGGTGTGGTCCCAGAACGGTACACAAAATACAACCTGGCTCCCCTAGACCAGTACTTCGCTATGGGTCGAGGTCTGCAGAAGCCTGCCACCGATAGCTCCCCTGCTGTCGATGTGCCTTCTTTGGTAAGCAAATCCCTACTTTTCCATAATTGTGTGCTAATCTGTGCAGGAAATGGTCAAATGGTTTGACTCGAACTACCACTACGTCAAACCGACTCTCCAAGACAACCAGAGCTTCAAGCTCGCCTCAAATCCCAAACCTGTGGTCGAGTTCCTCGAGGCCAAAGAAGCCGGCATCACCACACGCCCTGTCGTTCTTGGGCCTGTTTCCTTTCTCTATCTCGGCAAAGCAGACCGCGGTCAATCTATTGAACCTATCTCGGCCCTCGACAAACTTCTTCCTCTCTACGAGGATCTGCTCAAACAGTTGAAAGATGTTGGTGCCGAGACCGTGCAGATTGACGAACCCATCTTGGTCTTCGATTTGCCCCCGCACGTCAAGGAGGCCTTCAAGCCGGCCTATGAGAAGCTCGGTGGACTTGGGAGCACTGCTCCCAAGATCCTTCTTGCGACCTACTTTGGCGACGTCGTCCACAACATCGATGTTCTCAGCTACCTGAAGGGGATTTATGCTATTCACATCGATCTCGTACGCAACCCAGAGCAGTTCGAAACCGTTGCGTCTGCGTTGGGCCCTCAACAGGTCCTGTCGGCGGGCGTTGTGGACGGTCGAAATATCTGGAAAACCAATTTCAAGAATGCCATCGAGCTCGTTGAGACCGCCATTCAAAAATTGGGCAAAGACAGAGTCATTGTCGCAAGCTCCAGCTCTCTTCTCCACACTCCTCACACTCTGGCCAGCGAGAAAAGTTTGGACCCTGAGATTGCCGACTGGTTCAGCTTTGCTTGCGAGAAAGCGAAAGAGCTGGCAATTATTGCAAAGGCTGTGACGGATGGGCCCGCTTCCGTCCGAAAAGCTCTCGAAGCCAACGCAAAGTCGATGCAAGCTCGTGCTTCTTCAAGCCGAACCAACGATCAAGCGGTCAAGGAGCGGCAGCGCAAGATTACCCCAGACATGTACAACCGAAAGTCACCATTCCCTGTTCGAATTGTCCAACAGCAGAAGCGTCTTCACCTGCCTTTGTTCCCGACTACCACCATTGGATCATTCCCTCAGACCAAGGAAATCCGTATCCAACGCAACAAGTTCACTAAAGGCGAGATCACTGCAGAGGATTATGAGAAGTTCATTGAGAAAGAGATCCGTGATGTCGTCAAGATCCAGGACGAATTGGGCCTCGATGTCTACGTTCACGGCGAGCCCGAACGCAACGACATGGTCCAATACTTCGGCGAGCGACTGAAGGGATACGCTTTCACCACCAATGGCTGGGTTCAGTCCTACGGCTCCCGATGTGTCCGACCACCCATTGTCGTTGGTGACATCTCTCGACCTGCTCCCATGACGGTCAAAGAATCCAAATTCGCCGCTTCTATTTCTAGCAAGCCGATGAAGGGTATGCTTACAGGTCCCATCACCTGTTTAAGATGGTCGTTCCCCCGTGACGATGTTCACCAATCTGTTCAAGCTGAACAACTGGCTCTGTCTCTCCGCGATGAGGTCCTTGACCTCGAAAAGGCGGGTGTCTACGTCATTCAGGTCGATGAGCCTGCTCTGCGGGAAGGTCTCCCACTCCGCGCGGGCAAGGAACGAACTGACTATTTGAAGTGGGCCGTGGATTCATTCCGTCTCGCAACTGCGGGTGTTGAGGATGCCACTCAAATCCACAGCCACTTCTGCTATTCTGAATTCCAGGATTTCTTCTATGCTATTGCAGCACTGGATGCTGATGTTCTCTCGATCGAGAACAGCAAGTCTGACGCTAAGCTTCTCAAGGTTTTCGTTGATGAGGCCTATCCGCGTCACATTGGACCTGGTGTCTATGACATTCATTCTCCTCGTGTTCCTTCCGAGAAGGAAATCCACGACCGAATTACAGAGATGTTGCAATACTTGAAGCCGGAGCAACTGTGGATTGATCCTGACTGCGGGCTCAAGACCCGACAGTGGAAAGAAACCAAGGCTGCGTTAACCAACATGGTCAACGCGGCAAAGAGCTTCCGTGCTCAATATGCCAAGGGCAATTAATCGCCAAGTAATGTTTTGTGGGAGAGGGTTGAACTTTGGGCTCGATCAATCAACCTGATCTGAGCAGACGGCGTCAAGGGGCTATGACTGAACGAAATGGCTGAATGATAAAAAGTGCTTTTCAACATGATACCACTGCAGCGACGGGGGCTGGCAAAAGTCCGATCTTAACATCGGCGTTTTTGGCTGGCTCTGAAAACAGACAGGGAGAAACCAACACGGGGGTGAAGGGCTATCGGCAATGGCAGAGATGTAAGCCACTTTTTCAACAGAATATCTCGAAAGGAGAGGACTTTGTATGAGATTACATAGAAGCGAAAGAGGTATTACATTTGGGCCAATTCTACACCCTTAACAGTTGCGTCCGTTGCGAACCTGAACAAGATCTAGAGGTGTGAGAGATGTGCACGTGAGAACGTGTCATCGAGGCGCGTTTTCCTGTTGGCCCGTGATGTTGGTGATGTGGTTCTGATGTGGTCCCTCTCAATGATTCCATCACCCCGCCAACATTTTATGACATGCGGCTTTTCTTTGATGACCTGACAACTGCGCCGGATGGAAAGGTTGCGAATGTTATCAATTCAACCCTTCCAAGATCAACATGGGGGCCCATCATCCTAACCAGCCGTCCGCTCCTCAACCCACACGCGTATTCTTTGACCCCTTCAACTCATCCTCCACCGGCCACCAACGAGCAGAAAATCGCCAATCGGGGTCCATCTCGTGGCGTGACTCTCGGACATACAAACTCTCACACCAATTCAAGGACGTTAGCGGTCGTGGCGGTGATCAACACCTGCCTGATCTGGTTGGCGCGGGCAGTGAGGATTTCTGCGAGGATGGGCGCAAAACAAACGGCGACTGGCAAGGAGGCGCGCGAAGGTTGAGGGAAAATGGATGGCAGGACATCAGAGACTTGATGGGTGGGAGTAACAAACGATCGAGCGGGAGAATGGAAGACACAGGATTTGCAAACAAGCGGGCGAAAGCAAGCCATGAAGGCCCCCAACACCGCGTCGAGGATGCGACAGACTCTTCCCTATTTGGACGACAGCAACACAGTCTAGATAACAACACCACTACCACTCAGTCTCAACCGCCCCAAATCTTCCGCAACTTGACAATCTACCTCAACGGGAGTACCTTTCCACTCATCTCCGACCATAAGTTAAAACACATCTTTGCCCAATATGGTGGCAACACCTCAATAGCCCTTGGCCGCCGGACCGTCACTCACGTCGTCTTGGGCAATAATTCTGCCGGCGGTGGTGGTTTAGCGAGCAGCAAGATTCAGAAGGAAGTGGCTCTTGTGCGTGGGAAGGGCGTGAAGTTTGTGACGGCGCAGTGGGTGGTGGACAGTGTTGAAAAGGGCATCAGACAGCCTGAGAGCAAATATGTACCGGACGGGGTGGAAGGGAGGATTGGAGGGAGTAGCCAGGTAAGTGTGAGGCAGATGTTTCAGCACAAGGATGAAGCGAGATGACAAAATAGATTGCATGGTTTCGGGTACGGGGTTGTTACGACTTTGCATGAGGGAGGGGGTGGGGGAGGATAATTTACATGGTTGGAGTGTGGCTATGGATGAAAGGGGGAGACACGGTACCCCTGTGGTTTTCTATGCATCATTGGCATAGCAACGGAGGTTACGATCGGCATCAAAGATGGACATGGAGGGGGAAGCGTTTATGGTGCCCTTGGGCTTTATATGCTTCAACAACAGGCACGGATGGACAACTAGCATTCAGAGCAACCAGAGCTCGACCTTGGACGGGCGGAAAAACAGAAACGCAACGTCAAGACAATCACGACGACGACCCCACGGCGCAGAAATATTTCTTTTTCAATTGGTGCTCAAATTGGGCCACTCTGTATTGACGCGACATCGTTAGCATGCGATTCCAGCTTCGCACACGACTTGTTAGGATTAGGAAATTAGGAACTCACCGAATCTCGTCCTCTCCTTATTCCTCCTCACAATGCTCACCTCATCACCAACCTTGATTTCGGCAGCAGATTTACCCTCGGGGACCCTAGCGAGAAATCCATACCTCCCAAACACAGGGCTCCATTTCGCTCCAGGATCCACGCGCCGATCGCTCTGCAGCTTCTTGAGGATTTTGCCCGATTCCCCTTCGCCGACCTTGCCCGTGGCGTAGTCGACGTTGAGCGAGTTACAGCGCGAACAGTTTTGGGTCAAAACGATCTTTGCACCTTTGGTCTCGTCATCGTGGTCAGCGGGGCCGCCAATCAAGATTTCTGCCCAATAGTCCTCCTCAAAGTCCTCTTCGGCGCCCTCGACGATGATGTTCGGGCGGAACTTGGAGATGTCCATTTCTTCGTTTTCGGGGAGGCGGCGTTGTGCGTTTTCCCATGATTTCGTGGATATGACTAGGTAGGGTGCCACGTCGGCGAAGGAGATTCCTTCGTCTATGCCTTCGTATTGGCTTTCTTTCTCCATGTCGGTGCCGCCTGCTCCAGTGATGGCTCGTGCAAGGGAGGTTGCGGTCGATGTTATACTGCCCAACCACGAACTCTCGCTTGAATTTCCGCTCGACACCGGAGCAAGGCCGGCCCTCTGCTGTGCGGCGACATTCGGAGGCATATTTCCCAAGACTTTCCTGCTATTCCCGCCAATATACAATAGCTTTACTTCATAGCCAAACCGCTCACCGAACCAGCCATTATAGTCCTCGCCCATATCGTACCCTATACACGGGGAGGAGTGCATGGTGACTTCCACCTCTTCGAGACCCGCCGTTTCAGGGCTGAGGGGAACGTGCAGCTGATCCGGGCTGACTTTCTTGTCGGGATGGTCGAAAACGTGGTCCTTGGTGTAGGTCACGATCATCTTGCTATCGGGTCCAGCACCGCCCTCGGTGGAGAAGGCGGTGGTGAAAAGACACATCTCGGTAAAAGTTGCGACGGCCATGTGCTTGCCCTGCGCGACGTTGAAGAGCAGGAATCGTCTGTCGTGCGGGAAGCCCATGTATGTTGCCGGCATAGCGGAGAGGGAGATGCCACGGAGGGATTTGATCGGGTAGGTATAGATCTGCCATTTCGGGAGGAGAAAGAAGCTGTTAGGACACGGGGTGGACAAAGTCGAGTAGAGTTGGCATTCTCGGGGTCGCCTTTTCGCCATGTCTCTCTCTTTTTCTCGTGAAGGGGAAGATAGGTGGATGGATGAACGGATTATAATCCATGGCATGGGATATTACAGTACCTGCTTGACGCGCAACTTGCGCGGAGACCCGATGGTTCCTGAATCCGCCATCTCTAAGGGATTCTACTTCTTATTATGACCGGACAAGGGATCGCCGACCAAAGTGATGAATTCAATCGAAGCAGAGCCCCAGCTCAATGGCGTTTTCAACAAACAGCGAGGTCCTCCTAGTCAAATTCCCCTCCTTCTGTCTGTGACTTGTTCCTCTTCAGCACTGGGATTGTGGGCTTGTGGATTGAGAATATTTCTTTTTGATTTGTCTGTAGTTGCGAGTTATGGTCCAGGATATGGAGCCTTATCTCTCTCGCGTCACTGTTCCGGTCGTGTGGCTGGAGTCCTGATTTGGCGAGATGCGGAGAAGCGCGATATGATATGTATTTGTATGTAGGAGGGGGAGGGAATCTCGGGGAAGGAGGAAAGCGGGGAAGACTTGTAAAAGGCTGCGGTTCTTGGGAATAGAGAGTGGAATTCTGGATCTGAGAGTGAGAGAACAAAAGGGAGGCAGAGTGGGAAAGGCAGACGGGGAAAGGGAGAGATTGCCAGCCAACGCCTGCTTGTTACGCACGCCCTCTTGGAGACCATGCGATGCGAGAAGACGAGATGAAGATGGTGATGGAGATCGATTGACCGCCGTCCGGCCAAACAAAAGCCAGTGCCAACTCTCGACAATCTCGACCCCGCATCGATTCCCTCGTCCGAGACCGAGGGCGAAACGGCCAAAGGGAAGAGGCTTATGGGTGTTAAGGGTAATAGCAGAGATGGAACGAAAACAGATGGGCTGGAAATTTCTTTCGTGTGTATATATGTGTGAAGAACGCGCCCTTCAACCATCTCTCTACCGAGTGCAGCCGCCCGAGGGAGTCTCATCACAACTGCCACCAGCGAACAGTGTGGTTTTTCGTCTGGAATTCCCTTGGGTTTGTCTCTTCTGTTTTGCCAGCAAAGGCCACCCCCAATATTCTCGAGCGGGCGGCCGACTGACTGATCGACTGACTGATTGACTGACTGGCTGGTCGTGTGTTGTGTCTGGCTGCCTGTCTGCCTGTCTGCCTAAGACTCCTGGATCTTGCGGAAGATGGGATTTCGCGCCGTAAAGCTCCGGCATCGCTTACCGAAGATCCACATCGGAATGGTGAGCAGGCAGATGAAGATGTGAAGGCCGCCGATGATCGAGAAGACTTGGAGGGGACCTTGCTTGCTGATCCAGTCTAGCGGGGGACAACGGTCAGCTTCTGGCGAGGGAAACAATAACAACAGATCAAAGCTATGCCCAAACTTACCGCTGATGAAATAGTTCATGCCGAAGCTGTAGATGTTGCGCAAGTTGAGCGAGGCGAATGCTTCCGGCGCCTTGTTCCGATGACATTCCGTGATGTAGCCGTAGATACCAATGTTGAGGAACGACATGGCGAAGTAGATGATGCCGTAGAGCACCACGGGGCCAGCCCAGGGTGCTTCGTTTTCGAGTGTGGCGCCGAACCCGAAGAAGCCAACAACTCCCAGGATCAGAGTGAGGACGTTAAGGGCGAGGCGGAATTCCTGAAACGAGGAGAGTCAGCAAGTGATCGTACCTTATTTTCTCCTCACAATACAAAAAGGTACGTGGGCTACAGGGGCGCTCGCTCACCGGTTCATAGATCCCTCCGTTCCATCGGGCGAGCCTCTTCACTGTCCAGTCATTCAGCGGTCCGGCCACAAATCCCACCAACGAGGCGACCAGTGCCGCAATGCTAATGAGGCCGACGTCCGACACGCTGAAGTTGTAAGGAGGACCCGTGAAGAGCTGCGCCAGCACGGAAATCATAACCACCAGCCACGATGTCGACAACCCGTAAGTAATGAAGCCGTAAAGCACCTGTGGAAACAGGAGCATGCCAAACGGTCGAAAAATGATGTACAGCAAGTTCTCATCTGACTCAGAGCCGCGCCATAGACGCATCTCTTCCCAGAATGTCCAGGGTCGTTCATCGGCACCCGTGTACAGCACTTCGGTGTGAATTTTGCTGCCGGATTTGGTCGTCTCGAGGTGTTCCATGTGTTCGCCCTTGACCTCACGCACATCCAACGTCTCGAAAGTGCGGTCGGTCGTTCCCAAGTCAAGGTTGTAGGCCGGATCTCTCTTGTACACGGTCTCGGGCACGAAAAGGAGGATCAAAATGATGAATGCCCCGTACAAGCATGCACAGATGCCGTAGGTCCAATTCCAGCCGATGTCCTGCAACGAGTGAGCTTGGAAAACCCAACAACCTATGTCAGGGGCTAGCCTGCTACTGGTAGGCGCGTACCTGAATAATGTAACCTGAGATACAGCTGCCTCCGCCAACTCCGATACTCAAGCATAAACCCCAGAAGGCCAGACGCAAACCCCGTTCATGGACAAAGTAGATGTCGCCAATAATTGCCGTCGTGAGAACCTCAAAGGGTGACATTCCGATGGCACCGAAGATCCGACTGTAGAGCCTTGTCAGTATGGACCCGAAGACGCAAGGGTAAGCTAAGATCTAGCTCTTTCTCGAATGACGATGTGGACACCCAAAGGAGCCAACTCACCTTGCAAGTAAGCTGTGGTAACTGTGCGCAAAGTATCCCCAGATCGAAGAGATGAACAAGAGCAGGTTCCCCAGGATGACGACGGGTCGACGGCCGTATTTGACTGAAAGTCCGTTGGTGATGAAGCAGGAGATGCCGATGGCAAAGATGGCCCACCCCAGCCCGCCGTTGAGCTTGTTGTAGGACATGTGCCATTCTTTGGCCATTTCGGCAAACCCCGGAGAGATCATAGGTCCCCACGCGCCAACCACAGCAGTGTCGATGCTGATGATGAGCAAGAGAAGATCCTTTTTCCATCTGGGCCAATTCAGTGGGTCTCTGGGAGACTCACTGGGTTGAGGGACAAGAACTATGTCTGCATTGCGTCCGGTGGCATGTTTCAAACCAGAAGTATCTCGCCCTAGAACCCTTATCAACATTTTGCATCCCCACAGAGACGCAAGGCATGGCTCCTACCGTGAAATTGATGATGTTGCGCATCTAACATATCCGCGAGCAACGCCGTGCCCGGGACATGGTCGAGATGGCGGTCTTCGAGAATTCCAAGACCCATGTCGTCCTCTGATCAACAAAGAAGAAGAATCAAGCTTTTTGGCGTAGCCGCTTTGCCAAGGTAAAGGAGCGATCAGACTGGAAGTTTAGGACGTTCGAAGAAAGGGATGTCCCCCGGTTGTATATGATATATTTTGCATCTTCTTTTATTGCGGGGCCTTCGGCAATGAACAGAGCTGTAGGTACCGTAGTCTGGGTCTGGAACGACCAAAGAAGCGAAGGCTGTCCTCACACAGAGGTAGTTTCGCATCCCGCGGTCATGGTGGAACCAGGAATTTCCCCAGACTAACCTCACAACCTTCCCCAGCCTGGCTCTGGAGTACCCCAAGGGTGGATCGTCTGTGGCGTACTTCTGCGTTTGATCTAAGCGGGGTCCTCTGTGTTTGATTGCCAAAGGATCGGCAGATATGTCAACCGTAGTAGCTACTAGCCACGTTGACAGTTGGGCCGGCGAAGGCGAATATGTGATTGGGAGGGAAAGTCACCGCCGACAAGCTGCGCACTCCTAATATCGATTCATGGCGAGTGAGAGGGGCGGGGGGGAAGGATTGCATACCGCATGATAGATCATAAAGGCTGGTGGTTGTTGTGATTGGACAAAGGTCGAAGGAAGGCAAGGCAGAAGAGGCGAAGGGTCGACTTGAAGCGCGGAGAGGAGCCGCTATACAACGCTATACCCTTTTGAGGCAATGGATTTGGGCGTATCACAAACATCCGCCCTGCTTGATGCTTGGATCGACCTCCACTGTCTTCGATTGTGAGCATCAAAAGCGAATGACGGCTTCACAAAAATGCCCGAGCTGTTGATGGGTTCATTCCTGACCCATTTGTCAAGGATCGATTCTGATTCTGCTCCCCGAGATCCTCATACCACCACAGCCTCGCCACAATCGCCACGTAGGCCAGCCTTTGTATACTACCGAGTAGTTACACGTGAAATCCCCTAATATCAAACCTCTTGGTAATACCGCGATTAATCAAAATGACCGAGACAGCTGATATGAACGTTCCGCTAGCTTGTCCCGGAACTCGCCGAATTGGAAAGTAACACAGTCTGAGTAAAACAACGCCGCATCCAATGTAGCTAAAGAAGGCTCAGTAATGACGAAGTGGTCGCTATGTCGATAACAGCATATGTAGATGATAGAGTACCTCAATTTCCAAAATAAGCGGAATCTTTTTCATCAACGGAGGCCACCTCCATTCTATTAACAGCGAAGGGCTTCGAGCGTGCTGGCGGCACAGCCGGTTATACTTCGCTACATATCCTTTTTAATTCCAGCCTCGTGTGCTGCAGGGACTAGGATACTCAGATGGATTGTTCCAGCAGGTAGGAACTCGAGGAGTCCGCAGCCGGCAGATTTTGACTCAACAATGTTGCCTCTCTTCTGATATTAAATGCAATTGGTCAGATAGACTAATGCGAAGAGCCCTGTGTACAAGAAGCTACAACAGAACGTCCGCAAAACACTCATGACCTTCTTTGCCCAGGTGCGATAGTCTTCCCTTGAGTACGTTGAGGAGGCGGAGGAGAGGTCTTCTTTCAGGTACCAGTCGACGAGGTTGGTTCGGAGGCTGTTCATATGTTAGCTGTGAGCTTTGGAGAAGTGAGAATTGATTACCTGTTGGATGTTTCCGTCGGCCATGATTTCAGATGCCACCAGCTGCTTTTCAGCAGAGTTATCGTCGTCGTACCTGAATGCAGTTTATGGTGAAAACGAAAGAAAGAACGACAGAGGCGCGTTAAGGATGCTCAAGGTGGTACAGGAGGGTTCAGGTTCGATGGGTGATGGCCTCAGATGATTCGAAAGATAGGTGAGCATTTGTCTAGAGTGTGGGAAAGAAAAGAACCTGGAGAGAAGAGGGGGAGGGTGAATGCCCAAGCCTCCTCCGCCTCGAATGTACATACCTAGGTACCAAGCCGAATATATGATTCACTATTCAGGTGTCCTTCATCTACAATATACGCCTTATTCACCTTTAAAACAGTGATCCTCTACCATCTATCTCAGAAAGTTGCCTATGTTTGAGATAGCAACCACTTCGTTATTATCGGACGCTCTGTAGCTATATTAGATGCAGTGCGTATTTTGTGCCGGACTGTGTCACTGATTTTTCAATACGGCTTGAGAGGTGATTATGTCGTGGGCGCATTAAGGCAAGGCAGATCAGTCGAGGCACCATTTCTGAGATGGTCCTATCTCTATACCTTCAAAGACATTGTGAATCCCACTACGGACAAGACAGAGGCGTTCTTCCGACAAGCAGGTCCCGCCCCACAGCGCATTCTCTCTGCTTCCTAGTTCATACGCTTGGGTGTGTTCGAGGACTGCGGCACTTCCCCGTGCTTTATACTGATGGATAAGGGTCTCGTCGTCCAGTAAATGGGCATTTTCGGCGTCAATATCTGCCTCTGTTGTTTGGCCCTCCGCTAAGCTAACTTGCAGACAGTGCTTGAAAAATCGGCAGGTTTTCATGACCAAGGGAAACTCGGTCTCGATTTCAAGCTTGCGTAGTACGAAGACTGGGCACAGAGTCTGCGCGATGTATGTACTATCCGAGTATTGTGCCACGATGGCTACCAGCAGCGAGAGGCGCACGCCAAATCCAGGAAGAGCGAAGTCTTGGTGAAAGGGAATTGGGTTCAGGATTGCTAACGAAATGTCCGGTATGCCATCTCCTGGATCTATTTGAAACGGTAGGCCTGTCTCGCCTCCGAATTGTCGGCAGGTAACGTGGTACCACACTTTGGGTCCTGTCGACACGAGGACAGATTGCAGGCTAGCGTTTAGCTTCCCTAGCAATATGCCAGGGCATTCGAAGGAAAGACCAGATGTAGATAACATGGCTGTGTTGCTTTCGGCCGTCGGACCCTCGTCCCAGTCTCGAAGATAAAGATGGCTGTTGTTCAGGAATGACGCCGGCGCCCATCGATAGCCCATCCGCTTCATCCGATCTCCATGCCAGAAGACGAGCTGCTTGCAGACCACTGGCAGACTGGCATAGAACGTCTCCATACGGTTTTCTTTCTTACTCTCAGACACCTTCTTTACCAGCTCAGGTCGCAAATTTGCTAGGGCAGCAAGACACAGGGCTTCATCAGAAGGAACGGATGTCTTCCGGAATTGCAATGGTCGAGATACCCTATGTAGAACCTTCTCAACATAGTCATCCTCAGTGGAGTCTAGCAGGATTCGAAGCTCTTTGTAGGCCCCTCGCACACCGATATAGAAAATGGCATTGCTGGATTCTTGCCATTTTGAGTATACCTCATCCATGTCCACGGCGCGGTCAGCGAACTGAAAGAATAACTTCTTAGCCAACACGCCCTCTTGGTAGGTCCATAATCGTCTCGTCCATCCACACGAAGCAATACGCAGAAGGATGTTGAGGCCCGTCAAATGTCTCGTTTCCACCTCGAGCAGCGAGTGGTCGAGCACTACAACAATCTCAGCATGTGCATACGTTCTCCGCATAAAGGCAATCGCTTGATCATAGGCTTTTCTGGCTCGCTCGCGCATATGTTCATAGTCTCGTGGGCATGAAATTGTGTCCAACCAGACGGGCATTCCCGGCTGCGAGAACTGGGAAGCTAGTGTTTGGAGCCAGCTGAGCTGACAGCTGTAGATAGCGTTGCGTTGTGGATTGCCTAGCCCGTCGGACCATACATGAGATATAGCTATGTACTTCTGGACTTCGGCGGTGCTCTTCAGCTTTAATTTGGGGATCTCACCCTGGTCAGGGTCGATCAGCGGCAAATGTTCGTCTTCAAGAATATCGAAGATCTCTGTAGGGTCGGCAACGAGGTCTTGACAGTCGTCGCAGCCGTGGTGTGCCCGGCGGTAATGGCCCGGAACTATGTCGTTCGCATTGCATCGAATGCCATCGCAAGAGTCATGACGACCAAAATCCCTTGGAGGCAGTGTGGTCATGAGGGTGAGGGAATGAAGATCAAGCATCTTCGTCAGTCTTTGCACATCACTGGGACACCATCCAGCCGACCGCATACGCTTTTCAAGCAAGACATCTGACAATGGCCATCGGCGACTAGGAATGCAGATTGTCCTAGGGTCGATGCATAGTTGCAGCGCGTCGCACAAGATCATGACGGAGAGCAGGATTAGTTCCAAGTGCTCTTCAAGCTCTTCCGAATTAAGATGGATCTGTCCAACGATCTCTGCCGCCAGCGCGATCGACTTCTCGAGATCCTGCTTGCTAACGCTGCTTCCCGCTTGTGTAGCGGGAGGGCGCAAGTATTCCTGATGACACAAACGCCGGAACCGAAGCAGCGTCACCAACGGTCGGCTGCTCGAGCTGATGTCGATGAAGTCGAGATGCCTCGCATTTTGTCCAAAGGCTTGGTGCACGAGACCAAAGAAAAGCCAGTTCTGAATCATTTGTGCCAAGTCCCTCAGTGTGTGGTCGCTCTGCGTTGGATTCAGAATGTTATCCATGGTCCAGCCTTGCACTCGATCAATGTAGGAAGCAAATTCCCCCTTATCGTAGGGCTCCTCATTTGGATCCAATGATCCCAAGTATGGAATTTCAATAGATCGATTAGGTTGTTTTACTCGCGCAGGAAGCGCCATTTAATTCACTGTGAGATAATGGCCTTCTGAGGTGTTGTGCTGGAAGGTTAGTATATAGGCTGAGCCTGATCTGGACTATTCAGATAAATTCAAGGAGCCGATTCCAAGAGGCAGGATTTTGAACAAGGATAGGACAGAGGGAACCGAACCATCTAGGTGTGGAACATATCCGACGCACTCTACCGTGGGTTCTTGTACTAGAGAGACGAGGTTGCCTTGAATGGCACTTAAAAGCACTCGGCAAGGCTTTACCGCGCCAAGGCTTCCGCGTAGAGGCGAGACAATCGACCCCCTGATTAGCCTACTAACCAGCCTCACCAGGTAATTTAGCCCCGTCCGAGGTGCTATGAGTTGTACAAGGCTGTGCTTGGTATGTCCCCCTTCTATTAGCATTCAATCCACGGAGATTCTTTGAGTACCCCAGAGAGAGCCTCTTCGTCCCATCGGCGTCAGTCCAAACAAGCAGGAGACGACGGAAACTTGACGGAGTTGGTCCTCGCTAAAAGCCCTAGTGACAACACATGATTCACAACCCAGGAGCGAGTGTATGCGGTGTTGTTGGTCACATCAGCTGCTACGGCACTACGGCATCATTGAGGGATCCTCACACCTATCCTACACCGGGATTGCTACTCATTATTACAACGAATAACATTACTAGTATTATTTATGTACCACCAACAGTTCTGATCAGCCAAGTATACGTACCTCCGCAAGCTGATTAATTAGCCGGTAGGCCATCTCGTCGAGCCAGGTAACTCATGATGAGGGAAACTACCCTCAAGTTCAGACCGATTTACAAAAGACCGAGTCTCTCCAGACAGTTCATGGACTTCAGCGTCACCAAACTCCCGCAACTCCCCACCTCCAGCCTCTAATGGTTCTTGCCTTCCTCGCCCGAGTGATGGGGAGAGTCTGCCGCCACTGCTACTCGTACCGCCTCGCTGCGAGGCGGTCGTGTATCCGCTGTCTTCGACTGAAGACGGCGTCCCATGCTTATAGCATCCTTCGAGTTCACTGCGTGGACTCCCTAGCACTCTGCCGTCGAGCTCAGGAGGTTTCTCTGCGGCGCCAACAGGGCCTACCGCTTCAGAAGTAGTTTGGATTTCGCATATCGAGCCACCCTCCCCTTCGGATAGAGGCCGCTCGGTTTTGGGCTTCTTGAAACATTTGAGCCAGACTGCCGCACATACCGCAGCGAGGACAAGTATGGCGGCGATGACTATACCTGCTGCCGCCCCTGCCGGCAATCGATGTGACTTGGTTCCAGGAGTGGTTGGATTGATGCAGTTTGTCGCATTTTGGGCGCATATGGGGACGATGTCGGCTTGCACTGACGATTCTGGGTATACTGCTTCATACAAGGTGATGTAGCCCCACTCGTAATTTGCGACGATGTAAATCTCCTGGAGGATCGTTCTGCCAAGGGTATACTGCGTCTCATTTGCGGCTTGCTTAAGGGGAAAGTAGTAATAAGTCTCATCGCCGGCCAAAGGAGGGCTTGCTTTCATGTCGAACGCCCCGTACGGAAGGGTAATGTTAAGGCGGTCCGTAGAATTTGAGGATCCTGTGCTGAGGGTAAAAGTTACACTTGCATTCTTAGCCACAAGAGCGGAATGTTGGTCTTCGCTGAGAAGGTAGAGCTCATAGGTCTCGTTCCATACCAGATCAAAGGACGCTTCGAAAGCTTGACATGCTGATATTGGAAGCCAGATTTGAGTGGTAAGGGAGTCTAGGGCTGTGATTATTGGCTCCGTGAGCATCTCTGTACCGCCGGTGGTGATGCTGTCAACTCCAAGAAGAAAAGGTCTGTACTGGTCAGAGCCTCCCGCCAGCGTAAGGTTAGCATTAATGTTGAGACGATTCGCGTCATATCCGCCAAATGTCAGGCTCCCAAATGACATAACTGGGAAAGAATAGTAAGATGCTCCAGCAAGGTAGCTCCAGGACATGCTAGGAATAAGGTTGTCCTGTCGAAGTGCACCAATGATGCTGCGAATTGGATCGTTGAATGAAGATATATTGGTGGGTTGTGGGCTGAGCCCAATGCTGCCCACGAAGAAATCGTCCGTCACGTAGGCGAACACAAGCTGGTTATCCAGGGATTCGCCACCCTGATTGTTCCAGCCAAACTTTGCGCTATGAGTCAGTACCTGCATAGCAAGAGGTAGCATCATTTCCCATACTGTTATGTTGTCAAAGCCCAATGTTGCCGCACCAGAATATGGCAGGTAGTGCTGGGGGCTTAGTGGAAGCGAGTAGTTGCCCTCAGTCTCCCACGTCGCTGAAGCACTCAAGTTGAAAACGCCACCACGCGCAGCAGGGCAGTCGAGAAGACTCGACTGTTCGCACGCGTAGCTCCATACTGTCCATATCGCATTGCCAGTAATCGATGGCAGTAACCTGACTACTTGTGGTGGAGTCCCGATCTGGACTGCGAAGGTCGACCACTGCCCGTCGTTACCATCCCTGGCAGGACGTCAGACGCCATCAAATTTTCAGCTCAGTATTGTACTTGCCGAGAGTTGCTCGGTTCTAATGATATCGGAGAAGGGTACGACTCATCGTCAAGAGTCGCACAGCCAGTCAGAAGAACTCCCAAGAAAACGCATAAGGCTGAGAGCGCAGAGGAAGAAAAGCTCATGTTTCCGGATCCAAATCGACCAGGCAGAGTATCGGGCGATTGAAATTTGATCGGACTCTTTGAACTTCTCCAAAGATCTAGTCATCGCCAGCCTCGGCCACAATTGTGTCCCGGTCGTGTTTGACAGAAGTAGACGGGAAAGTGTAATGTGTTATGGTCGTAAACCAAGGGCGTCGCTCAGTAGCAGGTAATCATGGTGGGCAGTCAAGAGCATAAGCAGGCCAGGTTGGGACGGGACAGCTGCCTCATCGCCTGCCACTGAGACAAGTTGAGCGATTGGCCTGGGCCAGGATCCTGGCGCACAAGGTTCCAGCTGCTTCCGACTGTAGAATGGGATTCGTATCCTGGATCGAAGATGTCTTCGCCAATGTTAAGGATCAAGTCTGCTCTGTATTCTCGCCATGGCCATGGCGTAGGTCTACCCCTCAAGGCTCAAACAGGTCATGACGCGGTAGGTGTGCTACTTCAGGCGGCCATTGCTATCAAGCGCAGCAAATGAAACTTTCCGTTGTACGAGAGGCGGGAAGAGGGTTCCTTCGACAGATGATCGGAGGTCGGGTGGTGACAAAATTGGCTGACAATAGACACGAACCTGTTGATATCCAATAGAAACTCCGGCAAAGTTGCTGCCCAGAGCTGAAATGCATGCCAAGCAGAATAGATGTGTTCATGCTTTGTTATTGAAGACCCTTGAAGACGCCTTCACAAAGGAATCGACATCCCCCCAGCTCCTGTATCTGGTAGAGGTTCATGGAACCGTGTTTAGAGCCAGTTATATACTTCTGGCCGCCCATCGCCTTCTCCACACCATCGCGTCGTCATCCCAAGGCAGACTTTTTGGCCTCATTTGCATTCACCCTGCAGACACGATGTTGAGCTGCAAGAATTCTGGCAACACAGGGTTAATGAAGCCTGACAGCAAGTGGAAGTTGGTGGCCGGACACTTGATCTCGTGTTCGGGAGGGGTCTGTTTCTTGAGCCTCTATGGGGGCTGTTGAGGAGAGGAAGACCTTAAACCCAGCATCAACGGGCTGGAGACACAGAATCGCAATTTATCTTTCGACCACTTCTATTGTCTCCAGTCTGGAACTTGCGGCCCTTCGCCTGCAGAGAAGATGGTGCTAGTCGGGGCATTTTTCCTCTTGTGTGGCCTTTGTGCCCAAGTCTCTGGCCATGTTCGACGTATGGAGGTACAACGTCCCGCAACGTATATCAGCACTAATGTGGATATAGGGCAAGCTACAAGCAGCCAAGGCACGGTGGTAGCTACTGATACTGCTGGAGTGCCAACGACAAGTACGGCTGTAGCAACTACGCCATCCACTGAACCTGCTACCACTGCAGCCTCGCCAGCTACGACTACAGCTCCGCTGCCTACATCTGAAGCCACACCTACCACAGCGACACTTACAAGCATAGCCTCAGTGTCTACAGCTACAGCTTCACTGGTTGTAACCACGCCTACCACCACTGTCCCTCTAGAGCCAACCACTGTAACTTCAACTACACCAATTGCTACAGAACCAACATCTGTGACCACGACCACGACGACCTCAGCAGAACCTGATTGCACCCTCACAGAGACCGAGATCGAGACGAGTACGGAATGGACAACTATCACCTCGTTCACCACTACAACCCTTCCTCCTCCGACGGTTACATCCACGCTCCCACCAGAGACCATTGTGTCTGCGACCACACTCCCTCCAGAGACCATATGGACTACCAGCACTGCCCCTGCCGAAACCACTTGGACCACCATAACTCTCCCTCCAGAGACAAGCGTGATCACCGTCACGCAAACTTTCACTTCTCCTGCACTTGCTACCAATGAGCCGCTTGCTAGCACCGCCATATCCAGTTCTATTCCAGCATCTGTTGCGTCAATCACAACTACTAGCAGCGTCACAGCCACTTCTCGAGCATCTGCGGCCCCGACCACCACCACTGCGAGCCTTGTCTCGAGCACCAGTCTGTCACCAACAGCCTCTGCAGGTACAACCCCTCAAAGTTCTACAGCCGCATCTATTCTTCGAGCCAGACAAGAGAGTGGAACTTGCGAGATAGTCACCGTCACGGACGTTACTGTTGTATCCAGCACTACGGATACTACAGCCACCAGCACCGTTCCTGCGTCGTCAACTGTCTTCAGCCTTGTCCCTAACACGCCTGTCCTCTTATCAACAACCGTGATCCCTCCACCCACAACCGCGTCAGTGATTGAGACCCCCCGGGTCGTAGCAACATCGACTGTCGTCAATGCGCCCGTACTGTTAACAACAACAACTCAGGTCACCGTGGCTGCCACAACGCAACCGCAGAATCCAGCCCCTGCACCAGCTCAGTCAACTACCCAAGTCCCTCCTGCTTCCACTGCAACACCGGCGAGCGCCAGCAGTGGACAGGGGTCATCTGGAACTGGAGCTGGGACTGGAACTGGGGCTGGAACTGGAACTGGAACTGGAACTGGAACTGGAACTGGAACTGGAACTGGAACTGGAACTGGAACTGGAACTGGAACTGGAACTGGAACTGGA